CAGCTAACCCTGGCGTCTCTGGTTGTTATAGTACGTAAGTGAACCGACCCCGAGCTTGGCGCATGTCTCTATGGAGTTGGCAGTTAACCCTCGCGTCTCTGGTTGTTATAGGCTGTGAGCGAATCCGTCCCTTAGTAGATCCCCTCTTCTGAAACTATGTCTAGACGCCAATACGTCGAGCGAAGCAACTTGGGCACGAGGCGGTGGCGAGGCTCTTACTTGGGCACGGGTAAGGTCGACATCGATTGGATGAGAAAGGACAGTCGGATTCCGCTATCAAGGGCGAAGATTAGAGGATACAAGGCCGTGGTCGAAATGCTGCAATCTTTTTATTCTTCATCGCCCTGTCACGACACGTGGTGCACGTGATGGAGTCTCGGCCATATTGTATGTATGATGTGACCGCTGCTAGTACTCAGTTTGGTCGCTTTAGGGCCTAGGGTTAATGTAGTCGTCAATCTCTTTGTTATGTTATTTAACAAAGAATCGATGCTATACACTCACCTTCTAAAAATCTCCGGCCGCGTAGTCAAAAGCAACAATGCTTGCGGGGCGATGAAAGGAGGCCGAAGAGCTGGAGGTGCAAGTGATGGACATGAGAGGGTGCTTCGGAAGGAGCATTTGAGCACTTTAATGGCTATCGGTAATCTCGCGTTCACACTCAAGTCCCAAAACCATCACGAGGAGGCCATCTTATTGATGGAAACATGCTTTCAGTTGCGCAAACAGATCCTTGGCGGTCATTACCTGGACACAGAGTTGTCGCTTGAAACATTAACTTAGTGGCAGATAGAGAACATGGAGATAGGTATTGGTGCTGCTTTACTTGTAGAATATCAAGCTAGTGCCAAAGTGGAAGGGCATGAGCTGTGTAAGCATGCTTAGCAAATGACATCTAACGGTAATCTAGGAAATGTGACACTGCACGTTGCCACCACAAGCAGGGAGGACGGCCGACCCGCTCCGGCCAGGACCTTGTAAGGTGGCGAATTCTGTAGGTGTTTTCAGAGCGTTGAGTTGGTTAACTGGAGGCATGGCTAAGGTTGAGTGGAGATCGCAAGGCTGTAGGGCTGAGTCAGCCTTACCGCCAAGATATTGCACAGCCACAGCCTTAACAGTTATCACAAATAAATTACACAGCGATGATTATGTAGGTGCGGGGTTGTTTTACACTAGCCGAAATCGGTGGCTAGTTCGATCAGAAGTACCGACTAGGGTAGCGGCCTTGCGTGAATTTGTGCGCGACAGTAGGCACAAGGCTAATAGGAACTTCTTAGCATTATAGCAAGGTTCTAGGGCTTAATAAGACTGTTTATAAGTATTATAGAGTAGTAAGAGCTTAATAGTGGCGCTATAGAGAAGGAACTCTGTCATGCTATAGAAAGAGGCTCTCTGCAAATTAGGCGCGAAGGCGATAATGCAAATGTAATTTATAAGTAAGAGGCGCCCTATCTCTTTAAAAATAGCTACAGTACATTATTTATACATAATTTTAGTGAAGCTTAACGTGTGTGTAGAGTTATAGTTGATTAAAGTCAAAGTACCCCTCATATTTTGCGGCACGGTGGGTTTTCCGGCACGCAGGGGGGGACGTTAACTGTTGATATTTCTCAATTATATATTCACAGGCACGCTAGGGGTTTGAATATGAGCTGTAGGGAATTTTAATAGCGTGATGTAGTGCTGATGTGCTCAGATCGAAGATCTATTCTCTATCATGCGGATATGTAGCCCAGCCCAGCCCAGCTTATTAAAGGGAGGTGCGTGAGAATACTGTCGTTCTGTCATTCATATGTTTCAGTCCCATCCATTCGTCTTCCCTTTCCAAAATGAGAGATAAGTCTCATCCCAAAAGATCAAGGAAATAGAAAATATATACAAGTTCCCCCATTGACCCTAGGAGGCCCCCACTCCTCACACCCGCAAGACTACAACGGAATTACTGAATTCCCTTCTTCGGTGCGAAACCCAGCGACTGGTTTCCACCATTAAACGCCACAATCTGCGCTTTAAACATTGTATCGCCGTAAATTTGCAGACCCGCGCCGCCATTTCCTTGCACACCTCCAAAGCAGGTAGTATTCGCCTGATCGACCTGCGCAAAAGTGATTTGGCTCCCAGGGATAACAGCCATGTAATCCGCACCAATGGCAACCGCCATATCCGGTAATTTCGCACTACACGGATAGATAAAGCCACCAACCTGGGCGTTATTCTGCGCGCCCTGGACCTTGGAGTAATAGGCCTCAGCGACGCCTTGGTCAACGAGGAGAAGGGAGGTTCCGGTGTCAGCGATGGCCTTTGAGGCAGTAGGGTTGTTCTGGACTTTGCCATCGACAGCGAATTTCGCCGAGTCGAATTGCCAGAAGCCGGAACTGGCGTTGACGGGGATCCATGCCATCTGGCCAGTGAACTTTGTGTTATCAATCCGGCCGAACTCGTACGTGCCAGAGCCGTCAGCGGCTAGGTCAGCGGTGAAGACGGGTTGGTCGAGATTGGGCATTACGTTGTCGAAGAAGGTCTTTTGGGGAGTCTTTTGTTGGCCATTGTTCACTGGGAGATGTGTTAGAGGGCGTTTATGGGGATTGATTTCAGACCAGAAGAGGGGATATAAGACGGTGTAACTCGACAATTACATACCTGTATTAAGCTTGCTGAACGCAAGACCAACAAGCCCATCGGTGTTGGTGTCCTGAACGAAAGATTGAGAGACTGCGGTCGCAATTTCAACAGCTTGGTTCGTAACACTGACGCCACCAATATCAACTGTTTCCGTACCAACAAGACCAGCAGCGCCAGACCCATCTCCATAAGAAATGGAGAATTGTGAGCCTTGCATCAGTTTGAAGGTGTTAGATTTCTGGGGATCAAAAGCTGCGTGTTGGCCAATCGCGTTTTTGGGGAGTTGAGTGCTGAAGACCCAGCTGAATACGTTATCAGTTTGGTTGATGAGACAAGCATGGGTGGCAGTTGGCTTCCTTACAGATCAGAAGAACCTGAATCAAAATCGAGGTTCAAAGTTTGCCCGCCAATGTTGACGGGAGACAAGAAAAGCGCCGCGTTCTGCTCTGGGTTCGCAGCAACAGTTCCAGTACCATTCCCGGTACTGTTCCCAGCGTTGATCTTGGGCTGTTCAGGAGTAGCCTTCGCGCCGGGCTTCTTGTTCTTCTCGGCCGCAATGAAACCCCATCCATACTTGCTATACACCTTCCTCATAGCGTCCATTCCGTTGAGCCCTCTGGGATGAGCCGGGTTTAGGCTCCTTGGGACTTTAAACGATCGTTTGTTCAAGTTTCTCTTCTTGGCTGGAGCAGGTGCAGCAAGTACTATGGCTGCTAAAAGAGTGAAAAGGAAGAAGAGGCGGAGTGAAGGCATCTTGGGCTAATATGCTGACCGGCAGCCGTGACGATTATGGAATGTTAATCGCCGAGTTCTCCGAGAATGAGGGGAAATGGTCTGTGGAATAAATATCGACGGGAATGAAAGAAGGTCTTGAGGGAGAGAAGAGGACAAGTACAGAGTAGTCCGCTACAGCTACTGCTCCCTCAAATCAAATAACAAGAAGAGAACAAAAAGGCTCGGCCTAGGAGAGAGGGATGAAGGAACAACAAACCACACGCTCAGCGGGGAACAATCAGTGTTAAAAGAAGGGTGTGTAAACGGAAAAAGAGAATGGAAGGAATTGGGAACAGGATGGGAAAGGGAAGATGACGAGCCGGTGAAACTGAAGAAGAGCCAAGAATGCCCGAGATGCAAGATTTGCATGAACCAACCGGCGCATCTCAACACATTGTATATGAGAAATTCTTCTAAGCCTGGAACTGCGGTCGGTGTGCACCACTCCAGCGGGTCCGCGCGGCGACACAAAAGGTGCTGCAAGACAAAGTGCCTCCCGTCCAAACGTAGGACGGCGTGTGCCACCATTGCAAACCATACGTGCGTGGATCAGGCTTAGCCGTCGGTGGCGGATGCTGGGATAGACTGCCTTTGACATTGAAAAAATCCCCAATCCAGTTAGCTCGCTGCCTCTTCAAGCAATTGGGGTCCGCATAGCGAAGGATGATTGGAGACCTTCGAACAGAGCTTTTGCCGACAGGATCTATTCTGGCTGGTGGGCCTGCAACGCGTACTGTGTGAGAAAAGCCTCTGGCGTTGAGGAGTTTTGGGGAGGTCAGTGTGGGCATTGGTTGGCGGGTGACGAGGCCGATGCTCGTCGTGTTTCAGAAGCGCAACAGCGCTTCAAATCTTCAACACCAGCCCACTTGGCCTTGTCATAGCTGGACGATGCGAAACCCGCCGCCAGTTAGCCCCGTCCACCCCTTCCAAATGCCGTAACATAACCGCAACTGACCAGCCCTGTGGTTGTTTGAAGCCATGGCGGTCCTCCCCGCAAATCACAAAGCTTATCTCCTGTCCCAACTCGTCACACGTTCCAAAGTCTCAGGAACATGTTTCACGTGCAGCACACGGCGCCTCCCCTCGAGATCGTTTATAGCATGGCTCGCCAGAGTGCGCAGAACGAAACTCGTACTCTCACCACCTTGTTTCGAAGCCGTGAGAGCGCGTTTCGGTAAACGGACGCATGCTTGTTCTCCGGGAAGCTCTCAGTAGACAGCGTCTCAGAAACATCCTCAGCCTCTAGGAGTGCTTTGTACAGTATATAATTCGGCCCCTCTAAAATTGGGAAACCGGAACTCGGATACGAGTCCTTGCAGAAGCCGGTAGACAGCAGCCGAACGCTAACTGGACTGGGCGCCTTGCAATTGAGACTCGAGATACTTCAAGCTGAAGGCGCATGGCAATTGGGAGCTTCTTATTTGACAGCAAAGATAATTGAAATCTCAAATAGAGCCCTACGTCTCATACTCGCCGCCTCGAGTGCGTACAGAACGCTCGCGCGGATCTGAATGCAATTTGATATGAACTTAACAGAGATGTATTTGCGGACAATTGCATTGACTCTCGCGGAGAAGGAAGCGGCTGAGTCCTCCATTCCTCATCCTCACTCAACCTCAAAAACAAGGCTACGATACACGGCCACCAAGGCATTAACAAGCAATGACAGCCTAGTCATCCAAGAAAGTATTTCCGCCAAACACAAGCCCCAAGCAAAAAGTGCATGCTCATCCTCCGCCAACTTGCGCCTCTTCCCTGTGTTTTGCGCTATGTTTTCAAACCAAGTAATATTGTCGCATAAAGATCTATAAAATGAACCTTCCTTAACTCATATGTTTCCTCCATCGAACGCCTACGAACGCCACCATCTCCACCACTCTCCCATCAATCCCAGATCAAGATCCAGGAGTTTGTGCCTCAGGTTCTGCTTGCTTACGTACATCTACCCTCAGGTCAAGTTTCCCCACAAATAGATGGTTCTCCTGTGTCTCAGATGTGCTTCTCTCACACCATGCCACTTTCTATCTATGGAAATGGGGGTTAGACCGCCTTGTCCTTCATATTTTAGACATCGGAGATACTGGGTATTTTGGGTATAGATGGGTCGCGACGACGCTGCAGCGAAATATGTCCAGCGCCTAGGTTATGTTTGGGAGAGAGTGTATTGGATGACATGACAATGATAGGAATTGTAAAATCATCTCCTGAGAGGATGAAACCTGAGGTTGAGCTCAAACACATGCCTCTCCCCGGATGTGACTAGCTTCCCGCTAGAAATACCTCGTTTGCAACAACCACACAAGATGAAGCCGAAGACCATAAGAAAACTTTTTGTCTTGTAGAGTCCAGTCCAGAATGCACCCCTCGCTCTCACTAACGCACGTATCTACCTAAACTACAAGACCCCTCTTTAGAAATATGAGAAGGCAAAATGGTATGTGTCTGCCTGTGCCCAAAGCCCACAATATCCATTCCATAACCGCACTTCGATACTCGTCAACTCTCATGGCCCTTGATGCATGTCTATCATTCTTCCCAAATAGATTTTCTCCTAGCGTGCAGAGCAGCCAAGAAAGGTGCCGTGGAACGCCCGACCAGGGAATCGACAACGGCTTCTACGGTCCCGTCACTGCATCGTACAAACACCCTCCTCCTCTTCTGAATGCCTTTAGCAAGTGAGGTCGTCAATTCGTTTTAGTTTTTTTTGCTCGTAGACCAGATTTCATCCAAGTAACTCAACATCCAAACCAATAGCCCGCATGAAGAGATTTACATTCGCCAGCCTCGCCCCCGCCATCTCAGGCGGCAATGCTTTGCTAACACCAACGGTCTCCATGACGCGATCCTTGACTCCAATGACTAATCTCTGCTGCTGCTCTGGGCTTGCGCCAACACCCATTGCGGCTAAGAACTGCCAAACGTACATATCATCAGTATCATTAATGGAGCCGGGGAAGATCAAGGGAAGGATAGGCTCGACGGCATCAAACAGGCGGTTGTAGAGCTCGGTCCAATTCTCCCAATCGACGACGTTGATCTCAGGGGGTTGCTTGAGAAGCTCGGCGCGGGAAATGAGCATGATGAGAAGGGACATGCCGATTTTGGTGCGTGCGACCACGTGCACATTGTTACGTTCTAGGATGAGACCTAGGAGACCGATGATGATGTTGAGCGGCGATTCGAAGATGTGAGCATAGAGAGGGGGCACGACAGAGTGGAGGAAGAGTTCGATCTCATCGCGGAGAGCGGGTGACAAGGGTTCTTCTGGTGTTGCGATGCCATGGGAGACGACGTTGAGCTTATCAAGATGAATAACGACCATGGTAAGAATAGTGATGCGTTCTTGCTCATCGATGTGGCGGAAAATGCGAGGGATGGCTTTCTTGCCTTTAGCGTGGGATAGAATGGCGATGAACGGATGTGGCGTTAGAGGACTGTAGGGTAAGTAAAAGGATTTTCAGGACGACATAATTGAGACTCACTTTGGATTGATTGGCTCCATGATCTTGATGTCATCCCAAAGCTTCTTGTGCAAGGTCTCAATCTTCGTCCGCCATTCCATATGCCTTTGAATGGCTTCCGGGTCGCTGTCTTGATTGATTGGGGCTGGCAAGGTTCGTTCATGGTCTTCCATGTGCATCAGGGTCATGTACACATTCTCGATGTTTCGTAGTGTCTCTGTTCGATCCGCAACAGACACCTTGTGTGGCTTGCTAGGCTGCTTGTCAGTTGACTCAGGCCTCTTCATACTCAACAACGGCCTAGGAGTCTTCGAATTGCTGAATGATATCTTTCCGAGGCTACCTTCGATGGTAAGCTGTTTTGCCTTGGGTTTGGCCTTGGCTGCTTCAACGGCTCGCTGGACTTGTTGCTCCATACGCTGCATGTGATTGTCTGCACCTCGTCCGTGTCTACGGCCAGGGCCGTATCTACCGTTCGTCTGGAAGAGATACGTCTGAGCAAATTGGCTGGCTGGTTGGTGGGGCGTCTGTCGTAGAGCGCCACGAATCTGGCTGAACACCTGATAATAGAAGTCTTCCGCGATTGCCGCCTCCGGTGTTTGCTCATTAAGATTGCCAGTCGCGGTCATCAACTGTTGTAATTGGATTCGGGTAATGAAATTCTTATCTTGTGGGGTCATTAGGCCGTTGTCCTTTGACAACAAGGCGATTTTGTGGTTGCGCTTGGCGCGTTTGGCATCTTCTGCGAGGAATGCTTCACGTTCCTCTTTTGAAAGATGGAGCAGTTGTTCGGGATTTGTAACCACCATTGAGGGGTAGGAGGGTCCGCGACTGTGCCCGGGAGCGGGACCTCGAGAAGCCGGAGGCCCTGGTTGGGCCATGGGCTGGCCCTGTCCGGAAAGACGGCTCGGGTTCTGCAAAATCTGTCTAGGCTGAGAAGCCGGTCTCTGCGCAGTAGGCTGCGGTGGTGCATGTCTATGTTGTTGGATTGAAGGTTCATTTGGGGGAGGCCTCTGTCTTTGCAGAATAGTGGGATGATGAACGGGCGGGGCTTGGACGGAATGACCTGGCAGTTCGGCGTGTACTTGTTGATGCCTCGATCCGGACCTCTGATGAGGACCATGCTGCTGCGCATGTTGTGGTTGTTGAGGCTGCTGAGGCTGCTGCGGGCGTTGCAGGATCTGGGGCACGAATTGGCCTTGACCTGGAATTCCAGGGAAATGGGGTTGGCTATGGGGGACTTGCTGGTGAGGATGCACGGGAAGAGGTGGCGGCTGGGCCTGCTGAGGCTGGATCAGGACAGGAGCAGGCTCTTCGTGTTGCAAGGTCTGAGCACGTATCATGGCCTCGACCTCTTCCAGACTCATCATCTTTTTAGCTGGTTGCGGAGGCGGCGGTGCTTGGTTCTCGGGTTGCTTCGCGGGAACCGGGTGCTTGGGCTTGAGTCCCCAGATGTCTGCCCTTGCTTCCAGCTGTGGGATGTAGTTAGGGTCATGGTAGCTCTCGTAGCCGGTCCTAGCAGGCTTCGAGGGCTTCGGTGGAGGGGGCCTTTGTTGGTGGGACGGAGGCTGCTGCGTTTGATAGAGCATCTGCTCCTCCTGGAGAGTGTGGGCAATTTTGGAGGTTTGACCGGCGAAATCAAAGTCCTTTCCAACGCTCTGCTGGGAGGCGGGGCCTCCACCAAAGGTATCGTCATTGAAGGCGTCGTCGGTCTCGTCGAGGCCGTCACCTAGGCCGTCGTAGGTGTCCTCAAAGTCAATACTGTCAAGCAGGTTTAGCAGGTCATTTGCTCATGCCCTTGGCGCGACATACGCATCGTCATCTCCAGCAACACCCCCACCAAGGCCAGCAAAGGCGTCCGGAGTCTGACCAAAGCCGGGCGCACTAGCAGAGTGGCCTCGGTCGCGGGCCAGCATGGCGTCGAAGCCGAAGAACGACATGGGGGACAGCGCCTGGCGTAAGCTGTTGAGTGTTGGGTATAATCCGCGGTTGACGTGGGCGTCTTAGTGTTTCTGTGGGGACGGAGACCTCCCAAATAGGTGGCGTGGAAGCTGGGTGCAGGAAGTGAGAGAGCGAGCCTGTGACCGCACCGACATTTAGGGGAGAAAATCAGCAATAGCTGTGAATCAGCAATGCGACAGTGAGCGGGGTGAGGGCTGCCGTGCAAAAGATGGTCGTGGTCGTAGTAGTTGTTGGGGTGGGTGTTTCGTTCCGTTCGGATGTCTTTGGGGCTTGGCTTGCCGGAATTTGCCGTCCTCTTTCCACCCTCTCTCCGCCCGCCTCCTGTCCCCGGTCGCAGCCCTTGTGTGGCCGTCAATGAGCGCGAATCATCAGCCACAACCAAGGACAGCCGCTTTTCAGCACTTCTCCTATCCTTGGGTCTGCTGCTTCCACCACGCCACGCCTCTCTCCCTCACCGAACTTGCCCTCCCTTCTCCCAATGCGCATTCCGCGAGCGTCTTTCTACTTGCTTAAATACAACTGAGATCGCCTGTTCTTCAAGCCTCCCGCGCACTCGTTAGTCTTTCGCCCTCAGCATCCGACAACGTCGCCTCAAGAAATCAAATTCACCCCCGCGGCACTCGACCAACCGCCCGCATCCCCCAACAACCGACAAGGTGGAGGGCACCCTAGAGAAGTCTGAGAAGAACCACCGGTTCGAAGGGCAGCAGCAATACCACCAGCCTCGCGGCGACATGGCGGGCACCCAGCGGTACCTCCGCTACATCATCTTCGCACTCGTGGTATGAAGGTCACTCTGGGCTCCTGTCACGGATGATATTGACAGCTTCAGTGCCTTATTCTTCTCTTCTTCATCTCCTCGTCTTCCTCGGTGGGCTCAACAGCTTGGCCAGGATACAATCCCCCAGCTGAGGGCGAGAAGTCCAAGAGCCCCCCAACCACTCCAATCGATGTACCAACGCTCCCTCCGGCCACCAAGTCCGGTGATCGCATGAATGCTACCTTTGTCACTCTCGCCCGTAATTCTGACATTTGGGAAATTGCCAAGTCCATCCGCCAGGTTGAGGACCGGTTCAACCGCCGGTTCAACTACGACTGGGTCTTCCTTAATGATGACGAGTTCAACGACGAGTTCAAGAAAGTCACGACGGCATTGGTCTCTGGCAAAACTAAATACGGCAAGATCCCTGTGGAGCATTGGTCGTTCCCGGAGTTCATCGACCAAGACCGCGCCGCCAAGGTTCGCGAGGAAATGAAAGAAAAGAAGATCATTTACGGCGATTCGATTAGCTATCGGCATATGTGTCGCTATGAGTCCGGATTCTTCTTCCGTCACCCCCTTATGCTAGATTATGAGTGGTACTGGCGTGTAGAGCCCAGCGTCGAGCTGTACTGCGACATCAACTACGACACCTTCAAGTACATGGCCGACAACAAGAAGAAATACAGCTTCACGCTCAGTTTGTATGAATACGTGGAGACGATCCCTACACTCTGGGATGCCGTAAAGAATTTCACAGCAACTTTCCCACAGCATGTTGCGTCTGGGAATTCGATGAAATTCCTTAGCGACGACGACGGCAAGACTTACAACCACTGCCACTTTGTATGTATTTCCAACACCATTGGGCTAGTTCACGATCCCTTTATCGTGCCTGCTCTTTCCGTTTGTGAGGGTTAGCACGCTAACTTCATTTAGTGGTCCAACTTCGAAATTGGCAACCTTAACTGGCTTCGCTCACCAGCCTACATCGACTACTTCACTTCGTTGGACCATGCCGGAGGCTTCTTCTACGAGCGCTGGGGCGATGCACCCGTGCATTCGATTGCCGCCGCCCTCATGCTCCAGAAGGAGGAAATCCATTTCTTCAATGACATCGCCTACTACCACGTCCCATTCACGCATTGTCCGACAGGCGAACAGTATCGCTTAGACCACAAATGTCACTGCAATCCAAAGGATAACTTTGACTGGAATGGATATTCTTGTAGGTCTATATGCACTATTCTCTCATAACTTATTTGCCCCGCGGAACTAGTTCCTGCAAGGCCAAGTTGTGTTCCACAAAGATTTAAGGATGTGAGCTGACAAGTTGTGTGATCCAGGCACTTCTCGATTCTTTGAACTCAACAGCATTCCAAAACCAGAGGGGTATGAAAAGGAGCAATAAATTACAATCACCTTCTAATTTGCCCAAAACCCCTTGCCTTTCCTTCTCCAACTTCCATCTCCATCTCCATCTCCAACCCAACACTATTCACAACACGTCACTCTACTCGCTCTACTTGCTCGCACAATTCCAACACTATCTGACGTTTGCTCTCGACATAAGTGCTCCCTTATCCACTGGTCAATGGGTCTGGTGGATCATGCGTCCGATTCTCATCCTCCTCGTTTTTACGGCCGCGTTGGGGATTTACTTGGGTAGGAGGAGGAGTGTGGGGTATGATTGAACAATGAAAACGACGACCTTTGCTTCTTCTTTGCCTAGGTGTGAAACACTTTTAGAGGTGTGCTTGTGGTGGGCTGTCTGTATGCGATGGAAGGCAGGGAGGGGCATTGTGGGTTTGTATTGCATACTATACTTCATCTTATTCCAGCGGGATAGATGAGACTGGGTGGGATGGTCTTGGATAGGCGGGGAGGGTGTTTTGGCGTCAATGACTTCTTTTCTAACCGTCTTTTGCGTTTGTTGGGATGACGGGGTGTTGGACTTGGTCCTGCAATGGCTGCAGCAATCTCTACGGTTGGCAAGTCCTGGGGCGTTCTATTCACTGTATATTCTTATCGCACGCAGTAGTAGTGAAGGTAGGATTCACCTGAGCATGAGAATAAATTAAGAGGAATTAACCATCTATGAGTATGCTCACTCAAAGCAAGTACTGCATTTTGAAGATCATTAGGTTCTTGAGGTAGAAATAGCATCTACAGGTGGTGAAGAGTGGCATGGTGCTATATAATACCAGTGATAAAGAAGGTTTGGTGGGCACCCCAGGGAATGACGGCTCCAAAACCCTGGCGTACTTGTTATCCAGATAGGCTTTACCAGGCCATGCGTCGGATATCAGTGAAAGTGCTTCAATCTAGTGACCCAGAGTAATTTGGCATTTGATGTGCTGAGATGCATGCAGGGTCTTCTCCCGCAGTCCTCGGCCGCATCATCTCCTACCAAGAGTTGGGTATATCTGTGTAGAAGTCCAAGAGCAAGAAACCTTCCTCTTCTCAGTATATATCTGTAATACTTGCGGAACATGCTTCTCTGGCTGCCAATATCAAGTGATTGGCCATTGTTTATAGCCTTATCCGTAGGTGACAGACTCTAGGAGCCTGTATAATAAAGTAAGAAGGTACCAAGTATCGGACTCCGTAGTAGAGCTGGTGGATGGCAGATTCGGGGTATTCGATTATTTTCCTCCCCAGTGTATGTGGGGACCACTTTAGAAATATGTGGCCCAAAATTCTCTTAGCTCATATGACTAGCAAGATATGAAGCCAGAGGAAGTGATAGACGAGCATAAGGAAGTATGGCAACATTACTAACCAGCCCGGCCATACCAAGTGCAAGGTTGGCTCTTATCGTGTGCTGCAAAGGTCGACTCCCGTCCCTTGTACTCACAACCCAACAAGCCGATCGGGATTTGACTTTGGAAGCCATGCGGACATGAGATGCAAAGGCTCTCCGAATCGATCAGCTTTGTCCACGAAGTTGGATAGTTGGCGAGCCTTACAAATCGGTGTGATTTAGTTCCTGTCGATGCATGAAGGTGAGGTGCAGAGCCTCGTCAAACGTTAGAGGTGTTCACCAGTTAAATCTCAGGATAAAGTTTTGAATCAGGGTTGACCAATCGGGTATTGGCTCGTGTTTACGATTTGGAAAACTTGTTCTTCCTAAGGCTGCTGGACAACTACTGTCAGTTCAGATCAACTTCCCAGAAGCACCGCGTGCATACTCACCTAGCCCGACGCTTTCAGGCTACCAGACTTGCATCAAGGATCCGTATAGCGTAATCCGGCTGAAGCCAATAATGCATGTGCGAAATGTCGGGATATTATGCAGATGCCTTCGGCTTTCAAATCGTCTAGCACCGTGTACCCTTGGTAATTTGACGCTCTTACTGGAGAAGCGGAAATTACAAGGTGAATATACGGAGTATGGAAATGATCACAGAAGAGATAAGAGATATGACAAATAAGCAGTTTGGGGACTCTGGGGGGGCAGAAAGACCTGTGGAGAGGACACGACTGGTAAGGTTAAGGTTGGCAAAACGCCACGTAGAAAGCTACCAGGGTGACGCAGGGCCATCTGTATCTGGACCTCCCATCGATATTCTCCCTCAAGAAGCGTGTGATATCAGCACAGTTCTTCCAGCCCCACATACGCTAAACGTGCTGAGAGGGAGCTGACCCCGAAGGCTTGAGGTTGATAGAAAGATGGTAGCTGCACTGGTGATAGCAAGAATGATGCTCAACTGAATCACTTTGCTAATCTATCCACCGGTAGGAATAATCAGATCAACGTTCGGAGAGCTTTGACAAGAGTCCCTATGATAAATAAGACGGGCACATTGTATTCTCAAAGTAGTGGGGATTGTAGGAACATTCGGGATGGCTGAAACCGATAGTTGCGGTGAGGGACGAGGAACATTCGATGGCATATTAACAATAAGGCGGGGAGGAGTAAATATGGCGCGGTTCCTGGCAGTATTGAAGGCGTCATGGAGTAAGAAGATGGTGCAATAGCGGTTGTACTCCAGAGTCTAATCCTGAAACAGACTAGTGATCTTTCCTCGTCCGCCTCGCCCCTTCTCATAACCCAACGTCCACTGATGCTTCCATAGATCCAAGACAAAAAAACGTTTCCATTTGGAGCCATTGGGCGATACCCGGAACGATTTGCGTCCGGAAGATTGCAATATGTGGGCTCCAGAGCACTGTATTTTGTCACTATCAAAGCTGTGCCCTTTACGCGTAACTATCCAACTAGCCCAAACGGAAGAATGCGCGTTAAATGTGAGATCAAGAACCTCGGATACCAACGAGAGTGCAGAGTCCGGACTCGGAGGTCTATCCTGGATGGCTCGAAATCGCCTGCAGCGTAAGTGCATGCAGGCTCGTACAGAACTTGGGGTATCCAGCATTCGATTACCGGATATGTTCTTGTGCCTTCTGTCATTCCATATGTAACCTTTCAATATGCACCTAAGACTCTGCTTTCTGTATACCTTCTATTTGTATTAGAGGCCCACAAGAGGTATTTTCTACCCATGGTCCTCCACATATGGATAATCACAGACCTTCTCGATCTGTCATCGTGTGCCCGGAGCTCGCAAAAAGCATTAGCGCATATGGAGTGGGGATTGTGTTCCCTTGTCTGTGCTCGAGAAATTGTGTGCGATTACGCAAGCACTTACGGCGACTAGGCATAAACTGAGTATAAGAATCTTTCCTCCTCTCCCATGAGTCCTTTTTTCTCTTCGCCCTAGGAGAGCACTTGGTATTAGTTCCTGGTTCACTCAATCTAAACACATCTATCCTCTTCTCCAGGCATTACTTTACGTCTTGCCACTCAAACACCCACCCAATCACTCGACTCTCCGTTCCATTTACTCTTTACACAGTTTGAGCTATCTGCTAAATCCGACATGGCTCCCGGTCTTATTGAGCAAGCTTCTCACACCCTATCAACGGGGAAATCTTACCCCAAGTCTAAGAATGCTCCTGTCAAATATATGCCTGGTCGCACCATCGTCGAGTCACATAATGAGACATACGAATTTGAGTACCTCCAGCCTCGCTTCCCGGATGTCCACTGGCCTGCTCTGACAGAGATACCCTACTATGACAAGGGCCTTGACGGTGATCCAGAATTTAAAAATCTTCTAAGCTCAGCGACGGATGTCTTTGACTACAACCCAAAAATCGGCACGGAAATCCACGGTCTTGACCTTGCCAACCTCACCGATGCTCAGAAGAATGACCTTGCCCGCTTGATTGCGACACGTGGGGTTGTATTCTTCCGTGATCAGAAGAACTTCGACATCAACGCCCAGCGTGAGCTTGGGAGATACTTCGGAACCCTTCATAAACATGCGACTACCTCTACACCTAAGCAAGAAGGTCTTGAGGATGTACATGTTGTATTCGCTGGCGAGAACTCCCCTGACCTTCGAGCTCTGTTCACACCCAGCTTCCTGTGGCACTCGGATGTAAGTTTCTCATCAATCTATCATTACCTACCACCAAAATTCAACGATGAGGGCCCAGTGTGCGAAGTCTGATGTCAGACTTTGCAAGAGCACTAGCAAGAGGCATACTTCTGTCTATTTCAGCCCCTGATTTGCCCCCACATATGTCCTAACCGGCAAAGTCTACAACCAGGCTAACCTGCTTAGGTGACGTATGAGATTCAGCCGCCATCGTACACTTCGCTCAAGGTCCTCACTGGCCCACCACAAGGCGGAGGAGGCGATACTCTCTGGTCTTCTCAATATGCCGCTTACGACCAACTCTCCCAACCAATGCAGAAGTATCTTGAGGGCCTCAGTGCGCTTCATTCTGCTGAGATGCAAGCCGAGGGCTCTCGTAAGCTTGGTCGCACTGTTCGACGCGAGCCAGTTGTGACTGAGCATCCTCTGGTCCGCACGAATCCCGTCACCGGATGGAAGTCGCTTTTCTTCAACCCAGGTTTCGTGACGAAGATTGTCGGGGTGCCGAAGACTGAGAGTGTATGTTCTCCCACGACTTGAACTGGTTACACATAGGCAGATTGAAGGAGGTTACTGATCGTTGAGTAGGATCACATCATCTCGTACCTTAACGAAGTTGTTTCCACATCTCCAGAGCTGCATGTGAGGTTTCAATGGAACAAAGGTGACGTTGCGTTTTGGGACAACCGTGTCAGCGTAAGTAACACCCAGTGTTGACGTGATCAGCGAACTAACTGTTCTTAAGAATCACTCGGCTTCTTACGGGTTTGCACCACATCGCCGACATGCTGTTCGTGTATGCTGTCAAGCGGAACGTCCCTACCTAGATCCGAACAGCAAGTCTCAGGAGGAGGATCTCCATGAGCGCTATGGGATTCCCAAGGCGAATAAGGACGGCTCGGGCATCGTAAACTACAACGACTAGACTAGCCTTCAGTCTCATGGCTTATCACTCAAATCTTGCTGTCTTTGGAAGCTAGTATCCCCCGAAAGGGCCCATAGAGGTATCTTATCGGCCTGTTATCTTGAGTTCTAGCGAATGTTTTCAACCTCACACAAGTGAAGGTGAATACCCCTTACCTTCAATGTATCTCACACTACGGCATGTGGGTGATATGGGAGGCACTTACAAGCTTTAGAAATGATCAAAGTCCAACAAGATGGTTGATGCAAATATTTTCGCATGAGGCTAGCGCTGCCCGCATTCACGTGACCGTTTCCGGACTTCTAATTTTGGTTGGCACAATTCATCTCAACACTCACAACGTCATCTTGAGGCTGGTACTGAACCGCACAAACTAACCACCACAGCCTTATCAAGCATGCTGACTACGATATGGAGCTCGACCTCTCTGATCCAGAACCATCAGTGCTAGAGTATGCTCGTTTCCATGGCTTGTGCACCTATTTCTCACAGGAGCAACCTTGCCCCAGTGGCCTTCACATCCCGTCTAACGACCATCTGAATTCAGATCTCCAACAATCCGATTCTGAGAAAGCTTCACTAACCTCTCTCGCTAACCAGGCTAATAGCCTAACAAAAGAACGACTAACTGTCAGTAGGGATGTGGCGTTTCTGCTCAAGTTCGTCCACTCTCTGCAAGAGTCGCTTAACGAGGCAGAACTGTATCCAGACCCCATTAAACGGATATCTCCTTTGAAGCAAGAAGTTCCGATTCCTCTGTCTGATCCCGAGCTTGACCTTCAGAACTTTGGGAGCATGGACCTACCGGATCTCGGGAACTTAAAGATACCCTTCGAGAGGGCTAGCACTAAAAAGGACGAAGGACTTGAATGGCCAGCGAATTATTACGACTACCCCATAAAATATCTCAAGCAAGTTAAGTTTGAGAAGCTTACTCTTTCGAAGCAAGACCTTATTTTTCTTCATACTACGGTTCAAGACACTTACACATGCCGAGACTCCGAAAAGATAGAAGCCGAGAGTATAAAGTATACACGAGTATGAGATATCGCAACGCGAAGAATTCTCCTATTAATTAATGCAGAATCCGGCCTTGCAACCATTGACGCCACCACTACTACCGATATCCCCTCAAATAACACCATATGTTCCGTCTTCTCCAGCGAATCATCTAGAACTACTCTCCGAGAGTTCTAATTCGGGTGCTGCCGAACTGGAAGCTCTTGATGAGCATATCGTTAGAGAAGACGCGCTAGTCCCACCGTCGGGCTCTGGAAGATCAGAAGGTAGTGATCAGATGTTACTCGAATTTATCCAGGAGCTGGATTCAGATTCGCTCCAAGGAGCTCCCGAACCGGAGCCCTCGCCGATCTTGAAGCGCAAGATACAAGATCTAAAAGTTGAAGGCCCACTAACGCCTCCGATATTCCACGATTCCCAAGCAAAGAAAATTAAATCAGTGTCATTTCCTGAGATGCTTCACGAGTATATTCCTGATCTTTCTAATTTTGAATCAGGCGACGACATACTCAACTCGCAAGAAAGTTTCAGCGACTTTTACAAGGAGATTGTACCTGTGGTTGAAGAAGTAAACAAGAATATTGAAAACGAGAAGCTTTCTGAGGTCGACACTACCAGGCGAGTCGACGTCCCAGATCTCGACTTCTCACTTCCAACTTTGCCGTGGGAAAAGTATGGACACAAAAAGCGTGGCAAGCATCCGGTGGGTGAGACTGAATTAGATGCCCAGACAAAGTTCATTCTTCAAGTCAAGCGGAATGACCTGAGATTAGTGTCCTCCTGGCATGGGCTCGCCAAACTGGAGAGGGATCTGCACTGGAGCCCGTTCCCGACCCAACTCGGCGTTATCACGATCAACGAGAAGCTTCAAGATGATGGGATACTAGGGGAGCTTCTCGCAGAGCTGAGCACTAGCGACATTGCTACTAGTTCAACCGACATATGGAAGAGAGATCAGTTACGCTTCTTTGATGACGAAGAGGATCGTGAGGACGAACTAGAAGTAGTAGAGCTTCAAGAGGGAGAAGGCGTGGAATCGTTCATCAGGAAGAAGAGACTCGAGATCGAAGATGATGATATCAATAATCCGCCTGGAGGTCGGGAGACGAAGGGTACCACTCTTGGTACCCTTATTCGCAATGTACCGCACAAAGAGTTTGAGGATCAGTGCCATAGGGACGACTTCTCGGCAGTTCAACGTGGACTGCTGCCACCTCCAGGGCATCAACAAGCACCGATGGAACTGGATGGCGGCCTCATGTTTGGGGGAATGTTCTCTGCCTCCGTGGCGCTACACAAGTTTATGAAGCTTCACGGCAGGACTGCAAGGACCGGTGTAGGCGACGAATCCATTGCAGTTGAAATCAATATCCCGGTTCAGCGTTCCGGTGATCGTCCTACAAGCCTGTCTCATGAAGGTCTCCAGGGCGTGGTGCTTACAACAGCTTCACGGGAGGTTCAAGATAGCTGTAGTCCGCCGAGACCGACCGCATTAATGCTTCCTCCAACCCCTACCAACCTGCAGCCATGCTCATTCATCATCTCGTCGACGCTGCTGCAACAGAGGACCCTTACAAGGCAAGTGGAGAAAATATACAAAGATGCAGAGCTCATGGAGCGCGATTTCAGCCTCCTACATTCGCCCTCTCAAGAAGCCGACTTACTATTGTCACCATCGACCGGCTTGATTCTCACTTCTCTGCAGCAGATAAAGCAACGAGCACTCCCAGGACAACCGGATCGTTCCCCGATCAAAGAGCGTATCTCAAAGCTGCAATTACGGTATGAAAGACTGATCGTTCTCGTCAGCGAGGGAGTCAGCCAAGAGGTGGAAGAAGCTGGGTCGAGACGTTTGGCGGATGCTCGCGACCCGGAAGCATTAAAGGAGCTGGAGGTCTTCTCTTCCAAGATGGAGGCTGACGTGATGACGAAGTACATTGAAGGTGGAGAACTTGCCCTATCAAGAGCTATCGTGGGAGAGATGGCAGGGTGGGGTCTACCACATGGATCTGAGGATATCGGGGATGTGAAGTTGTTGCAAGAAGAAACACTGGTACGTTTCCTGAAGTCACAACTGAGTCCATTTCATATTTACGCAACCTGGTTCAGGAACATGACAGCTAATGGAAAGTAGTGGGAGCTCTTCCTCCGTCGCGCCGGTTTCAATCCCTTCGCGGCCCAAGTCATTCTGGCGTCTCTGAAAACGCCTTATGATCTTCAACTTCGGACGAGCTCGCCCCCTGCGTTTGCGTCGCCTTCTAAATCGCTCAGAATCTTTGGTCTCCCAGCTTTTATCCTCATGTCAGCGGAAGAGCGCGTCGAGCACTTTCAGGTTCTACTTGGAGGAGGTAGGATTTTGAATCGAGTTAGCACTGTCCTAGATCAGTCATGGCCGAGTGCAGTCAATGGATTTGCTGTGTGAGATGCAAGGTTTATGGTGTTGTCATTGTCATTGTTGGCCGCTGTGTGGATGTGGATGGAGGGACCACATGATCTGAGGAAGTTTTGTTCATATGTATGGAGTCGTCTCGAGAAGATAAGACTGATCAATGGAGGGCATGATATGTACCAATAAATTTATTTGCACCTGAAATGATGGGTGGCCAATCAACACGGCCTATGGCTTGGCGTCCCGCTAACCCCACACTTCGTAAAAGCCCACAGGAGCACGCAAGGAAGAGAGGGTGAAGTTGTGTTCAGCTCTCACACAATGGATTCTCAATTCTTTCTCGGGCAACTCCCAGCCGGTATGACCTCCATAAGAATTCCCAGACGCCTGTTACTGACCGTTCACCATAGAACTCCTTCTAATATGGCACATTCACCGAGTTCCCGTCATTCTCTCCGCTGTGTCGTTAGTCGCCATCGTCCGCTTTGCCATGTACCTTCATGGACGACGAGGAAAGATCTCAGTGTCACCAACCCCTAGATCACCAACTGAGAAGGCTGTTGTTGAGCTGAAGTCCGAATGGCTCCCGGAGAATACCTTGCTTGATCCGTTGGCAATCAACAAGGACAGTCATCCGGAGGAAGCGACAAGTGCAATTGTATCTACTGTAAAGGCTAAGAAGGGTCCAAAGAAAGTCAAAGGCAAGAAATTGCCAAACAAGCTGGCCAAAGCAACCTCAACCTTCAACCACAAGACCGACAAGATCCAGCCTCTAATCTTCTTTCAATCCCTTGCTGGGACTTCTGAGAGGTACACCTCCCAAACAGCCAAGGCTATCGGTTCCTGGATATCTAGCCTCGTGGACTGTGATGACTCCGCGCCAATTCTCGAACCTCAAGTTCATGACGTGTCATATATCGAATATGACGACTATTTCGTCAGTGCACCGAAAACAGAGCCAAACACTCGACACTTCTACCTTATCCTCATACCGACCTACAACATTGATACTGTGCTCAGTACATTCCTCCAGAACCTCCAAGAGACTCACAACGACTTTCGAATTGATACTGCGCCATTGGCTGAGCTGTTGGGGTACTCAGTGTTTGGGTTTGGCGACAAAGAGGGGTGGCCGACAGAGGAAGAAGGCTTCTGTAGCCAAGCCAAGGAGGTTGATAAATGGATGGCAAGGCTGACCGGGAGGAAGAGAGCATGGCCTCTTGGTATGGGTGATGTTACAGGAGACGTTGAAGCACGGCTTGGAGAATGGATCCATGGTATCCAGGAAGCACTAGTAGATATTGCTCAAGGCAGAGGGTTGGGGGAGGGCGTTCCTGGAAGTGGCAATCCAGCGGAAAGCGGCGACGAAGATAACGACATCTTGGGTGACAGCGACGTCGAGAAATTTCAAACTCGCCGCATCAAAGCAAAGATGTCTGCCCGGCTCGATGACGTCGAAGACCTCGGCTCAGTGGTCAACATTTCCACCTCCACACCCGACGTCCCTATACCTATCGACTTTACAACCTACAAACCCAAACCCACGCCTAACCCAGTCCAAGCCCCCAAAGAAATGGTCCCCATCACTTCCCCTACCTACAACGCCCTCACAAAACAAGGCTACACGATAATCGGCTCTCATTCCGGTGTGAAAATCTGTCGATGGACAAAATCGGCACTGCGCGGACGGGGCTCTTGCTACAAATATTCCTTCTATGGGATCCAATCGCACCTATGCATGGAAGCCACGCCATCCCTCTCCTGTTCCAACAAATGTGTCTTCTGCTGGCGCCACGGCACAAACCCTGTCGGTACAACATGGCGCTGGATCACCGACTCCCCAGATGTGATCTTCACCGGTATCACCGCTGCCCACTACCAGAAAATCCGGATGCTGAAAGGCGTGCCCGGGGTACGCGCTGAGCGCTTCGCCGAAGCGATGTGCATCCGACATTGCGCCCTCTCTCTCGTTGGCGAACCCATCTTCTACCCACACATCAACGATCTGATAACTATCCTGCATTCCCACCACATCTCCACCTTCCTCGTCTGTAACGCCCAACACCCCGCCCAACTCGCAGCTCTGGTACCTGTGACCCAACTATACGTCTCCATCGACGCAAGCAACAAAGCCTCCCTCCGCGCCATCGATCGGCCCCTCCACCGCGACTTCTGGGAACGGTTTTGTGCTTGTCTAGATATTCTCCGCGTCCGGAGATTTGAGCAACGTACTGTATTTCGGCTCACCCTCGTCAAGGGATTCAACATGGCGGATGAGGTGAAGGGCTATGCAGATCTTATCCAGCGCGCATTGCCTGGGTTTGTAGAAGTCAAGGGGGTCACATATTGTGGGACCAGCGCTGCTGGATCTGTGGGGCTGACGATGCAAAATGTGCCGTTTTACTCTGAGGTGTCTGAATTCGTGGCCGCTCTCGTTGAAGAATTAGTCTCCCGGGACCTTGGATATGGTATTGCAGCCGAGCACGCGCATTCTTGTTGTGTACTCTTGGCAGACGAAAGCAGGTTTAAACGACAGGGGCGGTGGGCGACGCGTATTGATTTCGAACGGTTTTTTGAGTTATATGAGGGGAGAGTGCGGGGGACGAGGATGGAGGACGGAGAGGTGGTGGGTTGGAGACCAGAGGATTATGTTGGTGAGGAGACGCCTGATTGGGCGCTTTGGGGGAATGGTGGGTTTGACCCAAGGGATGTTAGGGTTTGGAGGAAAGGGAAGGGGCCGAAGAAGGAGAAGGAGATGGAGATGTAGGGGAATGTGTAGATAGGAGTGGAGGAGGGTGAGTTCTGGAGCGATGTGCATCTGTGAATAAATATATGATAATCTTCTAGATTCCCAGCAAAAATAGGTCGATAGGCAGATAAAGCTGTGGTGAAATAGATGCCAAGGTCGAGCGGATTGATGTATTTAGATAGTAGAATTCCAGTGCAGTTCCTCATTCAATGTTTGCGGTTACTAGCCATCTTGCAAGTCCGAACAGACATCTAGTTAAGTAGACTACACTACCCTTCAAGTTTCAAGTTTCAAGTATGGTGAATACAAGAAAGAATACGAACTAAAAGAAAAATTACATAAAATCTGCATTTTTTTTTAGAGAACTCCATCGTAAATGCAGAGTTAGAGAATGAATGAATGATTTACCGGAGACCGTAACCGCCATTCACGCCCTCGCTCCGCTACCCCTCCCAGTCCCCTCCGCTATCGTGACCGCGGTAATGCTATACCGATCCTGTTTCACACACACTAGACACTTGTGCAGAAGCCCGGCTGGGTGCTCCTTACTCTTCATCCGACTCGACTTCCGCAGTCTGCAAGCCCAATCGTCAGCTCAGGTCGCTGAAAACGGGACAGGTAAGGGTGGGTTCAACTAGGACTTACATCATCATGGAAATACTTCCCCTCCGTCGTCTCCTTAATATACCCCGTCCTAATGACAAAATCGCCGAACCTTTCCCCTTCATCGCGTTCTTTAGCATACCTCTTAATCAAGGGTCTCATAATGTCCAGAATCTCGTCCTCCTTAATCGAACTCCTATACAACTTATTCAATCTCTGTCCATGGTACCCACCTCCAAGGTACATATTATACGCGCCGAATGCCTTGCCAACGAACGCTACTTCGGCAAGCCACGGCCTTGCGCAACCATTGGGGCACCCTGTCATGCGCATGACGATGGAGTCTTGACGGAGTCCGCATTCTTCGAGTGTAGATTCAAGCTTGGTGATTAGTTCGGGGAGGTAGCGTTCTGATTCCGCCATTGCGAGACCGCAAGTAGGGAACGCGACGCAGGCGCTACTACTTAGTCTCATCCCCGAAAAATTCGTATTGTCGAGTTTGTATTTGCGGAGGAGGTCTTTGATTTGTGGTAGATCGGCGTCCGCAATGTTAGAGAGGATGAGATGTTGGTTGCCAGTGAGGCGGAATTCGCCCTTGCCAAGTTTGGCGACTTCGATGAGGCCGGATTTCATTGGGAAGTCAGCAGTGTCCTCAACGCGTCCATTTTCGATGAAGAAAGTGAAGTGATTGAAATCGTTTTCGTCCTTTTGCCACCCGAACGTGTCGATGTTGCTGGCGAATTTGAACGGCTTTGGCGAGGCGAATTGCGATCCCCAGAGTTCTTCAACTTTGCCGCGGAAGACGTCGACGCCCATGTCGTCCATGGTGTATTTTAGACGAGCGTGTTTCCGATTGTTGCGGTCGCCGTGGTCACGTTGGACGAGCATGATCTTCTCACATGCGATATGTACGACGGAGGCGGGCACGTAGCCAAGCATGCTGCCGGTTCGGGGGTATGTCTTCTTGTTGTTATGTGTTACGCCCATGCCACCTCCGGCGAGAACGTTAAACCCTTCGAGATGGCCATCGCTGCCTTTGATGGCGATGAGGCCGATGTCATGGGCGTAGACATCTGTATCGTTGTGTGGTGGAATGGCGATGGTGATCTTAAACTTTCGGGGGAGGTAGGTGGGGCCGTAGAGAGGTTCGTGATCGACCACAGCGTTTCCAGCGACTTGCCTCTTTTTCTTGGTCTCATCATCTTCAAGCCAGATCTCGTGATAGGCGGTGGTGGATGGGAGGAGGTGATCGCTGACCTTCTTAGAGATGGCATAGACTTCAGAATGATATTGCGAATGTTGTGGTAAAGAGCTACACATAACATTACGGTTGACGTCGCCACAAGCTGCAATAGTCGTCATGAGTGCTTTATTGATGGCTTGCATTGCAGGCTTAAGCTTGCCCTTGACGACGCCATGGAACTGGAAGGTCTGCCGGGTAGTGAGCTTCATGGTCTCGTTGCCCAGCTTTGTGCTAATTTCGTCCATCTGCAGCCATTGATGAGGGGTAGCAACACCTCCAGGTAGCCTGCATCGAATCATGAAAGAATACGCTGGCTCAAGACCTTGAGCTTTCCTCTCATCGCGGAGATCCCGATCATCCTGCATGTACGTGCCATGGAACTTGGTGAGCTGTTGATCGCTGGCAGAAATCGCACCTGTACTTGTGTCCGCCAATCCTTCCTCAATGGTTCCTCGCAAATAGTTAGAGGCAATCTTGATATCTTCGTTTGTGATTGGTGGTGGCTCATCTGGAAGGCCTTCGACCTTGTCTACGCCGAGAGCTTGCCACAATTTCGGCTCCCACTCAACATAACCAGTCTGATACGCGTCCGGATCCTGGTCGTCTCCAAGTCCGCAATCAGTCAGGGGCTTACCACCGAGAGTAAGGAGTCGGTTGTGCAGGTCTTTGCCGGGCTTGTTGTAATATATCTTGTCCTCTTTACGCGGCCAGTAATGGCTGTCTCCGAGAGCGAACACTGCGAAGTTCACAGTGGCGAGGTCGAGATCTGTCGAGTCCCTGACCGCCTCCCAGAATGTTCTACCATTCTGGGGAAACTCTCCTTGACCGGCGGTACTCGTGACCAGGACAATGTTCTGCTCATTTGAAAAGTCCTCGAGTGGATAGTCATCCATGGCCATGCACATCGTCTTCAAGCCTCGAGCTTTACCACGATTTGCCATTCTCCTGGCAAGGCTCTCCGCATTGCCATTATCAGATGCAAACAAGACCGTCATTGGGTCTCCAGCAAGACCCTCGAGAAGCTTGCCATAAGCATCCTTTGCCTTCCTCTTCTGCAGCTGCCTAACCTCGGTGCCGTATGAAGCAGAAAGATTTGCGGAGAACTCTGGATGCCTCTTCATGAGTTGCGACATGTAGTTGTCCCGTTGGAGGAACTCTTCCAACTCTTTCTTGATCCTCTCGGAATCTAGTCGGAAGTTTGGCTCGCCCTTCTCATCGCCACGCGGATCCCACCTGTAAAGTGGCCAGTACCCAAGATCAACTGCCTTCTTCGTCTCCTGGAGAATCGTCAAAGGAGAATCATTCTCCTTCTCGTATGGCAGATAGGCAAGAACCACTGACGGACCATTGAATTTGTCTGCTTCGATCATGGCCTCCAAAACCTGGGTATACGAGCTGTAGACGGCGACTGAGGCAACATATGCGTTGCCAAAGTTCATGGCATACAGACCAATATCCTTCTTCCGTCTAGCGGCATCAGCGGCCACGTGCTCTGAATACGGTTGTGAATCAATAATGAGCATGTTGACATTCTCCCCAGAAGCAAGCACATGGTGAACACCAGAGTTCCCGAGGTCGTATGCCCATGCATCTGATCCAACCAGCCATGGGGACTCTCGGAAAAAGAGCCCCCTGGAAGAAAGCAATTTGCTAGCTGCGGGGGAGCCATCGGTGCCTAACCGAGCGATGACTTCGGGAGCTAATTCGTTTGCTTTGTCCCCATTCTCCGCATCCAGTGCCCACTTCGCGAGCCATTGGAGAGGAGCCTTGGTGACGAAGTCGTTGCTCTTGGATGCCGCTCGAACCTCCTCGATAAAACGCGACCGATGTTCTTTCCGAGCGAGTAGGGATCCAAAGCCATACTCGGGGGTTGATGAGATTTCATTCGATATGCCGGCATTCTTTGCGCCCAACTGATTCGCGACATGAAGCTTCTCACCAAACACCTGGTTTAGAATCTTCATATATGCATTTTCCAGCGCAGGCTGCTCAAGCTTCACTTTCTGGTCTCTCGTCTTGGGTCCATCGAGATTTCCAATCTGCAAGTTCTGCACCGGTGCCTCGCTTAGAAGGTTTTGGAAAACCCCGCGTAGTGCCTGCTGTACGGTTTTCTCGTTGATGTAACCCAATTGATAGCCGACAATCATGGGAGAGTGCGGACCGCTTGATTTCAATGACATCAAGAGATCTAGCAGAAGAGGGCCCCACTTAGTAGTCTTCCGACGGACTTGTTCCAGAACGGCGATCCTCTTGATTGATTTGGGAAGCAAAGGCGCAAGGGAAGCACCTAGCCATGGTCGATATAATCTAGCTGTGAGGATTCCAACATTGCCATATTGCTCAGAACGGTCAGCGGCTGCATCGACTTCATCCGCGAAAATTGCGGTGTCGGCGCCAAACAAGAACAAAGCTGCCTCAGCATCCTGAGGCCCAGTATATTCGAATGCATCATAAGATCGCCCTGTGGCTTCCTTGAAGTTCGCCCAGATCTGGCAAGCGAAGCGGTAGATATCCTCCGAGGACACAGTCTTGGAGGCCAGGGACTCCACAGTCGTAGCCGAAGACAGCGACCTGCCACTGGTAGTGCTGCTCTCGCGCCTCGAGGAACCTGATGAGGATGCTCTCGCGCTCGTCCTGTCTGGTAATGATAGAGTCTTTCCATCGCCTGGTGGACGCACGGGCCCGGTGGGTGCTCCACTGGCCGTTGTTGCTTGGCTTCGCGCAACGGCTAGGGTTGCTACCCTCCCATCATCTGCGTACAGCGAAGTCTCCTCGGCCCTCGTACCCTGAAATGCCACCACAGCATCCAGATCCAGTATAGCCCGTGCCAGCTCGCGGTTCTCATACGGAATCTGCTTGCTCATAGCAATCGCGCCCGAATCAAAGAAATGTATGACTCCCTTCCCCGACTTGATAGCCAAGGCATGAGCGGTCAGTGCAATATCCTGCGTCTGCTGCAGCGTCTCGGACTGGAGGAATGTAAAGCCACATTGCCGAATCGACGTGATATCGGAGAAGTCCGGGAAGCCGAGGGGCTGGACCGAGACATGAATGACGACGGGATACTGAGCTAGTTTGTATAAATGTGGTATTGACTTTACGAGGATGGATGAAGTGGTCGTGACCGAAGTGAGCTTCCCCGCGCGGATAGGTTTGAAGACCGAGAGCAGCGGATCCGCATTATGTCGAATAGCGAGGATCTACACTTCGGTTAAAACCAATGCGCATTTCTGAGAGGGTATATGTGTGGGGAAGTACCTGGGGCTGCTCCTTTGCGACGAGACTCGGGGCATTGTTCTTCTGGAAAGAACGGAGAAATTCCGAAAACTCGCTGTCGGATGCGAGAGAGGGCTGGACAGACACGATCACATCGCTAGATAGGTATGCGATTCGCGCCACTGCAGGAACACCGAGTCAGCGAATTGCCATTGGTAAATGGTGCGCACATTTCTTTTGTGAGAACAGTTCGCCAGTGGAGGGCTGGGTGAGGGGCAAGTTGGGGGAGGGGGAACGCAGAGGAACATGGGGGGGTGGGGGAGGGGGGAGGCGTACCAGCCTCTCCAGCTGTCGAGATAGAGCCCATAGTTGCGGACTCGTGCAGAATGAGAAGTGTCAGTGGGGGAGAGAGTGGATAGAAGAAGGGTTAGTGGCCGGCATGTCTGTCATTTAGATATCGGCAGCGGTAACATTTTTTCTTTCGAGTTGTGATCAAATTCCACTCCGGTCTGGCGCCGAAAGGGATTAGGCCGATCGCGTCATTCTCAGCCTTCAGGGTCGGGCAGAAGACCGGCCAGAAGCCTGGCCAGTGAGCGAGGGCCATTATTCATCCAACCCTCTGTTCTCCAACTCCATAATGCCTCCAGCTGCATGTCCGCCTGCAGGCGTTCACTCAATATCGTACAGCATGCGTCTTTTATTTGTATTAGATCCTGGACGCAGGATCTGATTGTGCATGCTCCGCCTCTTGCTGAGCGGTTGGATTGGGACGCCACCCCTGTAGGGCAAGCAGGCACTTTCACCGAGAGCCGACTATCGATAACCGGAGCGTCGCCTCCACTTGTCCCCTCGCTCGGCTTCAAATCCCACCTGCATTATGAGGCCTCGTCGCGAGAATTCTAGGTAATTCCAAAAACTCCACATCCCCACCCCCCGCATATTTCTCTCCGTGGCCCTGCATCTCATGTCGAGTCTGCAGCTGCCACACCGCAATGACCCAACCTATTCTTGGAGAATCTAACAGCGACTTTGACCACAATGCCCCCGGCGAGCCCCTGGTCTCCGATGAAATCGCCTTGCCTTTTCCCATTTTGTGCGCAAGGATACATGAGCGCGTAACTGCCTTTTTGAAAGAGAAGAATGTCTCGTCAAGGGTCCAGAGCGTGCAGGAGCAGACGCGCATTTCGCTGGGCGTGATTGCAGAGGCATTGGAGCGGTTCAGGTACGCGATGATTGGAATATCTGAACACATCAGTCAGTAAGCTAAGAGGGATGCAATAGTCTGCCGGAGATCTCGCTCTCCTATAACGGCGGCAAAGACTGCCTCGTCCTCCTTATCCTCTACCTCTGCGCCCTGCACACTGCCGGCCTGACCCGCTCTACCCCAAACAACTTTGAGTCTAACCACCACGAGCCCATCCAGTGTGTCTACATCCAATCTGCGCATCCTTTCACAGAGGTGGAAGAATTTGTAGCATCGAGCGTGAAAACATACTCTCTTTCCCTGGTCGAATATGCCAAACCCATGAAAGCCGCATTCGCTGACTATCTGCACGACACTCCTTCAGTAAAAGCCATATTTGTAGGCACCAGGCGAACTGATCCGCATGGCGAGCATTTGAAGCATTTTGATCCGACCGACCATGGGTGGCCCAAGTTTATGCGCATACACCCTGTTATAGACTGGCATTATGTAGATATTTGGACGGTGAGTATATTGGCGCATCTATCTGAAGCATCGACTGTAGAGACTGATCGTTTGCAGTTCATCCGTCAGCTTAAAATACCCTACTGTGTTCTTTACGACCGTGGATACACCTCCCTAGGAGGTACAACGGACACTCATCCTAATCCCGCCCTCCTCTGCCAACCAACCACACCACACCTTCCGAAGACAAATAATTCGAATGGTGCAACGAATGGAACAATCAACGGGTCTAGTACGCCGAAGTTCCGACCAGCCTATGAGCTGATGGACGATTACGAGGAACGACTAGGCCGAGACAAATGAGGAAGCTTGCGATATCCTGTACATGTAGCAAGTTTAGACGGCCTAGAATGGTAAACAAAACCCATTGTCAACGCGCATATCGGCGTATTTGGAGTTTGATGATAGCACGTCTTTGGCGCTAGCATATTAGAAGGCTCGTAGACCTTTACTGAATGCCACTGACAGTTTTTACACTTTGCGTGAACGATAGAGCGCTCTGGCTAAATAGGTGTGCAAAGTGCTTTGAACACCAGAGTAACTGAAGCTTCTAAAGAGATGGCAAAGAATGCGGATTATGTGAGCTGGAATGGCATAACGGAATGAATATTAAGAGATTCCGTGCCTCTAATTCCCGGGTTGTTTGTTAGCTTTGCATCTATAGGTAGCCCCCTCGTTTCGTTGTGAGCTTTTCGTACCGTTTAACATAAAGTTTCATCGAAAGGTAGCAGGTTGGTATCTCAAATCAGTCGAATCATCTTCCGGGTAGGGTTTGCCGACCACCAAGCAAGTTTAGCCATCAGACCGATCGCAACTCGCTCGGCATACCGTCCTCGGTGTGTCCATCGAATTAGCATCACATTCAGTACGTCTTTTTCGTCTAACGCTTCCACAGAGACCGGAAAACATGGTAGGCCTGAAGATGTACGTATGCCTCCTGGCTCGGGCTTCGTCCTGGAGAGAAGAATGAATTCAAATCGGGCGCCGTGGACACCCCACGAGCAATTAGATATGTTGTCCATCAGGTGTCCAACTTTTTCTCCGTTTTCAGTGCAGATTATAGTTTGGATTTGGGTTGCGCTTGTCGTATCTTCCGGATTATATACCAAATCTCTGATATCAATTGGGTTCCGTGGGTTGACATTAAAGACATAGAATTTCTGGAGACGGAAGTCAACAACACTGACGGCTTCGGCGGAAAAGCAAAGTTCTGGTCCGGAAAAGCTGGGTTGGGAAGGAACGGGTTGCTGGTATGTTTTTTCTGGATATGTGATGATTTGATAGGGCACTCCGATCGATCTGCGAATTGAGTGGGCTTCGTCCCCGCGCTCAATTTGGAAGGAAGCAATCTCTGAAGTAAGTCGAGGTAGGTCCATCTGCGGCGCAGAATATACAACATTCTCTAGATTCTGCCGGCCAGATAAATGCTCCACCGGGCCCAACCAGCCTGCCCACGACCAGCTGGGGATGTAGTCCGCACATGACGAAGGGTCATACTTGGGACAAAGCCGTTTGAGAGGCTGAGTAGGTATCCATAGAAGGGCAAGGTCGAAAATTGCCTCGGGTAACCCGTATTGAAAGGTCCCCCCCCCTGATTCCTCCATCATTGCAGAAATACCTGCGAAAGCTCGCAATCTGTCTTCTTGTTGAGAAAGATGCCGCTGGGTATATCTCCGGACCACAATATCATAGCATCGAAAAAAATCAAGGCAGAAATAATCCAAGGCTGCCGCGGGTCGCGTGTCAAATTCAAGTAAGGGATTGATAATATGTCTTTTGGTATTGTGGACAGACTCACCATCTTCAGAACGAAGATTGGATCGGCATTGAAGATACACCTGCCAATCTGTGAAATATATACACCTGGTTGACAGCAGCCGTTCTTGGTAGGTCCAAGCCCTGGTCTCGTATGTGGATAAATCCATCGCTAGGTCGATGTCTGGTGCAAGTGGTCGAAGTTCTACACCCTTGCGCATCCGGACTAGCTGTAGGGCGTTCCGACTTCCAAGACTGATACCAGGTAGACGGCAGTCCGCGTTGTGACCTGACATGGCGACTATTGTGGCGAATGCATGACGGTATATTATATTCATCCGGGATATTTGAGGGTCGCGATGAACAGGGTCGTCTTGGACAATACATAAGGAATCTACCCAAAGATACCGAATGTTGAGCTGGTCTGTGAAGCACATTGCATCCTGAATAACTTGGGGAACGCGGTTGAAATGTTGGAGCAATGCCCCTGGCTTCTGCAGCGTTCTGACGTTGGACTTGGTGAGATGGAAAGAACTAACTCCACCCCATACATAGCTCAGAGCAAGGTACCGACAATCGGATCGTTTTTGGACGATTTGTCGACCAACGACATCGATGAGGAAGATGTCCAAGGTTTCAGCAATGGGTAGGCTGCAACCCTCGTGGTTGATTGCGCAGTCATGAAGCCATCCTTCAATCTGCTTCACATTGATGTGTGAAGGCTTTGAGATGGCTTTCTTCTTAGATATTGCTATCGACGAGGACGAGAGATAGTGAATCGGTGATCCGCCCTGTAACCGAGATACTTCAATGCTGCCAAGTCGACGTGTAATGTCACCGCAATAGACGATTAGGACATTGTATTCGACAGATAGTCGAACCTCGCTTTTGAGTAATGATTCTTGCCGAGTTGCGGCCCCAGTAAGCGTTTCAATGAAGTGTAGGACAAGATCGCAAAGAGCACATTGCTGCTCCTTTGGATTGAGAAAGTAAGTCGTGAAGTTCAATTGGCGGTCCGCTATCTTAACGAGTTCCACGTCGCGGCAAATGTTGCACAGTTCTGGTTGGAGAAACGTTGAAGGCTGGGGCGTGGAAGGCAGCAATGAATCATCCCGGTGTGGCGAAGTCGCCACGAAAACTTTCTGAGAAGACTTTGGAGCATCGCTCTTAATCCGCCTATGCAAAGCTAAGGACCGGAGCTTGCTGGAGGAAAAAGACATGGTGAGGAACGATGCAGAAGAGGCTTTAACGTGAAGGCTTGCGTGGACGTAGATAACAAATCGTTCAAAGGATCTTCAGAATAATTTGAGGCTGGTTGGCTTTAACAAGCGTTCATGGCTTAGTAGCCTGAGGCAGTGCCTTCATGCATGGATCGTATCAGGCTGGGGTTAGATGCGTGGCTGCTCTGGCTGAGTGAGGTACTTTTTGTGTTAGCTTTGTCCAGTTGGGACGATCCTCTCGAGTATTTTTGAGGCTTGGTCTCTTAGCTTGGGGTATCTTGGGTACGGGGTATGGTTGAGACTAGGCTTTCAGAGAGGTTGTGAAGCCTGAGATCTTTGATCTGGATTGGGCTTAGCGCCATTCCTGAAGGGAAACCGCGGTTCGTAGTACCAATCTTATCTCATAAATTTATCACTGCCTTTTTATTCTATTAAACGATATCCGCCATTATCTACGTTATCCAGCTCATGGCAAGTCGGAGGGTTGGTGCAGGATGAATGTATGTTGCACTCTTGACGCCACGGCGGCACAGCCACCGGAAACCGGGGGCCAAAAGTCGATGTCATGGCGCAGCCTCTGGAGGGCGTTTGCCAACCCTCTGTCAACAATCTGGTCCATGGATTGCGACATTAACCTACGAGCACAGGGTATGCTTTCGATCTCTGTGTTGTTGACACCGCCTGTCTCTTTGTACCTCAAGCTCAAGGATCGAGCTTGAGCTTCACTCACAATGTCTTTCGGAGTGTCCATTGGCGACTTCATCCGAGTGTGTGAGGTCGCGACTAGGTGAGATGGTTCCACGCTCATGTGATAGAATCAAATACTGACTCTAATATAGAGTGTATAAGAATTGTACGTTGCCACGCTGCGACTGCATCGTTCGAGCTAATCTTCTCCAAGGTCGCGACTGCCCTGGGGAATATAAGTCCCTGGCTAGCGAGGCGCGGAACCTCACGAATATCCTCCAAGACATAGCCGATAAAGTCGAGAGTAACAGCATTCCGGAAAGCAAGACACCCCAGCTATTCGACGCGTATGAATCCTGTGTGGAGGTACTTCAGGAGCTTGACAAGATACTGAATCATTACAATTCTCTGGACACGAGGACGAAACGAGCGTTTGACCGAGTTAAATATGATCCTGACAAGACTAAGAGCCTTCGCCAAAAGCTTACTGCAAATGTTGTCATGCTCAACGGTTTTTATAACTCGTTGATACACGACAATCAAGTCCTCATCCTTGAAGCTCTGGGGAGGCTAGAGAATGATTATAAAGGAGGCCATAGGGAGGAAAGCATAACTTCAGTGAGAAGGATTGTATCTGGAGAAGCGGACGGTGAAGATGAAGAAGACGAAGATGCCGCGTGGCCGCAGATCATTCGCGATCTAGAAGATGTCGGAATTTCCCCGCAAGATGCTATTGATTATCGAGACTTCATAATAGATTGGTTTGTGCGGGCGGTTAACGAAGGAAGGCTGATGGAAGAACAAGTACAACCAAGTTCGCCTCTGGAGCCCGTGGAAAGCCTTGCAACCTTGTCCGCCGATCTTGGGAATGCTCTTCCAATACCAACGAATCCTACGGCGAGAAGAATGCCCAGTTGGGAGACACCACGATTTCCACCGGCAATTCCGAGGAGGAAACCCGTTCCGAATTCGCTCTCACAACAGTCCATTCCCTTGCCAGCAATATCTCCTACTTCGACAGAGCCTGTTGAGAGGATGACATCTTTAACTCCTAGTCCACTCAAAACTAGTTATCCAAGCACCCCACCTACTACTCAAGGGGTTATTATTTTCTCCGAGGCATGTCCAATGGATCAGTCAACATCCCAAATATCATCTGGTACCCAATCTTCAAGCTCAACCGTCAATCAACGCCCAGCAACCCCTCCAATCATACATCAATCGCCACACGGCCACGCCCCTGCAGGCAGTGGGCACTCTCAGGATCCATGTCCTGTAGCTTCCAAGCCCAGTATTGTATCAGTGCCAGTCAATCCTCCGGCTCCACTCACTGTGCACCAAGCCCAAGTTGCACCAGTTCCTCGTATTCCATCATCGACGACACTGCCGATTCCACCGCCTTCTGCCATGCCATCTTATGTCATGCCACCTTCTACTATGCCATCTTCCACTATGCCATCTTTCACTATGCCATCTTTCACTATGCCACCTTCCACTATGCAAACTTCCACTGTGTCACCTTCCACTATGCCACCTTCTACCACGCCATCTTCTGCCATCCTACCATCTCGTCAATCACCCCCTTCCCAACCACCTCCTGTCGTACCCCCTCCTGCCCAACCCCCTCCTGCGTATAACCAGGCCGAGTCAACAGTAGATGGGAACCTCATTTGGACCGCACAGCGAATTGTCGCTGCTTGGAATGCCCGAGACTTTATTACGGCCGAGAAAGAACTCGAGAATCAACTCGCCGCGGTAGAGCGGGGAGTCACTATCAACATCCTTGGTCACGTTGTTCAACCTGACCGGCGAGTACTGAGGCATCTACTCGGGGTGTGCGCTTCATATTCAGGGAAATTCATCAAGTCTAAGCGACTTTTCGAAAGTGCGTTCAACGGGATCTACTTGAGTGGCGCAAACATCGACGATGGTGATATAGCCGCAGCTCGTTGGCTAGGTGACGTTTGCTTGCACTTGAATGAGCCACATAATACGGCACTAGCCTGGTCAGTGTGCCTGGATGGCTTGATCGGCCGGTATGGCATAGCACGAGACATAACTCGCCGTGTATATGACGAGTTGCGGCTCCTTGACTACCGAATCCAGGGTCTCCGGATGTTGGCAAATTCTTTCTCACGGTTCAACACGGATGCGTCAGATATTTTCATGAACACCCATACGGTTGAGAAATCCAAGCTTATCACATCTACACTCGAGCGTCTGAAGCAAATCTCGGCGACATCTGGACAAATTCACGGCTTAGCTGAAGGAAATCGGATGGTGACAAATCCGAGATCCTACAGGCCTCGTGCAGAATGGAAGATAGCCGAAGGGTTCCTGGTGCAGCCTCTGATATCCTTGAACTCATGGCCATTGCAGTGGGATGCTACTTTCTCGCCTGTCGACGCAATCAATTTACATCGGAGCATGACTGCCCCGATGAATAGTTTTATCGGTAACACGGGCTTTGCGTATGATGAATTACCATCTGTGGGGCTAATGCATTCAAAAGACCTTCATTATATCACCAAGAGAAACATCAAGTGGCTGGTTCAAGCCGTTGAAACCGGACTAAAAGAGATGGGTGTCGAGTACAAAGAAGAGTCAACGATGCTCATGTGTCGCCTAAATCAGCGGAGGGACAGCCTAGTTTTCTTTGAGGGAATCGCAATTAAGTTCAGAAAGCTCCCATTTAAGAGTATGTGGGGATTGAAAATAACGGAAGTTATGCTGGCAACAAGAGGAACACCGACGCAAGCAGATAATTTCCTGAGCATCCAAATCCAGAGAGGAACAGAAGGATTCCGAGACATTGTCAAAGCAATGCTAGAGAAAGCTGAGAATGACGAGAGGATGAAGGAGTTACAGGCAAAATTTGGATCAGGCTCCCAGGACACGAAACTGCCACCACCGCCATATATTGAACAACAGGGAGAAAAATTCTCCTATGGGTGAGCAGCGAAGTAACTTATAGAATCGAGTTCATCGGGCCTTCATGTTGGCTCTACTAGTGAGCCTTCTAGTCTTGTACTCCGGTGAACAGAGTCCCAGGCATAGCATATGACTCGAATGCTCCATTTGTGGCTTCTAGTCAAGTTAGGGGAGGCCTGTCTTTGCCATTCGATGCACGATTTGCTCTTCTCGATCGTTGCCAGAACTAGAAACCTCCGTTCTGTTTCCTGGAGTCGGGAAGCTTTGCGGCTCCTCTCGCTAAACACTCCACTGAGACGTAGGAATCTACGACAAGCTATCCGAGGACACTAATTCGGTGCCAGTAAGTGCGCATTTAGAGGAGGTTATTCAGCATGCGATTACATGCGAGGTCGATGCAACTAGATAATCGAGAGGAGATACGACGTGCGCTTGTTGACATAGCTTTTCAAAGTTCCCGGGATGCTGAAAGGCACGGGCCAACGTTCTCAGGTGGGGGATCCATGAACTCAGTTTTGATGTGCGACATTGGCTATGGCGAGCAAGGGTTCTCCTCTCTGCCTTTAGATCATCCTAATTCCTCAACGCCAAGTTGCACTGAAAATTCGCCAAATGGTAATGATAACTCTAGGCAAGGGGGAAGCGCTGAGGCATGCGGCCTCCTTGTCATGTGTAGCAATAGAGAAACACCGACGCCGCAACTGCACGCCACAGGGTGGGGAAGAATGAGCTTCTAGCTGTACCCTTCTCAATTTTCTCGATGTGATGGACAAATTCCAGAACCAAACGCATCCTTCCTGCTGCGGCACAGAAATGACATTTTCGGAAGAGCCGGACAAGACGGGATCTCAGATGAGATGGAGTCTCTTGGCAGAAGGCCGAAAAGTCGAAATTGGATGCTTTGACTCCGGGAGAGGAGATCAAAAATGTGATGGGCCTAGTCAGGTAGAGATTCTCGGCGTCAGCCCCGTCCTTGATTGCGATCCTCTCCTGTGAGAAATTCGTGTAATCGAGCGGATGATGCCAATGGGGATTTGCACGACTGGATGTCATTTGCCTCTTCGAATACTTGTCCTGCCGGTGTTCTACAGCAGGTTCTGATCATTATCTGCAAGTAATCGGTATGCGGAAGAAGCACAAGAAGAGGGGAAAGAAATTAAGGTCAGAGCAGGACCCGCACCTGTATTTAGGTTGTTTGGGGTTACGCCACAAGCGTCTGTGTTTAACGCCCCTTCGTCGCCAACGATGCCCTGGCGATCTCGTTTATGTTTCATGTTTCAAAATCCCGAGTTGTGGGCTCCATTGATTGGTTGGGGAGCCTTTAAGGCTGACTCCGCACGGAAAACGAAAGAGAAAATGACAGACGGGCGCGCACATCCCAAGATCGGTTCAAGGAACAATTTCCAAGATGGCGGTCTGTTCCTGGCAGCAATGTTTGCCGCACAGGGGTGGATCGACTCAGAACTCCGCAGTCTTTAAGGCCTGGACATCAAAACCTCACACTCCCCCTCCACTTCCCATCTCTCCTCACCTCTGAGCTGGTTCCTGTGCCTTCAACCTAACCTTTGTCTTTCTTTCCGGGTTCTACCCTCCTCACTCATTTGTCGCAAGTCGACTCAATTCATTCTTTTATAAACTTGCTCCACGAGTCCTAGCGACTTGATCCGTTCCTTTGCACTTCCTTTCGACTATCGGCGAAGTTTCAATCAATCAAAAGGATTTAAAGCATCACCATGAAGGCCCAATCCTTGTTTCTAGCCTTGGCCACCGTGCCCGCAGCTTTGGCGCACACAGTCTGGACTGACTTCTACGTTGATGGCGTTGCTCAAGTGCGGACGATCCTGCTGATGCTAAAACTAAGCTAACAACATTCCAGGGTGATGGTGTTGCGATGCGTATGAGGAAGGACCCAGCAAAGGCATCATTCCCTCTTGAAGATCTCTCTAGCAACGACATGGCATGCAGTATGTTCACACCTATGTATCGAGTTCATTGGACCAAGGACTGACTGATCTTCTAGATGTCGACGGCGAGACTGGAGTCTCACGAGTCCAGCCAGTCAGCGATGGATCCACGTTGACTTTCGAATTCCGATCCTGGCCTGATGACCCCAGCAAGGAGCGCCTTGATCGTGGTCACTACGGACCTTGCGCCGTCTACCTAAAGAAAGTTGACTCTGCTGTCGACGATCCAGGTATGCCTCTACCTCTCTTCCTAACCCCAGTTCTTCGTACTAATTGCATGATTAGGTCACGGTGATGGCTGGTTTAAGATCTGGGATGATGGTTACAACGCAGACACAAAGCAATGGTGCACCGACAAGATGATCGACAACAATGGCCTCATGTCCATTGTTCTTCCTTCTGGTCTAAAGGGCGGGTACTATCTCGCACGCCCTGAAATTCTGGCACTCCACAACGCTAACCAAGGGGACCCACAGGTGAGATTGTAGACTTTTCCTTCAGTGGTTAGATATTTACTGATGCATTTTCCTAGTTCTATGCTGGTTGTGCTCAAATTTTTGTTAAGAGCTCTGGAGATCTAGTTCCCGAAGAAACTGTCAGCATTCCTGGATATGTCAAGGCTGGGGAGGATAGCGTTAGCTGGAACATCTACACTGCCGATAACTCCAAGTATCCCATTCCTGGTCCCGCCGTCGCGAAGCTCTCCTCGAGCTCTACTGCTGCTGGTGCCAATGTGAAGGCGCAAACCACCCAAACCCAGGGTTTGAAGCCAGATACTTGCATCTGTGAGAATGCCAACTGGTGCGGAAAGGAAGTCCCCTCCTACTCCGATGAGGCTGGATGCTGGGCAGCGAATCAGAATTGCTGGGACCAAGGCAACACTTGCTACAGCACCTCACCGCCGACTGGTAACGCAGGTTGCAAGATCTGGGAATCTAAGTGTAAGGGTATCGAAGATGCTTGCAACGCCGGAAATTTCAATGGCCCACCAAACAAAGGCAAGGACCTTACGCCCAAGGCCGAGACCATCGATGTTGGACTCGTCATGCCCACCTCAGGAGTCACGGGAGGATCTCCGCCCAAGACCAGTGCTGCTGAGGCGCCAACTACCTCTGCCGCCGAAGTCAAGACCAGCCCCCCGGTTTACACATCTGCTACTGCCGCACCAAAGACCTCGGCAGCTCCCGTAGAAGAACCATCATCCACCGACGTCGGCAACTATAGCGCCGCCCCAACTGTCGCGGAGACTCCGAAGCCAAAGCCTATCTCCACCCCGGCTTCTGAGGCCACACCAGAACCTACCAAAGTGGTCTGCCCTCCTGGATACGAGTGTGTAACCATCACCACCACGATCGTCAAGACGGATATCGAATACGTAACCATGGACGTGTACGAGAAGAGAAGGCGGAGCATGCATGCCAGACGCCATGGGCACGCCTACTAGATGCGTGTGCGAAAGAGTGTTAGAGGTTTCTATTCTGCGATCTACATGAACAGCAAAGGGGGGAAGGGAATGTAGTATTCGCGAGCTATGCTAGCTCCTTCATTTCATTGCTCATTCGCAAACGACCCATTTTGCATCTGGGGGGAAAATACGTGCGGCATTGCACACGCACACTTTCGATTCTTTTACACCATGTTTTTTTCATAGCGTTTTTGAGATTTCGTTAGGGTGGAGGTATTGGGTTATGAATGGTCAATGAAAAAGTTCCACTGTCATTCGGTGGCATTCATCTGCTTCAGGCGATCTTTCCTGATATGCATTCTCCACTATCCATCCACATAGGCCACAGTCTATATTGATATTCTGCAATGATAGAGGCCAGCCTAAAGCCTAGGAATAGATGGTTTGGATATCCGGCCCATGGTAGCTGTGAGCGGGGGCCCGTTGTATTACCTGTTATCGATGTGTGGAATACATGGTTGTAGGCGGGGAATGTTCCGATCCTTTTCTTGCTGAGGAAGGGGCATAGAAGAAGAATAGCGCTTTTCATAGTCAATTCAATGCCAGGAATAGGTTTTTTCAATACTATAAGCGGAAAATTCAACTCTCGAGGTAGACATGTCAATAGTACGAACTAATGTGGCCTCTCAGAGAACTTGCACGTCTTAGACTTAACTAGTCGTTGATAAATACGGACGTCGGGGCAGGGTCCTTGATATGTATGCTCTAAAGTATACTTAACTATTCTGCCTGGTGTTAGTAAGTTCTAATGAGTTAACTTGCATTCCCGTACTATTGAACGCCTTCCCTCGCCAGACTCTTGATGTTGGGAGCAAGTTATGAGTCGTCCTGGTCTGCGCACATCGAAACTCTGGAGCCTAATCTTCCGCGCCGGTGTTAATTACCATTCAAGGGCAAATACGTTGTTGTGAAGTGACTGATGGGCTTGGAACTAGGCTGCCCTGCATGTGACGTGAATCTGTTCCGACCTCGGGACCCTCGAATATTAAGAGCCAACAGTCCGGCTTCAGCTTTACCACGGTCTGGAAACAAAAACACGCCAAACTCAACCCAACAAGTGTGTTCGTCAATACTCGCCTCTGCACAGTCTATACTGCCAATTCTGATAAACCTTTCATGTCTAGGCACCATGTATCATTGCCAGTCCTCCCGAACTCAAACCACTCCAACACCCGGTCCACCAGCTCCAGGTGCTAGGCAAGCCCCTCAATTGTTCGCGCCTGTGGATGTAGACTATATGAAACCCTCCGATCCAAGCGCCGCTTCCCTTAGCAACCTCCCAACAGAAATCCGTCTTGAAATCTTCAACCATGTCCTCGACCTCAGCTGCATCCCGCTAACCTATGGCTACACGAGCCCCTTCACCGGCCAGCGTAAACCCACCCTCCACAAACACGCCCTCCTTCTTGTCTCCAAACAAATCTCATCTGAATACCGGCAAGCCTTCTATGAACGCACGCGCTTCTTCCTACGCATCTACGCCAGCAATGCTTTCCAGGCGTTACCCATGTTGCTCCACTTCACACGCACGCAATCCAACACACCACGAGCGTCCGCACCCTTCCCGAACTTCTGGAATGCTCCAGACGCGCTGCTCGCGAATCTCAGGCACTGTACGTTGTACATTGAGATCGGCGAGATCGCCAGTGCACCCCAATCTAGCCATTCCGTGAGCCAGATTGCGCGGAGTTCGATTGATCTAAACGAAGCCCACCAAATGGTTCATGAAATGAAGAAATATTCCTCACTCAATGCGCTGAAGAAGAATGATTCGTGCTTCGATAATACGCTGAAGTGTGGGATTCATAAATTGCTGGGTCATATGACGCAGTTGAGGAGTATGCATTTGGTCTGGGAAACGACGAGGCAGGGCTCTAGGAAGTTTAGTAATATGACGGATGCGAATTGGACGTGGGCGACGCTGGGGAAGCCGTTTGTGGAGGCGCTAATGATGAAGAGGGGGTTAAAACGATTGCAGGTTGTGGTGGGTGATCGGTATAACGATGTCAATGAGAAGCATCACAAGGGTGTGGGTGGAAGGTGGGAGACGGAAAATCGAGTATGGCTTCGGGGGCAACCTGGGCGCCAGAGTATGCATCATGTACAGTTCGGCTGAATGTATTTATTGTGGGATTCGGAGTCATGCAGGTTCGCGTCATCTGGGTTAGGGTTCTTTCATGCGTGGAGATAGCCTTGTGTAGAATAGGTACCACATTCACGGTATTCAAATTAAACCTTAGTAGGGAGGTAAGATCATTGTAGCATGAGCGATTCCCGCCACTCTGAGCAGGGAATGTCTGTGAGACTGACAAATGGGGTTATTTCTCTACCCCTATAAGAGTATGAAGATCATCCACTCGCACCTTGTAAGCCACAAGGCATGCGACAACCAAAACTCAATATAGAAAAAAACACATCCACCCACAACAATCCATTCCCTCCCTCACGATGCCTCCGCAGTCCTCACCTGCACGCTCCCATCCTGCATCCCAAAATACACCGCCACCGGTTTCTGCCCGCCAGTAATAGTATTCATATTAACCTTATCCTGACTCCTCAGCGCTTCTGCTTGAGTCCCATTCAGCCCCGAGAAAATCCCCACCTCTAGCACACCCGTCAACTCCTTAATGGCCCGGCTTAGCTTGTTCACCTCCCATGTCTTGTCACTGCCGTCGCCTTTTCCTTTACCCGAGGAGACGTCGCTCGTGGTCAGGAGGGTTGAGAAGGGTGCGTCAATGATGAAGAAGTCTTGGTCGGTTTTTAGCGGGCCAGATTTTGCGAGGAGGGTGGTGCGGAGTTTGGGGTTCGGGGAGCCCAGGGCGCGGAGGGAGTGGAGGACAGTGGGAACGGAAATCGGGGCGACTTCTATTGGGATAGTGGGCCAGTTTGTTAGGAGGCGGGATTGGTTTTTACGGTAGTCTGAAAGTGGTTGTCAGTGTCAAGTCAAGACTACAGGTGGGGAGGAAGAAAATAGAAAGGGGTCTTCGAACCTGCAACACAGACGAACTTCCTCGCTCTCTCCGCAACCAACTTCTCCTGAAACAAGCATGCGCCACCGCCCTTTATACAATTCAACTCCTCGTCCACCTCATCCGCGCCATCGAATGCAATATCTAACATGACATCTTCCGACAGCGAATCGAATGCAATTGGCGTCAATCCAGCTTGCACAATGACTTGTCGCGATTGGTAGCCTGTGGGAACGAAGCGTATGTGTGGGTTTGTCGATGCTTCTTTAATGGCTTCGACGACGTAGACAATGGTAGTGCCAGACCCGATGCCAACGTGGGTTGCAGAGGGGTCAAAGTGCTCGCTGACGGCTTGAATAGCGGCTGCGCGTTTGGCGGATTCGATTGTTGAGTCTGTCATCTTCGCGTTGTTCTTTTCCGAGTCGAACTTTCCCGATGCGGAAGTCGACGATGGGAGTCTGGTGGTGCGGGGAAGATGTCTAGTTTGAAGGAACCGGGTCCAAGAACCAGTGCTAGGTGAAGAAACAGTTTTAGAGATCAATTGAGTATTTTGAGGGTTGTATGGCGGCGACTGAGGCTTTTGATGACTTATGTAGCGAATTTGCTGAGGAATTCTGCTACTGAGCGGCGCCCGCGGACTTGACAGTTGCCGGAGGATATTTATCCGCATCAACGGGTCGGGAGACCTCTGGAGACGACGAGAAGGGAACTTCGAATGCAACACCGAAATTTCAAATTTTAGAGTAATACAAACCTAGAAAACGGAAGATCCGCGTTTAGAGAAATAGTCGCAACGAGCGAATGTAGTTGTTCGTATCGTGTGTTGGTGGGGGGGAATTCTCGCTCGGCTTTCGGCCCCTGGACCCTGCCATGATGTCTTGTGTGTGAATATGAGCCTGAGGCAACAAGTGTGAACCCTCACCGCCCGGCAGTATTTCGACGGTGCCTGGAGACATCTTAAACCCCAGCACGACGCCCACAAAGTCCCTCCCGAGCTTCTTCCCGCTTCGTTGTTGCAAGGGAGCTCATTATGGCGGATCTGCCTCCTCCCGTCCAAGGACCAACCGCAAAGGAGAAGAAGTGAGCTAGTCCGAGCTGTTGAAGCTCCACCCCACATATGTGTGTAGCTACTGACTTGGTCCAGGTATGATCGCCAGCTTCGACTTTGGGGGCCCACTGGCCAACGCGCGCTCGAAGAATCGCATATTCTGCTCGTAAACTCCGGTCCCGGTGTTGTTGGTATCGAAACATTAAAGAACTTGGTGCTTCCTGGCGTTGGCTATTTTACGATACAGGATTCAGCTGTGGTCTCTGAGGCAGACTTGGGCGTGAACTTCTTCCTCGAAGAAAGGCATTTGGGGGGTTCCAGGGCTGAGCATACTTGCAATCTACTGAAGGAGCTGAACCCGGATGTACAAGGCGACTTCATCACTGAGGTTTGATAGCGTGTATACCTATGAGATATTGCTCGACTGACTTATGTAGCCCGTCGAGTCCTTCCTCGCGAAACCCGACTCGTTGAAGCCATATACCCTCGTGATCGTAGCCGCACCAATCCGCCCAGAGCTCCTTGCCAAAATATCCGCCTACGCAAGCGCCAACTCAGTCCAGCTCTTCTATATCCATTCCGTCGGCTTCTATTCGCACTTCTCAATACACCTTCCTCCATCATTTCCCATTGTAGATACCCACCCAGACCCTGAGACCACCACTGATCTTCGCCTCCTCAAACCGTGGGCCGAGCTCATAATGTTCGCAGAAGAGAAGACGAAGAGTTTGGACACCATGGCCTCAGATGATCACGGTCATGTTCCATACGTTTGTCTGCTGCTTCACTACCTTGAAGTATGGAAGAAGGATCATGACGGTCAACAACCGCGGACCTACAAAGAGAAAACCGAGTTCAGAGACATGGTGAAGAAGGCTGCGCGAACAGACAACCCGGAGGGCGGAGAGGAGAATTACGACGAAGCAGTCGCTGCAGTTCTCAAGTCATTGAATCCTCCAGAGCCGAGTGGTGCTGTGAAGGAGCTTTTCAAGGACCCGGAATGCCTACTTCTAAAGGACGACGCCTCTAGCTTCTGGATAATAGCGCACGCGGTCTCGCTGTTCTATACCAAATATGGAGTTCTGCCCTTGCCTGGTTCCGTGCCCGATATGAAGGCTCGCTCATCCGATTACATTCAGCTACAGAACGTGTACAAATCGAAAGCACGGAAGGATCTTGCGGAGGTGCTGGATAGTGTTCGGTTCCTGGAGAGGAATATCAATCGGAGTACGCCGATCGAAGAAAAGGATGTGGAAGCTTTTTGTAAGAATGCAGCACATATCAAATTAGTTCGGGGACGGCCATTCCAAGTAGTGCAAGCTGGTGAGACATTGAAGTGGGGAGATACGGCGAAATCTCTTGGTAAGACTTCCGGACCGCTTTCAAAATTGGCGTATTCGAACACTTACCATTCATTGCAGCCCAAAATCTCACCTTCCAAGACTCGCTTATTCCCCTATACATTGCTTTCCTCGCATTCGACGAATTCACGGCAATGCATGACAAAGACGCTTTGGGTGGAACCCCCCGGGCTCCTGGTGAGACAAATCCAGAAGTGGATACCGAGAAGATGACTGGAATTGCCTTCAAGATTATGGATGATTTGATCAAAGAGGCTGGTACGTTCATCGAAGACCCAGACTACTCGGAAGCCAAGACATGGGTGGGAGAGTACGTTCAGGAGCTGTGAGTATGAACCCGTTGATGATTCTTGGCTTCATACTGATCTTGACGGATAGTGTCCGAGCTGGCGGTGCTGAACTTCACAACATTGCGACTTTAACTGGCGGTCTCGTTTCGCAAGAGGTGATTAAAGTTATGACGGAGCAGTATGTACCGGTAGACAATACTTGCATTTTCGATGGCGTGAAGAGCAAGACTGGGGTTTTTCGAGTATAGAGGAATGGTGAGGGTGGATAGAGGTCTTAGTTAATGGTGCGTTCAGCATGGCATGGCATCATGGACAAGAGACTTGGGCATGCACTCATCGCCATGCTATTTCCAGCAGTCCAAAGAGATGATCTGCTCATAAAATTTCAATCAATTGAGGATCACAGATCATCCTCATGCTCTCCGGAGAACCTCATTTGTTTCACCTCCAGGTGATGCTCTGCAAAAACGGTGGCATTAAGTGCACACTACACATATGCCATCTTCTTGAACCGAATCATCACTACCTATGACCTATTCTAGCCCAGCATGGCACGACAATCAAAATTGATCTTTCCCAAAGCCACTCCAGGCCCACACCCTGAAAATGCTGACAAAGCGCCGCTGCCTGCAAAAACAGCACGTGATACGGCGGAGACGGCAACCGCGTCGATCACGCTCTTGACGCCGCCTTCATCGCAAACATCTTCAACACCTCCTCAACGCATGCAATCCGCCATGGAACCCTCTCTCGACTTTCCCGACTCTACAGACTGGCTCGCCACGTCTCTCCCTTCCTTCGAACCCCTCGAAGCCGCTCTGCGCTGCGAGATCTGCAAAGAGTTCTACGACACCCCCGTAATTACCGCATGTTCGCATACGTTCTGCTCACGATGTATACGGCGATGCGTTACGGTGGATGGAAGATGTCCGACATGCAAGAAGGGCGTCCATGCGGATAAATTGGTGCCGAATTTTGTGGTGAGGGAGATTGTCGAGAGGTATCAAAGCGCGAGGCCAGCGGCGATTGAGCTCGCGAGGAGAGAAGCTGAGGTTGCATTTCCAAAGGAGGCTAGAAAGAAGAGGAAACTAGATGATACGGACATAGAGGAGGAGGGAAATGTTAGGCAGACAAGGTCGAGACAGACGAGGAATCGGACTGGGCATGGCGAAGGGGAAGGCACACCTATTGAGATTCTAGATACTGATGATGAGGGCGACGATGAGGAGTTTGCCCTCGAAGGGATGGTTAGGTGTCCGATTTGCAGGACGCCCATGAAAGAAGAGCGGGTTTTTCCTCATCTAAATGATTGTCCTGGGGAACAGAACGCGCGATCGCGGTATACGAGCTGATACCACAAATTCGACCGGAAACTGACTCTATCTTTGCAGGACCAACAACACGCCTTCGAATTCTTTTCTTCGCCCGCCGCAAAAGCAGGCTTCCCCAGCCCCGACCCGTCTACCGCAGCTTAACTACAATCTACTAAAAGACCAAGCGTTGAGGAAGAAGATCGGTGATCTTGGCATCCCAAATTGGGGCACGAAACCCCTCCTAATAGCGCGGCATACTGAATGGTTGCACCTCTGGAATTCAAATTGTGACTCGGTGCATCCAAAATCCAAAAGAGAACTATTAAAAGAGCTCGACATATGGGAAAGAACGCAAGGCGGAAGCGCCGGCGCGCCGGAAGCAAAAGTCATGAGGAAGGATTTTGATGGCAAAGGCCATGCGAAACAGCATGAAAACCAATTCGCAGATCTTATTGCTGAAGCTCGAAAGAAGAGGACCGTAGTAACAACATCAGAGGACCTGAAAGACGCGGCGCAGACTAGTGATGGTACCGAGAGCGGTCGGCTTCAGAGCAAGGAACCGCAACCGACAAATGAAAAGACGACACTGCTCGAAAGCAACGAAACGGCTTTAGTAATTGTAGGCGAAAAGGTCGATCAGTTTGATCAAGGCGGGTCTGCAGTACCCTCACTAAGTCAAGAAACATCTTCGGAGTCGAATTCCAGCGGTGTGTCAAGGGCCGGGGCAATAGAGACAGTGTGTGAGCCACCAATGGGACTGGCAAATCCTTTTGCTTCCCCGACGAGAAAGTTGCCAGTGTGTTCTCTACCCGAGGATCCGATTGTGGATGTGGATAGTTCGACGGCGGTACAGTAATACCATATTCGGTTTCTACTTCATTTTTCAAACTCCGATTTCTGGTTCCTTGGTTCCTTTGGAAAGGAATATCCGGGACGCACTTTTGCCCATGGTCAACACATCCCGAGCCGGTTGATTCTAGTTTCGTCCCAATCGCAAAACATATCATATACAGCATTTTAGCGCCCACTACAGTCAATTCATGAGCATTCTGAATACTTAGATCTCTTTTTAGGATTAAGCGAAGTGCTTCGAGGATAAATATTTCTGCCCTAAATAGACCCCCGGAGGTTTGGCTGCTTTCGCCAACATGGAATACATACAGAGGAAAATTCGACTTGCTCATTCCCTAGGTAGGCCATGAACTCCATCCCACCCATGCCTAGTGACCACTTCATCTCATCATTAGAGTTTGTTTCTGCATGGTGGCTTTCCGCTTGAAATTATTCCTGAAAACATTGAGGATTTCTTGGTGTTGACAGCTTCACATCCATGGATCAAATATCGCAACGACACCGAAATTTGGCCATGCTAACGGAAGCCGGCCCACACTTTGATATTCAACCTTCTTGAACACGTTACCTGACATCTTTGCTCTCAAAATGTTTCGTCTCCTTTTCCACATTCTTTCTTTCAACACCACTCCGTCAGCCTCCATCACTTCCCTAAATATATATCACCTCCGCGAACAGCGAAAGAGAGATCAACCTGCAAGCCACTTTGCGTGTCCCAACTTCGTCTCTCAACCTTGGCTCGATTACAACCCCAAGGGAGTCTTACTCTCTTCCCTCTCCATTGCCACATAGCTTAGAGGTTCTTCTGCAATTCACCCCCACTCTAGCCATCCACACTCATTACCACCCCTCCTCCTAGCCCTCTACCAGTATTCATCAGGAATTACTACTATGCCTTCGCTATCAACTCAGCCATCATCCTCATCCATCTCCATCCCACCCCGTCCATCCCGGCCACCCCAATTACCATCCGAAACACACTCATTCATCGCCCCCGAGTTCGCTCACCTCCAAGAACCCAGCCCACCCCCTCGTGTGCGGGAACCGGCCTTCAACTCGCCTTGCTCGAAGGCTCATCTTAAGGGCAAGTGGCATATGCCTATACAAGAGCAACGGGAACAGGAGGTATATGAAACTTGGATGGAGAGGAGTAGTGGTCCAATCAGCCATACGAATGGAGCTGTGAATGGTAAAGCTTCTTCCTCAATTCCCAATGTGGGACAGGATCCCTCTAAGAGGTGCTCTCGTGGTCCTTCCTTCATTCAATATGACATGAACGACAATTTGAACGGCGACCTAGAACATCATCACTCTAACCAGTTCGCTACCGGTCCTTCAAAAATTAAAAACACCTCCCCCCTAACACCAAATGACTCTGCAAATAACCGACATCCTTTCCATACTACAAGCGGTGCTTCAAGTAGCAGGAGTCATGTCTATGACGCGTTCGACCTCGACCACGCTGAAGGATATCCGAATCTCGTCACGAGTTGGTCTCAGTACGAAGAATCCAGCGGGGTCAAAAAGCAGTATTCGCACCATTCAGACCCTACACCTGAGAGTGTGGGCGGAAATACGCAGAATCCGCACCGCAAAGTACCTAGAAAAAGTACAGAGAGCCCATCAACGAAGTCGCCAGTGAAGCCATCTGTGCCGAGCCCGCAGAAGAAGAAATCGTCACTGGTTCAATCTAAGATGAACGCGATATACATCTCTCAAAGGAAAGAAACTAGATTCGAGGGTCCTTCAAATAAAGAAACCATAATCTCTAGATTCTCTACATCCGAGGATGAAGCCGACGAAGCCGAAGATCCATTCCCCTTCCCATCTGCCAAACGGCAAAGAAATGGAACAAATACACCGTATCCGCATGCTCCGATTCCAGAACGAACAAGCGTCGTGAACAGAGCAAAGGATCCGGAGGAGAGATATCCCAAATTTGGCGCCTTCAACGGCAACATTGATACCGAATACATCTCTAACTGTACTTCACACAACTCGAACGGCGCCAGCGGAGTCAATGGTACAACATCTCGTATACCCAAACTAGACACAAATACGACGATTAGCCACGAATACAAACGCCAGGGCAGGATCTTTCATCCGATTCTACCCCCGTCGTCAGCATTCGACCCCTCTCCGCCACCTACTCCCAAACATTCTGAGATTGTCATGTCGTCGAATGAGAAACCTATCAATAGCAGTAGCGTGGCTACTTTAGGTCCGAGTCCTTGTAGGGGTGACCCGACGACATTCAATTCTTTCTCTCCTATTAAGAATCCGAATGAGCGGACGCTGGCGAATACTATCCGAGAGGCAGTGAACGAACAAATCGAGAGAGCTAGTCGGACTACGACAAAAGTGCCTGACATTCAAGAGCGCCTGGCTAATCTAAACATACCAGTCACTCAATCACAACGTCAGAATGACTATCCCAACCGCAATCAAGACCCCACCACCAAGCACAACACCAATCCCAACCATGTTGCCAGTACCAGTGCCAACGCCAATGTCACCACCATTATCGCGCAAAAGGATGCAGAAATCCTCCAACACCGCACTGCTCTGCCTAGAAAGACCACAGAGCTCTGGAGTTCTATCTCCCTTCTCCGTGACCTTCCAAAAATGACTCTATCATCGTCTCCCTCGCCTTCAACACCGACATCTTGGCATTCGTTTCATACGGCGAGGGAGCTGCAGGATCAGTCGTTAGACCTAGAGCAGAGGATTGAGGAGTTGTTGGGGGAGATAGAAAGGGGAGGGGAAGGGTGGAGTAGAAGCGGGAGTAGGAGTCGACATAGAAGTGGGAGTGAGATAGAAAGGGGGAGGAAGACGCCAAAGTTAGTGAATGCGCCGAGCTATCCCGTTCTTCCAACCGCACCACTATTCTCTAGTTCGAAAGAGAAGGGGAAACAGAAGGTGGGGGTGAAAGAAGAGCTACTCGAGAGTTCATCCGCTGCTCCGTTCGAGGATGTGGCGAAATATCCAACTTCGACCTCGCTCGTTCCTCTCTTGACCTCTCGCTCCTCTGTTTCCACCCCAGAAAATGGTTCTGAACCTCCGACACTCGACGCAGATCTACAGCCGTCGACCACACCCTTCTCTCTAGCGCCGTCCCTGCCGAGCTTTCAGGATTCTCCGGTATACATTGGTAGTGCTGAGCCGAGAATCATCACAAACGTTGGACGCGATCAAGTTCGTCTAACGAGTATCCGGCGGCGGGCAGGAAGGGAGCCTCTGAAACCCCAACAGCAAGCCCCAGTGCAAGCAGAAGCAGAAGCAGTTTTAGTAGAAGAGAGAGTGCGTAGAGTTACTAGCGGAATCCCCACTCCTGCCCCTACGCCTCCGCCAAATGGAGTAGGTGAGATAGAGCAATCTACTACACCTCCGAAGCCAATCCCAGCTTCGGCTTCATATCCAGCGTCAGCATCAACATCAATACGGTCACACAGCCCTCCACTCGACCTCCCCATTCGCCCCCCCAAACCCGCCCTTCAATTACGCACATCCAAATTTGTCGAGCGCTTCTCACTCGATGGACCAGCGATGCTAGCATCCGGCAGCGGAGCAGAAATCCCAGATACAGAAGAAATTACAACCGTCGAAAGACCTGTTGTCGAGAGTGGGGAGAATGAAAGAAGGACTAGTGACGACGATGTGCGGGTGAAAGTCGGGAGCCAGGAAGTTATGGCGCATATGGCTGAGGAGGAGAATGTGGTAGAGGAGAAGAAAAAGAAAGGGAGGACGGTTTGTAGGATTTTGAGAGGGGTTGTTTGTGGGGGATGTGGCTCGGCTAACAGGAGCTGATCTTTGTGAGTTGAGCTTTGAGAGTTGTGAAATTATGTATATGGCGTATTGGTTCCGGGGGGAGTACTAATTGGGAAGGGTGTTGAGAGGCAGTGGAGTCCTGTCTCCTGTTGCATCTATGGCGAATGGACGCTTACTACGAAATACTAACAGGGATGGGCTGGTTGACCAAGCAGGTTACCAGCATATGGAAGGGTATTAGGAGGATGTGGACCCCTGCAGCAATTTGACTACAGTAGGTCTATCACAGCCTAAGGCTGTTTAGTTAAGAAACCAACTATCGCGTCACAAATACATTACTAAGTTCGTATAGCAAAAAGTATATATTCTGTCTCGGAAATATCCCATCGAAGCTAGCCAGGGCCCTTCGCGTAGTCGCTGCATCGATAAAGAAATCTCTTTGTTGTGCCTCCGCATCTTGAACCCAAGCGAGCTACGAGACTCCAGAAAAGCATTTTGAAAAATTTCATGACACCTCTACAGCAATCAACTTCATACCTCAGTCTATAGCAACGCCCCTTCCTTGGAACGCTCAAGAATGAGAAGAAATCGAACCGAATGTCCTTCTCACTACATGCCACATAGAAGAGGTCTCCACGATGATCATCTCGTCCTTTAAAACATCTCCGATCAATCCCCAGACCATCACCGTACTTAAAAATCTTACATAGTGCTTCTATTCAGCCTAAAGAGATGCATTGTCAGGTTACCTCGCGAACCATCTTGGTTCTCAGCTCTCGTGATGTTACTGACTGATAGTATTATGTCGAAAAGGTAGTGGAGGAGAGAAGGCTTGTCGCCTTCAGTAATAAGGCGCTAGACTTATCCAATGTACTAACCGAGATTTTCCAGGCAATATTAACCCTCTTTCCAAAATGTCCCCACACTGACGCGTACTTTACCATTATGAGTAACCCCGAGTTCCTAGTCCAGTGGGTTACTTTTGCATCTAATACCCCCCACGGAAGGGCCATGCCAACTCAATCAGACGTGGCAGAGTCAATCGGACGTGGCAGAGTCAATCGGATGTGGCAAAGTCATTCGCTCGTAAGTGCTTTTTTGGCACCTCGTATCAAGTCGCTATCCCCTCGTACGCATCGACAGTGCATACGATGGGTCTCCGTTTGAACTTCCCCCAAGGGGACATGGGAAAGTCTGTCTTTTATCTAGTTTCGAAAGAAATTGTCGAAACGACCCACTCCCATATTGTGTCGCCCGGCCCGAGCCAAACAATCATCATATATACTTCTAAGTAATTCGCTTAGTTTAAGAAGGCAATTGAAACATTACGGCTTTTACTAGAGCCCAACGCAGATATCAACAAAGACACTCTTGGCAGTACAGCATTATCCTGGGCTGCCACCAATAGCTATGTTGACACAGTGTGGGCGTTGTTGGAGCACAAATTGGATGTCAACAAAGTCGACACTCTTAGTTGTTCGATCGCTCAAGTTTCCATAGGTCGAAGAGGACTCACAAGACACTCACGCACCATCGCTACCATAGCTATTAGCTTGCCTCTACCCCGAAAATCAAGGAAAAGATCTAGAACTGCACTCCTAATTCCAACAGACCACTCCTGACTGCCACCCCCCTACAATTACCCAACATGCATTAACAAGCACTATATCTAATACCCAGAGCCAGAATCCAGCCCCCTGCCTAGTCCCTCTTAACTACAAAAAGGCGTTATAGAGTACAACTTTAGATTCTATAATAAAATCCTAAGAAACCTTATTCTACTTCTTAATACCTTTAAAAATAATCTTTTTATTCTTCTTATCCTATTTTTACTTTAGAAACTCCGCCCTATTTCCTAACACACCTTCCTTAAATCTAATCCCACAACTAACCAGAGTCTAAACCCACTAAGCCTAATACTAGTTAACCCATTAAACGCAACAAAGACGCAAACCAGAAGTTACAATAATTAATTTTAACCATAGAGTGAAAACGTATACAATTAAAGCCACTAACTGTTTCCCACCGTTCTCAAAAACTCATACCAATATCCACGTGTACTACATACATCATCAATATCATCATCATCCCTCTCTCGTTAAATAAGCCTCAAACACAAACACAAACACAAACAGAGACACCAAAACTTGTTTGTCTGCCCGTCCTGACACCAATAAGCTCCACACCTGGTGACAGACCATCTTCTTTTCGGGCATCAGGAGATAATTTCCAGGTATTCCTAAACCAAGTAGCCGTAACAGCGATCGAATCGTGATTCATATACAACAAACAACATACACTTCTGTTCACACTAGTACTAACACCAAGCCTATACCTACCAATATTCCTACCTAGGTCCTATTGCTCCACCGACCAAGGAGACGGACAACCAACACCTATCGAACATCTCGGACGATGCTCATTGATACCACTCCTGCTCATTATAAGTATTCAGCGCACTACCATATCCACTCACGCCATTAACCACGGCGGCAGTCTTATTGACCCCATTCGCATTCGCATTCGCATTTGCCCCGCCACTCCCATTAACCTCGCCGGTCGCATAACTGTTCACGGAAGCCGCAGGGCTACCAATCACCGAGCTATTCAACCAAGCGAGATCCTCGGCACTGAGATTCCAATTCTCAAAGCCCACGGCTAACTGGCTCTGATCACGCAGCCACCAGTCTTGGCTTTCGCGGATGAGCGCATCGACGCCCCCGAAGAGCTGGGACGGGCTGTTGCCGGAGGAATTGGTGGTGCTGTCCAGAGATTGGCGGTTGTTACCTGCGGTGCTGGTTGGTGTAGAGGCGTTGATGTTGTCGGAGGGGTGGCGAACGACGCGTGGGTAGGCCATGGATGAGGCGTCGTTGGGTGGTAAGGAGCGGTTTTCGGAACCGCGACGGAGGGCTTCGGAAGTGAGGGCTGAAATTGGGAGGCCGTGTTTGTCAAAGAAGGTGGTGGTTGATGTTGCTGCGGTAGACATGGGCATGCTGTACGCTGGGAGGAGAGGTGATCCGGAAGTGGGATTCTCCTCGTATTTTTTGGGTTCGCGGACCATGGCTTTTGGCGTGTTTGCTTCGCCATACGGACCGAACTTCGCATCAGTGCGGGCCAAGACTGTCACGGCTTCTTCGGGAAGCTCAACGTTCCAGTTTTTGGCGAGGATGCTGAGGATACCGAGAGTCCGGCGAGCGCATAACCAGCCCTCTGCTATCTCTTCTAGGTGCTTGACGCCATGGATAATGTCTCGGCGGGCATTTTTCTCTGGGAGATTGAGGAGATGTATCGTACAAGCTGAGTGAGCTATGTAGACGGCGATGTTACAGATCTGTCGTAATCCATGCGATCGCTTGTAAAGCCGAAGTAGCTTAGATATCATTTGGGCTGCCTGAGTGCAAAGTTTCCGCGGAGAGACGTGCGCAGGGAGCGGAGAGGTGCTTTGATTATATTTGAGGAACGGTCGGAATAGATGGATGTATAGTATTTGGAAGAACATGCTACGAGTGGTTAGCAGGGGTGAATGTCAAAGCACGTGACTCGAGACTTACTGCATCACAAGTATACTTGGCAAACCGCCTTCCTTCGGCTCCAGCTCTTTTGGAAGCTCTCGTCTCCACGTTTCGAGCCGCTGGTGAATTTCACTAAGCTTTTTAAGCTCAGCTTGTTTCCCCTTTGCCTTATCCATATCTATGGGGTTGTAAAAGAAATTCATGAGATCGCTAGATATCTCGCATAACCGAGATATCTGCAGGGCGACCTGCAGCAATGTCAGCGCATATTCGAATCTATGCGGAATGGCGTGTAGATACAAAGAATGAAGAAACGTACTGCTCGTGTTCGCGAAGGTTGTGCATGTGCCTGGCTGAACCCCGAGTCCGTATATGCAGACCAGATACCAGCATCCTCGACTGGGAAGACGTCAAACTTCCGTACCGTTATGATGGAATTAGGGAGCTGTGGTAGTCGTCCGAGATAGTTCGACCAACACCTGCAACGCGTCAGCAACAGGTCAAGGAGGCACCGTAATGGAGACATACTTGTCAAATAAGAAGCAGCCCCAGAACGTGATTTTCCTGGCGTCCTCCTCCGTTTCGTCCATAGCGCTTTTGCTCGACTGCATGCCGCCCGAGTTTAGATTCAGGCCTAAGTCGCAGGCCATCCTGAAGCTCATGCCGCTATATACCCAGCCCTTAGCTTCTCTCCCACATCCAGCTTCTCTTACAGACATGAGTGCCAGTGCTTGGACAGTGGTCAGTGCCGGCACCTCATGCAAGTCACCCTCCATGATTAATCTCTTGGCCTCCTTGAAGAAATGATCTCCTGCCGTCGCCGAATCGTTCCGGTCTACCCTCGCGCCAGGCCATGATGTGAAGTGACAGCCCAGCGCGAGCATGGCATTGACCAATAGTGGTGTACAATACTCCGTTTTCCGCCGGGAGCCCGGTGGCGGTTTCCCTAGTAAGAATTCCCGATAGAAGAGGCTTTTTGAAAGGGTCGTGAAGAAACTATAGTGCCAGCAAAAATACATGTTCACTAGATGAAGAACGAGCTCCGGGTCCGAGGTTACTTCGGTCCACGACGTAAGCGGGTCCTCCTGCTGCTGGTAATGGTCCACGTTCGAGTATGATGCCGGCGAGTCTGTCCCGTCTGTCCCGTCTGTCCCCCCGCCGACGTAGATCAGATGTGACGTTCCACCTATGTATCTTGTAGAGCCGTCCTCGAGTCGGAGCTCTCCCATATTCCCTGATAGCTGGGACTCGAACGTCGGTACCGAGGGATCGTTGTTAGTGAATGGTGACACAGGCTCATCGTCGTCGTCCTCCATCCCATTCTCCTTCGCCATTATTGCCTCGGCGACGGCATCCAGACTCTCGCACGTCCTAATCTGCTGCACCAGCACAGCGACCTCATCCTCGGGATAGTTCAGGATGGCTTGGACTAGGGTCTGCAGGGTCGAGTTGCGCGTCTTCAGGTTGTCGATGTCCTTCTTGTACACGCCCTTCCGCCGGTGATCGGAGTTAGGGTCGTAGACGCACTCTGTATTATACACGGCAGCGCAAGCGGAGCAGGAAGGTGTAGAGCCATCACACTGTAAGACGTCGCAGGTTAGCGGAGAGCCTCTTCGGCCCAGGTTATGGGCAATGCTCCAGGGCATACCTTCGACTTCCTCTTGCGGCACGGCACACACGCACTTGAGATACATCTTCTCTTGGAGATGGTTCCGCTCTCCTTCTTCCTGCGGCCTTTGGACTGGCCCTCGAGTTGTGTCGGAGCATCTGTCGTAGAATCCATGGGCAAGGAGCACTATTCTGTGGACGCTTTCTGGGTGGAGTGGGAAAGCGTCGAGTCGTGAATCTCGGTGGGGGTCACTAGCACCACGGCGGGGTTGGCGATCGCGTGCCCAGGCGCGTCCAGTGGAATTCGATGAGGGTTGCAAGTCTACGAGTAGCTTTACACTCGCACCCTCGTCCTGGAAGAAGGAGAGGGCGCAAGCGATTGCAGATTACTACCCGTGGATATCAAGCCTGGCTGCTCCCGAAGGTGGCCGTCTTGATTGGTGGCGTTTTTCCTTATCAGGACAGCTGCGAGCGCCCGCAAAATCAAACAATTTTCTGCTGGTCATCTCCGCACACGACTCTACGGTAACCGTCTTTTGTTTTAATGCATTGTGAACTGTCTCCGGAGCACGCCTCTTGATCCTTATTCGCAGGGAGCTAACTCCCGCTCCGCCACCCAGTTAACCAGTTACATCGAAGGCCGCTGACAAATCCGGCCTCCGAGGTCTTCACGCCTTCTTTGGAAGGCACATTTGTTCATACTATACTCCGTACACTGCTTTTATTCTATATTAAAAATATTTATAGGCCTTAGAGGTTGAAGAATGCCTAGGTGTCGAAAGATCTCTAATGATGATACCACCAGGGAAGTGGCAAAATCCAACCATCCTGATAGGCAAATGTGAAGCAACCACCAGGGCGTGGAAAAAGAAAGAAAATCCTGCAATGCCAAATCAGCCCCAAGACCTCCAATCAAATCCCAGTCAGCTATGCAAGCTGTCACTTTTGTCTGAACTATCCAGCAAAGAAGTAAAAGAAGGAGCATGGTGTCGCGTGCTAGGAACAGGAGAAATGCAATCGAGGAGCCCAGAACGCCTTAGCCGCAATGGCCGTGAAACCACGTACGCGGCTCTGCTCATGCAGAAGTGCCGCAATTCTCGTTGAGCCGTCGCGCCGAGACTGCAAAGCCGCGCGCTCCAAGGCCGGTGTGGCTTGTAGAATAAGCTAAGTGTAGATGCAACCAAGAGGGCATATTTCAAATACGGGTCGAACAAACTTTGAAAAGAGGGTCGATAGATCCGAGGAATGGTCGGAACAAGCTAATAAAAAAGGAACTTTCTTAGATCTCGTCGGCGTAGCCTTCATCGAAACGATCAGCCTGGAGGCCGCCACGGGAATCTGGGTTATCGACGATGATGAATGGTCTACCGCTGGGGTCCTCCTCGAGGTTCCCAAAGAGTCGCATGAGGTCACGAATGTTCATCCTACGGTATGTCAGTCGAAATCTAGCTAGCGGTTTAGCAAGCACCTTACTTCTTAACAGTAGAACCATCATCTTCCATGACCTCGTCAATCTCTCTCTTCTTACGTTCTTGCATGTCAATTAATCGCTGGTCGACAGAGTTTTGGACACAGAATCGCGTCATGAAGGTCGTATCTGTTTGCCCAATGCGGAAGACTCGGCAGAATGCTTGCTGTTCCGACGCTGAGTTCCACCAAGGATCTATCACTATGACACGGGAGGCCATGGTAAGATTGAGACCCACTGTACTTCCCGTCAGTTCTCCAGATTCAAATAGTCGCCAGAGGGATTAAACCTACAGCCTCCACAGCGCAGTGAAGCTAGCAGAATCTTCACATGCGGCTTGTCTGCGAATGAGGCGATAGCTTTGTCTCGCGCTGTGAAGCTCATCTTGCCGTGATACTGTACACCAAATTAGTCGGCGAAGATCACTCATCCGCAATCAGCAGAAGTCCCGGGAGATGAGCTTAGGCGCTAAGAGCGGATGGTATTACTTCTCGGTCTAGACTAAGGGGAGATGGGTACCATTGGGTTGCTCTGGGTATACACTTACTTGCTCAGCGCCCCAGCCTTCTTCCTGGCAAACTTTGTGCAGAATACGGATCCTACAAGCAGTTAGCTGGCAGCTGTCAGAGTATAGCTGGAACTAGACTTACATGGCGAGAAATTGGGTGTAAATGATGATCTTGACGTCCGGGTTCTCTTGGATCCAGTTGAGGATTTGAGCTTTGATGGCAATCGTCTTTGCGCTTGGGAGGACGTCTTTCCCGCCCAGGGAGAGCCAGTCGTCCCGAATGTCTTCACGTTCGGGCCGGACACGGGGCTGCCTAGATCGAGTCACGGGGCCGTCATAGGCCTGAGAGTCGTCTAATTCACCATCGGCATTACACTCATGGGCAAAGCGGAACGTCTTGCCACATGCTTTGCACATTGCGTGCTCTCGACCTCGCTCGGCGGCCTCAATTTGCAGATCCTCATAACATGAGAAACAGAGAAGATGATGGCATTCGGTGATCCAAGCGTTCCTCGGCCTATTATGGCATTTGGTACACTCTGCCTTCTCTTTCATCTTTTGCCAGTGGTCGCCAGTTGTAAGGCTCTTTAGGTATGGTTTGAAGTTGAAAGTTTTGCCGAACTGTCGCCCAGTCTTTGCTCCTCGACTGGCAACACTCACCCCTTCATTTGGTCGATCGAAGGAATCTGTTGGGGCTGAGATATCTTCAATGGGAGATTCCTCAATTTCCTGGGCTTCCTGGGTTTTCTTCTGCTCCTCCGACAATGCCTTCAACTGCTCTCGAATGGCAATTATCTGGAGGCCTTGAGCAGATTTGCTATCGGTTGCAGCTTGGTTGGTCACTTCTCGAATTCGCTCAATGTCTTCTCGCTCAAGGAGATCCCTCATGACGAACTGCAGCATAAGAATGTGGGCTGTCAGCTGCCGCAATCGCAGAAGCATACTAAAATAATTAGATGGTCAGCCTCAGGTCATTATTAAACTAAGAGAATACGCTCACACTAAAGCACTGCTGTACGATGTCTCAAGATCCCCTTTTTGTGCCATCCAGTTAATTCTCTTAGCAAAGCGCTGCTGCACTATGTCGTAGATGCTCCGTTCGACGTCGTTAAAGTCGCACCAGTGAGTTCCTTGATCGGCTTTCGGAAGCTTGAGAATTGGAGCGCCAAACATTACACTGGGAACGATTAGCACAGTTTAGATTAGATGGAGGCACTACTTACTCAGAATGAGTCCTTCGAATCATGAACTGGGAGAGGCGAACAAGCAGGCGTTCCGTGTTCTCTGGATCCGAGGTATCACAATAATTATATCTGAAGATTTTGAAACTGCCAGTATGTGGCACTCCCAAAAACTTGAAGTAAGCATAAAGCTCGTGCAAGCCATTCAGGACTGGGGTCCCGCTAAGCGCCCACCTGTGGTGAGCCATTAAAGCGCGACAGGCGATGGAGGTTCTGCCAGTGTGGTTCTTGATTGCCTGGGCCTCGTCTAGCACTACGCGCAGGAATACCATTCGGTGCAAGACTCCGCGCTCAGTCTCGAATACTTGCTTCCACCAAACAATCTTCTGCTCTGTAGTCTGGCATCCGATTGGAGGTTCATTCTTTGGGTACGACCTCATGACCTCAGTGTAGGTAGTGAGGATTATATCGTGTTGTGCGAGGATCTCGAAAGAACGGTTGGAATCAATACGTGTGCCAGCTCCATATCTCATCATCGTAAGCTTCCCATCCGTATGGGTCTCAATCTCCTTTGCCCACTGAGTGAGAAGACTAGGGCTGGCTACAAGAAGCGTGGTTTTGTGTTCTGAAGTGCGTGGAGGTCTCCCGTTTACGATGTTTGCTAGAAGCATGTCAGCAGCCAAAAGACAGTTTGAAGGAGTGATTGGGAGTGTGGCCCTTACCAAGCATCATCAGAGTCTTTCCGAGACCCATCTGGTCCGCAACTAGACCTCCTCGCGGCTCTTCCGAAGCATTCTCTCGACGACGCATGAATGCACTCCCCAGAAGCTGGTAGGCCTTCAGGGCTGTCTTCATACCCTTCACGAGCCACAGGTTGTTACCGTGAGGTTTTACGCTGCCACGACCATCGAAATCTTTGGTAGCAGCCAGCAGGATTGATAAATCTGAGCGTGCGGTCTTCTTATGGTCAATAGGTACACTGGCAATCAGTTCCTTGAGGGCTTCATGTTTCCTCCTGGTTGTTGTAAATGTTGGCTCATCAGCCGCATCTTCACCTGCTTGCTCGGCGAAAACATCTCCAGTAAACAGGGAGCTCATTTGGTGAACAGCTCTCTGGTCATTCCGCTTTTGTTGAGCGGTCTTGCGAGCTCCTCTTGCATTTTTTTTTTCAGCTTTCGATTTCGAAGATTTGGAGGCGCGAGCTTTTGAGACTTTCGACTTAGCAGGGCCTTTCCTATTTTGAGTTCTGTCGGGTGACATCTGCGTCTTCTTTTTCTTCTTCCTAGAGTCAACCTCAGCCTCTAGGGCGACCCTCATACTCTGGTACTCGGCCTCCTGAATTGAAATCTGCCTGGGCTCCTTTCGAGGAAGAGGGGGTCGACGACGCTTACGGGAACCTACTTGGGGATCTAGATCGAGTTCATCGCCGTCGTCCGAATCATTCTCATTCTCCACGTTAGGGATATCATTTGATCCATTTTCGTCTATGAAGAGCGATAGCCCCTGCGCCCCTTGCTCTCCAAGTTGCTCTTCTCTAGCCTTGAGGAGATCCCGTTTGCGTTTCTTCTTGCGTGCATCTTCAGCACTCTGAATTCTCATCCATTCAACGTCTTGCCGGAACGTGAGTTCGCCGCCGTTTTGTTTCCTGAGTGCATCAAACTTGCGCTTCTGTTTCCGGAACTCCTCAGCCGCCTCCTTATCTCCGTCATCCTCCTCATGAGCCTCCAGCACTTCCGTATTTACGTTCGGTGGCGTATTGGTCATTAGAACAGCCTCGAGAAGATCTTCGCGATCTGGTGTGGGTCGATAGGCTGCATGTGCTGGAGTAGCGGTCTTCATTCCGGCAGCTTTGTTCTTCTGGAGCATTTGAATATTATTTCGGATCTTGTGCATCAACGACATATTTGAACTATTCTGACGGGGAGCCTTAGAGCCACCCTCTCCATTGTCCCAGTTGCTGCCGTTTTCGGTCAGACAAGACGGCCCTAGGAGGCTGGGAGGGGGCATGGTGATTGTTGCTTGACCGATAGAATTGGATAAACGAGTGGATGTTGGACTGAAGTTCGGTGAATCTGGCGTTGAGCCGCGTACGAACACTGGTAATGAATTCTCGCGTTGGAACCGATTCTCAGGAATAGAATTATTGACTAGACCGGACTGCAGTAGCGTGTCTTGAGATTTAACAATCTTCCTACGTCGCCGGAGGTTTGGAACAGGTCCCATCGAGCTCTTTTGGAAGGTAATCTCGTGTTGAGCGATCAATTCTACATCATCATGCTCTTCAGTTGGGTTTGGTGTAGACTCGTGAGGCTCTGGAGTGACGTCCTCAAGATGTCGCTGTTCTTCCTCGGTTAGGGGCTCGACTGTAGGCATCCCAACGCTTGCCTCTTGATTGTCTCTAGGAATATCCATATCTGGTTACTGGTTACTAATAATGTCGGTGACGGTGTCCACCTCTAAGGTAACCATGACTTGTGTTTGGTAGTGAATGATATTTAGTATCTCAAGGGCCGACGGGGTCGGTAATACTTGCTAGGTTAAGATCCTCCACCCCTTTGCCAGTTTTGAGGAGTATGTCAAAAGAATCTCGGAATTCCACTCAAAACAGGCACGATTTTGCGGGGTTGTTAGCGGAGGAACGGGGCGCTGAGATGCGCTGCCGAAAAGGCGTAAGGGAGAATGTCGGAGGTTGCTTCGAAGGTGAGAGGAAGTCGGTGGGAAAGTGGTGGAGAAATTGGGCGAAAAGAAAGAGGGCTATATAGTGGTACGTAATGAAGTGAAGCAGGAGTGGAAGAAGGGAAGGAGGATAGAGGAAGTGTTAAGTAGCCGTAGTTGATGAAGTGAGTGTAGGTGGAGAGAAGGAATAGTTGGAGGAAGAAAGCTTAAGTAGTCGTAGGCGACGACCCAACCAGTCGTCAGAGAAAAGGACAAGCTTCGGCGAGAAGAGGTGGGTTGAGATAGAATCGCGAAGGGTGGTGGAGGAGAGAAGGCCGAGTTCGTGTGGTGGCCGGCTTAAATAGATATGGGGTTAGAAGGGTGAGAGCGGCATGCTCTTCTCGGTCTAAGGGAGAAGAGAATGAGATAAGGTCTAGTGAGAGAGTTCAAGCTCTCTTCCAAGGATTACATATTTCTGATCTCTTAGATAGCGATACCAGGAAGTAAGGAGTCATTAGGAAGAGCTAGCTGCTTAGAGAGAGTCGATACAGGTAGGCATAGATGTCGACTCGGACAGATATGTTTGGTGTCGATGCGAACGGCTCTAGACCTGATGCGTGCTCGTATGTCGAACCACGAACGCCACGCGGTTTAGAGTCATGAAGGAGGCAAACCCTCTGATGGCTTTCCTAAGAGGAGGTCGTCGGCGTTGAAGCTTTGACATGTATGCCCTGACAAGAGACGGAGTGCTGCTTGGCCTAGCATTGTGCCAAGGAGAGAATAGTGAGAATTTAGCTCACTGAGAAGGAGATCCACCGAATTTCACAATCATAGCTGCTAGGAGACTATATAGACATTGGCCGAGAAGGTCGAAGCTTTTGCACATCGATGCTATATAATATATAACGCGTTAGTAACAGTCTTTATGCCAAAGTAGCCTGACTTGCCATATAGATGTACTACACTAGAAGACCCTGGATTTCGAGTGTAGGAAAGGAAGACGCTCGTAGAAGTGCGAGGATCTATCGTCAAAGTAGCGGGTGGAGGCATAGGGGTTGGGTGCTTACGCCTGCTTTATGACCAAGCAGAGCAGTCTCGGACCACGAATCAGAACATCGCCGGTCATGCCGGCGTCAAGGTAGACTAAAACACAAGAACGCGACTGAATGAAACTGGAAATTCGAAGTCAAATTAACAGCTGTGTGGCATTTCAAAAATTTAGATATACATAAAGGCTAATACTGGAAAACACAGCTTTGACCATAATGAAACACATATAGCACATTTACCTCCATATCAATGTACCAAAAGGGACAATTCACAAGATTCTCGGAGGGTATCAAGGAAACACGCGCAACAGACCTACAATTGGATGTATCTGGTTGTCCGGAAAAGACCGAAATGTATTGCAAGTTCTACCCAGAACGCCAGAATGAAAGGAAGGAAACAGTATAGACAAAGGGAGGTCATTGTGCAAGGTATGGAATGGAGGCTGAGAACTAGCCTACCCTCAGCACACTTCCGCAATGTCCGGGTAGAACCAGGCCGCGAGAGCAATGATGAGGTAAGAGGACATGAGGAGAACACCCTCGAGCCAATCTGATAGATGTTAGACATTAGTAGAGGTTAGGAGGGACAAGGAACTTACGAGATTTCCCGTCTTGGATGAGATAGTTGACGAGCAAAACAGCGACGAAGAGAACAGCAATTTGAAAGGTATCGAAATAAAGAGTCATGCACTCTTTGCCCATGATCCAGCCAAGGACGACAATCAACGGGAGTACTAAGAGAGCGATTTGCATGCTAGAACCAACGGCGACACCGATAGCCAAGTCCATCTTGTCCTTGATGGCTACGGTAATGGCTGTAGCATGCTCTGCGGCGTTTCCGACGATAGGAATGAGAATGAGACCAACGAAGGTAGTAGAAATTCCTCCGGTCGCGGTGAGGCCGTCGATACTAGAGACCATGAATTCGGAACAGAAAGCGACCAACGTGGTGGAAACTCCTAGAGTGATAAGCGCGCCGATGACCGACAGTTGTGGCTCTTCGAAGTCATCCTCTTCGTCTTCTAATTCATCGGCGTTCTTGACAAGCTTACTCGCATTCACTCCGCCACCGGATGCTGCAGCGGTCCCAGCTCCGATCGCTGCAAGGCCGCGCGTTGCAGTACCTTCCTCGATTTTGGAAGACTTCCTCTTTGGGACTTTTTGGCTCGGCTCGTTATACATATCAACGTGTGACTTTAGTTGGAAAATGAGATAGCAGGCATATACGAATAGAAGAATGACCGCTGTTCCGCGCGACTAATGCATCTGTTAGATTGACAGTTCATTACACACATTTGGACAAAATACTCACGAGCTCTTGGTTTCTTTGACCGTCCGGCGCCGCATCAGCTTGCAGCATCGAATGGAAAACGGTTGGAATAATCACACTAGCAATGCAGAGGGCGAGCAAGCTAGCCGCGGTTTGCGCAACGGTAACGTTAAAGAATTGCTCAAGGCGATAGATGCCACCAAGGAAGAAGGACATGCCCAACACAAGCAACAAATTGGAGAGCATGCTCCCAATGAGTGATGTCTTGACAATGGTGATTTCGTTCTTGACTAGGGCCTGGACAGAGACGATCAATTCAACGGCATTACTACATATCTTGTTAGGTGTATAATAAGTATCTCAATGGAATACATACCCAAAGGAAGCGTTCAAAAGTCCACCAAGCGTCTCTCCAACACGAAGCGCAAGCTCTTCCGTGGCATAGCTCAGCATACCAGCCAACGGGATAATCGCAATGAAGTTGACGATGAAGACCGGGACAGCGCCATTGTGAATATGTGCATATTCGAGAGCAAACCCGATTGGCACAAAGACTAGGAGAATGTTAATCCACGAACCAAGAATGACAGCGCGGAATTGTTGGCCGATGGGAATCTTCCTCTTATGCGATCTCCTCTTCCTCTCCTCCTGGTCAAGGCTCTCGGTTTCTGCATGCGTCAACTCCGCAGGCTCGTTGTCGTCGCCGCTCTTGCGGAATATTCCCCTGAACCTCGCTCGTTGTTTTGGCTGGCTCTCGACGGCAGTCTTGTCGCTGATATCTGTAGACTCTTTGCCTGGCCCAACCGTTGGCGATTTCGATCCCGACCCATTCGATGTAATCCCATCCTTCTCGAACGTGGAGGCCGGTACGACCCTTGCATTGCCAGGGGACGAGTGAGACACTGGCGGCGCGGTGTCGGCATGGTGAGGGGAAGGGAAATCCTTCCCAGCCTGTCTACTCTCGGCGCGTCGCGTTTCTTCAGCGGTAGGTGCAAGATTCGTTTCTGACCTCCTTCTCCTACCACCAAGCTGGTTCTCTACATCCGGCGATTGCGCCTCTCTCGATCGCTTCCGCGCAAAGGGATTATAGTTTTGTTCGCCGTCTCCGACGGCCGATGCCGCGCGCTGGGCTTTGTATCGAATTGAATCTATATTGAACATGCCCGTTAGAATTTGCAGAGGGCGGCGCAAAGGAAAGGCTCGGCTTTTCACACTAAAAGTTGCGGATTTCGGTGTTCGGGAATTATAACATACGCATTCTGAGGAATGGGATCGTTCAAATAACAAGATGTCGTGCGAACGGGAAGCAAGGAACTTCAAGGTTGGTCTACAAACGAAGAGCTTGTACCAGGCAATCGATACCAGTTGTTTGGAAATCGTTCGGCAACGATGTAGCCTCGTGTGGGTCGCACACCTGTAGATGGGGGCCGAAAACGTAGGGCAGAAGGGCCGTTGGCTTTATGGATCTAGCCAAACAAAGATCGCCAGTGGCTGCCTTTGTCACGCCGGTGAAATGAAAGAAGCACAGCCTGCAGAGGCTGTATGGCAAGATATGGGTGCCTAGATCAAAGCAAAGAACAAGGCTTTGGAAGGTAAGGTCTCGAAAGAAGAATGAAAGGGGAACAAGAGGCTTGGGGGAGAATTAAAAGCCGCGCCACGGACTGGGGACGACCAACAATAAGCGGGACCACCAGCCACAATAGGGCGGAAAGGTGATTGCGATAGCCAGGGCGGTGCTGACCGTTTGTGAAGGAATTTAGTCGCGGGGAAAGTTGCTTGCGGCAATGAGGAATCCTGTGAATTGAGTTTGCTGTGATCGCCTGTAGTTATTTGATATCTTGAGGTTAATGCCAAACGTCACCAAGCTTCTTTTCGCTTCACTTGGCCGGAGAATCAAGAATCAACCAAGTTAAAAGCGTCTTGACAACATGACATCAAGCTTGATCGACAGTGGCTCCCGAGTTTAATTGGCTACTTCAACTAAGCTCGCCAGTTCCGTCGACCACGCATCTTCGGTGCTTCTTCGCATTTGCGCCAGGACTGTCGTTTCATCTGTCGGTGGCTAATAAAGTCCAGATTTCTTCACCACATCCATGGATTATTTTGGGCTTCAACTCTGCTTCGGTGTCCATTTTCATCCTCGGAGAAAACGAAAACTTGCCCCCCAATATTCGCAAGACCTTCTGCCAAACTCTACATCAACCGCGTGCTTCCCCATCACTCCAGAACGACCCCAACCGGACACACTGTGCCACCACGCTGCGCCCTCACCGCCCAGCGTGTGCCAAAGGTCTTGGAAGCATCTCAGCTCGTAAGTGGGAGGTTGGTGTAAGACTCGCGGCAAAACTATCGCGTAAGCAGGAACGCGATAATGGTGAATGTTGCCAGACGAGTTCCTCCGGTAGGCTTTCCTGCCCTAGTACAAGACGCTGTGAGAAGCTATCTACCCCCAGACAGAGCACAAGCCATGGATTCCCAATCAACAGAGGCGCTTCAAATCTGTCATCATTCTAACAATACCCTTCCCTCACCTCTGCATCCCTCTCAATCAGCAATCAACTTCAAAATCCCTGGTCCATCCTCCATAAGCCAACCCGCACAACCCTGCTTGCCCAGGTTGCCAAGGACACAACATGGATTGCATCCTCGTTCTTAGGCGATGACGTGGTGCTCATCTCCAGACGCCATAGGTCCGCTAGAACCTTGCGTTGTCTTCCAAGCTTCCAGCCCTCGCGTCTCATCACCGCGGCTTAGGGCGTGACTGTCATCCCACACTGGACAGACGGTGGAGGGATTTAGAGGACAATGTGCGAAGTTGGCTTTTCAAGGGTGGGGTGCCCGAGACACCAAATCCAACACAATCTCGCCGTCCGTGGAACCTCAGAAGGTCACATTTACTCAGTTAGACCTCTTGTTAGAATTAAGGAGAAAAATAACAGGGTGTAAAGTTCTGTTCTTAAACTACCTATCTCATTATCCAAGTACCGAGGTCCGGGGCTCACGTGACACATGCTGTCCTTCACAAACTTGGAACTTGAGAAGAGCAAGACACCAGGAGGACTTCGACCCTCCCTGGATTCCTGTCTCTTCGAAAATCACGTCTGCCTTGCCACGGTTCATTCCTCCCCGACGTTCTTGTGCCACCTTCGCGAGGAACTGGTGGAGCACCGCCTTGCCTGGGGCCTCCTCTTAGCCCCCTCTGCCCCAGGCAGAACCTTTGAAATTCTCCGACAAGCGTTGGGAGGACACTGGAAGTTGGTGCCTCAATTGCACCCCCACAATCTTCTAAGAATAGGAAACCATTTCAAGCCGACTACTTCGAAGCTGAGCTCCAAGGCAGAGAGTCGGTGAAGCAGATAGGCAGGGGAGAAGCGAGTTGGGAGAAGAGGTAGATTAATGATACACGCTTTACTATTGCCAAAGTGACTACGACAGTATGTCTAACTCCACCCAAATAGGAAAACAGGAAAGAAAAGCCAAGGTTGTAAAGAAGGACCACTCCATCAGCGCCTGGCCATTGCAACTTCAGCCGCAGTCCATTGCGGCTTCATGTCAAACACCATCTCACTCCCTTGTCACCCCATAGATACTGTTCAAGCCCGATTCACGCACTCCCCTCTAAAACCCTACCCTACGGACCCTGCACCTTATGATCCCCCTTGATCACATCCGCATAGGTCGGCGGATTCTCCTGCGGCTGGCTGCTCTCACCCTGACCCTGAATCTCATGCCCAACGACCCCAGTCTGCGCCCTTATCTCCTGGTGTGGCTTCGGTGGAGGCGCTGGCGCTGGGGAAGTATTCACCACACCACTCTGCTGCTGTCCCGGGAACTGTCCACCAGCTGGCTGGCTTCCTACGGTGCCATAGCTAACCTGTCCCGGACGCGACTGCCTTGGTGGCGCTGGACCGCGCGCAACATAGTAGTATGTGACTGATCCGTCGCTGCCGCGTTCGCCATCATTCATCGCTTCGTAGTCGGAGGTGTCTGGGTATTGGAGGATGATGTACCAAGCGTGGAGTAACCCTGGGAGGAAGCCGAGGCAGCAGAGTGCGATGTTGATGATGCTGTCTGCAGAGCAGATGCCGCGCTTGACCCATACTGTAGATAATGTCAATAATCTCCCGCTCTAAAGGACGTTTGTTGGTGTGGGGATGGAAAGTGACTGCCTGCAGCTGTGCACGGGGTGGGAAAGCTACATACCTCCTATCGGTGGGAAGAGAACGGACAGGAGCATCAGAAAACAGTCCGTGCCGCACATCTTACCGGTATTTCCTCCGTGTGTTCTGCGACTAAGGATGGTGTCGAGATGAAGGTTAGTTAGGTGCTGAATGAGAGCCGTCATGGGCTTCATGAGTGTCGTATGAGCATGACGAATATGAGGCGTTCTCTGTGTGGCGTCATGCGTTCCCACACCAGTAAGACAAAGCCACAGCCACAACTTCACGCTTCACCATATTTAGGACACTAACAAAACAGCATGTGCACAGAGGGAAACTGATGAGACCTTTCACTTATTGAATCTGAATATCATGATAAGATCTATGTTTTACCTGGACATCGGGACTCCGGAATCAAGTACATATCGAGCTTACTCGAGACTCCAGCGAAGATGCACTGAAGCGCTGTTCTTTCGCGCCGTTCTTTCGCGCTGTGTAAAATGTGAAGCCTATTCTTTTCCGCCAATGTATCTATATACGACCGAGAAATCTCGTCCTTTGCAATCCTCTGCCGCTTCTACTTCGTCATAAATAATTTTTGCATGGTCGCCAAGCGTTGTCTTGATTCCATGCTCTTTGCACGCCTGAATTGCAAGCTTCAAGTCCTTGTTCGCAAGAGCGACCCCGAAGCCACCTTCATAACCGCGGCAAGCAGGTGAACCCTCAACAACGCCTGGTACGGGATTGTTGACCTCGCTTGGCCAGCACTTGCCTGTACTGATGTTGATCATACTGGCAAGAGCTTTCGGATCGAGACCCCATTGGATTCCCATATTCATGGCTTCGGCGGTAGCGATGTTATTAAGAGCCAAGAGGTAGTTGTTTGCGAGTTTACCGTGAAGACCGGAGCCTTGGTCACCAAGATGTAAGACCCTTCGCCCCATCATAGATAGCGTCTCAGTAGCTCGGTCGACTATCTCATCGGGGGCACCAATCATAAAGGTGAGAGTTCCGGCCTGGGCTCCCACAACACCTCCGGACATTGGTGCATCGATGAACTTGCCCTGACCAGATGAGTGTGCGGCATCTGCTACTGACCGCGAGGTCATAGGATCAATGGTTGAACAGTCGATGAAAAGCCGCTCTTTGGCAGAGAAACCATTTCTTAAAAGGCTAGGTGGTTCTATCATTTGCTTATAAACGCCGGCGACATGGTGCGGCTCGGGGAGAACAGTAATAATAGTTTCCTTTAGTCCATCAGCATTCTTCCAGAAGAACATCTGTCTGCGGAAAGTGTGGCTTAATGCTAGATCAGAGGATTGGCTTTTCTTATGGTGTAATCAGGATAAGAGTTACAAAACGTAACCCCAACTTAGATCATAGATAGAACAATAGGAAGGGTGCTCATCACGAAACGAAGGGAAAGGGGGGTAATGAGACAACGTACAGATTTCTCGGCAACCTCTCGAACATTGTCAGCGATGCGAACACCCTCAGGATTCTCTTCCAAGAACTTTTTGGTGGCGTTTTTGTTTACATCTTGAATGAAGAGCACGTCGTGGGAGGGGAGCTTCGCCCTAAGGTTCCTTGCCATAGGAAACCCTAATAACAACAAATACAGTAAGTAATACAGTAAGTAATGTGATCGGGATAGATACTTACCCATTCGCCCAAGCCCTATGAAACCCCAAGTTGCTTGCAAATTCTGCGAGTTCGAGAAACCTCTTCGGGAACCCTGGCACACCGTAACCGGACCGATCCGCCTCAATGGCGACGCTATCACGGAAACTGACCGCATCATGGTTGCTGTGAGATTGAGAGTGGTTAGAGCTGAGGAAAGCAGTTAAGAAGTTAAGCAGAGCTGCAGGGTGTCGTTGCAACGATCTCCGCAATTTGAGAAATCTCAGCCGAGGTCGTGCTGCCAGGAAAGAGCCGCTCGAAGAGCCTCCTTGCTGGAAAACCTGTCGCAGAGAGGAAGTGTGGTCAACGTCATGGTTAGAGGGAGAGCAATGCAGACACTATAGAGAGGATCTGCCGCAGACTTCCTAGATGCAGCCTGGTGTTGGAGACAGTGGATTTGAAGTGTGCGAAAAGACCCGAGAGTTTTGCGAATGGGAAAACTGTTTCCGCAGATGCACGTGACTACTAAGCCACTTTGAGATGCTTGGTAACGCTCCGAATGCCTTGGGCAAACCAAATTCCTCCTTCAAATATATCAAACGCCAGCGTATGTTCGAGCTATTATTGCTCCAGTATGACCAAATTTTTCCCAACGCCAACCATGCATTCACATTGAAGAGAGCTGCCATCATCCTTCCATCCTTCTGTCGCCATCTCCATCCCGTTGCTTCTTTGGGGATTGCACCTCATCAGCGTCATCATCAGACACGTCAGAGATATCTACTTGTTGGTGTTGATGTTGATGTTTAGAAAGCGGCCTCCTCTTCCCACCGTGTGAAGAACCAGAGTCGAGGAAGTGGGCGTGCTTGGTTGCGGCATGTAGCTTTGAAGGAGCTTCTGACATGTCGACGACCAGTCGGTCGTCGTAGGCAGCATACGATTCATCCATCTCAAGACCCGCTTTAGAATGTTTTACAATTTTTTTTAATGGGGGGCTAGACTTACAGTTTCATCGAAAAATTGCACCTTGGTCCACTTCTCCTCGTGCGCACTGTGCAGAAATGCCTTAGTCTTCGCTGCTGGAGTAGTGTCTACTGTTTTCTTGACCGTGGGGAGGACGGCTCGTGGCTCTGCGGGTTTTGTGCCATCTTGGGCTTCCTTTTCACGGCGACGAGCTAGTGCATCTAGTTGAGCAGTAGCATCAAGGTGATTGAACTGGGTACGCAATTGCACCATTCCGCTGAGGGTAGTAAGATATAGGTTTTCTAGAAAGTTCAGCAGACAGCACCATAGCAGTGTGGAGCTCCTTACTGCCTTTAAAAGCGCCAACCATGTAATTTGCTTCCCCCTCTTCGGCGTTGATGAGCTTTCCACCAAAGGTCTGAGTGTTCAAGACGTGACCCTTTTCGTTTGCAACCTGGAAGTTATTCACATACTCCTCGATTTCGTCCTCGTCCATAATCGGAGTTGATTGTGCACCGGTCGCTGTAGAGGCTGCCTGGTTAGGAAGTCGAGGAACGTTGACTCTCTCGAAGCCGGAGGCAATGCCCCACGCCTTCTGGCCATATCCTTTCGTCTTTCGCATCGACTCTCCCCACTTCACACCCTGAAGCCTATTGTAGTTGTGGCCAATATCGATGGGCACGTCCACTTCGACGAAGCCTGACTGCAGCTTGGCGCGCAGCTGAGACGGACGACTTGAGCCTGTGAAGGGGAGATCAGGCGGACGGTTCATGTATTGCAGGAGGTGGATCGGCTGTGCCTGCTCGGGAGTGATGAATACATCGTACTCTTGAACAACCGGATCGTCGTCGTCAGTATGTGCTGCGTGGGCTGACATGGTCAATCGTGGTTAGCAAGATTAAGAGCAACGGTCAGCAAAAACAAAGGGCATGTCTTACGAGCCATGTCGAATAAGGCGGGGCGTGAAAGTGTTGTCGGCAGAAAAGTTGAAGCTCTGCCCCGCGTTGCCGGAGCTTGACGCATTGGCGCGTTGGGCTTGGCGCGTCCTCGACGGGGATAATGACGGAATAGATCCGAGGCTGCTATTACTTTCTCATGTTCACCTTCACCCTCTTATCCCTTCCAAATTCTCCGTGAACCGCTAGCAATTGTATAAGCTGCAGGAAACCACAACTATCGTCATGGCATACATAGCTCCAATTCATCGCCCAAGCAGCGTCCGCCACGCTATCAAGCTCAACTTCCTAGCTCCCGATGAGGACTGCCTTGTCGTTGCGTAAGCTAGAAATCTTCTCTTACAATGGCAGTATAGGGTACTCACCGTTGGAGCAGGAAAGCAAATCGCCTCGAATTCTACACCCAAACCTCAGATGGCCTCTCCCTTCAACAGTCGAGGGCCATTTATGGCAAAGTTACTATGCTCCAGAAGCTTCGGCCCGCACTGTCCCCCACCGACCACTTATTCATAGGAACAGATCGATTCATGTACTTCACTCTATCCTGGAATGCGGACACAAAGCAGCTTCAGACGGAGAAAACGTTCGAGAGCGTTACCGACAATGCCGCGCGGGAGTCGCAGACTGGAGAGCGGTGCCACATTGACCCCTCAGGAAGGTTCATGACACTAGAGGTGTACGAAGGCATAATCACTGTCATCCCCCTGGTCCCCAGGGGGAAGAAGAGGAAACAGGAGGCAGACATCGCTCACCTTGGAGAGCCTGTGCCCATACGGGTATCCGAAATGTTTGTCCGGTCGTCGGCCTTTCTCCACCCAAGGTCCTCTGATGATAAGCCAAGTCTTGCTCTTTTATATGAAGATACCCATTCCCAGATACGGCTGAAGTTTCGTGAGCTGTCATTTGCTGGTGGAGACTCAATCGATCTAGACGAAGGCGAGCACTATCGAGGAGAGCTTGAGCTCGGTGCCAGTCACCTGATCCCCATCAAAGAGCCTACCTGTACGTTTGCCCAGGCTTGGGAATAAGGTTTGGGCGCTAACTTCGCGCAGATGGTCTCATCATCCTTGGAGAGACCTCAATTGGATACTATAATGACAGCACAGGAGACCTTACCGTAGAACCGCTCGAGGACGCGACCATTTTCGTGGCTTGGGAGCATGTCGATGCTCAGAGATTCGTATTTGCAGACGATTATGGCCGCCTATATCTATTCATGCTGGTGCTAGATGATGACAGTCGAGTGCAATCTTGGAAACTCGACGTCATTGGTCAAACTTCACGAGCATCGATGCTAGTATATTTAGATGCCGGATACATATTCGTTGGGTCACATCAAGGTGATTCGCAAGTTATTAGAATTGCCGAGAGGTCTATGGAAGTTGTGCAGACTTTCTCTAACATAGCCCCAATCTTGGATTTTACGATTATGGACATGGGCAACCGATCTGGCGAGGGCCAAACCAACGAATACTCCTCCGGCCAGGCTCGAATAGTCACAGGAAGCGGGGCATATCAGGATGGTAGCTTGAGAAGCGTGCGGAGTGGAGTCGGCCTCGAAGACTTGGGACTTCTTGGCGAGATGGAGCACATATCGAATCTGTTTAGCCTCAAATCGGATTTTTCGTCGCATTTCGTGGATATCTTGCTGGTCACATTCGTCAACGAGTCACGCGTCTTCCGTTTCGACCCCCAAGGAGAAGTAGAAGAGGTGGAGGAGTTCGCTGGCCTTTCCCTAGGGGAAACGACTTTGGCCGCTTTGAATTTATCCCAAGGACGTCTGGTACAAATAACCAGCACCCGCGTGCAGATCACCGACTTGGATGGTGGCATGGTCGTAGCGGAATGGTCGCCGTCAGGCGCACAGACAATTACCGCTGCTTCTGCGAATGACACCAACGTCCTAGTTTCTTTAGGAGGTGTGACGATCGTTGCTCTCAGCATTGACGGTGGGCTTAGTGTTGTGAAAGAGAAAACTTTCGCTTCGGACAGTCAAGTGGCCTGCATTGCACTTCCACCAACCTCAGACTCGATATGTTTCCTGGGGTTCTGGCAGAACTCAAGACTCGAGATATGCTCACTCACCACACTGGACACTATTACCGACGTTCAGATTTCCGATGATTCGGTTCCCCGATCACTCATTTTGACACAGATCTTCCCTGACCAACCACCAACACTCTTCATTGCGATGGCAGACGGAAACGTAATCACATACTCTATGAATCCATCCACACACCAACTATTCGGGAAGAAGAGCATAATCCTCGGAACACAGCAGGCAAACTTCCGAGCACTACCACGAGGAGAAGGTCTCTTCAACGTCTTCGCGACTTGCGAACACCCTTCGCTCATCTACGGCTCAGAAGGCCGCCTCGTCTACTCTGCCGTCACAGCCGAAAAAGCCACAATAGTATGTTCCTTCGACTCTGAAGCCTACCCTGGCTCTGTGGCCATTGCAACATCAGAAGACCTTCGAATCGCGCTAGTAGACACCGAGCGCACAACTCACGTCCAGACCCTCAAAGTAGACGAAACAGTTCGCCGAATCGCTTACTCACCCTCACTGAAAGCATTCGGCTTAGGGACAATCAAACGCGTATTAAAAGCAGGAGAAGAGATCATGATAAGCGCGTTCAAACTTGTCGATGAAATTATGTTCAAGGAACTCGACACATACCAACTCAGCGAAGCCGAGCTGATAGAAAGTGTCATGCGGTGCGAACTCGACAACGGTTCTGGCGACCTCGTCGAACGCTTTGTCATCGGATCAGCGTATCTTGACGACCAAGTAGCGGTTGCGGAGCGAGGCCGTATTCTGGTGCTGGAAGTCACAGAGGACAGAATGCTCAAACTAGTCTGCGAACTCGCTGTCAAAGGCGGATGCAGATGTCTTGCTATGTGTGAAGGAAAGATTGTGGCGGCGCTTATCAAGACCATCATTATTTACGATTTCGAGTACAAGACAGCGAGTAAACCGCAGCTCGTCAAAGCAGCTTCTTTCCGATGCTCAACGGCACCGATAGATGTTACCGTCAATGGCTCTATTATCACCATCGCAGATCTCATGAAATCAGTCGTAGCGGTAGAGTACAAGCGGGGAGAGACGGGGCTCCCAGACACTATTGTCGAAATCGCCCGACACTACCAAACCACGTGGGCTACAGCCGTCGCGGAAGTGGACGAGAACACTTACCTAGAAAGTGATGCTGAAGGGAACCTAATGGTGCTTTACCGTGATTCAAACGGCGTAACAGAAGACGACAAGAAGAGGCTGAAGAGAAGTTCGGAGATGCTGCTTGGGGAAATGGTGAATAGGATACGTAGGATAGATGTAGTAACTGCGTCTGACGCTGTGGTTATTCCGAGGGCGTTTATGGCCACGGTAAGTCAAACCACATCTTCATTTCCGCTCCTCTCCTCCAACCCTATGTTCCTATCTTGTTTTCCCTTCCCTACAACCCTACCCACAACCTCGCTAACAAACCGCCATCCACCAGGTTGAAGGATCCCTCTACCTCTTCGGACTAATAACCCCGTCTTACCAAAACCTCATCATGACCCTCCAGTCCAATCTTGCTGAGCTCATCCACTCCCCAGGCGATATCCCTTTCTCCAAGTTCCGCGCATACAAGAACCAGGTCAGAGAGGAAGAGGAGCCGTATCGATTCGTGGACGGCGATCTGATTGAGCGCTTCTTAGACGAGAGTGGGGAAGTGCAACAGAAGGCTATCGAAGGGTTGGGTATGGATGTTGAGAGTGTGAGGGGTATGGTGGAAGGTCTTAGAAGGTTGCACTAACATAGGTAGGGAGGTGGTGGTGAGAAACTGAGAAGGCTTTCATGCTATTGCGGCAAGAGACAGACACTGGCTAGTCTGTTTTTGAGGAGAAACGAAAGACTATGAAGGCATGTAAAATCTAGAGTGAGTGGCTTTAGAAAGTAGAATCATGTCTGCTAAGAAAGCAGCAGATCTAAGAACCATACAACTAGACACGGAATTCTAGCAAGCAAAATTTGCTTCTCTACCTTTCCTGCTTAAACTACAGAAAGCAATTAAAGCACGTTGAATGTACAAAAGTATAGTATACCGCCTAATTTTACACATGTAGAGCTATTATCCTGCCTTATAGTTTAGATAGGCAAGCAGAATTAACATTCTATGCTGTTTCTAAAATGCAGCAGAAAAATCCCTTCGAACCTTTATACTAATTTCTTGCACATCCCTCTTGTTCCCAACAAGCCAACTAAGAGATTTCCTAACATCGGTCATCTACCACGCATTTTCACACACGCATTACAACCCATTCAAAAAGCCAAAATGTACCCGAGCAGGAAGCAAAGGAAGAAAAAAAGCACTGCTTCCAAGGCAGCCAGGCCGGTGCCAAACCCATGAACTCTCAAACTCCCTCTTCCCTGCCCCCAAAACTACTCCCACGACACACCCGAAATTCACCAGCTCATCAGAGAAGCCTCCTCCCACATTCCTCTGCCATGGGTAGGGGCATAGGCGGGGCCGGAGGAAGCAAACTTAGCCTTGTTTTTCTTGCCATACCACTTTTTCTTTCCTTTGTTTGGATTTCCATATCCGGTCATTGTGATTGGTAGTAGGGGTAGATAATTCTGGCTTGTCTCTACCTGCTGCATCTGCATTGGAACAAGAGTGGAGTCATAGATAGGCAAGGGGATGGACCAGGGAGCCGGGACGAAGGTAGGAGCAGCAGGATTCATGTGCTGCAATGGATGGAATGGCTGGGCGAGGGGGTTGAGCATCGATGGGACGGTGACAGTAGACTCAACGTTCGCAATCTTCTGCATCGTCTCACTGGAGATAACTTCGGAGTATGCGTCCTTGCCAGCGTCATCGAGGTGTGCGTGAGCCTCCAAGAAAGTTTTGTCGGCTTTGCAATGGTAGTCCTCTTTGAGTCCCTCCTCGTCCATAGTAGTGAGACCCCAATCGATTTTGACAGCCCTGTAGAAGGACATCATCTGGGTCAGCTCACGAATGAAGACGGCGAGCGGTTCGAAATGGGGGAGGTCAAGCTCGGGAATGGCCCATCGATCTCCAACCCACTCGCCGGGACGGAGGACACAGATTGTCATCTGCTCAATAGAAGAAATTTTCGGGCCGAGTGTGTCCTCGAGCCACTTTGGGACTTTGTTGATCCCGTTCAGGCGCGGTCCGGTCAGAGCATACAGCGTTACCTTACGCGGAAAGTTCCTAAGACCGACGAGGTCGGCAACAATGTGATGGGGGTTGGTAGAGGGGAGGTCGAAGAATGCGCTTGTGTCACAGGTGAGGTAGAGAGTGCCGTTGTCGAGGACATACTGAATGCCATCGGCGGCGACCTTCTCTGCTGCGAGTGTGAACCTGAAGTCCGTGTCCTTACCTCCAGACCCAGCCTCGTCATGATAGGTAACCTTCATCTTTCCTTTAGCCTTAGAATGCAACTGATTGATATCTGGGGACGGGGGGAGGTGATCTCTGTGGACTGAACCTGCAGCAGATACGACCGCACTTCGATCGACTCCGGCAGTGTACTGGGTACTTCCCGACTCGGGCGTAGAGCCACCAGGATTGCCTGGAAAAGGTGGCGAAGCGAATGGGGACGCCTTACGCGATCTGATGTCAGGGATGACTGGGACGGCTGGAATGATGCGTTTTCCAGACATCTTAGTGTTGCTTGTGTTATCCGGGTGTGTTGAATACTTAGCTGTTGAGATACGCCGATTCCGCAAAGTCGGAGAACACCGGTGCTCCAACGACGGCTATGTTGTTACAGGTTAACAGCAGCAAATATATGAGCTGCTGGCGTTAGCGGAGACAAAGGTCGGGACGAAGGAGGACGTGGACAGAGAAGATTGCCACTGACTAGGGTGACTAAGTTGACCTATTGAGGTGGTTGACTGGCTGCCGAGAGGGAAAATTGGTAGCAACTTACACGAAGTCAGTCATAGGTGGGTGTTTTAATTGCTGCGAGAAATACTGATGACCTTAATAGAAGCCCAGTTGTTGTGCTTGGAGAGAAGATTGACGGAGGGTAGGAGACGGAAAGTCGCCTTGAGAAGTGGTAAAGGCTTTCTCACAGGACAGTTAACTGTAGGAGTGGTAATGGTTGTCGATACAACAATAGTGTGTTATTGTGTGGTTGAAGTTGTAGAGGAGGGGGTGGACGTGGAAAGTAGAGAAGGCAAGCAGGAAGGCAAGCCGAACGAGGGTCTTTAAGTCTCAGGAAGGTCGCGATGGTGCGGTGGAGAAACGTTGGACTAGAAGGGAATTGGAGGAAATCCAGGCAGTCGTGTGCGTTATTAGATCATGCGTTAAGCGAGAGGTCGCGGTGAGTAATGGAGGACAGGAGTGAAGGGAGAGATCATGTGTGGTAACTTTGTTTTATGACCTGTGTCCACACCACCACCACCGTCAAGTAGGCTAATACAAACCACGAATGACCGTTACAATCACTCTCAGGAAGCTTGCGCTTGGGCTATTTGGAAAGAATCGATGGCATAAATGCGGTCGACGAAAAGAAGCTGTAGTTTAGGATTGACGAGAGCAGATTTTTGGTCGAGTGAAGTGAAAGTACAAGAAGGATCACAACACCCCGTATGGTTTTCGCCATTTCGTTTGTCCTCAAAACGGCCCCATGCAAATAGAGCTCCAGTTGCGCATTTTGCTGCAGCTTCCCGTAAGATATGCGCTTCCACGGATGTTCGCATGATGCGTAATTTTTTATGTATATGGGCAAGTACGAATGTGGGAATTGAAATATGGAGTTGAAGTGGCCGCTTAATTGACCGCATCAACGCTGAAATCCCAGGCTCAATTAATCGGTTGATAGGGCCTTGTGTTCGGAGAGCACTCCAAGGTCAATTACCGCGTGACAGTCGATGCCATTCATGTGGACGTAATGCATTACTTTAGAACCCCATCTTCATCTTCATTTCCACTCTCTTCATCGTCATCACCCTTGACGTTGTCTAATTCAACCCCTTGTTGTCTGTCTTGCTCGTCATCGTCGTCTTTAAATCCGGCCCCATCTCCGCTGTTTCTTTCCAGGAGTGGCTCGATACCCGTAGTCGCCTCTACCGCAGCCTTGTTTCCTTCCTCTCTTCTACCAATAATTACGCTTCCAGCTACGAGCAAGGCAGCGCCAAGCCACCACAAGCCTGGCAAGGCTTCAGAGAAGATGAGAGCGCCGAGGACCGCGGTGATCATAAAGTTCGCGGAGGTATTGATGACGCTGACACGAACGGTGGAGGATGCGAGGGTGAGTGCTCGTGTGAAGAGGCCCCACATCACTATATTAAAGAGGAGGTTGAGACCGAAGAATATCTATGGGAGGTTAGTAAATTGGTTGGATTTGGCAGGAAGGGTACACCACGTACACCGCGAATGGAGAACTCAACAACCTTGTTCGAGGGACTCAGATCAAAAGCCTTAGATACTGCGCTTGCCCAGGAAGTAGTGAGCTCCGTTGTGGTCCTGATACAGCATCAGTAAGGATAAACGGACGTGAGGATTGCAGTATCGAACAGCTTCGCAAACACGCCATTGAAGGCTGCACATGCCCCACTCGCAATGGCAAGCAGTAACCACGCAGGCTTTGACCGAGCGCCAGCCATGATAAAGGAGTAAGAGGCCAGGTAAGTAGTTTAGTAGAGGCGATGAAGTTGCTTAAAGTCCCGGGTATGGAACTCGGAAGTCCGCTCATTGATAGTTTGCGCTTAGTCAACCCCGGTAAAACCAACATCGCAGAACGTCTCCACACCGCTTTGAGCCGGGTTCTGTTCGACCTAGTAGTCCTATTGAAATGACTAAACGCTTAGGATATAGCTCCATCTTCTATGTCTAGCAAACAGCAGGTCCTGAGAAGTAAGCTGTTATTTGTATCCTGCCATTAATCTTATCACGAAATCTCAGGAATGCATTTCACCACCCATATGGAACATAAAAAGGTAGATATAGTGTACAAGCGCATATTGAATTCACTGTTGCTCTAATTCTAGAGAGATCCTTGATTGATTCGTAGTCTATGAGCGAATGCAACTGTAAAAGGATGAACCATGCCGTCTCACTTCTCCTGGCTTCCTGAACCCTGGAATCCGGTCCAAACGCCGAGCCTGTCCCGAGAACACCAGCCTATGCAGAAGATATCGAAAGAACCCCGCTGACACAAAACGCCTCCCATGAAGGTGCCAGAGCCTAGAGCCCACAGTCCACTGCCCATACCGCCACCATCCTTAGTACGGTTCGTCCTTCCATATTCACGGGTATGCGTCTTCCCAGTTCACCTTTGGTGCTGGCGGCATTACTGCCAAGATAGCCTCAGCAAGACGCCGGTGGAGTCCTAGGCTACAGTGTGCAGCTTTAAGCCTCACCAGGGCGTTTGGTGTTGCAGCTAACTATCTTGACCTTGTCTGCGTGGATCGGGTTGGTGTTGTCCAGTTTGAAGCTGATATCTTTGATGATGAAAGTCCACACTTCGTCACAGAATCGGTAGGTATCGAGATGGCCCTAGAAGAACCACCACTCAGCATCGATAACTACAACGTAAGCTAGGACATGCCCACCTTGAAAGTCAAGCGGGCCTTGACCTTGTCAGCCAGCACTTCTGCGATGGCCTTGTCAAAGTTTGCGAGCACTTTCATGGCGAGCTGCGGCTCGATGCGGCGGTCGGTGATCAACTGATCCAGCGTGTCTGTCAGGGCGCCACCGAGACTGGGTGCGTTAGCCGCGGATCAAGCTGGCCTCTCGAGGGGCACTGAGTGTGTACCTGCTCCTGCGATAAAGCTCGTAGTACTTGGTTTCGGCCATGTTGACGAGTTTCGTGGGGAGCAGGTGGGTAGTGTTGAGGAGATTGAGCACGAAACAGTGTGAGGTCTCATCAAGGCACCGGCCGTGACTAAGGCGGAAACGGCGCTAGCGGCATGTTCCGCGCTCCAGCCATCATCGTCAGCTCTCCGTGCTTCCATCACCAAGGAGAGCTTCCCAAACAGCCGCTATCGCCTTCCATCCTCCCCCAATCCTCCGCTGCTCGACATGTCTCTCACATATGGCTTAGGCGGTGGCTCAGTGGCATTAGGTGTCGTTGGCCTGTGTAAGTTCTTTTGGTGATGCGGACGTAGGCAGTCACTAATCTGCATCTAGATATGCTTTTTAATGGGGAGGGCGAAGCTTTCAATGTATGTTCTTCCAACTGCGGCCAATAGCTATTTCTAAGCACTACGTACCAGGTCGGACAATTCCTCGAAAGCGTATCACCTTACACATGGGCGAGCATGGGAATAGGGCTCTGCATCGGCCTATCAGTAGTTGGATCGGCATGGTATGCCCGTCATACGCACGCTTGAAGTTGCGAGGTTGACCATTGCTAGGGGAATCTTTACCACCGGAGTATCCATCGTCGGAGGAGGTGTCAAGGCCCCAAGGATACGGACGAAGAACCTCATCTCTATCATCTTCTGCGAAGTCGTGGCCATTTACGGCGTCATCATGGCCATCATCTTCTCCTCCAAACTGAACTACGTCTCCGACTCAGAGAAGCTTTACTCAGCCCGCAACTTCTACACCGGGTATGCCCTGTTCTGGGCTGGCATCACAGTGGGCATGTGCAACCTGGTTTGCGGCGTTTCCGTCGGAATCAATGGAAGCAGTGCTGCATTAGCAGATGCTGCAGACCCCAACTTGTAAGCATGTCTCCGTCATTTGCTATCAAACTCAAGATTCTTACAAGTTTCACTTAGGTTCGTCAAGATCCTCGTCATTGAGATCTTCAGCTCCATCCTAGGACTTTTTGGCCTAATCATAGGCCTGCTCGTTCAAAGCAATGCTCCAGACTTCGAGTAGGGTATATGTTAGACAGTAGGAGGATTTAAGTTGGACTGCGATGCTATCGGGAATTTATTAGACTAGGCCCCCTTTCAGGATAACCGGATTTGAAAGTGCATATCGAAGCGCAGGCATTGCGGTTCTTGAGCGACGGGTTTTCTTTAATCTGCACACTGTACATAGGGCCCTGTATTATGCATGTATCATGAGTGAATTGCATCATTATCATCCGCAGGGCTCGTGATGTTGACAAACCCGACGTGCATCATGATCTGCGCTAGCATAGCAAGTAGGGTGTGGCCCGAGCTCACCTGTTCGAATAAAGCATCAGCGAGGTCGACCATCTCCATGCTCCACATCCTCTTTCCTCACATTTCAACCATGACCAACACAAAGCTTCAAGTAGCAATACTCATCGTCTCGGAAACAGCGGCCAAAGACCCGTCCACAGACAAGTGCTTCCCAGTTCTCAAAGAAGTCTTTAACAATCTTAGCAATGGCCAATGGGAGATCGTAGCAGCCGGCGTCGTGTCGGACGCCATTCTCGACATCCAGAAATTCATACGGAAGTGGAGCGACTGGGAGGATGCAGTCAATCTGATTGTCACTAGTGGGGGCACTGGGTTTGCGGTCAAGGACGTTACTCCAGAGGTAAGAATCTCGAACTTGCTTTCTCCGGAGACGCAATCACTGATGCAATGATAGGCTGTATCGCCTCTGCTGAATAGACAAGCTCCTGGACTTGTGTGGGTATCGACTTCACACTCTTGAATCATCTCTTCTGATCATCTTTTAGCTATGGCATGCTAGCTTCATCATACGCGGTCACTCCATGTTTGTGATCCTAATGTCACATGACTTGATATCCGCTAACTTCTCCTAGTCGCACTGATGTCAAGACCTGTGGCTGGTGTCCGCAAGAAGAGTCTCATTATAACGTTGCCTGGATCACCGAAGGGTGCCAAAGAAAATCTCGAAGCCGTGATCAAACTGCTTCCTCACGCATGCATACAAGCAGCAGGAGCAGACTCGCGGCTTCTCCATGCTGAAGGATTGAAAAAGCTTGAGGAGGAAGCTGGTGTCTTGTCTCCTTCTAACCAAGGTGGTGAGAGCGCTTAAAAGTGTACTTAACATATTGATACAACTAACGCCGGTTCTAGGACCGGCAGGTGGATATCCCCATCACCATTACAGTCATGGACATGGGCATGAACATGATCATTCACATAGCCATGGAGGCCATGCTATTCCAAGAGCTCATACCAGATCAGAGGGTCGACCGCAGTCGAACGATCCTAATGCAGGGCCAACACGCAGGTATAGATCATCGCCCTATCCGATGCTTGCCGTAGATGAGGCTTTGAAGCTCATATCACAACATACGCCAGCACCGATAGTACAGAAAGTTCCAGTTGACATGTCCCTTGGGGGTGCGGTACTAGCAGAAGATGTGAAGGCTAGAGAATCTGTTCCAGCCTTCCGGGCAAGCATCGTCGATGGTTATGCTGTTCGGATTCCAAAGTCTGCGAAATTTGCCAAAGGGGCTTATCCCGTTGCCCTTGTATCACATGCTCAGGCAGGTGATGTTAAGGAGTTGAGAGAAGGCGAGATTGCAAGAATCACGACTGGCGCCCCGCTTCCTCCAGGCGCAGACGCTGTGGTCATGGTGGAGGATACCGCCCTAAAATCGCAGACTGATGACGGAAAGGAAGAGAAAGAGGTGGAAATTTTGACCGATGACATAAAAACAGGCGAGAACGTCCGAGAAGTGGGGAGCGATGTCAAAGAGGGAGACATCATCATGAAGAAGGGAGAAGGCGTCACAGTAGTCGGCGGCGAATTCGGCTTGCTAGCATCCGTTGGCACGACTGAGGTTTCTGTGTACAAGAGGCCGATAGTCGGCGTCCTAAGCACAGGAGACGAAATCATTCCGTATGACAGACCTGGCCCCCTAAGGCTAGGGGAGGTTCGAGATACGAACCGACCAACGCTCATCACTGCGACCCGAAGTCATAGATTCCAAGCCGTAGATCTAGGCATAGTATCAGACAAGTACATACAACTTTCTATACTCTCTATACTCTCTATATCTTTTACGCTAACTTTATAAAGACCTGGTGCCCTCGAGCAAACCCTTCGTGATGCCTTCCGCAAAGTCGACGTCATCATCACCAGCGGCGGCGTCTCTATGGGCGAACTCGACCTCCTCAAACCAACCATCGAGCGCTCCCTCGGTGGCACAATCCACTTCGGCCGCGTCAATATGAAGCCCGGAAAGCCTACTACCTTCGCCACTATCCCCGTCAAAAACGACGCTGGAGAACACGCTACCAAAGCAATTTTCTCATTGCCCGGAAACCCCGCTTCCGCGATCGTCACTTTCCACCTTTTTGTGCTGCCGTCATTGCATCAGGCGAGTGGGATTAAGCCGTTGGGATTACCGAAGGTGAAGGTCACGCTCGAGGAAGATATTAGGATGGATCGGCAAAGACCCGAGTATCATCGTGCTTTAATAGTCACCAAGGAGGATGGTTTGCTGTATGCGAGTAGTACTGGGGGTCAGCGTAGTTCGAGGATCGGAAGTTTCAAGGGGGCGAATGCGTTACTGTGTATGCCAGCAGGCCAGGGGGCGATGAAGAGGGGAGGGTGCGTGGATGCGTTGTTAATGGGGAAGTTGGGGGAGTTTGAAGACTGAGGTGTGGGATATTAGGAGCAGACTAGGATTGATGTACGTGCAGAATATTATATCATTTTTTAGAACGAACTCTTATCGGTTAATGTTTTGCTAATTATGATAATTATGACAATTATGACTCGATACCCTCACGATGCGTTCCGAAGTTCCCACAGATATTAACAACCTTCATTAGCCATAACATCATTACAAGGACAATACACACACAATACTCATACAAGCTCCTCCCCTTCGCAATTCTAAAAACCCCATTCTAACGAAAGCCATCCCCCCTACCCACCATACTTCGAGCCCACCCCCAACGGCATCTCAGTCAACACCTCACTCGAATCCGACTCCACTAAAATTGTCTTACGGTATGCCCGCGTCTGCTGAACCTGTGCTTCATAATGCTGCTTCAGCTTCCTTTGCCTCTTTTCCCTCTTCAATACCCAGAACATCGCTCCTAACAAGCCTAGAAGTAAAGCACCTAGTACTCCGCCGACCGCGACACCAACAACCTTACTCCTATCCTTTGGACATATCGCATCAAGAGTAGACTGGGGTGTCGCGCTGGCCTGAAATGGAATGCCAGTCGACACGGCTGTCGCGAACACAGACTTGGGTTCATTCGTACTAGGACTCGATACCGCGGAAGCCACCGAAGCCGTCGCCGTAGAAACACCAGCCGTAGACGTAGCGAACTTAAACGCGCCTAGGAACGTCGTTTTGACCTTTGGCGCGGTGGAATTGTTGCAGCAATTGTTGTGGTCGTCGACAGCGCGACAGCAATAACTTCCGTAATCGCACATTTGGACATTCCATGCTAGCACTTTATTCAGGCCATTGAAATTGTTGGTCGCTAGACTTTGTGTTAGCGTGCTTGTGCTCCTTCCAAGATTACTCCAATGTTGGAAATTGGGGAGAGAGGGAGTAGTGTGCAGGTACATACCATCTGGACACATCTTCGGACACCCCGCATCCTTGCCGGTTGAATCGGTACAACCATCTTGCCATATCGTGCCCATGTATACTCCGCTCGTCGCCATGCACAACCCATTGTCTAGACAGATGTCGACGGAGCCGGCAGGACGGTGGATAGCGCAGCAGCCAGAGTGGCGGGCGCCAGGCTTACAGGGTCCATATGTAGAATCGAGTTTTGTCCCATCTAAACCATAACAGGATTGTTCGGCGGCCGCGACTGTGGATATGAGAAGAAGGAAGAAGAGGGCTAGAGGAAGGAGACCACGGATCGGAACGGCGGATTCCATCTTGTGACAGAACGACTTCAAGCTCGTCACGAAGCGCAAGGCACGCGCATGTGCAAACGAATGAAAGTAGGCAAAATGGCAAAAACAGAACTAGAAAAACATGGGAAATAGGAATATACTTAAGGCTTTCTTCAGCCAGAGCCTGTGCGACATACAAGCACGGCTCGAGAACCAAGCATCTCAACCCGACAACCACTGCTCCCATCTGAAACGCCAGTAAATCTCCGAAATTGCGCGCCGCATGCTGGGGTAACGTAGTTCAGGTCAATTTGACACAAAAAAGTATACATATACTAGGTTGTCTAGGTTCAAGGTCCGATACATCTCAGCCTCGGCCAGCAGAAGCGAAGTCCGTTGCGGGCGGAGAATAGACCAGACCTCCGATATTGCGTACGCGAGGCCTTTCTCGTGCGCTCGATGGCTGGCTGAAGGCTCGAGCCTAGAATGGCGAGAGTAATGCCTGGAGATAGAGAGTGTGGTTGGAGTTGATGGAGTGAGAAGTCAAGGCATGAACGCTGCCAGCCGTCGTTTGGAGTCTGCACCTTTGCTGGCTTATCCGTGAATACGATTGGTCTGTGCCACCACCCTCGCACAGATCAAGGGGTTCGAATAAACTCACGCCAACCATTTCCCGTCAATGGATCGGCGCGGCTGTCAATGCGCATCACGAAGATTGACAGGGCATTGAGATTAACGAAGAGTGAGAGGCGACCTGTCAAACGTAAGGCGTCATCGCCTGTAGTTGCTCTTTAAACCCGGTTGATGTCAAGGTCAGACCAGGCATTGGACGAGAGGATCCCAGGGAGGCTGAAAGGGGGTAGAAGGCAATGGGCAGGATATTGCTCAGGCTCGAGACATTATTGTTTTTCTTGCGTGGCACCTCATTTCCTCCTTTTTCTTTGATCATTTCTTTCATTCAATTGGATTTTAGACATGACATGGATGGGGCGGCACAGCAAGGCTCACCCAGACCCTCAGCTTCATTCTTCTTTAGGATTTGGTATCCCGTACTGAACACACACAGCCTAATAGCTAGCGAAACAAACCCTCTCAACGCTCTGCATCTTGTCACCAAACACGGAACGTGGCAAGTATAATTTAGAACATAATTTTAATCCTCTTAACACTCTCCCTTATTCTAGCAAGAGCTTTAAATAATCTACTCTGCTCTGGTACTATTCTACATTTGTGACAAAAGGTTGTACAGCATGATCGTGCCGAAAGTGGAATGCAGATTTAATCGGTCAATTCTCTAACCAGGTTGTTAGAATTCGGGAGAATGTTAACAGGATGAACTTTTCTGTCCTAAATTACCAGCCAGTCATGTTCCCCGTTAGATGACAAGATGCAAAAGGAAGTCCTTTTCCCGGCAATCCCCAACTACAACCATGCAAATCTACTCTCTTGTGGCCCTATCATCACCATGATCAACCTCCTCCTTACTCGGCAACCAACCTCAACCCACTTTTCAGACATTTTCCGACCTGCACCTTAAAATATCTCACCAATACTCCACCTTCGCCATCACGCCATGAAGCTCATATCTCATTCTCGCAGGCAACATCTGACACCTCATTGACTCTGCCTCCCTGTTTTCCTCCCTTCGAATCCTAACTTCTCTGTTCCGGAAAGTTTTCTTCGCATTCTGCAGCCACGAATTCTGTAGCAACATATTCACCATAGGTCTGGAGTGCGCGGGAAATCTAGAGAAAGAGCCTTATCTAAAAAAAGAAGCTATTTTTGTTGAATCGGAAGAAGTGTGAAATTCTAGGGACGATTACCACGCTGTTGGGATGCATGGACTGAGGCGGGATACATGATCGCGCATGTGTAATTTCAGCAAACGCCAGTGGTTCCGACAGATTATAGGATAGAATGAAGAAGTGCACAACCCAGCTCACACCAACATTTCTGAGCTCAGTCAGCAGGTCGAAGCCGACAACTCATCGAGATCCACTACACATCCCGGAAAAGGTCCAGAGTTCGATTATAATAGTAAAACGCAGCGCGCCATTGACAACAGAGACTTCAAGCCCAAGTCATGCTAGCAATCTATTGACATGTGCATACACGACTGATCTTCTAGGAGAAGTGGAGTGCGCGCAGAAGGGTGTGAAAACGTGGGTGCTTAGACATGCACATGTTAGTAGGCAGTTTGAGAAAGCTCAGACTAGGGATTGTGAGTAATCAGTGAGGGTGTATGCGTTTTGGACTGGATGGGATAAAGGGTTTGCAGCTGAAGGTAGCGAGGGGAGGCGTGATGGTCAGAAGGCGTATAGCGTCAGATATCAGTGGGGAATTCTTTCATCATGGTTCCTGGGCTGCTAAGTAACCAATGGAGCCTTCCATACCACTCTTTTCTTAAGTGAGACCATATTCATCTAACATACTAGCTAAGCAGTCCCCTTGAACAGATGCAATGCCGATGTGCATGTGGTTCGCAGTATTTCCTCGATGAGGTCACGCTGCCGTCTCAAACATTTACTTTCTACTGACTAGATTAGCCGTCTCAAATGGTCTGTCACAAAAATTTGTTCTAGCATTGCTAAATTTTGCTCATGTATGCCCTATTGGTTGTAACAGATCGTGGAGGAATCGTTTAGGTGAGCAGTATGGCAAGGGCTCTCTCCGGAATTTCCAACGCGGAAAGATGAACAATAGGAGTCTTCTATCCTCCAATATCTTGTCACCTTCATTATTCCAAGGTTTAGCCTAGCCGGAAATGTATGTTTATCGATCAAATTTGTCCCCCTTACTGCTAACTTCAACTAGGGCAATAAAGAAGGAGTATATGTTCGAGCACATAGAAAAATTTCGTAAGACAATCCGCTTCGTACGAATCCACGAAGAGAAGTGAAGCTAATCTCGTGGGATTATCCTTGCAAACACTTGAATCCTAAATTTAGCAATTCGTTACGGAGCACACTCGCACCGCCGCGGAGCGGGACTTGAGCATCTCGCGCGAGAATTGAAGACTGACGCCGCTTCCTTCATTTCCAGAAATAACAGATATTTCGGAGACGTCATGAAATAGTGCACGAATGATGGGATTATTCAACCTGGAAGGAATTATCGGCGTTAATTTAAGAGCGACATTGCTCGGCATAGAAGTGGTTTTCACTAATCTCCTTTGATCTAACTTGTCTTGCTATTTTTCAGCACTGTCAAAGAACAACCTTCTTCCCCTAGTTAATTTTAGAAGTCAGGATGCCTGGATAGATAATATAGAACGTCCCAGCCTTTCCCGTCTAATCGGGCGCTGAAGTCTACTCATAATCTTCCTAGTTCAGAATACTAGGTCTCTGTGCAGGAAGATCGGGGGATCTGTCCTGCGCTCTAACACGTTGCAGTGGCTCGACTGAGGCAGTATCTCTCCGCTTTGCGAAAATATAAGCTGCTAGTGCCTCAGACAGCTTCGTTTTTGATTCATTGACTTCGGCGGCTCTTCCGCTTCAATACAGGATCTTCCTCAGTCTCTTTACCTTTTCCGCAGTCCCATTCATTCTCAGATTAATATTCCTAGTACTTTTTCTGCTGGTGAAAAAGGTAGCCTAAACAGCTACAACAAGAAGCAACCGTCCAGGATTGTGGTCTAAAGGAGGTGCTTTATCCATGATCGGCCTATCCGTCGTTCTGACGCCTTGCGACATGCACCGCAGTAACCCAAGTAGTTGGCGCGCTTCAGTTTGCGTCTACCAAGGTGCTCGAAACGCCTTTGCGTATCGTTGGTGGGAAGGTATTGCAAACTCTACAGATGAGTGCGTTTGCGCTCTCCACACTCATCATTGCTGTGGTTTATTCCGTGGGATTAAAGCAAGATAGGGATAACACTTCGACGCCCTCTAAGCCTCCTGATGCTAAAAGGGTAGGAGGAGGCGCTGTAAAGGGTAAAGAGCACTGTAAGTAATACCACCATCACCATTGGGGGGTGGTGTTTAATGAAAGGGCTTCTATGGCTGCACATGAGAGAAGAAGAATTCTAATCCTAAGAATACCTTGGCTAGTCACAGTGTATAGCTAGTCAATGTATCTAGCCTGGGGGAGATTAATATCTAGTTTGACTAATGCTTGCACCATTGTTTGCCAGCCCCAGACCACTGGTCACTTCCATCTCCAGGTCTATGTGCATGTAATAGGAAACTAACTCACTCAACATAAATGGTCATGAAATGAGACCGTGTCTGTAAAATCTAGGCTTCTTCTCAATGTTCTCATTACTTGTACGCCTACCTCTCTCCAAATATGCTTTAGTCCGGACCTCCGTAGATGTAACGCCTCACCAAGCCTGACCACCAAAACACCCATAATGTAGCAGATAGTGTATCACACTGTTCGTGAACACGGACTACTCTTACAAGCCTCAACCTCACGGTTGAACAGGCAACAGGTAGGGTTACCGTCCTAATCCCAATATGGGATGCTCTATCCAATACTTAGTATCTCCACAGCTTTCCCGCCCCGTCCGTTCGCCACCACCACCATTCAAAGATACCATCCCTAGCCACACTATCCCAACCTCAATTTCCCACAATCTAAATCATCTTCTCGTCACGCAGTGCCCCCCCTAGACTTTCATTGGGGCATCTTAATCCCAACTTCCACCACTTCTGCCCAAGTCCAATCCCAGTACTACCATGCAACCAACGACTCCAGCGGCGTGCTTCTAGAAACCCGACCTATGACCGGAAATCCGTATCCAATGTCGCTGTGTTTTGCCCCGCTATTAGCCCTATCAAATCCATCACAAACACTAACATACAAGCACTAGCACCGACACATCTGAATCTCTAAACGAAAAGCCCCATCTTGTTGCGCTTGTATCAGCAATGTCGAGCATAAGCTTCGGTGGCTTAACAACAGCAACAGCATTAGAGTGTAGCTGCCAGACGTGTGTTAAAATGTTTTGAGTCGGCTGATCCTGTCTGTGAAGGATATGCAGGGGATTGAGGGTAAGGCTGTGGAGGTCGGAGAGGGGAATCGGGAGGCTGTTGAACAGGGGATTGATTGGGTGTGATTTGGAACGACCCGGGGTTTTGTAATTAATGAGAGAAGGTAAAGGAGTGAGGTGGAGGGGGGCTTGATTGGGCAAGACTTAGAATTTAAAGCCTACGGGGATTGAGTTAGACTTCAAGTTGAAAGGGAGGACCCTAAGGACTGATGTATAATAGGAGACATATTAGGAGACATTAGGGTGGTGTTGCACATACCTTCGTGTCCCCACGTCGCCCTTTGGATTTCTCGACGCTACCGGAGCCGCTCAAGCAGCATTTTATGTGTAAACTCCTTTCCCTAACGTCTTTGCTAGGTTATAACCCTAACGACTAGGAGTTGCAATCCCTGTCTTTTCCAACATCTTATAATATACCCGGGCGGCTCCATTAGTCTTAATACAGAGAGGCACACAGGCAGATAAGTGCCAGGCGTTATAATCAAATACATTCCCATCTACTTACAATGTCTCTCACCCATATCCCCGATACCCGGACGCCAATGCCAACACCCCCTCCACCCTAAGCCTACGCCTATCCAGTGTATAGAGTATCTATCCTATCCTATCATCTCTGCCAAGATAGTGCTGTGCTATATAATTTGTCATATCCCCAACGCCACTGCAATGCCAAACACCCGGTAGGTAGAGCCTCTTCTCGCATGTGCCGGGCCGAAGGAAATCTTAAAAGAACACCCAGCTATATATATTCATTCACTCAAATTGATCATCCCTCCTCCCCTCACCCCTCTCCAACATCGGGCTCAACGGCCCGACATCAATCGGCGGCGGGGGCGCCCCAATCAAGCTCTTCCGATGCGCACGGGGGCTCTTATCTAATGTTTCCGTGGCCTCCTCCACCATCAAACTCTGCTGCACCGCGTCCCCCTCGCCCTCGTCCCCTTCCTCAAACCCGCGGATCTCCAACCGCAATCCTAGAATCTGCTGTCGGAGATCATCTATGAAAGCCTGCATTTGCGGAAACGGGAGTTTGACAGCCCCAGAAGCATTTTCTGTGTTAAAGTTGTATAATCGCAAAGCAGTATCTAGACAGCGCTCTGCTTGCAAGGCTTTAGATAGGCGGAGCCAGGTTTCGGCGGCGAGGACGGACCAGAATGCGGCTTTTCGGCGGCGCGCACCGAGGTTCATGGACCCGATGCCGGTGCGGATCGAGTAACATGTGGATATGCGTTCTGTGAAAAGCGCGTGGCCTACAGGGCCTACGATCCCGGTTTCTAGGATGCGGGACGCCCAACGTGCAGCGTCGTCCGCAGCCGAGGAGCCGCGGAGACGGAGGAGTTCGAGACCTAGGGCGAGGGTACGAAGGGCGTAGTAGGGAGTTGGTTTGAGTTGGCGGTCTGTGTAGCTGTATACGGCTGCTTCGATCCAGGAATCGATGTTCTCAGTTCGGGTCTTGGAAGAAAGGGGGCTGGTGGAGAGCAGGGCGGATAGGGCCGCCATTTCGACAGCGCCGGCGTAATGCCGCCATGCTTTGTCGTTGTTGAAGTCTGTGCGGAGAATGTCATACGTTGAGAGGGCGAGTTTGAAGTCCCGCAGCATGAAGCAGTAATCCGCCAGTTTGCGCATTAATGCTTCGGGCGCGTCTGGTCGGTAGAATTCTTGGATACTATCATAATTGGAAGACGAGCCTACGGTCGGAGAGGAGCTATTCCGGCTGGAGCCAAATGGTGTCCAGCGTTTTGATAAGGACATGAAGCGGCCTGAGAGACCTCGTCTCCGGGCGAGGACTTGCTCGTTCCAGGTTGCGACTTTGCGCTCCATGTTAGGAACAACGGATTGCACAACGAGCTCGCGGACGAAGGTTCGAATAGCTGTGATATCAGAGTCTGGGAGGTAAGGTGTGGGGTCTGATATGTCGTCGGTGGTTTCTGAGAGCAAGATCAGCACAATTTGATACTACCTGAAGCGATGTAAAAGCTTCATGTGACAAACTTACCTCGCTTCTGTATCTCTGCCAGCTCTTCTGCAGCAGACATCCACTCACATATCGGAAGCCGCACACTGTCATCATCAGATGGGATGCATTGCTGGCTCTTCAGTCGAAGGAGATGGCAGTGGAATCCAAAGTGCCGCTTCATCGATTCGAACGTCTGGTTAGAGTGGGCAATGTCCCCTGTCTCTTCATCATGGACTAAAACATAATATCGAAGGTAATCGTTTTCGACGAACTGAGGCATTCGGAGCGCACCGTCATGTTGGAGAGCATAGAGTTTGCGTATCTCTTCTGTTGGATTTGGATGTCGCGAGCTCACCGCAATGACGCATGCCACGGGGTGGGCGAAGGTTTCGTGGGACACTACCGGCAGGCCAGACAGTAGCCGCCGTAGATATAGAGTGTGAAAGGGAGATGAAGAGGTGTCGGACTGGGAAGGTGCTTCTTTGTGATTGAGGTAATCAGGGACCATATCGTGGGTGTTGAACTCGGAATATTGCAGATGGCGATCCACTAGCTCTTCAATCTGTCTAACATGACCGCCTGTCCGTTGTGGGCGAGGAACACCCGACGAAATCCTGCCGCCCGCACCCTGCCCCGTCACTGTGTCCATTCGAAGCTCTGAATTCCGTCCTGCTGAGGTTGGCGGTACTAGTCCGTCACGGACGCCAACAAATCTGATGCCAAAATCCTCATGGCTCTTGCTAGCGCCAATACTGTCTCTTATCGTTACTTTTCCAGGTACCAACTCCCCAAACGGCCGTAGCAGTTGCAACAATCCTCCTTCTAAACCCTTCCCCCGCAGCATCGCCTCTGTCGCTTCGTCCGCCAGTACCGCCACATGGGGCACAAAGGCGCGCTGTATGAGGTTTCTGTGTTCATCTGACACGCCTGGAGGCAGACTGCCTGGTGTTCCTGTGCCATTCTGTGTCGATGCCTGGGAGAATACGGAGCTAGGAACTACTGAGGCGGTGGGAGTTGCGGTGCCGGAGCTTGGGCGCGAGCCCGAAATTGAGGCTGTCGACTCGAACAGCTTCTGCAGAGAGGGGTTCGATCTTCGGTAGGGAAGGGAGGCGAGGGATGAAGCCGGCGACGCTCGCTGCTTGGGCAGGACCATCGAGGCCTCGAGGTCGGCGGGATACTGGGGGGGCTTGGGCGTGGCATCTTGCAGCGGCGTCATGGGAGGCTCGGGCGGTGCGCCCACGAGGAACGGATTGCGCGCGCAGTTTCTAGGGGTACGGGCATGTATTCGGGCAGGGAGTCGTCTCTAGGGAGCGTTGGATGCGGTATTAATGGCAGTGTTGGGGCGTTTGCAGGCTTGAAGTCAGCGATGGGGAGTGACCACCACATATCTTCGTTGGCCCCATTGAGCTTCGGAACTCCGTGACTGGAGCGAACATCGAAATCTCCATCGTCGCCACAACTCTTTTTCACGACGCTTCTTCTGGGCCATTCGCATCCGAATGTACATCTCCTCCATCGGAAATCCACTAGAAACGTTCTTGCTGGGATAATCTGGTCCCTTTCATCGTTGGACGCCGCTATCTTGACTCCCATGAATGCTATTTATGAGCCTCCGCCTCTGTTCACCCCGTGCCTTCTCCCTCCTGATAAAACGTGCAGGTGATTTATCCCCACGTCATTTTCCACATCCAAAACTGCCCTACTCCGTTTGCTCCTTCACCTGCAAACAATTTCTCCCCGCTTGTCACTACATGCTCACGGAGAAAACTCCAACGTCAAACCTGCAAAACGAGCCGCGCCCCAAGCGGAGGAAAATTGACTTCTCTGTTCCTTGCTCAATACAGCCCTTTGGAACCATGGCATCCAAATCGGGCTTAAACCCTACGACTATTGAATTGACCGAAGTCGAAGCGAAACTTCGTCACTTGCTTCTGGATGTAGCTGCCTTTGTCGATGAGACGTCCGTGCCCAAGACCGCCGAAGCTGGAGTGGTCGTGCCCGATGAGCTCTCAAAGGAGAAGGTTGTGTTGCGCTTCACCGGGGGCTGGGTTCGAGACAAGCTACTCGGGGTCGATAGCCATGACATTGACGTTGCCATCAACAAGATGACGGGCTACCAGTTCGGCATGAAATTGAAAGACTATCTTGAGATTCCCGGAAACCCGGCAAAATATGGACTAGAGCTGCCAGAAGAGGAAAATAGCAAGTCTGGTGGAAAAGACAAGAGTAGAAGGGTCGCTCCAGGACTCTACAAGATTGAAGCCAACCCGGAGAAGTCCAAGCACTTGGAGACAGTTACCACCAAGATCATGGGCTTAGACATTGATCTCGTTAACCTCAGGAAGGAGACATATACAGAGGAAAGCCGTAATCCACAGATGGAGTTCGGGACCCCGGAAGAAGACGCTATGCGCCGAGACGCTACCGTCAACGCCATGTTCTACAATCTCAACACCTCCGAGATCGAGGATTTCACGGGTCGGGGATTCGAGGATATGGATGGAAAGATCATTCGGACCCCACTAGAGCCGTATCAAACCTTCAAAGACGACCCGCTACGGGTGCTCAGGTTGATCCGTTTTGCGAGCAGGCTCAACTACAAGATCGACCCGGAGGCCGAAAAGGCCATGGGCAATCCTGATATTAAGGATGCGTTAAGAGCCAAGATCAGCCGAGAGAGAGTCGGTATTGAAACGGAGAAGATGCTCAAAGGGCCGGATCCACAAATGGCTCTAGCACTCATTGATAGACTTGATCTCTACAACACCATCTTCATCGACCCTACGAGACCAAACAACCATCCACCAGATCTTGAATATCTGTCCCCTGCGTATAAGTTTGTTGAGTGCTATTTGCGAACCGCAAAGCCAGACATACCTCAAATTATTCCCAAGACATTAATACGGAACGAGGAGGAGCAGTATTTTGCCTGGATCTGGGCAACCCTTATGCCGTGGGTTGATGCGCCTATGGTACCTCACTCAAAACCCACCCAGCGCCCTTTTTATGCTGCTACGCTAGTTGCGCGGGAAGGCATCAAAGCGCCAAACAAGATCTGTGATGTTGTTACCGCCTGTCTTAGGGATGGTGAAGATATTCGGAAGCTGGTGGACGCCTGCTACACTCAACTCAGGCGGCCGAACGCAAAGGCTGCTGGAGAGGACCCCACTGCTAGGGACACATTAGGTATGGCCATCCGGCGGTGGGGTCCGACATGGAGAAGCCAGCTTCTATTCTCCCTCATCTACGAGATTGTACTTGGGTCAATCTCACAAGAGCGTAAGTGACCACCACCCTCGAGCTTGACATTCGATTAATTTATTCGAAGAAATATTCAACTCTTACTCAACATTCCTCAACCAGCTTTCTAAATACGGTATCCTCGAGGCCTACACCTTCAAACCACTCATCACCGGCACCGAGCTCGCCAAAGCCCTGAACACGAAACCCGGTCCATGGATGAGAGACGCCCTCGACATCGTTATGGCCTGGCAGCTCCGCAACCCCGACATCGCCGATCCAACCGAAGCCATTGAAGCTGTGAAAGAAAACCGTACAGCCGCCATGGCGGGCAAGCAGAGTGAGCTACCCTCCCGCCTCGCATCTCACTTCCTTCAGCTTACCATCCGCCCCCTCTTCTCCCAGAGTAACTCCAAACCTCACCCAAACCTCACACCGGCTGGCCGCGCAGCCCCATCTCATCCCGACCAAAAGGCACAATTTCCGGACGATACCAGCAAGGCGCCGTGGAAGGACCCGAAAAATGGATATGCGATAGACTTGCTTCGATGGACCCTCTTAATCTTGGGTCAAAAGGGCATAGAAGCAAATTGGGGTTTACTAGTCCCTCCAATTCTAAAGATGACTGATAATCTCGATATCAAATGGAAATCCCGCGGTTGTGAATTTCTTACTTTACTTCTGGCTTCAACATCGCCCTCACTTCTCTCTCGCACCGGGCTTGGAAATGTGTTTGAAATAACGCTGATACCACTATTTACCTACTTGCCCACTCTGACGGAAGAAAAAGAGAGTGTTCTTCTCCTAGATAAAGCCTTCCCCGCACTCATGGAATTGGCGGAAGTCATGTACCCACCACCATCACATTCCTCTACAACACCCCAACCTATCAACACGCTCTCCACCCCGCGAGAGAAATTCCTTGACAAACTCCTACGATTGTGTATTCTCGCGCCAGTTTCCCACGCCTCGCCGTCAACCTACCCTAGACTCGCGACAAGCCTCCTCTCCCACCTCCCCACCCTGATCAATGCTATGCAAATAGATGCAGTCAAACATCTGCAATCACTCCTTCCCTTACTCTCAAGCATCCTAACTGAACCGCTCGGCCTTGCCCACCCCCCACTGATAGTAGGGAGCGTGAAAGGCTTGCAAGCTGTGGTACTGAATTGCTGGCCTAGGGTAGGGAGGTATAGGGGGGAGATTATGAAGGGTGTCTGTGTGTGCTGGGTCAGGTGTGGAGAGGAGGAGGGAGAGGAAAAGAAGAAGGAGATTGAGGAGGTTAGGTGGGAGTTGAAGGAGTGTGTGGGTATGTTGGATGCTGTGTGTCAGGCGGATGACGACCTAAAAGGCATTTGGGAGGCGGAAAAGGCAGTGTTGGTTGCTAGGGATGAGCGATTGGGTGGTTTATTTGAAGGGAACGAAGTGAGTTAGGGGGCTGGAACGACACTGCAGTGAAGAAGTATCTACAACCTCGCCTTCTCTCCCAAGATGCCCTCAACTAGCTTCTCAACCTCCCATGCACTCCCATAAGACGCCTGGTAGCCATATCTGTCGAATTTTCTTAGCACATGGTCAGTGTCTGGGAGGAGATAATAGGATACGTACCCTCCATGACCATAATTATGTACAATCCATACCCCCCCAATCCTCTCTTTCTCAACTCTTGGCCCACCCTTCCTCATTGGTCTCAATCCTACCCCATGCCTAATGACGGACAGCTCCGAGACCTTCCCCGTCTTCGGTGCCAGCGCTGGACAAATCTCGATAGACCGTTGCATGATACGCTGAGCGAGATTAGGATCAGGTTGAGATTCCCAACGCCCGTGTTGAAGACAACCACCAAGGATTGTGCCGCCACCTACGGCACGTTGCATGATGTAGGTTGCTTCGTCGTCCCCGTCATCAGTGCCGCTTACCGTGGCCATAACTCCCGGCTCATTTCGAACAAGGACGATTTGGCCGCGACCGGGATATACATCGGAATCCATTACTCCGCCGAGTTTGGCGGCCAAGAGCCCAGTGCAGTTGACGACGATGTCGGCGAGTTCACCAGAGTGGTGTAGGGATACGGCCTCAGAGATATGGGATAGGATTCCACGCTTCAAAACGACGCCGTTCTTGACGCATTGTCCAAGTAGCCAGGGAAGGTAGATGGCAGTGTTGAGGCATACGGATGTGAATGAGGTGCCTGTGTCATAGCCTGCAGGGATCTCTGACTTTAGAAGGACGCGGAACTGTGAATATTAGTTGAAGCTCTACTAGCCATTGAGAACGTGGAACGGTTCAGAGTATCATAAGGCCGAGCAAGTGGTTGCCCAGGAAAGTGGAAGGCAGCAGCGGGGGCTAAGAGGGGAATGGCTGCCAAAGAGCTGCCTTGAGCGGACTGGAAGGCCCGATTATTGTTGCCTCGAAGCAAAACCTCAATGAAACTGTCAATTGAGGAGAGAGATTGGCTGTCTGACAGCCGTGTTACTGCTGCCTCAGCTTGTGGCTGTTTTGAAATGCTTTCCACAAGAGGAAATCAGAACTTGCATTTGGTACGACATCTTTAAACCATGCGTCTTCCCTTACCAGCTCCTGGAGCCACCGGCCAGTAGCTGAGTCCGCATCCTTTTTGCGGCCAAAAATGACAGTCTCCTGATAATGAATGCCAGCCTCCGGAACCTCCCGACAGAGCCGATCAAGTTCCGCCCAGGTCGCTTTTTCAAATTTTTGCAAATTTGAGCCCGGTTTGCCCATGGGGAAGTAATTGGCACCTGCCCAAGGTGATGCATACTCTATATCATAGTCGCCGGGCATGTGCTTGCTCACGATGGTAATCCGGAGGTTCTTGTGGCGAGACAGTAGATTTGCGGTGGTCAATCCCACAACCCCGGCCCTGCAATTGGTCAGCAAATGGAAAATCCCATGAGCGGAAATGTCGATAAAAGGACAGCACGACAGGGCGTGAGGCTGGACCCTGGGCGGTAAGATAGACTCACCCGATAATTATAACGTTTGTCGTGGGCATAATGGATTGGAAACAGGCTGCGTAGAGCAAGCGGGACAGGAAATCAAGATCTAGAGAGCTTCTGATAAACCGTAGACTCACACGATAGTTCAAATCATGGTCGGCTGACGCTTAGTGGATGATTGGATGCGGCAGGCACACGATCGCGTCCTGAAAGGCAAGCACGAGACAGCGCGACTGTTTATGAAGAGCAAGCTGCCTTAACTGACCCACCATCCTTCCTCCAACATCTTCTCAGAACCTCTTCCTCTTCTGGATGTGCACCTTGGCCTCACTACGCTTTGCATAGCATCCTCTGCTGTTCGAACTTTTTATTATCGCGCGGCTTACCTGTTCTTTTGGCGAGCTCGCCGGCGTCGGGCGGGCCAGAGGCTCCTTCCTTCCTCTCTTCGTGACATCATTGCCGCGACCGAGGTACGTCGCACCGAATTTTCAATTTCTGCAATTGTCCTTAATATTGTCACATATTCACGAGCTGCTCTGAATACACTTTTCTCTTCTCCCACCTTGCACCAATCTTTTGTGGTGGGATCTGGGTTACTGACAGTCCGGAACAGGGCTAGCGTAGTGCTTCCCGGGCTGCGATTGGCCCGCTCCTCGTCGGCTGGCCAGGAGTTTGTCTTCAACACCACCTTCACTCATCACCACCCATGGGAGAGGTGAAGGAGAAGAATTAGCAAACGCTTCATGACCGACCCAGCTGCCTGGATTGAATTTTTCTTCCCATGACCACCCCTCTCATCCGTTCTCCCCCATGTCCTCCACACTCTTCTCTCCCAACGTTCGACACTCACTCACATCCCGATCCCCTTGCTCCATCGCGACTTGCAACCGTCAACATGGTCTCCACACGTCGTTCTCGTACCAAATCCCCGGAGGAATTCCCGCAGTTGGCCGACAATGGCCTGTATGCAAGCGACATTCGCGGAGACGGTAAGTTTTCGCTGCCTGATTTCACTCCTGACCTTTTTCTGACTTGAGCTAGGAAATTGCCTATTCAATGCCCTCTCTGACCAGATGTACGGTCACCAGGATGCCCACCGGGCTCTCCGCAACGCGACGATCGAGCACATGCGTCTCAATTCGGACGTCTACAGCCAATACCTCTCGGTGAACCCTGTTCGACGCAACCCAAAGCGCAAGAACACACCTGTTCCGACCGTCAACAACAGCATTCCGTCCGATGATGAGATCAGGAAGCGGTTTGAGGTTCACCTCCTGAAGATGGGACAGCCTGGCGAATGGGCCGATAACATGGAAGTAGTTGCCTTCGCGTCAGCCTTCAATGTTCATGTCCGTGTCTGGCAATCGAGCTTCAACTACACCTTCTCACCCCGCATGGATGTCGTACGCCTCAATGACGGCAGTCTCAGCAGTTTCAGTAGCGATGACTCTGGCGTCGACTCCGCTAGCGAGGCTACTGACCATGACTCTCTCTCTTCCACCACGGATACCTCCACCAATTCTGACAGCATATCTCCCAAGGCTGCCACCGCTGGCCCAACCAGCAAGGCTGATGTGCGTCCAGTCCTCAACATCGCCTACCACGTAAGTTTACCCCGCCACCACAGCCTCACCTCCCGATTACACGAGCTGACAACGTCGCAGAGCTGGGAGCACTACTCTTCCGTCCGTAAGATCAATGGCCCACGCACCGGCCCGCCTCATATCCACGTCACGGTTCCGACTACGCAGAATCGTGCCCGCCCACAATCCGAGCCGGTCACTCGCATTACAATGTCGTCTCAGAGCTCTGAGCGCGACGACGATGATGACATTGCCGACCGCCTCCCGACTAAGCGTCGCTATCACCGCCTCAGCCACAAGCGTCCTGAGCCTCAGCCCGAGCAAAAGTCAGACTTCAACAACGTCCTCAAGGCATACAAAGAGAAGCGTGAGCAGACCCTGAAGCTTCGTGTCTCCCGTGCGGAGACTCCTGCATCATCGCCAGAGCCCATTCCCTCAATTGAGGTACCTGAGCGAAAGGTCCTTAAGCTGCGTCTCATTCTGAAGAACCCGCAGCGCCCCATTTCCCCCATTACGATGTAACGACTGCATAGCACTGGCGCTAAATACCCCATTTTCCTACACACATTGGCACGGTTTTGCCTTGCATAGCCACCTAGCTAGGAACCAAGTGCTGGGACCTAGCTGCCTTGGGGCGGCATTGGAGTTGGAATACCATCCTGATTTTACAAACCCTATGTTGTGTCTCCCTGTGTGGCTGTGATGCTCTACAATCTATCAATACAAATTTTAAGATCCCATCAATGGCTAATTAATGTTCAGCTAGCTCCACTCACCCCTCTTCCCTAATCCTAGCCGAAGCCGAAAGCGTCTTGCTGCTGCATCCTTCTCTTATGGCATTTGGCAATAGTGTACTCCCATCGCTCGCGCTGCACTACTAGAACATCCTCTGCCAAGCAAATTCCATGCCAAGATCTGTTGCTACAGCTAAGCAGCCCCCCCCCCCCTGTCACGGTTTCTCTGTCAGTTGGGCTAGAGAGTACAGACATTGTATCTATTTGCCTAGGCATAGTACTATCACCGCTTGCGATACGATATTGGAATAGTGTTAAGCCTTACAAGTTTCTTACTAAGATATATTGCTCAAGCTACGCACTTGCTCTTCTTGTCACCTCTCCTATTAGAGGGAGACTGCACTCAAAGATACCAAAACTGAGCACTCGGCACTCGTCACTCAACAAACTAAGACTGAACACACTGCACTCACAATCGAGGACTCTACATTCGAAGTTGAGCGTTGGCCTCTCAAAACCGAGCACTAGACGCTCGCAACTAGAGCGTTCTACACTCGAAGAGACTAAAACTAAGCATTGGGTAATCACAATTGAGGACTATACACCCAAACAGAGCATTTTACTATCATATCGAGTCTTGTACCCTCAAACCCGACCATTCTGCACTCAAAGAAACCAAAACCAAAATAACACAAAAAGCGTGGGTAACCGAACTACTGGAAAAGCTCACCAAACTCCAGAGAAATTCCACCGATCCTTAGGCTAACAATACTGGAGTCTAGTCCAAAAACCAATAGAAGACTAAGCAGGACAATGTACTTAAAGGGGCATCCTGTGTCCGCTGTACCAGGACAAGTATTGTAGTCCTATTAGCTCCTGATTAGTGTATTGCTTGGCATTTATTTACCCCTCTTGACTATCTTGGAGCGTATTATGTTATTTCCTAATTCCTGATTCCTTTTACATGACATGTTTGCATAATATTTATCAGCACCTGCCTTTTACATCTGCATAGCTTCTGGATTCCTGGCTTCTTCCTAAATAAGGCACAAAGGCTTAACATTCATTCTTCCTGCTGCGTTTTTAGCGTCATAACTTGCCTGAGCTGGTCTACATCCTGCACTGTTGACGCTTAGGCCTGTCCCTCCCTTGTGCTAAAGCTGGTCAGAATTCTAACACCACTCCTCGCTGGCTCAAGAATCCTACACGTGTGCCTTCTACTTCCAAGGCCTCTTGCTAGGATACTGCAAAAATCAATTGTATTTGGTCCTCCTAGTGTGTCTTCCACTATATACCACTCCGGGAATTGTCTGTACGCAGTCCTGATAAAAGTCAAGCTTGTTACGCATACACGCAAATCTTTTAAAGCTCTGGTTAACTGCTTTTTGCATCTAGGAGAGGGCGAGACAGCCTAGACGGCACCGTAAGCTCACTTTGTTCACGAGATGGTATTTGTATAACTTTTTCTTGTTTCAGACGCTTGCTGGGATAGAACGCTGGGTTTTGGCATCTAATCCTAGTTTCTACATTTCAACTTGCTTCGATCAATCGCGGATGTCCAGATCGAAGCAGAAGACGTTAAGGCTGCCCACGCAAGCTGAAGGATTTCATAGTAGAATATGGAAATGGAATTAGAATTGAAGATGGTCCGGTACAACTAGGAACATGCACCAGCGTTTGTGTCTCAAATGTTGTTTTGTTCGAGATGCTTGAAGCACAAGTGTTTCAACCTCCGCGGATGGTCTTGCATACTACGTTAGATTGCAGGGTGCAGATCACGTGGAGAGTTTCTCCCCAGCTTCAAAGTGCCGCCTGAAAACACTTACCATTTTTTCATGCATCAGAATTGATCAGGATGTTTCTTCCTCCTCCCAATAATCTCACGAGTGAACTCACCAATGCGCCCTGTCCTCGAGCTTGACCCGACAGTCGAAAGCATGGCGCAGCGCCTCCAACTTTCGTCGCCTGATTCCTCGAAGTTGGATGCGGTCATCTTCAAAGGTTCGTGAATGACCTGGACCTTCAACGGCTAGCCTGAAAATGGCTTAAATCCCAGGAAGCCTAGAGCCTTTCTTCTTGATTCCAGCTCCGCCATGCGTGGCTTGCGTTTTCCTTTGAGTTCCCTCCAACTCGGTGGCTGCGATCATCTCAGACACGCTGGCATCAGCCGCGTCTTACGGAAGTCGCCTCCGTTCTTCGTCCTCGCTTCACAGGGCTGAGTACGCGAACGTGGGTTGAAACACAGTCAATGATTGACGAAACTAACTCAATACTGTGTGTTTCCGGAGGCTTCGACAACCGTGGGTAGCCCACACGCTAGAAGGATTCCTGAGCCGGCCTCTGCCGGCAGACCAGCGACATCGTGGCTGGCCTAGACATCGCTGAATTGAGCAATTGGGCGATCTGATGGCGTTAGGAAGAGCACAAGGTATGTGTGAGAGACGCAAGTGATGCGCTGTGTTCTGGAGGACTTCAGATGATCTGTCCTAGTCGCTTGCCCCTCCTGTGCCCTGGTCAATTATGTCCTGACGACCGCAATCCTTTTTCTCAAAGCAATATTTCCCACATGGCACGCGCCATATCTCTTCAAGTCACCTTCCAAATTCAGTCCATCCCAGCCGGAGAATAGTTCAAGCAGCCTCGCCAATGCTTTACGGATCCGCAATTCCCTGCTGATTATGCTACTTCGAGAGTTTCTTCTCAGTCTTGTAACGTTCTCCATTAGTCCCGGGTGAAGTGTACCAAGCGGGGACCAATCCTTGTCGCTAGAGTAAACTTCCATTGCCGTCAATTTGTTTTAACTCGCGGAATATACAGGGCTATCTAGAACACTGATGACACTTTCCTATTCTCATTTGCCCAAGTTGACATGAGGGCTTTTTCCTTGTCGGCCTCATGCGACCCGATGAGGAGTAAGGTCCTAGGCACACATCATGTTAGATGGCCAGGCATAGCCAGCCCCAGCTTATGTGTGATGAGGACAGCCTTGACCGAGTAAGTACGCAGGTTAGTGAGGTCTTTAAATGGGGTTGCACTGCCGGCCGGTTCCTTAAGATGTCCCGGAAATAATAAGGTTAGTTGTGCGCGAGCGTTTCTTGATTCACATATCCTGAGGTCACAGTTCTCTGGGTACCTCGTTTAGCAACGCCCGCATATCATTCACGCTCGATTCATCTTGCCTCTTCTAAATCTAATATATAACCACTGAGAATCCCACACCGGTTTTTCAATTTCCTACTGATACGACGCCCTCGATTCTGCTTAACCAACCCAGCCTTAACAACTTCTCAGAATTGTTCAGGCTTTTTGGCAACGATGGTCAAGCTCAATCCACTCGCTGCCCTTGGCTTCCTCGGCCTGGCCAGCCAAGCCGCCGCTGTCACTGTCAAAATAATGCCCTTTGGAGCCTCAATTGTCGGCGCACCGGTATGATCCTTCTATACTCCTTCACCCAGCCCCATACACAATGCTTAACCTTACCTCACCCCACCATCATCCTACTTCACCCCCAACTTATGCTGACTTTATCCAGGGTTGTTGGCGAGCTGTGCTATGGAAGAAGCTCCAAGGAGCCGGCATCACCAACACGGACTTCGTCGGCTCTAACAAGGCTCCGGACTGCGGCTTTCCGTATGATGGAGAGAACGAAGGCCATGCCGGATTCCAAGCTACAGGGATCGTTACCGATAACCAACTCCCGGGCTGGCTGAATGCCGCAAAGCCAGATGTGATGATGATCCATCTTGGCACAAACGATGTTATTCAGAAGAAGTCGATTACTGACATCATGAGAGCGTATTCGACGCTCGTGGACCAGATGCGCGCTAGCAAACCCTCCATGAAGATCATCGTAAGTCAAAGCACCTCTTCCCAGGGTAATTCCTCATCATCATGTGATCAGTCATAATTCCCTACACCAGCCATCAGCTCATCCCATTCTAACCAATCTCCCAGGTCTCCCAACTAATCCCTATCGACCCGTCCAAATTTGCAGGGGCCCAACAAGGCATCATCGACCTCAACAAAGCCATCGTGCAGTGGGCGCCCACAAAATCAACCAAGGAATCATCCATTGTCGTCGTCGATAATTTCACAGGGTTCAATGTAACGACTGACACCGTTGATGGCGAGCACCCCAACGATAAGGGGAATCAGAAACTTGCCGATAAGTTCTATCAGCCACTCGTGGATGCGATTAGGAGTGTGAGTTAAAAGAAAGAGAAGGAAGAGTCAACGCACAGCGGAGCTATTACCTTTTTTTGACAGGGTTAAAGTGTTCACTATTTATTGTTGGATATAGATGCGAGCAGTTTCCTTCAAGAGCAGGCGCAGAGTCAGTAAATAGATCCCGCGTGTACGGAAGGACCAGAAAGGTTGATGTATCTCTGAGGACGGAACACTGAGCCTCGATGCTTAACGTTTAGCAAGGACACGACGAGAGGCGTGGTTACGATTCACATGCATGCATGATGGCGGCGTTATGAATATTCTCATGCTCGAAAAGGAGCCTTATACATACAGTCCCTGAAAGAGGGTCTAAATAGTTCTTAGTACATATTGTACATACATCGTAGAAAGATCTACTAGACGGAAACTCTTATTTCCTAATTCCACGATTCGGACCTGACATCCCTTCATCCATCCGTAATCGCATAATTCCCCCCTCTCCACCTCCTGCCCTGCCCTCCTACTCCTACCTACCTAGGCTCTTTAACAAACCCCCCGACCATTCCGCCCATCCCCCACCTCTCCAACCCCTCCTTCCTCCTCCTCTCCTCTACCTCCCTCTCCAATCTCTTCTTCCGTCTCATATAACACCACCTCGAAGCCAACAGCCCTACAACCAGTACCACAATACATACAGACACTACACCGATGATAATCATATCCGGACTCGGTCTATCAGAACCTTCGACTGGATGCGAGCGCGCAAAATGCGCGCGAAAGGACTGTGCTGCGGGGATACGTTAGCGTTATAGGCAGCAACGGAGGAAGGAGATGAGGAAAGAGAGGAGGAGGATGTGAGGAAGGAAGGACGGGATGTAGTTGTGCGGATGGGATGGAGAGGAGAAGCGTACGAGTTTCTCTTCCAACAAGTGTACGCGGCTCCTCTTTTGTACTGGAAGTGCTATTTCCTACAATTCCCGTTCGTGTTATCGTCGAGAAAGTGGTCTGAGTAGTTGGAATTGAAGAGGATGATATCGTGCTCGAGAATGCTGTCGTGTTCGTCTGTTGGTTTTGATTGTCGCCGAAAGATGAGCTACTATTTCTGCTGTTTTTCCTCATCCTCGAGCCTAAGATTCCGAGAGTAATGACAGCAGCCACCATGCAAGTGGCTGCGATGACGGCACCGACGATTTTCCATATTGGACTTCCATCCTTTTTCTTTTCTCCAGCTCTGTGTTTCCTTATTTCTTCACCCATCATTCATCACCTAGGTTGCAAGAAATCACGATGAGAATGACTTAGGGCCAAGGTGGAGATCCGCCTGTTCATATATTCCGCAGAGCGCCTGAAGTGGTTGCTAAATACATCCATCTTGCAGCGTCGCATGTCCAAACCTGTGCCGCATGCAGGGCGCCTTTCCACTCATTTTATTAACCACACACTCCTAGAATACTTTCCTCCGACATACCATTGACCAATTAGCAGGAACGCTATCGGCGGCTATGCCAGGCAAGATGTGCAGTTGAAACGTGCAAGGGTAAAGGGGCCGGGCGGCTATGGGGGAGAACGAACCTTGGCAAAGATGAGGGTGGCTTAGCAACGACAGGTGCTTTGCTACTCCACGAAAACCACATTTTCAGACAAATTGCATCCTCAGACGCCTGTTCAGAAATGCGCACTTGAGAGACGCAAGGGGAAATGCAGAAAACGGATCTATGACGTCAGATTATGGGGTTAACATATGGAACGAGAAGCAGGCCAACAGGCTGGTGTAAATACCGCGCTCCTCGTTATGCATTGTGGCCAGGAAAGCGCCGTGCAATAATAAGAGCTTAGCGTCGGTTCAAAGGTTGGGGTTGAGAAGTTTTGGTGTTTTGATGTGGCAACACAGAGCTGTTCGTCGTCTCAATACTGAATCCAGTCGCGCTCTTCGATGCTCACAATATCGAGTTGCTGACTCCTCCTGCGCAGTTGAAGACCTTCAACATCCGAGTAGTCAGGGCCGGCAATACCAGCAACCCCTGAGGAACGATCACTGAGGACGGAATCAATGTCGGATCCGTGCAAGAGACCTAGTCTTCTGGCGTCATGCTCACTAAGGTCTTCCGTCCACTGGGGCTGCGGGAGGTTCGAGGTAGGCTCATCAGTGAATTCGTTAGAAGATGCATCTTCGTCTTCGCTTGACCCTTCCATTTGGTTCTCCTTGTAGTTGTCATCGGGGTAGTCGATCGGAGGCGGGGCAGAAGCTTCTGCTGTAAGTTGGGCTTGAACGGGCTCTACATAGATCGGGAATCCTTTGGGTGCTTTCGCCCGCTTTCTATCGCGAGTTGAGAGACGCTCGTCCAATTTTGAGTGGGGAGAAACGAATTTGGAGGGCGTCAGGTGGGCTGGAAACGACGCACGAGTAGAACCCCTCGGAGCTGCCGCATCGGAGTTCTGTTGCCTACTGACACTGAATGACTGCTGTGTGGACCTTGAGGTATCGGCTGGAGACTGTTGGCGGGTGGGCGGGTTCGAGGTCTCAGAACCAAACTGGTCCTCTGTATGTGGGATCACAGTCAAGCCCATCAGGTTACCACTGTCTTTGCGATGCTTCTCCTTATCCGCCGTCTCAATGGTCTGGTGAACCAACATTTAACTTAAGAAAGCATTACAGCGGAGGCACTTACTTGGGAGTGCTCTGCATCTTTATCACTTCCACTAATAATGGCACTGTGGCGCTTGTGCGTTTTGGCTTCGATGGCCTAGTGAAATCAATACTAGGACTTAGCGACAATCGTAGCGGAGGTACTTAGCTGGTATTGTTCCTGTTCCTCCTTCCTATCGCCAGTAGAGATAATGAGGCACCCGTAACTTGGCTGTTGCACTTGTTCATCCTTCTCGATTCGCTTTAAGTCGGAGTCCTAGGGGAATCAGTTGTGCGCCCACAGACGGCGCGCGGCAAGGCAGAGGCAGCAAGGCAAAGACGGCAAGGCAGAAACGTTTCTAAGACATTACATAATCGCGGATATACTTACCTGCGGATGAGTGCTCATGCTGTAGGTGGCATCTAGGTTCACCTGGCGAGAGGAGTGTCGGGTTGGTTGCGAGGATTGTGGAAATGGTAACTTCTTGCTTTTGCCCTTCTTTAGGTGCTCCTCAACTCTGGCGTCGGAATCCGTGTGATTTCCGTCGCTGAACTTAGAAGAAGCACTCATTATGTCTGATAGAAACGTGTCTTCACCATACATGGACCTCAGCTTTGCAGCTCTCTTGGGCTGAACGAAGTCGTCCATTGGATGATACTTTTGGTCGTAGCAAAGCTCACTGCGTTGAGTACCGTTCACCTGCGCTCGTGTCTTGTATGATGACGTTGGGATGGAAGACGTTAGTGGGGCGTCTTTGAATCCCACCACTTCGCTTTGGTTATCGCCTGATATCGGGATGATGTTCTCTGGATCGATCCCAGCAAGGGCGGCAGACCTCTTCCTGCCCTTAGGTACCATCAGCTAAGTTTTGTGAGTAGCTTGTCACTATATGACACGATTGAACTCGCCTTGGGTCTTTTCAGCTCGTCTTTGGCTATCGCGTCCGACGGACCCTTGAGCTTCACCAATCCTTTTTGCTTGTGGCAAAGCTCTACAGGTTGTTGCTTAGACGGACTCAAGCTCTGAAGAAGCGTTCAGTGGACGCTGTCAACTTTGTTCCATGGTAAATAACAGACCTTGACATTGGTCACCTCCGTTGTGTGGACGCCCCAATCCTCATCACTTTCGTAATCGCTGAGCGGAGGTGGCATGGCGAGAGTAGCTACTCCAGTTTTCTCGTCAAATAAAGATTGTGTGAGGCGGTTGCGGGGATGCGAGGTCAGGCGAGGTGAAAGGTGAAAGTCCAGTGACTTGATGGAGAAGTCGCCACTGTGTGTGGCGCGGAATCACGTGTCATAATAATCCGTGGTTCTGTAGTGGGAATTGGAAGTCGAGGAAGGAACGATGAGCTAGGTGGTGAGACACACGTTTTTCTCTAAGATAAGATATTACCATAGGGTGAACAGGAAAAGCTAAGACACTTTGGATACTATTAGTCTGGCGCAACATTTCTTCGTTCACTATAAACCTGTGGTTAGGTGCTCATTGATGGCATCTACTGTTGGGCGGATTATAACCGGGGGACGAGATAGAGCTTTGTGAGTAGATTCGTAGTCATCATTTTCGTTCGACACAAGACGGTAAAGTAACTTATAGATTGAATGTTAGCAAGTGAAAGTAATTATAATGCTGTGGAGCTAAAGACCAAGATAGCGACCGTAGTTGTGAATCCAGCCCAAGATCCAGATCCCAAAATTCCAAGTTCCAGATATCCATACTTTTGGACGAATAGTTTTGAATAGGGTATGTAAGAGGTTTTGTTGTGTTCGAAATGCGGCTAATGCTGTGCTGATATGCAGATATTGTGTTCATAGCTTGCGTGAGTTCGTCAGCCTCCAACAGTTCCTTTCCCGCCCAACCATGCCTCCAGAACGCCGACCTGATAGAGGTAAATGATAAAATCGCTTGAACGCAAAAAGAAGACCAGGGAGAACAAGGGCTTATGCTCGAGATGTCAACCGTATCGGGGGCATAACGAAGTCAAGATCGTCATCGTCGTCATCATCGACCTCGATGTCAGTGGTCTTTGACGATGTGGCGGGCACCGGAGGTATCGATTGGACAGTCGGGGTTGCTGGCTTCGGTTCAATCTTCGTGGCTGAAGGTGTCTCAGTCCTCAGCCCTTCCGTGGCCGCTTCCTGCTCTTTCCGGGCCTTGTACTTAGCTGTTTCTTGGGCAGCCTTTTCGAGGACTTCTTGGAAGTACCTCCTCACCCCGCTTAGCTCCTTTCGACAGTCACCGTCGCGAAGCGATTGATGAGCCGCTTTCTCACATAGACCTTGCGCTTGCTCTAGTGCCTTATCCGTTGTGTCAAACAACTCGGGCGAGGCGGAGTTGTCGTTGGGTCCACCCATCCCTCGCATTGTTGCTCGTGCTCGCAATGATGATAAGCCGGCACGGCGTCGATATCCAATCTTTGACATGACTGGGTCTTCTTCGTCGTCATCGTCGTCGTCCGATCCTGCCAGCTCTGCCAATGCTTCCATCTTGGCTGCCATTTTCCCTTTTCTGAGCATGTTCCGGCCGGTGCCGATATTTCGAACAAGTGTCTCAAACGCCTTCTGTATCTGGCCGTCGTAGTGGACAATGATCATAGTTCTCGTCCGATACTTGGATGGCCCAGATGCATGTCCGGACAGCGCGGAAGGTGTCTTTCGTTTCCTATTTGCGAGAGGGGATGATTGTGCAGCAGTCGATGAGCAAGGTTCCTCTAGTATGGCATCCAAATCTCTTATTGATTCCACCGATCCCGTCTTTTTCCTCAATGGAAACGGTCGAGACATTGGCACTCGAGCAATCGCATTTTGCATCCCTGTGACTTTATCCTCTATCTCGGAGAGGTTATTACACCATGACGGAATATTATCCTGGAGGAATGTAAATGCTTTTTCAATGTCTGCCATTGTCGCTGAATGTGGATGGGTTGAGGAGGGGGAGGGGAAGCGCCGTTAAGAACAGGATGGGGAGTGGGCCGTTGAGGGTGGTGCAGGGCCGCGCACAGCAAGGAGGAAGCCGCTGGCAGTAAGACGGTGTCGCAATGAATGAGCAAATCGTGCAGGAGGTTGTCGACGGCGATTGGGTCTGGAGGGGGCAGAATGGGAAGAAGTGAGGCGTCCGGGAGCGATGCGATTACTTTAAGAGAGGTTGTCGGCAGGGTTAGAGATCATGTACGAGAAGTGATCAGCAGCGCAGGCTGTCGGTAGGCGAGGTTTGAGCACAGGCTCATGGGTGCACGCAGGAGGAGAATGGTGGAGAAGGTGTGAGGTGTGCAAGGAATCATGTCGGAGAGGAATGGGGTTGTATGTCCTGGGCCTGTCCACAAGAGTGACAAGCCTGCCTAGCCTCAGCGTGCAGCCGCCCCTCGCCGAATCGCCGTTACTACTGTATTTTCGCAGTCTTGGCGGGCAGCGTAATCTGACGGTTGTTTATTGCCTGAGCCTGTTGCGCATGTGCGCTCCGTCCACAACTCCGGGAGTATTATTTAACTGACGGGTCACAGATTTGACAGTGCGGAGGCTCGATGTATTGTTGGCACACTGGAGCCTGAGTTTGCTAATGGATGAGCAACACCGTCGATGGCAAAGAAATAAGCCCAAACCCTGCACTTGGTTGGCTCGAGGGAGGGCAAAGAGATGAAACAAGGTTGCCTGCCATCACAAATGTCCAGCTTCTGCGATCCCCTGATCCCTGATGGTTCAAATCGCGCGGCCGGGGCGTTGAATTGACAGCCGCCATCCCACTAGCAAGAGTGGGATATCAAAGCGAATCGGCCGATTTTGCGAACAGCAGAGGCGGCGGCGCGGGAAGAAGGGGAGGGAGCGGCGCCATGTTCGTCTCGCATCGCTTTCTTCTGCAAACAGGCCAATCATTAGCGCTCTTCCCTCTTTGCTCCAGACGAGCTGCATGGACCCCAGCCCGATGCCGACTCGAGCCTTGCACCTCTCGCATCAGCATGCGTCTTCGATTTCCGTCCTGTCGCATTCCCCGCAGTCAATTTGTGTCATGATTAATCTCTACAATTGGGTAGAGGCACCTGATCTCTGCAGCGGGGTTGGACACGTTCAAAGGCAAAGCTGGTTTACAAAGACCCAGTCTTCCGCCGCCAACCGTGATTCGTCCGGAGTCTCTTCAGGAGGCTTTCTAGTTCGACTGCCCGTTTTCACATATCGTGGAACATAATTATATTGGGTCTATCTCTTAGACCTCTTGCTGGAATTGGGAGAATGTCAACAGTATGCAAACTTTTTGTTCCAAATTACCCTTCGGCATGTTCTAAGTTTGGTGGTAAGATTCACCAAAATCAACCAGCTCGTCGAGAATCATGACCTCCTTTTCTGTTTCAATTAGGGTCAACAGCGGATGAACGGACAGGCTGCAGAACATCATGGAACACAGCGAGGCCGGTGTCTTGATCTTCATCTCGGCGTGAGCCGCATACGAACGAGCTGGGTAAAAGCAAAACACAAAGGGAACCCTTGAAGCAATCTGCATGACGGAGACCAACAGGAGCAGCATAATGGACTTGATGCCACCATGGGGTTCCTTGCCTTCACGCTCGATTAGGGAAAGCTCATCTCTTCTTCACGAAAAGCGACCATATCACTGGCTTCATACTCTTGTCCCATGTTCGAAGGAGCAAGCTGAGAGTCTCAAAGGGTATCACGCGCTCGGTACGCGTTAATAGATGTCACCCAGTAATTTGAGAATTGACGGAAGCTTTGATCGCACGAAGTTTAAGTTTAGCGACGATGTTCGGTTCATCTGGAGTCGCGATGGTGGCGTGTGTTGACACGGCCTGCGCCAAGGTCAGAGGCGCAGCGAATGAAAAATGGTCCGAGATGGCAGCCTCATCACAATAGGAGAGCCTTGACTTTTGCCGTGTCTTTTGAGACATCTAGTATGGCTCGTACGCGCCTGTAAAAAGAGACGACGCTGAAAAGAGCTGAAGCGAGCTTGAGATTGGAGACGGTGCATTGTTGGCGACAGCCTTCGATCGATGCATGACGACACCTCAATTCTAGCCTTGTCGCTCAACTTTGCGGAGTCCTTCAGATTCCTCAGCTAACCCAACTCTCAAACTAATCAGAAGAATAGTGTCACAGAAGCAATCATCAGCAATCATAGCTTCAAACAGGGTCTCCCGCAGCCTCACTCGTCTCCTCAACACCATGTCGACAACGACCCCATCGTCTTCGGTGCTCCCCCCAGCGCCATGGAAGTCACTATTCAGCCAGCACATCTCGAAGATGCAGCAGCCTCAGTTTGTGCTTAGCACTCTCGCTGCTGCCCCCGCTGGCTCGCCTACGCCGTACGTCCCCCGAGCACGCTATTGCATCTTCCGCGGGTTCTGGACGGAATTGCCAGAGAACAAACATAATCATGCAGAGAGGAACCCGAAGGCGTATGAAAGCGACTGCCTAACATTTACCACCGACGTCAGGATGGAGAAGGTCGGCCAGATATTTGGGACGAGTGCCGGACACGCGGATAGTAACGAGCAAGCTCAAGGAAGTGGAGGTGGAGGCCCTATCGAGGCTGTTTGGTGGGTTGAAGAGACAGGCACACAGTGGAGAGTCAAAGGAAGGGCTTTTATCGTTGCTGATGACATTGAAGGCAGAGAAAATAGCAGCGGGGCTAGGACCGTGAAGAGCGAGGTGGGCAAGAGAATGAGGGTCATCGATGAATCGAAGCTGAACGAATGGACATGGACAAGAGAATTGTCAGGAACATTTGGAAATCAATCTCCGGGTATCAAAGGTAGACCACGCCCTTCCCGCATTGATGAGCTGATCCTGAAAGTATTTTAAGGCTCCTTCCGTGCGCCTCCTCCTGGCATGTCAAAAGACCAGCCCTACGATACGAAGAACCTCAAGCTGGGTGCTAAAGTAGAGGATCTCCATGATTCCGTGGCTCGTAAGAACTTCCGGCTCGTTATCATCGTCCCCGATTCCGTCGAACAAACGGACTTAAGCGACCCTGCAAAGGCATGTCGATTCAGGTACACTTTTGATGAGGGCATGCGTGCTAATGGCGGCTGGAGAACGGAAGAACTGTGGCCGTAATTGCAACTGGTGAATATTACAATGTCCGCTTTTGCATGTAGATCCCAATACTTGCTTCAACAGATGACTATTAAGGCTGAATTGCATTTGTTAGGTCTTCTTTCCCCATACAGTCGTATTGGAGGTTTGGAACGCCCGTGGACAATTAATCGTAGCGAAGATTGGATCTACCACGCCTAGGTTTCGCCGCCAGGCAGTGCGACATATCTCGCGTGGAAGTGCGTTTGTTTGACCCGCGTCTTGCATCCATCTAGATGCAGCTGCACGCACTCGGAAAGATTCACACTTCTACGATGAGAACATCTGCACCTGGGAAACTCGTGACTTGTTCGGCCAAAGAGACGGCCCATCGGACTAACTAGGTCATAATAAGTTTGACGGATATTCAACCCTCATATGGCAGCTTATCAGTCACAAAAACCGTGCCTCTTACAAAACCTCTCCGGCAACTCATGACTTCCAACGCGCTCAATATATCGAAACACTGCTGTCGGCGTTGCCGCGACCTAAGGCTCAAAGGTGATTACTCGCATGCCCAATGATCCCTTACACTCTCAGCTCCAAACCTCCCCAATGTGGTCGCATCGGCGACCTTCATCACGCAACCTAGCGTGGCCTTTGAACCCTGCAACCACTCATTCCTGGCCCTGGCTTCTGATCAGTGCTGATCAACGGACGACCCCCGACTCCTTCTGCACGCCAGGTGAGCCCATTAACCAGCCAATCACGGGTCTCTTATCTTTCCCTTCCACCATTCCGGCGGATTCTCCTCATCTGACGCCTACACTCTGAATTTCGATTCAGAACACTCTCACTCATCCCATTGTCGTTGCTTTGTCTTTTGGTTATCACGCCATTGCTTTTACTACGCCGCACACATCATCGAATTGCTGATTATGGAGGAACCAAGCGCCACAAACTATCGTTAACTACAAGCGGCTAGCTAGGCCAAGCTGTTCGCTTTCGAGCCTTCAGCCACCTTGGCAGAGCCGTCGCCAAAACGGACCGAGCCTTTTTGGCTTCCGGCCCGAGCGGGATCGCTCTTCAGCTGTAAGCGAGAAGTCGAACCGGCTTGGCAGTGAATTGGGTGTGGAGCTGCTACAGTCGTGGATGAGAGAGATGCATCAAGTGTGTAGTCAGTCCCTTCTGGAGATGTGACACCTCACCCGCAGAATCTCTTTGTCCTTCAAAACTGAAGGAGAAGTGTACCTTTGTAACCGGTGTCGCATGCCAGGCAGTGTCGCAGGAACTGCCGGCATCTATTTTTACAGCCTTGTGGGAGCATTCTTTGACAACTTCCTGTTTCGGGGCCGATGATCGCCGCTTTCGAATCGCGTCATAGAAGGCTCAGACATGGAGGGGTATCCCAAGGTTATGAGATCGTGATATGGAGAGCACGGCCGAGTCGGTCGGAGTTCCTGGATCGACTCCGGTGGTGCAGAGATGTAATTGGACAGGGTATCGAACCTTTGGTTGAGCGTGACGGCCTTGCTCATAAGCAATTTGGACTTGCAGGCATAGGTGTGCTGTTAAGTTTGGAACTATCGCCAAAGCCTGCTGGCTTCTTTAATACTGCTGCCTTTGTTATGGTGAACGTTAATACAGACATGCGAAGGCTTGAAGCAGTCAGCCTCGCCCGGCGTGCGGCTCGTGGTCGCCAACAAAAACGTCCTCGCATGTTGGCTTTTCTTGTCGCGTCTATCCCATACTAATCTCCTACTCGTACGCGCGTTGCTTGTTCCTGTTGGAGGAAAAACCTTCCCCCTGAATCTGGTTCACACCACCAACGTCGATCACACACGCGGTAGCTCTACTATACACACCTCAGCAATGCGCGCAAGCACGCAACCGATTTCAATACCGTCATCAGACCTCAAACACCCTTTGATGTATCATACTTGTACAGTCCAGAAACCAACACCGGTCTGAATCAATTTGCGCAAGGCAGGCAAGGACAAGGTATCCAGACATCCCATGCCCCCCTTACTACCACAAAACCCAAGATCCCTCCCGTTTCAATCGATCCGGTCAACAATCTCGAAGAGAAGGCTGAGAACCGGCTGTGGTGCTGCTGCTAAACATAGGCGTGCTCAACCACTGCAGGTGTGTTAATTTAATCTAGCGATGGCGAGTAGCCCTCCAAAACTCGCGTTTTAATCATACCAATCTTCTCATCATTTCGAATGCATGGGTGCAAACAGAAGATGTACGGTAGTTGTACAGTAGACTGTGGAGTAGCTGATGAATCAGATGTTGCATTAGTAGCGCGTTTGAAGATGTCTTTGACATCGGAAGACTAGAATTGTTCATGAGGGTTTGAACTTGAGCGAACGACTTAGAAATGGAGCTGACAATATACTGATCAACGGCGGAGGGCGACCCCACATTCCAGACCTGATTACTTTTGGGGGTCAAAATCCTTTAACAGAAGTCACGAGGATTTCGCTCCAATCGTGCGCGCATCCTTGAGGACATGGTCCCGGAGTTCTCGTATTCCCTTTACTGAACCTCGGCATATCTCATCTCCTGTTGCCAGTATTTGGCCCCTTCAGGCAAATGGCCACCACCTCGACCTATCCACGAGTGACAACCGCAAATGCAACGAAGAGTACGGACGTAGTGAAGTGGAACGTACCAAATACTTGGCACCTGTGCTCACAACGTCGTCCATGTCGCCGACCTGTCCTACCTAAAGCTTGTGACTCACGCATTGTGATTCCAGGTCGAGGGGCTTGTCCATGTCGAGAGCCACACACAGATCTCGAGTTTTGTTTTGGTGCAACAGACTAGCTTGGCCCGCTTAAGCGCTTGACAAGGTTATGGCACCACTAGCCTGGTTAAAATGGCGAGGCAAGGGGATACGGAGCAGGGAGGCATGGACAAGGGTTGATGTGCACGAGAAAAAGTTGTGAGTGCCTGTGACGGAGGGTTTGGCGGTGAGGCATCTGTGCAAGACGTTGGTGATGAGGCTCGCCTGCTTAGTACATTTTCGAGTGAAGGATTCAGCAAGCGTAAGGCTGAAAGGGATTAGAGCGTTGCGCCAAGTTCCGCGTGATGCATTTTTTATCGTTGGTTTCGGGTGTGAGAGCGTGTGAGGTAATGCATCGCCTGCAATGGACACGAATTAGGACATCTTCGGATATTGGAAATATGTGTATAGCTGTGAGTGGTCGAAGGGTTTTTGGGGCATATTTGAGAAGGCTTAGTGAGCGCTAAACGCAAGAATGCCTAGTGGATATCTTGATCTAGATTTTGAGTTGATGCATTGAGAATGATTCCGAAATTCTGCGGTACAGATTACCACCTGTGTGCGCTAAGCCGTTGTGATGCCCATTGTTACCCACTAAAAGCGACCGTTCAGACCACGAAGATTGCAAAGATGAGACTAGGAAGACCTTAGATGATCTCGGATAGGGAATACAAGCATCAAATTCTGTCATTCCGGCCGCAAGCTTCTTCCAGGAGATCTAGTCCAGTCGAGAGGTCCTTGTGAGATGCTGAAGAGCAGTTTGATGCTTTTGAGAACTCAGGCTTTCTTGAAGAAGCTGGCAATGTTACCCTGGCCTTGCATACCAGTCTTTTTGCCTTTCGCTGTCGTCGCGGGCTTCGAAGGCACTGGTTTCGGTTTCTTGGGTTCCGGTTCATCTTCCGAGAAAGACTCCCAGACCGCTTCTTCCTTAATTACTACTGCGGGTCAGAGCTGTCTGCAATGTTACATATGACGGAATGGTATCGTACCGAGATAGTCTTCTTCGTCTTTTACCTTCTTCTTCCTCATCACACGCCGTCGGCCTCGTCGTCTTCCTCCTTGTGATGTCACCACAACCTCCCGTTCTGCAGTATCCACTGATGGCTCCTTGTCTATAGGTGAATCCTGAGAACCCTTCTCTTCTGCTTGTGGTGCATCGAGCATCTCTTCATCTGTGCAGTGTTAGAGAGCCCAGAGCCATGGTCCTAGTGAAAAATCAACTTGCCGTCGTCATCCTCCATCATCTTCCGTAGTTTCTCTTCCCGCTCTGCCCTTGCTCTACGTGCTGATGCTGCCTTTTCTGCGTCGAATGTAATTTCAGGAGGGTCATTGTCGTCGTCTTCGTCTTCGGACATTCCTTCCATTGATTCTGAGAGCACCTTAGCGTGAAGAGCTATAGGCGGACATAAAAACGTACCATCTTCAACAGGTGGAGGTGTTGGCTCCTTTAGCTTCTCCGCTGCTTTCGGTTTTGCCTTGGCTTTTGCGAATGACTTGAAGATGTCGGAATTGTCCCTCTTAAGGTTAGGCCTGGAGTTTGATTTCTTCAGAGCACTACTACTTGGAGTAGGCTGAGGTGTCGACATTGCTGATGTATTGTCCTCTGAAACACTTCCTCTCCTAGCTAGGAGTTTTGCTTCCTCTTCCTTAGACAGCGCACTGACAGTTGGCTTTGACGCGGCGGGTACAGGAGCAGGGGCAAACTTTGCGATTCGTCTCTATGGAGAAGTTAGCGCAACAAATGAGACGTCGAAAGTGGCCTTCCATGCCTTTACATAAGGATTGTGAATGGACCCGTAGGTTTTCCATCTGTCTAGTGGGTTTTCGCCTGCACAATCTTTTGTCATGTCTTGATTGCAGATTGAGAGCAGGTTCATGTTCTGCCCTCATTAGTTGGCTGACAGTCTGTGTGGCAAGCTCCGTCGCACCTCAATCGGGCCTGGCTCCAAGCTGTATACATGTGTAGACGTGACGTCCTCAAATTCTTCTCTCAATTCTAATATAGCCAAGTGTTAGCGTCCGACAAAAGTTCGGGGCCCCAGCAGACATACTCTCAAGCCCCTCTTCCGGGACCAGCACGATGGAGGTATGTGGAACCAACTCCTCCACGGTTGGTTCCTGTTCCGGCATTGAGCTCATATAGGGTGAGCTATGCATAAATGAATCCTCTCCATCCTGTGTATGTACGCCGTTGGTGTGCTCGGGTGCTCGTTTCTTGCCGGCGAGGACGTAGGTTGCATGTACTGATTTTGGCTTCTTCGCGTTCTGCTGGGAGTGAAATTCATAAAGCATCCTGGTCTCTCATCAGATCAGTTCGTCTACATACATTGAACGTCGACATACTGCTTCGCGATGTTCACATTGACCTTGAGAGCGCGACTGAGGACTCGGTAGGTAATCTAGAAATTGTGAGGTTTGTTTTCCATGGCGCTCTTCGACCGCGGGCTTACGGGCTTGCCATCGGCAAGGACCTTTGCGGCCAGATATTCCTTGTAATTGTCGGCCATGGCGGGCTTCAGTGAACTCGATATCGGCGAGAGTGGCTTGGTGGTGTTGAGTGAGGTCAGAGCAACGAATGTGCTTCGCGTAGTCATGTGCGCGTATTTACGCGTCCAAATTGACGAACACCTGACTCGCGCATGCCAAGTACATCCACCAACACTGATCTAAACCCCATTGCTTCCCATCTAAATATGATTTAAGATGAACGCCGCAGAAGACGACGACCTGAAACTGCAACGGGCGTCAGCTGCACTGCTGTCGGATCTCCAAATCCTTCTTCCCAAAATTCTACGAAAACGAGAGCATGACTCCACCCATGCAGGCCGTCGACGGGTTAGAGAGATCGACTTACAAAGAATTTTTACCTTAGTATTCCTCTCAGGATCTCATCAAGTTTATTCATTGACCTAGTTTCAGGTCGAGCCCTTTCAGGAAGATCCGCAAATCCTTGACTCTCATCTCAAGAACTTTCTTCCTCCACTGGTTGCTGCCTATCTCGAGTCTCTCCACTTATCTTCAAAGGTTAAGCCTAAGAAGCATTTCGTTCCTTCATCTCATGCGATATGTCGAATCTTGAACATTTTCTGCAAAGTGAGAGGTGAAAAGGTCATCAAGGGTTTCCTCAACAACGAACCTCGTTACCTGGAGCCGATTCTCCATGAGTTCGAGATCGGTGAGAACTTTCCAAGGAATGATGACGAGTCATTGTCTCAATTTGTTGTACCATGGGAGGAACGCTATATCCTTTTACTATGGCTTTCCCACTTGATGCTCGCGCCATTCCCGCTAGCTTCAATGTCCGCTCTGCAATCTTCTCGGGAAACTTCGACTGCGCTTGGGATCAATCTCCCTCCTGAGGCCCCAGGGGTCACTCTTCGTGTCCTCTCTATTTGTACCAAAGGTCTTGAGTCCGCTACGAAAGAGCGCAGCGCCGCTGCCAACCTTCTGGTTCGGCTCAGTGTCCGCCCTGACATGCAAAAGCTTGGCCTTCTAGACACGCTCGTCAAATGGTCGTTGTCATTCTTCTCCAATGTCTCTGGCGATCCTCCAGATATTCACAAATGTCTTGGCGTGCTGTCATTCCTCTCTGGCTTAGTTACTTCGGCCACCAACGAGGAAATCGGTCCTTTCCTTCCCGCAATATATAAATCATGCCAAAGCATTATCAACCAATCCACTTTGGAATATGTCAGATCCTCTGCCGTTGCACGGAAGTTGGTTGTAAAGACCTTACGAAATATCACTGTCCACTGTCTCCAACCCATCACTACTCTAAATGATCTTGACACCACTACCGTCCTGGAAGAAGTGATCGAATTTCTTCTCGACTCCCTTGGCGACGGCGATACGCCAGTGAGATATGCAGCAAGCAAAGCGCTTAGCGTCATTACCATGAAGCTAGGGGCTGAAATGGCTAGTGAGGTTGTGGAAGCGATTCTCGGCTCTTTGAATGAGAGTGTGTATTGGCAAGGCACAAAGAGGAACCTCAGTGGCGTCAATCCGCTCAGGTGGCATGGGCTCACCCTCACATTATCTCATCTATTATATCGGAGAGCTCTCTCAACCACCCAGCTGCCCGATATCCTTAACGCGTTGCTTCTAGCCCTTGCATTTGAGCAGCGTTCAACCACAGGGGGATCACTGGGAACGAATGTTCGAGATGCGGCATGTTTTGGAATATGGGCATTATCGCGACGCTACTTGACGCAGGATTTATTGGCTGTCGATACATCCTCAATCCGAGCCTCTCATCAACGACATGAGGGCTTGTCTGTTCCTCAGGTGCTCGCCATCGAGCTTCTAGTCGTCGCATGTCTCGATCCATCTGGCAATATCCGAAGAGGCTCTTCCGCTGCTCTACAAGAACTCATCGGGAGGCATCCAAACACTGTGGAAGAAGGCATTTCGCTCGTGCAGATAGTAGATTTTCACGCCGTTGGTCTACGGGAAAGAGCCATGTGCGAAGTTGCTGTCAAGGCTGCTCAGTTGCGTCACATGTATTGGGAAGCACTGTTTGAGAATATGCTCGAATGGAGTGGGACTGGCTCCCTAGATGCCCCATCTCGTCTCTCCGCAGCATCAGCAGTTGGTCTGCTATCAAAGGGCCAATCTGCACCAAATATTCGGCGCATGGCAGACTATGTTTGTGCCAAACTAAAGGCACTAAAGGCAAGAGAGATTGAAGAGCGTCATGGCCTTCTCATGTCGCTTTTTGCGCTTGTCACCCAGGTGCATTTACAAAATTGTAAGGCAGACAACGCCTCTAATCGGATCGACCTAACAAACCTCTGGCACTTGTTTGGTGATACCCTAAAATTAGACGAGAAGTCATTCACATCTCCAGCTCTCCGTCCGGAGTTTACTGCATCGGCTATCTGCAACCTTCTCGGAGCACTGGCGACAATGACGCAACACGAAGTAAAGAAGTCTCGTCCATTATCGATACCCATAGAGGATATCGTACGTCTTCTGAACCTATGCTTTAATCGTTACGAAGAATCCGTCCTCCAAGCCATCCCAGATAGTGCGCGAGGAGTCTTGAAGTTGCTTTCTACAACATCTCCCACTGCGACTAAAGAAACCATATGTAGCTGGTTGTCCCAACTGGAAAGCGAAGCGTCGTACAATGGCCTTCGATGCTCGGGTTACGCGATTGCTCTTGGAGCTGCTTATCCACTTCTAGTAGGTAGTTCCTTAGCAGACGGCATGAGTAGTGCTGTGACAGAACAACAAGTTCGTATTGTCAAAGTTCTTACCTTTCGATGTACAACTGCAGTTGGCCTTCACGCTCGGACTCCAGCTTTACGAGCTTTAGAAGTGCTCCTTAAGCATTTATCAGAGGATACCGCTTCGCCCCCATTGGACCAGGACATAAAGAATCAGATCGCGAATGCGTTGCACATGGCGCTAAACGACTACACTGTCACCGAACGAGGCGACATTGGATCTCTCGTCCGCCTCGAGGCTCTCAGTTTGACAGGAACTGCCTGGAGTACCGGGCTTCTTGGCCGTTCAAACCTAGAGGAGAAGCTACATGCAGACGTACTCCGACTCTCTTTAGAGAAGCTCGACAAAGTCCGCACTCGAGCCGCCCACGTACTCGAACAAGGGAACCACGAGCACTTAGAGAAGGCAATCCAAAGAGTCACCGAGGGTGTCTCTTCATACCTCTACTTTTCGACCGCGTTAAAGATCCTCCAACCCTCAACTTCGTCCACTATCAAGGAAGCTGTGCTTCTTGGCTTCGTCAGTTCTGCAGGCATGGGGTCGGAGTCTGTAGTTCAAAATTCGAGAGCTGCGCTGTTGGATGCTCTTGATGTTCTACCTACAGCAAATGAAGCCACGACGGATGAGAGTGGAAGGAATAAGGAATTCAGCTTAATAAGTGTTGCAAGCTGTCTGATTGACCTGCTGAAGCAAAGCTTAGAAACAGAAAGAGTTCTCATTCCTCTACTCGAAGTCATAGTGTTCCTCTTCGACATGCAAGTTATGCACCGCCTGATTCCCACCTCGTTCAAGTGAGTCCTCCTTCTCTCTAATACATTCCAACAAGAATCAGCACGCTACTCCTCGTCCCCATAAGTCTAGCCTAACAGCCTTGACAGCTTCCGCACCCTCCTATCGCTTACTCAAAAAGCCCATTTCAAATCCACACACATGCACAAACTGCATCTTGCGCTGGACATCTATCGCGGCTTAGGTACTATCCCAGCCACAAGGAAAGATACGACTCTAAAAGTGACGAGCATGCTTTTGCATCCATTTCCTAAAGTAGGCATGAGCCATTTCAGAAACCCAGGCACAGCTTGAAGCTACCCAAATGTTCCACCCTGCCCCACGGTTAGAGAGAACCGGATATCTTATAGCTTTATGACTTGGAAGAACTCTACTAACAATATCACAGATCCGCATCGCCGCTGCAGAAACACTATGGATGTTGACACGAGAAGACGGATTAAAGAGGCACGACTGGAGTCAACCAACCAGAAGTCTAAAACACATTGTCGACAGCATCAAAACCGGAGTAGCGTAGAGAGCCCAGACAGCGCAAATGCATTGAATTGACGCCTAATTACATGCACCCTTCAGAATCCCATTATCTGCCCCCGTGATCCCAGAAAGCGTGTGCATAACTCTTTACTTTGTCCATATGGCACCGTACTTGCTTTCAATGTCCGAAGATGGTTAAATGGGATAGGGAAGATAAATCCTTTACTTGCTATGCTAGGGGAAACACATTCCTCTTTCTCACTTTCTCCCCCTCCTGCTGCTCCTCCTCACTCCTCCTTCCTCGCCTTCGCGGTGATGGGCGTATACCACTCACTAAACTCCTCCACCACCGCCCGCAACTTCATATCCTTCATCTCCTCCTTCCAAGCCGCAGCAGCATATTCCGCAGTCACCGCTCTCACAATCGACTATACGCCGCTACGCATCAGTGTATGAGGTTATTTCAAGGGCTCAAAGATACTTATACCTCTTGCGCCGTTGCCGGCTTCGGCTTCGTGGTGTCGTAGCCTCCGCGGCCCATTTGGACGGCGGAAGACGAGGTGGAAGGAGGGACGTAAATTGAGGTCAGAGAGCGAGGCAGCGCGTAGAGCTGCCCTAACTACGCGCGCGGGAATGGTGGATATGGAGGACGGCGTTGACAGCGGTTACCTGGGGATTGGAGAGGTGGATATGCACGAATTGCGCGTGGTGAGATGGAATATGCGTGAATAGGCGTGGGTTGCCATAGAGTGAATAGGAGGTTAGATTTAGCTTGAGATTGTGGTTGTGGGTGTGCCTGGTGTAGCGCCTAGACTGGATCGTGGCGTGTGGTGTTGTGGTGATCAATTCCCGGTGATTCTGGAGCACAAGGCAGAGGGGCTATATACCTATGGGCTAGAGAGGGTGGTGACTGGGTTGGAGGGGGGGTAGTGGTGGGAGAGTATGGTGGATAGAGGGATGATGCTGTGGAGGGTTGCCTGGTGATTGTTCATCGAGGGGTTGTGGGCGTGTGCGATATTTTAGGAATTTCATGGCTGTCACGCGAGCGGTGGGTTACAACAGAAGAAAATATAGCGGCGGAGGTAGGGGAGCATTTATCGGTGCGGAGACAGGGCACAAAACAGTGATAGAGGACCCAGTGTCTCTTGGCTGGGCTTCCAGGGTGGGAGAGCGTTGTGACCCTAACTGTGTGGATGCTAAAAGCCATTATCCTTGTAGAAGATGAAGAGGCGGAAAAACAGAGGTGGGAATACGTTAGATAAGAAGAAGACAGGATGGGTCGTGCACCCTTTTTGCGTGCCAGCTCTCTCACAGCAGTTGAAGCATATCATTATATCACGATGTCGAAAGAGAGGAGGAGAAAGAAACAAAGCAACAAGAAAGCATATCGAGATCTTTATTTACAAATGGCGCTGTGTCCTTACTAATCTACTTTGTCCTGATGATCTTCAACTTCTTCGGGTAATGCACGAAATTATTCGCATACGCCTTGGGCACGAACTTGCGCTCGTTCGGCTCCTGAATGAAGTACTCATACCCCTGCTTATTCGCAAAGATAATGGCGTCCTCCTTTGTCTTGAATTGTATCCGGTGTCCTTGCATGAAGTCAGCTGACGATTGCCATCCCATCAGCGGGTTCTCCCATCTGTGACCCTTGGGAAGAGGGTCCCAGTCCATAAGCCAATGGTGTGAGTGCCAGTCGCCGGATTGGGTTGCAGCTTTGGTTGGGCGGTAGATTCTAGGATGTGGGTTAGTGTGTGCCGATACAAGGTGTGCGGTAATGAGTCGCAGGGCAGTGCAAGAGCGATAGACATACCGCACAGTCCGGGCTTGAAGATCTACAGGCGCGCCCGAGAGAACAGCAGCAGCGACAGACTCGCCAGGCTCACTTCCATCCATGACTCGCTTTGGGATTGGGGAGAAATTCCTGTATTCGAGGTTAGGTGATACTGCAACAGAGAGCTAGTCTTGGGGTAGCGTACGAGGTTCGGTAGTCCACTGCAACATTATAGTCAGGCTGATGCTTCGCCATTGCATTTCCTGGGCTCTCAGTTTGGATCATAGAAGATTCGCCGGCCGTTGCACCGGGAGCATCGCCGGGGCCCGTCTTGGGCCTTGGTTCGGTCGCATATGGGCGGTATCTTGGGGCAATGAGCCTGGCTGTGGATGGCCGCACAGCAGCTGGTATTAGCCGGGAGCCAATTGACCTGGGCAACAAGGTCATGGTGGGTGGTATCGTAAGTCTGGTTGCTGAACTTGGAGTTGGGTTCAATGGTCGTGGTGGTGAGGTCGGACGGCCCCATGACTAAGCACCGCAGCCGCAACAGCTTCAACCTCATCCTCGACGATGTCTTCTCCACGTCCAACTCTCCCCGCCCATCTTGCCAGCCCAGGTGTGTTGCCCCATCGCATGCAGACGCACAATCGCAATTCAATTGATGCTCATTGAAAGACAGCCGCCAAGATGAGCTTCATACAAAAGCGCGGTCTCTCGACCCTGATTCCTCCTAAGGTAAAACTCACCCTCTCCTTGATGCACCACTGCAGATCGCTAATGGGCATTCCCAGGTTGCTTCCCCGAATGTAAGACTTATCCGAAACCTATCCCTGATGGAACCGATACTCCCCAATCCAATACCTCCATTTTCTCGGTCGAGCGCAAAAGCCTTCGGCATCCACAACCACCTCCCTCTCCCATCTAGTCCGGCAATGCCATGGTGTCAGGAAATTTGCTGATTAAAAGCGAAGGCTATCGGCGCATCCCCGAATGCTGTCCGCATGCACAAGGTCGTGAACTTCTACGAGAAGCTACCCCGAGGACCCGCCCCCGAGCCGAAGCCGAAGGGCCTGTTGCAGCGATACCAGCATCGATACTTCGGCAACAGGGTGTCTGCCATGCGTGAGTTTTCCTGAACGGATTCAGTGGCGGATTTGCATCGGTTTATGCTAACGGTTGAGGTGTGCAGCCCTCGTCCATGCAATTGCTGCCCTCGCTCTCCTCGGCTACGCACAAAACTACTACTTCCATCTTCGTCAGTCAATCGAAGTCTTCAATATTGGAACGTTGCTTATTCCTTCCAGGTCATCACAAGAACAATGCCCATTAAGCGGACCGCGACTCTCACCTACGGCAACGGTAAGCAGAAAGGGCACCGTGTGTACATATAGAATGTAGTAGATTTCAATGGAGAGTTCTGGCCAATTGCTCTCATCACACAAACCCGGAGAAGTTCTCATGGACCGCAAGATTCATGGTAATGGCGATATGTCTCATAGGAAGCAAACCTGTGGGTCATGTCGTGCATTACAATCCTTCACCATCAGGAGGCCCACTAGGGCCGTGGTAGTTTTTGTTAGTGAGGAAGTTCCGCATGCTCCAGCGATTATGACAGTAGAAAGTACAGCATACTATCCCCTAACATGGACCATCCCCAGGATAAAGCCTATTTGTTAAACGTCTTGCTTGAATCGGCGAGAGCGTCAGGGAGAGCCCCAGCATCAACAGGATGCAAAATTCCGCTCTAAATCACCCGTCATGCTCCACTTCAGAGTGACGAGATGCAGTATGGTGAAGAGCCTAGTCTGTGCTACTGTCGGCCCGAGTGTGAATGCTGTTCAGGCTCTTGCTTGTTCCAACTTAGAATTTTCCAGAACTGTTCCCCACGCGAATAGAATGAATCATAGTTATATGAATGAATAACACCATAACATTCAGGGAAAAGGTAACGCTCCCCGTTCAAAAGGGCTCCCGTTTCGGTGTGGCTTGCTGTGTTCCCGAAGGAGTGACCACAGCCCTGCGCTTTGATTCGACGCTTCGGTTGCCAAGACCTACCTCACCTTGAAGCCAGCCAGCACGTCGTGACACACGCTCTCCTAAGTACATCAACACCAGAACTGGCCATAACCCGACGGCCTTCCTCCCCTCCACCTCCCCCCCAGACGGAGTCTCCCTCTTATTTGACGACATCACCGCTTTCGAGCCGTCTCCAGTTTTCCGCAACAGCGCGATCGACGACCCTCTACCCCAACCTCCGCCCACGCCGCGCAAGCCTCAGAGCCCGCAGTCGACGTTTCTGCGGAAGCGCCTACTACCTCTCCGTGGCGATCTCTAGATTCTGACATTAGGTACATATACTTATTTCCTTGCCTGCCGCGTTGCGCAATACATGGCCGTCCGGTCGCCATGCGGCCGCACTCGTCATCACCTATCTTCGAGCCCTTAGATAGAGACAACCATTCTGACAAAGAGCCTCTTGCGGCCGATGCAGTCCCGCAAATTGTTATGGCAGAGCAGATCACCCACGATGTGGTAAAGGAAGCACAGTCGATGGGTGTAAACTCGCCCATCGACGACCCTGCGACAACTACCAACAACTCCGCCGGCGTCGGCGAGGCGCTCTCTGATTCCACGACCGCCGAACCCAAGCCTTCAGAAGCCATTCCTACGACATCCACAAACGCTACGAGTACAAACGCAGATCAGGTTGGTGGTGCACCAAGGTCAGACAAGGCAGGAGGACATGTTTCGGCTGTAAGTCACGGTGGCACGGGCGATGCGCCCAACAATACTAACCTCGGTAGGCTCCCGCCCCGGACTCTGGCAAACAACAACGATCTGATACAGTGCCGAGGGAGAGAAATGAGTTGCTTGTCAATGGCGACTCGGGCGAGCAGTCCCCTGCCGAGGATGGGACGCAGCAAGCAATTGGAGAGGCCAGTGGTGGTTCGGATACGGACATTAGTCGTCCAGGCAGTGTGGATCAGGCAAAGGAGAGGGGAAGCGGCCACCTGCGATCAAACTCAGTGAAGAAACCAGCCGCGTTCAAGTCTGTGTCCGTGACGAAGAATTTCTTGGCCAAGTCTGCCGTTTCCACGCCATCTGCACGGCCTGGAGAGAAGGTGGCCCCGGCAGGACAAACGAGTGCGTCGACGCAGCAATCAGCAAAGCCCCGGCTAGTGGCAAAGTCTGGTAGCGGGATGGGCAACGTACCTCGTTCATCACTTTCGAAGCTGAATGGCGCTGGTACCGGGCCTGACGCAAGCAAGGTGTGGAATAAGAACCAACCAATTCCACCACCCCCCCCCAAGCAGTTCACAGACGAAGAACTTAAACAACAATACGGCATCCATCTCGCAACCCGTTTGCAAGCAGACGAGGCAGGCAAGGAGGCGAAATGGGCAGATATTGACGACGATGAGGATGACTGGGCACCGGACACCGTTCAGTGGATGGACGGGACAAAATCTACGGTTGCTGCTGTAGAGAATCAACCCCCGCCTCAGGAAGAACCAAAGCCTGCCCCAACAGAGACACCTCTTGAGGCCTCGAAATCGGTACCGGCTCTGGCCACGAACACGCAACGACCAGGCTCAACCACTGGAACGAAGACGATCCTTAAGCCTGGTGCCTCTCTGTCAGGCTCAAACAAAGCCGGTCTAGTCCTGAAGGGGCAGCCTGAGAAACCAACCCTGGTGGCTAAACCCTCCACCACCGCTCCAGTCAAGTCGCCCTGGGCTCCGTTACCACCTGTGGAGAAGGTCTCACCAATACAGATCAGTCCGCCCGTGCAGCACGCCCCACCTCGATACTCTCAGCGAGAACCACACGGATATGATACTTTGCCACCACCACCTGGGCCTGCGAAAGAAATTGCTCCTGACGATTTTAATCGGTCATGGCGGGATGACCGTGGCAGTAGGGAGCTCTTTAATTCCCACAGCGGTCGCTACGAACCTGTAAACGAGATGCGCCGTGGCTCCTTCCGCGACAATAACAGCTTCCGGCAGCAGCCCTCGGTCCTCCAGCGGCCTTCCCAAGATGGCCCAGCGGAGCCATCAGCCGCATTTCAAACTTCGCGAATGAGTGCAGATGGTCCCGCCTGGGGTCGAAGGCGAAACTCTTCTAACGTGAGTGGAGGTAGCGGTCGTCGCATGTCTTTTGACAGACGAGCCCCGGACCTTCCCCCAGTACCAACGAACATGCAACGACGGGAATCACAATCTATCAACGGTTCAGAGGCTGCAACTCCAGGCACTCCTCGTCAAACTTTTGCAAAGACCCACCTTTCCGACTCCTACCACGCAGGATCTGACCCGCACGTCTCCTTCACTCAGAGGTCGTCGCCAAATGTGTCACACGTGCAACCGGCTTCCCCTTATGGATCCGTAGGCTCATCGGCCGCTCCGGATGGTGCGGCGCCGGGTGGCCCCGTTCAAATGGAGAGTGCTGTAGAGGTTCAGAATCGTCTTATGCGTGAAAAATTAGAGCGTGCGAGACTTGCAAAGCAGAAAGAGAGGGAAGCCGAGGAGAAGGAGGAAGCTGAGAGGAAAGAACGCCTGCGTAAGAAGCTTGAGGCAATGGGATTGGCCAATGAACCGAAATCGAAACCGAAGGATCCATCGCCAACACGATCCTCACCTCCGAAGGACAAGACAGTACCAGCTCCTATGCAATCGCCGCCGAAGCCTCCCGTGCCAACTTCAGAGGGAGAAGTTGCACAGTATGGTATGATGAAGGTCCACCAGCCTCATCCAGTAAAGAAGCCATTCCATGGAGATGTCACGTTAGCGGCACCAAAGTCGTCGAGAGGTGCAGAGCTATGTCCTAAACCAAGTCCTTCTCCAGTGAAAGTTCAAGCCGAGGTTCAGCCGAAGACCGCAAACTCCCTCTTCGAATCTTCATCTACGTCCGCGAACAATCTCAATCACGACAACAACAAACACAATAACGCTCAATTGGAACAATCGCAAGCGCAACAATCTGAGGCCGAAGCCCGTGCTACCCCTCAAGCGCATAAGTCGACCCATCATCATCCACCAACTACTTGGTCAACCTCACTTACTCAACAACCTCGAGCACCTTGGTCTGGGATATCATCTGCACCTTCGTCCAACGTTTGGGGCCCTCCTCAAATCAAAGATAGAGCTCTTGGAAACGGCACGTTTGACTCTGGCTACACTCGAGGCCAACCTCACCCCACAGCACAACAACACTCTTCACAGCCGCAGCCTGGCCCACCACCCGCCCTTAGTTTGACTGCGTCGCTGAAGCCATCGCCATCGCAGCCGCAGATTACTTCAAACCCCCCATTTGCACAGCAAACAATGTACACGCAAACGGAAACAATGCCTGCTCCACAAGTCAACATGGGGCCTAAACCTGTTGGAAATCTCACCGTGACTGGATCTATCGCTCCGCGACGACAAGAATTGAGCGGCTGGGGCAACTTCACTGCTCAAATCCATCGTGATGATCGAGACATGGCTGTGAAGGCACGAGAGAACCTCGAGCGCATGGGTGGCGAGACAATGCGTCCTGAATTCCGCGAGACTTACAAAGACCAACAAGGCAAAAAGCAAGAGGTCGTACATGGTCGGGTTCCTGGTAATGCTACTCCAGAAGTCTCTCAACCTACTGTTGCCCCCAATATGAAGACAAACAATGCCACGGCTCTCAACGAATCTTCATCCTCACAACCTGTCATCAGCCAAGGCGGCCACCTTCAACCCACCGGTTCAACTGCACGCTCATCGCGCTTCTTCCCTCGTCCAGCCGAGGCGACGAACCAATCGTCAACGACTTCAAGCAAGTCGGATTCCCCCCCACCTCCCGAGACCGAGTCCCATCCAGCCTTCACCGGCGACACTGAACACCCGGTTGTGAAGATGCCCAAGCCATCCCCTCGTGTACGACTTCCTCCTGCTGCTACCGATCCTGTTGTTCCTGTAGAAACACCTGTCAGCATGCCAAATCGGGCTCGTATGAGCTTTGGCGCACGACCACTTGCTCTTGATCCGGAGTGGCAAGCTCGCTTCAATGGTCTTCTTGGGAAATCGCCGCCATCCTCGGTGCCGGCTCCGATCACCAGACCCTCCAACATTCAGCCAGCACTCAATGCTCGGCCAGGTTCGCTCGCTGTTAGTGCGTCATCGAGAGCACCCCTCGAGGTTCGTGAGAGCGTCGCGCCTGCTACTGTTTCATTGCCAAACAGCATCGCAAAGAAGATATTTGCAGAGGACGATAACCGCGACGTCACCACTCGTGTCAGCGCCGAGGAAGTCTTGCTTGAGGAGCGCGAGTTCGGCTCACTGCCAGAAGTGAAGCTTTCCAAAGTTCCTCATCTTGCAGCTAACGAGCCCCCTGTTGGATTCCCATCTGTTCATCCCGACTCCAAGTTTCACCGAACTTTAGATGTCACGACAAAGCCGGTCTTGAATGTACGTGATATTGATCACAATGCTGAGAGCATCGATATAGTCATTCGACTGAATAATATGCGAGAGCCCATTACGAAGGCGGTACCAAGAAAGCGCAGTAGTCGAAAAGGCGCTGGCTCCAAGCCAAAGCGCACCTTCACCCCCACTAGTGCTACTCCTAGCAACTCCCAACCTCAGCGCTCGTCACGCAAACCATCCGGTTACCAAGGTCAAGGTTCAAACAACCACAACAATCCTCGCCCACCTTCTGGCGGCAACGGATGGAACTCCACCCGCTCTACCCCACCACATAATAACAACAACTGGACTAGACGCCCTGCTCCTGTCCATTGAATCTTACCTATTCAACTCATATAAAGACTGCGACTCCAATTGATCGTATCTGAACCTTGGACCTCTCCAGGACCTTGCCCCTTCTGAATCCGATATGGTGTTCGAGTCGACTTCGTTGAACGACCGACGAGCTGCATTCGGAAGGGAGGTGCAATCGACTTGGGTACCTCCTTGTATTTCATGTCTTTCCCCATTCTCACTTTATACCTTTTTCGGCTTCGGCTTCCCTGTACCAAAACTATATCTCCGGTGCACAACGGCCAACTTCTTTCTTGGTGCTGCGTTCTCCAACATTACCATACTTGGACTAGCGTCTCGATCGGCTTCATCGTCGCTGCTCACGTCCTCGATCCTGGGATGGAATTTCACACGGTCATACATGCATGCGTGTTGCTTGCTGTTCCTTTTTCTACCCCGAAGGCGCACAGTCTTCTAACATCACTTCTCTATCTATCTCCCGAATAGCTTGTGTTCGAGTGCTAGGATCCTGGTTAACGGGCTTGTTTCCACTCCAACCTGTTTCGGTTTCACCTTTCTAGCGAGCTAGATGGTATAGGTGGATGGATGAATCTGACGCATGGGATGGAATGGATTGGCAAGGGTCCAGCATTGCCGATAGATGCTTTTGTGCAAATAATACCTGGAAATTCATAATCTGTGTGCCTGTGTGCCTGTGTGCGTGACGTCGATCACGCGACCTTTAGAGCCGTGGCAATTGATCAAAGAATGATTTTTTTTTTCCTTCCTACTTCCACACAACAGCCTAGAGTTGTGGATCTTCCTGTATGATTAACGTATGACTTTTTCTATCCGCTCGTGGTAGCGCAGTGGATCCTTCCCGCTGGTGTCTTGCCCGAAATGAAATTATTGTCACCCGCTAATTAAGCTTTGGTAGCCTAAACCATGCATCTTCCAGCTTCGTATAAAAGGACCCCGGTCGCCCAACACCGTACCACTCTTCAAGGTTGCAACCTCTGATTTTCAACTTTAGTGCTTCATTCACGTTTCCTCCGGATTACATGAGACGAATGAGTGCATAATAAAGAGCCACGCTTGGCGGATTCGTGCTCTGGATCTGGATAAGACTTCCGTTCGTTGTTCTCTCGGTTTCTCGTACGACACGATACGGTTTTTCGTTTGTTTGTGGAAAGGGGGAAGGGTTTACAGGAGGGCAAAAGAGAAGGACTGGGTTTGGCAAAGGCATTATTACAGATCTATGTCTTCTGCTTTCCTAGCTGGATTGGGGTGGTGCTAGATCCGCGCCGTAGGGTTTCGATTGCGAAATCCGTATTCTTGTCCCCCACTCGATATCCAAGGCCTCCTCTGAGACTAGGTTTTCATGATTTCTTTGGACTGCGCACCCGAGCATCTTACCACCAACACTGGACTTTCTAGTATCACAAAACTAGCGGGCACGTAGGACTCGATCTCCAATCCATTCCAATCCATCGTCTATCAAACATCCCACTAGCACACCTCGCGATCGCAGGAGGTACCTAATTTCTCCCTATCAAACAAAAAAAAAAAAAAAAATAAACAACCCATCCTCTTCTCCCCACATCATGCCCTCGCTCAAAAAATCCCTAAAACGAATCTTCCACACCTACCCAGGAGGAAACCGCAATCCCTACCTCGACCCCTCAAATCCCAACTACAACCCCACACAACCTCCCCCTCCAACAACACCCTCAAGGGCCTTCAATCGCACCATCTTGGCATCGCCACGGGGATCTAGCGATTTCTTGGCCGAAGCGAGGGAAACGGTTGGAAGAGATCGAGTAACTGGGAAACGCATTGTTAGTGCAAATGGGTATCAACAGGATGCAAGCCGGTCGGCTCCAGATTTGAGGGGTGATGAAGGAGGACTTGGCAGGGGTAAGGATAGGGATAGGGGGAGGGGTAGGGGAACGGAGGAAAGGAGTGCGTATGCCGACCACAGTAGTAATATCAGAATCAGAAGTGGGACAAAATATGATCTATTTGTGCAGGAAATGAAGGAGAGGAGAGAAGGCAATTTTAAGGTCCCCGAACAAGGGTATTATGCTCCGCCACCGAGGGAAATGGTGGAGTATTTTGCGGGTGAGGCAGCAGTGGGTTTGGAACTGCGAGGGGCGATCCAGTCGAATGTGCAGTTGGGGAAGAAGAAGAGGAAGAAGAAGAAGAAGTGAGAATATGGTGTTGTTCTTTGAAGTTCTTGTTTGGTTCTGGGTGCGCGTGGATGAGTGGAAGGATTTTGGAGAATGCATCTGCTTTAGTATTAACAGATACCCCGTTATTCTTTTGAACTGGTCTTTCAAGTCCGGGCCTCACCGGCTTACGGGTATAGGTCTGACACAAATCACACCCCTCTTCGAGAAGATACTCCAAGTTACCAACTAGTGCAGATGCATATACCGAATTGAAGTGATATATTCGACTTGTATTCTGGAATAAAGACGCCCTTTCCATTAGGTATAATGAAGTAAACAGCCATGGAATTTCGCCTTTAAATGCCACAAAGTTTAACTCTGCTTGAAGTTCTGTTTCACACCACTAGCAAACCACGTATCCCTATTCGCACTTGCATCCCACGTCCCATTTTTCAGCAAACAGTTCCCTCCTGGGTCTCCGTCTTGCACCATGTCGGTCAGGTTCGCGCCGTATGCTACGCCTCCACACTCAGTCAGGTTCGCACATCGGTCCATGCATGATTTAAATGTGTATTCGGTGAAGATGCCGAGGTTGACGACCGGTCTACCGTTATTTTTGGTGCCAGCTGGTTCGCCGCGTCGACATGTAATGTTGAAAGTAGCGCCTCGAGCAAGGTAGGGTTGTTTAAGCTCGCGCGGCGTTGCGGCAGGTGCGCCGGGGGCAGTGGCGGAGGCAGGCGAGCAGGGTAGTTTGGCCATGCCTGATGTGCCGGAAGTCACGTATGGGGGTCTACATAGAAAGATTAACGAGAAGTTTTGTGATGAGAAGGGAAAGGAAAACCTACTCTGGGTTCGAGTTTTGTTTCGCGTAGTAACCTCCTACTCCACCGCCGACCGCACCGCATATTATGACTATTACCACCACGACAAGGACTATTATAAATGTCCTTCGCTTCATCCCACACGTTCTCTTCCCCACTCCTGAATGTTTCTCCAGAGGTACAGGTATCAGTCCGCTCTCGTCACCTGGTATTGCCTGCTTTCCTACGACAAAATAAGGAAATCCATACGCTGCTGGTCTACTCTCTGAAGTCGTCGGTTGGGGATACGGTCCATTGGGGTCCACCTGCAAGCCCTCTACCTCGCGATTCGCGAGATGCACCTCGGGCGCTGAATTCTCTAGCGGCGGACTTCGCGAAGTAGTCGCCGGAGCTGTGTAAATGGGGGCAGGTGCATGGTTAGGTGACGTCGGCGTGTCTTGAATCACATTGATATTCGGGAGTTGTGCGGCCATGGAAGTTTTTACACGATCGGAAATAATTGGGGGTTGTATACTGCTTTGGCATTGCAAGCTTTGATGTGTGATTGCGAAAGCGAAAGGAAAGTTTCCAGCCTTAAACCGGCCATGTAAGCCAGGCGTCCAGCATGCCGCAGATCGTTGCAAGTATGATGTTCGGGTCCGTCAGTCCAGCATCCAATTGACATGCAACCACGCAAGAAACAGTTACAGCTCGCGCTTACTGGTTTACCGATCCGGAAACTTGGGCAATTGGTGAGGTCGGCGGTTCCGAGTGGCTCGACAGAGGGGTTTGAGAAACATTTTGATTTGTCGATTTGCTTGTGCGGGAGAATTTCGCGAACCGCAGGCCATCATGATGTGGAGTGGGACGGAGTTGGGACGGACTGCCTAAAAACAGCATGTGAGAGAGCCGCCAGTCTTGGGAGTCACGAATGATGCGCCAATGGTACGATGAAGGGGTGTGGCTGGGTTCTAAAAGGGGCTGAGGCGGTCTTTCGCCTCGTGATGGCGTACGTGGAAAAGTCAGTAAGATTCCAGAAACAGCTCCTGGTCACCCCACGAAGATAGTGTTATGTTTAGGAATAGAGGCGGAGTTTGGCTTGCTGTTGATGATCTCCGTAAGGAGCCGGAGATTTGACTAGCGTGGCCACGTGAGTTCCAAGTCTTAGCGGGCTCTTATCTTGACCTCAGATTATCATTCTTTCCATTCAACACAATGTCACGCTACATGTCTAATTGATGGCTTCATGGAGCAAAAACGATCGAGAGGAGTCTCGATACTTAGGATCTTCGCTCTTCGAATCTAGTCCCACTAATATCATATGTTCAGGGTGTGTGACCAGCCGAAAACACCTCCGCAAATGCAACGAAGCCAAACCTAGCTGCAGTAGATACACTAGTTGCAATATCGAGCGCAATTATGCACGTAATTTACTTTTGGAGAATGGTCCATGACTTCCTCGAGCGCAGCATCAGATTTAACGTCGTCAGTCCCAGTTACGTCCAGTCACCTTTCAACCTCAGTTACACGTTCTTCGCCTTTGAGGACCATCCAAGGGCACACGGAAGGCCAAGTCGAAGAAATTCCACAACCGTCTCCAAGATGAGCAAAGAGGGAAGTCTGGTGTGAACGCGAGTTCACGATTCAGCGTGGAGAACGATTGACCCATCGACATCCCACCATCAGAGCCAAGTCCAGTAGCTGACTCTGAAGTGTACTTTGATTCTGCGGCCGAGGAGTCTGTCCCTAATCCATCTGTATTTAGCTGAAGACAATGGAACCTAAGTAGTGCCTTCTACCAAGATATATGCTCTGTTCCAAGCCACTGGTGAGAGTATTACCAATACATATTGTACGATATCGGGTGTGGTCAGTTGGAATCACGGCTAACAAAATAAAAATCCTCCGCTCTGTATCTCTCATCATTCCGGCATGTGACAGTCCCCAGATTGATTCCCGACAGCCTACAGTGCTTGCATTGTCGTCTCCAGTTCCCATGTCCACAATCCTGTCCCTTTCAACTACCTACATGCACCTCCGACGTAGAGTGCCTGTAAAGCTCACCCTTGACCTCTAATCGCGGGCCCTCACAACCCTCCACAATAGCTTGTGTTCTTTGTCGAATCCAGATTCACTCAGAATTCGTGATGAAACATCGTGCCTTAAACGAAATATTCTAGCCACTACTCTTCTTCACATAACCGTTGGAATTGCTAATGGAGGCAGAGAAGTCTGGTCGCATATAAATTGCGCCTTACACTTGTTTCGGGAACTAGGTTACGAAACAGGAAAACCAACGTCATCAATAGGCACCGCTTTAGTTTAGCAAATGACATCTATACGTCCCCCCCTTTTGTGACTCTCATTCTAGTTCTTAAACCAAGAGGACGAATCTGATGATTCGTCGCCGACATCTTAAGAAACGACAAGATGCCCACAATAGGTAATATCCTACCTAGCCAGAATATTCCATCTCGCTGCCGATCAAACCGACAGTGCTCAGTACTCCACGCTCATGTCTCAAGTTCGTGAACTGGAACCGGACCTCGACATATCAGCTCGAAAACTATTCACCAATGACACAACGCTACCACCACCGCGACGACATTCGAAAACGCTGGGGCAATGCTTCTATTGGAGGTCCGTTATTCTCTTGCAACTCTGGGTTTTCGGTGACACCCTAAGTTCGGACCGCATACAGCCAACGCTTGCCACTTTAACCTACCTCATTGAATACTTACTAACTAGGTGAGGGCCAGATTCCTCTTATCGCTTCCACTTTACATTACTCTCCACGAGGCTATTGATCCACAACGTGCTCGAATGCGGCTCCGAAGCTGTCAGTTGACTATCGAATATCTTTCTAGAACCGAGAGGCAATGGCGGCTGCTTTCTATGACATGTGGGCGAATATGGACAGATTAGATGTCACAGGAAGGAGTTCACTAATGAGTCAGCAAAGGGGAAATTTCGTGGAGGACAGAGCACTCTTCATCTGTTAAAATGCTACCCAACATCAATGGCCAAGGGTCACAATTAGTAGCTTAAGAGAATGAAGCTGAATTCATACGTTAGGGTGTAAATGAAGAAACAAGTCACCGGGCGCTACAATATCGCCCGGCCTTTTCTGAATTGCGAGGTCTTGTACACCGATTTCATTGTTGAGTCTCGAACGGTTATCTTCATTTTTATAGCTTCTAGGATGAGCAGAGTGCCTCCGGCCTTCGAGGCCGAACCTACATCGATGTTTAGCTTCTAAATCTTCGCATTTATGCTTGCGACAACGCAAGTTTGGAAGCTGTTACCGCGTCAAGGATGGTAAGAACATGTGACTTGAATATTAGGATTACTCTCCATTCTCGACTTCCTTACTACCAATATCGGGCTTCGGTTTCACGTTCCGGACTGTTTCTATGTTCCATATCTTCAACTGTTCATTTTGCTTACACAGGCTAACTTAATAAGAAGCCTGTTGAAGAAACATAATCCGCTATAATACAGGACTCTTACTAGAACTTGTCAACCACATTCATCGTAGGGTAGCCTGTAAGGACATCAGTCGCAGAAGAAGGTTAGAAAACATGATAACGAAGGTCGTGCTTCATAACCGAGCGTTTCCATGATGGTCTCTAGCAGAGCAAGATTCGTAATTGGACCTTGTAAATTATTAACAACAAGGTCCATTGCATTGCATTCAAATCTGTACAACGACTGTCACCATAGGCCATTCTAAATGAGAGGATCTGAAGATTTGCATTAGCAATCAGTCTACCTCACAATCTGACCGTTTACGCTCGCATCGAAGGGAGTGGTTATCATAGCTCCGTTGCCGAGCCAGGTACCTATTTGAATGTTTTCTCCAGTGGAGAAAGACAAGCCTGTGAAATTCCAGGGTCGGGATTGTATTCACTGGCTGGATTCTCTGCATACGCGCGAACCTCGATGGAGTGGCAATTTGGAGTACTTCTTTCGTGAGACGATAACCGACCATTTGCCTGTCTAGGGCGTCCACATACTTCGGCATCATACTGCAACAAAGTCCAGTGACACCATGTTCAACTTGCAATTTCGTGTTCATCTCAGTGAAAAAAGCCATTAATTTCAATATCAACCGAAAACTCGACCGTCCCTGTAGATTTGTATATAATTAATTGCGCTAGGGAGATTTATGTTTCAGCCGTTCCCAGACTTCTGGATACTTGAGCGCATACAGACTCGGCGACTCCCTGAGAACTTTCTGACGTCCCCTCTAGATAGAGCACTCTCCTTCCCCGAACCAAAGCACATCGCCTTGGTCGCTGCCAAGTACTAAGTCTCAACACGCCTTCCATTTTCCGCGGACTTCTCAAAGAAGATAAAGAGTCTTTGAATAGATTTTCTCATCTACTTCAAGCTGTTGTTGCAGCACTTCCCAGTTCTTCGGGATTGCAACAAACACAAAACTCCATGCCTCTCAAGCGGTAGCCTTCACTATGACTAGAGAATCTAGGCTTTCGGCTTCACAGGCTGCCTCACGGACGCCCGTAATTGTGTCTATTTCCAGGACAACAGAAACTTGTGCATCGATAGCAAGTTCTCTTGCTCTGTATTTCAAACCAAGTTCTGTAATTGTTTCTGGAGATAGACCGACTAATACAATCCTTGATTGGTGCAGCGACTGTGTAACTTTGATATAAGGAAGTAAGATCGTGCAGTATCTTCCGCTGTCTAAAACCTTCTCCTATATTGCAGTTCACCAAAACTTTAGATATTAGTGTCTTCACTCTGAGGCTAATCCCAACCCTCCCCTGAGAGGATTTGCTTTTAAGAATTTTCTTCTTAGCTTTCGCTCAGCGGACGAAATGCTGTCTGGATTGGGCTATCGCCGATTTCACACTTAGCTTGCGTCGTGCTACTCCACTTTCCTCCCCAGACGGAATTCCCTCCAAGTGAAGTGCGAGTGTCATATGTATTTACGGTTTCAGTCGGAATTGGGCTTCTAGGGCTGCGAATGCGACTAGTTGTTTGGGAAAGTTGGTGGGATGGTTGTTCTGATTGAATTCCTCGTCGTTGTCGTTTTAACCTCATTCTGATTGGTTCAGCTTACTGACTCTGACAATGTTCATGGACCTTCACTTTTCTACAAGGCACTTTCAACGTTTAAGGATATTGATGACAATGAAACTAATGCTATAGTTTTGCAGTTTGATTACAAGTCAGGTTCTCACTAGATCAAATAATTGGACCAACGTAGACATTCTCCCAGTCATTGCAGAAACCCGCAATTGCACGGGCAAATGCACGGGCAAATCCTACTTTAGCAGTTGTTGAGACGCTGAATCGCAACCTGTTTAGAGTCGTTGTTTACACGCTAAAGGGTCTCCGCCTGTGTTACTGCAACATACTAGCTTATGGGGTTAGCATATATCGCCAACGGCCTCGGTTCTAGTCAAGCCATTGCAACCATGGTCCTCGGCACATAAATCTCTAGCGGAGTGTGATGGGAGTGTGGCGAGTCAAGGATCCAATACCACCTTGGATTTCATATGATGAGTCTTGCTGCTTTTGGCATGTATGGGGGTTGCTTTGTAGTTATTTTGATGTGTTTTAGCAACTTTATACCGTAAGCTGATAGATTGATAATCCTTGATGTGTCTGTATGAGTGTCTGTGCTGTGTCAGAATCTGAGTCAATTTGTTAAGCAGTAGTAGGATTCAGGTGTGTACTGGGCTGGGTGGTATTGCTATGCGAGTTATGCTGCCGGCGATATTGACGACGTTTCCTCGGATGCCAAATATCTTTCCTGAGAGGTATACCCACACTTATTGATTATATACTTACTTCCCTGAGTGCCTGCTGATGGCTTTCCAGCTTGAACATCACAACGAAAGACTTCATCAGCACAATGATCCACTGCTTCATCTTCGTTTAACCCTACAGTCTCAATATTATTTTTCTCATTAGTTTCGTTTGTGTAGTTTACATCAGTTTAAGCATCTTCATTTAGGCAATAGCTGCAAACGGAGGCGCAGAGAATCTAGTCGCACTAACGCTTGAATTCGGCGCCAGGTATGTCCCCTCATTCTGTCCCCTCTTCCAAAACTCCTCTGCAAACCTGAAGACTGGCGGTCCCAAAGCCTAGCCGACATAACACAGGGAACGCAGTGACACAGCATTCCGTCTCATCCAAGCTATTTGCACCGTGGTAACAACCTACACGAGCGTTCTCAATCTGAGATTCTGACGGGGCTCGATACTCCAAAACGCCATCAGCTGCGCGACGAGGGATCTGGATTGGATGTCCGTTATTTTCTGACCGCATCGCATCCATGTTTGGAATCTTTATCACCAGTGCGACAAGGTCGATGTACGGCGAGATCACTTGGCAGCGCATGACTCTTTGAGGGTACGTTATTTGCGGGATTGGGTTTTTTTTTATGAGTTAGCTTGCTGCAATCTGCGTTGCTTGTTCTGTTGAATCCCCCAAGACGCAAAAAGGCAGAGTGAAACGATGTGACGGATGTGGATTCGCTTACATTAAGCTGTACGTACTAGGTCGACGTTTCTTCTCGTGCAGTAGCCACCGGGATAGATCTAGCGTCCACCATCCCTGAATTCATCGACGTTAGGCGTGGAAGTCTCATACTCGCTATCATAGCAATATCCCAATGTCTCATAGAGCTTAGTCAATGCATTAGGAACGTCCTCCTTGGTCGTTAGGCCCATGGGGATCTTTATCTCGCTGCCCATTGGCGTCTACAATGCTAATTACTGCCTCATTCGCCATCGCCGATGTAAGATCTCGGATTTGTATTTTGAACGAAGAGAGTCGGTATGTTGGTTCTGGTACGGCTTTCATTGAAAGGCTTTTTTGATGTAGTTCTGGTTAATACGTACTTGCATTCCGTTCCATGCCCCGACCATTCTGTTCCATTTGCTTGTTTGTTGTGTGCATAGTTTGTCACGCTAACACACCCTGCAGCAGGCTTCGCGAGCGCCATAAGTAGAAAGAAACTACATGTAGTGTTGATACGGGTTTCCAAGACCTTTTTTTAATCGGTCAGTTACGTGCAATCAATCCTTCCTGGAGGGTCTTACCTGTATTTCCTCTTCTCATAGATTCTGATGTATTTCTAGGTCCTTGTGGTGGGTTCATGATTTATAACATCACCTACTACCTTTTTCCCGTGCTATGGGGCGGCCTGTATGAGGCTTATGAACTCTTGCAAGATATTTGACGGATCATATCTTTACTGCAAGCGCGTTGTGATTCTGATTCACCAGTCCACCCCAGAACCATGCCTTAGCTGAGGATGTATATCCAGGTCGATCCAGAGGTCAAGACACCTTTCAGATCGTCCAGGATAGATTCTAAAATCGTGTAATGCAGCCACATGTCACCTGCATTTTAACTTTTGAGGCGGCTAATAAGGTTCTGAAGCAGTGTGGCTGGGTTCCGAAAGGGGCTGAGACGTAGACTTGAGCCTCGCTCGTGTTGGTGCGGCGCAGGAGGCAGGATTCTGACAGCGCGTAAAAAAGTCTCATACACGTGGCGTGTGCTCAACCCGCAAAGACACTTCCGTCTTTTCACGCGTTCATGTCCAAGCTAGGGCTGGGATCTTGTTAACAGCGCGTTCAATGCAAAGATACAGAGAAGAAGGGAAAACGGCGCGTCGATTTATCCAAAATAAGGTTGTTCGTGTTTATATACACTGATATTGCGATCTTGCAATATCATTCTTGATCTGTCTTATTCAACAAGGCTATGAGCTTTGAGCTCGATCTTTCCAATCTTCTTCTACAAGGTATCATCAAAGCGTACCGAAAACGACGAAAGCCAGCCAGGCAACTCCAAATATGCATGCTGAAGGAGAGGAAAGGGAATGGTGATGCTGGGACAAAAGAAACAGGGTGCGCAATGCTTTGGGAGTAACGCCACACCAAAATTATATACTGTACTACTGAAATTGAAATCCCAAATGTGACCCGGGGTATCATGCAACAACGTAAAGCAATAATCGTACAGGGTCGAACGGTTAAAGAGACAGAAACGAATTTTATGCCAGACGGCCGTTCATCGCACCGCTCAGCTGAGCTTTCTCGTCGCCTTTTATTATCGATGTTTGTTTGGCGGATTGGACGGCAGTGACGGCGAGGGTGGTAAGGGTTAGCACTTCGGAAGAGGCAGCGCCAATAGCGATATAGAATGCGACGCCCTGAGAATGGGTTAGCACATGTCTGCACGGGGTGTGGCTGACGGGGCGGGTCTACCTGTTCTGAGCAGACGGTGCGATACTGGTACCTCCCGTTGCTCATGACATTCTTGTTCGTGCAGGAATACTGGCCGAGGCTCGCCTTGCTGGCCTTGTCCAGTAGATTGTACACGAGCAATGCTGCTACCCAGAGAATGACCCCGAAGCTCCCGGCGACGATGCGGTAGACATCTCGTGAGCGTATTGGCCGGCGGAAGGATTTCTTGAAGGACAAGGCGAGGATGGCGACGGACGCGAGGAAATTGGCAGCGGCGATGGAGAACAACACGATGGTGGGCGCGAGGTTCGTTCTTGCCGGCCACGTCATGGGCAGCTCCCCCTTTCGCAGATCGAGGGACGAGTTGCCGCGGTAGATTTGGAGAGTGTGGACCAACATGCCCGCGACGGCTCCGCTGAGGACGATGATGAGCAGTCGGAGGGCCGATCTGAGGGAACTCAGCCAGGACGGCTTTGCGGAAGTGTCGGAAGGGAGCTGCATGCGTGCACTGAATCGACGAGGTTGTCTGCTGTAACCGTTGTATCGGTCTGGTGGTGGGTAGTAGGGAGGACCGGCAGGCCGCGAGACAGGGAGAGGTGAGGGCTTGGGAGAGGGAATGGGCGAGAGAGGACGATGTTCTTTCAGGCCGGTTCTGGTGGTGGTGTTGTAAGCAACTAGAATTCGGGGCTGTTCACCGGCTAGCGTGGAGGAATCACAGCGTCCGTCTTCCCAAGCAGCGCCACGCTTGCGATCCCGACGGATCGAGTTGAACCTCGAGATAGCTTGGCGGCTGCGCATCCGGTACAGAGAATGCGTTTCAGCAATGTGTATGGGCGTGGTGGTGAGGGAGGGATAGCGAGGGAAGGTCATGGCCACAAGGCAGGGGGGACAGAAGGGACGGGCGTACAGGAATGTCTTAGCCCAAAACGATGCTGAGAGCTGAGCCCGAGGCTGGGGAAACGAGCAGTAGCGGGCAAGAGCGCGGCTGCCTTTGGCAACAGCGTGCCACCGTCAAATATAATTCTCGGACAGCGCCGAAAGGTCATTGCTCCCCTCTGCATCACGGCACGCTTCCCCATGGCGGTGCATTGCGGGCGCTTCCTTTCGGTGGATGTGTTATCGCAGAATTCGCTCTCGAGGGCGTAGGGCTGTGCTGGCCCCTGGTTCTGTTCCGTCCGAGAGCAATGAAGTGAGGTGGTGCACAGGCAGGGGCGCTGGAAATAGTCGCCTGCCGTGCCCAGCCGCCGTCTGATTGGACACATCTCTTGAAACGAACTGCGCCTCCCCGCACGTGTGGATTATGCTGCCCCTTTAAAAAAATAATTCGGAGATTTTTGTTCTTTCTGCAATAGAAGCGTTTAAAGCCTCTAAAGCAGCTATGCGGGAAGTTCTACAATATCGAATACTTTCAATTCACGCTTCAGGACATACTAAAGACAGTCCCAGCTGCTTACAACGTGATGTGCGCTATTCGTCGCCGCGTTGCGACATGCATCCCGAGGTCAACGTGCAAGGGTGTGGGCCGAAACCACCAGGCTTGGCCCCCAGGCAGATTTTAGGATTCAAAACTGCCAATCCCAGGCAGCCAAATATTACATGCTTTCTGATGCTTCAAGAAAGTGCATAACGGACCCTCCACCTGGTGTCCGTCTCATTCAGCATGGTAACGCTTCCAAGGGTGACAAGAACATGAGCAATCCCGGTTTGACCAGTCAACTCACTAGCTAGAATCAAGGAGGACGTCAATAGGATTGAAATTCCTGTCCTAAATTACCCTTGCTCTACGGATTACTCTGGTGAGGAGATGCACTAACTCAAAAGTTCCCTCATGCTATGCAACTATCGTCTTTTCTGCTGCTTGAAGGGCTTCTCTGGTTGTTACCCCCAGCTAACATGCTGCACAGCCGCTCCCGTACTTCTGACTGCAGGTCCAATGGGAAGCACTCAAGTTCTGCACAGGTGGGCAGAGTAGATAACAAAAAAAAAACCCACCCTTCAGCGTGGACGCGTCACTACTCAACTAAGAACAGGCGTCCACTGAATTCGTTCAAGCAATCCGAATCTTCCCCTTCCGCTATCTTCTGACACCGTATCTCTTTTCCATTTGGTAAGCAAACCTTTGAAACCTCGCTTCCACCGTGTCCACTTGAGCCTCGCTGGACCCCGCATTTGGCGCGATCCGTGGATCACAGCCAAACCATAACCCCGCTGTGTGGCGCCTGTCTCGCAACATGAAACCTTTTTTTGAAGGCGAGACGCAGGCTTGCTTTCCATGACGGTAGCGTCAGCTCGTGAAAGTGTGTGAGGGATCACAATTCCGCTACATCTTCATGTGGAGGTTTTCTGTCCAATGCGGCTCCGAAACGGTAGCCGTCACTTTGCATCAGGTGGTCTCGTTTGAACTCCTCCGCCAGGACGTAGACCGGAAGTTGGTGGCCCATCTGCAAGGCGGGAGGAGAGTTTGGCGGGTCTGTGTTTGGAGATATGTCTGTTCTGTTGAATTTCCCAGACACAATCAAAATGGGCGGCTTTTTCAGCTTCGTCGTAGCCTCTTCAAGTTCTGGGAGGGCAAAAGCACAGGCAGTCACAATTTGAAGGTCTGTCGGAAGTTTCTCCGAAATCGTTCCCATGAGTTCTTCAAGCCCTTTATATTCCTGTCAAAGTTAGTAAGACGGTGGTCAAGTATACGGAGGATTACCCTACCATTCCTAGATACTCGATGTCGTCAAATACCAGGCATCGGAGCTTCGAGAGATTCACACCCATAGCATGCAATTCCCAACTATCGAACAAGCCCTCCATTTCTAATATATATTGAAATCTGCCAACAGAACAGACCAAAATTTGGTGACCCGTGGTCTTAAAAAATTCGCGCATTTTGCCGGGGTGCAGATCTAATATATGAATGCCTGACATGGAAGATGCGATCTTCTTCATTGTGTCTGCAAATTGCCTAACCTGCTCTCGCGTTCTGAGCAGCACTGTGATTTGAAAGTCGGGACCGGTGGGGTCGACGAGTTGGAGAAGAGCAATGATGATTGCCAAAGATTTTCCGCTTTTCGAGACGTGACGGATATGGAGGGATTTGCCTGATGGGATTGGCTTGAGAGGAGTTTCAGGCGCACTCTGGCATACTTACGTTCCAGGAGATGAGGAATGGCCAATTGCTGGATCTCTGCGGGTTCGGACAGACTATGTATGTGATTGGCATCGTAAGCTGTATGGCTGATTGGAAGTTAGGTACCCGAATGATTCGATGCCCTCAAGAATTTCCGACTTCAATCCCATATCTGCAAATGCCTTAAACCCCTTTTCAACTACGACTACGCGTTTGGCTTCGTGCATTTTCAACGCTTCTTCGTTCATCGTGGCAGTGCGGCACCCAATCGGTTGCCGCGGAACGCGTGCTGCTGATGTTAATGGCTACAGTCGTTGAAGTTCAATTCTATGAACTGACTTTTCAACTTCGGCTGTCGCGACTTCCGGTACGATATCGATAAATCACGTGTGCCATGCACTCCCCTTTCCGAAAACTCTACTCCAACATCTCACTTATACACCTTCTTTTCTTCCTTAATTTATAATCCAGTACTTCTTTTACATTTTCTTATTTTCCCTCCTTCCATTCAATTGCCTGCAAATATGCGTTTCCTAACCTCCCTTGGCATAATCATCGGCATATTTTCTACCCTCTTCTACTTCCTAGACTCACATCTCGAGAAGTTCTACATTTTCCAAACCGACCAACTGCATAGCCTTGCGCTGGAAGCCATCGAAGCTCATGGAAACGACACATCGTCCGTTGTGAAATACATAGTTGAGGACCTCAACGCCAAGCTCCCCATCCACGTCAACCTGGACGAAGAATGGATCTTTAATAACGCGGGTGGAGCTATGGGTGCCATGTATATTATCCATGCGAGTATCACTGAATATCTGATTATCTTCGGTATACCTCCCACTTCCTACTGGCTACTATGGAAATAGACTCTGACGATGGGATTAGGCACGTCGATTGGCACGGAAGGTCACACTGGCCGACATACTGCTGATGACTACTTTTATATTCTGAAAGGTACAGAGTTGGCACATACTCCAGGAACCTTTGAACCGGAAGTTTACCCGCAGGGATCTGTGCATCATCTGAGAAGAGGCGATGTAAAGCAGTACAAGATGGACTCTGCTTGCTTTGCACTTGAGTACGCCAGGGGATGGATTCCACCAATGTTGTTCTTCGGATATGCTGATAGTAAGTGAATCATTCAAAATCGACCCTGGTGCAGAGATGTTAGATTGCCGGGGCAGGGTGAGAGAATGCAAGCGCTGACTTAGGGGTAGCATTTACATCTACGCTAGATTTTCCGACATTGTGGAGGACGACATGGGTCACTGGGAGGGAGATGATCATGAACTTAGCGAATGGGAAGTTCTGAGTGAGGGTTGTTGGATCGGGAATGGCTGATCTTTTCCGTATTCTCAGCCATACATAGTTTTGAATTAAGACAACGAAGGATCAAGATCCAGCATTTTTCTCCTCCAACACACACGTATTGGGCCAGCTCTGTCTTGCCTTCCACTACAACTATCCTCATATCTCATTCTCACTGGCTTCGCCGTCGTCTTTGCGTCCTACAAACATTATCGCCAAAACAGTAGTAAGTCCACATATGCTTGCTAACACAGCATTCATGTTTCCGTACCCAATCATCTCCCTCAGCGCTCCGCTGACCAAAGGTCCCACAGTCAGGCCTAAACTCCAGATCATACTATTAATTCCATAAAGTTGAGCATACGGTGCTTGGCCCTCAAACAGCGCTGGGTTTGCCTTCCAATACTTCTCCAATACCGCGCCGGACTCAACAATGGATGCCGAGTTTATAATCGCCAAACCAATCCCATTCAGTGCGAGAAGACAAGCATACAGCGCAATCTGGTGGCCTAGCTCCACGTCCCCGGTTAGATCCTTCTCAACTGGAACTCTTAAGAGCACCAGCACGGGTACGAAATACGCAAAGCCGAAGACAGAAATTGGTTTGGTGCCCCACCGATCGACGCACCATCCAAACACAGGCCCGAGGAAGAAATCAGCGCCGCCGAGAGGGAGGAATAGCAGGCCAGCTTTGAGGCTGTCGAAGCCATAGCGAGTCGAGGCGACTAAGGGAACTGTAGCATCGTACGCACCGAGAAGGAATGCTTGGATGAAGCCGATGAAGAGGGCTGTCAGGAGGCCGGGGTCCTTTAGAACGAGGAGGATTGGGAGGAGACGGGTTAGGCGAGACTTAGGCTGGGGAAGATGATATTTGGTTGATGTTGATGACGAGGCTCGGGGCAGAAGAGGCGTAGATTCGTCAGTAGTGTTGGAGGTTGAGGATGCATTCTCCCGAGTCGATGTATCTGGGGATGAGTCGATGTATTTATCGGCAACCTTTTTCTCGATCATGAGGAGGCGGCCGATGAAATCGATGATCACAAAGGCAACCCCAAGACCAAAAACCCCAACATAACCAGTTTTGGCATATAGTATCCCGCCAACTACGGGCGCGAATAGACCAGCGACGGAGATGAAACTAAAAATTGACCCAATTGTCTTTCCAAGGTTTTCCTGCCCAACAGTTTCGATGAGAAGTGCCAACCCTATTGTCCAGACCGTACCCCCAGACGCCCCCTGAAGGAATCTTGCAATGGCCAAGACCGGGACAGTCCGTCCTACAGCCAGAAGGATAGTTGAGAGTAATAAAAGGATAAGGCCAAGCAAGAACGGCAGCTGGCGGGACGATGATAGTCTATCTGCAAGAATACCAGCTACCGGCGATGCGAGACATGATGCTGCAGCATAAATGGCCAGAAGGGACGACAGTGTCGTCTGGATCTCTGAATCAGGGACATGAACTCGATCTTGAAGCATAAAAGGCAGGACGGGGACGATAAGCCCATATCTGTAGAAGGTGTTAGCTTACCATAGCATGAGACAAGGTCTGGTGCTTTGTAGTATCCAACCTACAGAAACATGTCGGTAAAAGTCCCCAGGCCAACAACGCATATGATAAAGAAGGTGTTAGACCGCCATTTCAGTCCAATTGGAGGGGTTGTCTCATCATGAGCCAGGTCCTTCAACATGGTCCATGACGGTGAGGATTCTCGAGATTGAGGCGAAGACATTTTACCAGCAATGAGTCTAAAGTAGATCATTCACACAAGAAGGCGTTGAGGGAGGATCAAACTTCCCCATGCCGAGACCTGATTGCACAGATTGACGTAGAATCGAAGTCGGAGCCGATGGGATTTAAGAGTCAAGAGAAGTGCGGGCCGAACAAACCCGGGAGGACTTGGTCACGCAAGACGAGAAATACGAGGATATCAAAGGCAGTGGCGGAAGGTGCTCACCTAATGAAACGGTCTGGATGGTCAATGGCTCGTCGACATACGTTGGAAGGCGCTTTTGGCGGGCTTTGTGCGGGATGAGAAGTGGGTTCGGCTGCACTTGCCGCTTCCTGGTGGGGTGTGGCTCAACCTCTTGCCTCTGTTCGGGACCAGAAACTTTGGTAGTGCAAGAAGAGCATATTCTTCATTTCGCTGTGTTCTTTTGATACGATAGAATTTTGATACGATAGAAGTGGGTGTGACTTTGCTCTTGTCCTTTGTGCGACGTCGAACATCTGCGACACCGAACAGGTTCCTCGTCTGGGCATGTATCCTCTTAACAAAACCGATTAGAATATCCTTAGCTGACATAGAGCATGGCCTATTCTCAACAACTCTCCGTTTCAGCTGAAGAGAAACGCTGCTTCGTGACTATTGGGGAGTTGGCTTGCGCCCCACGTGAATTGGGCAGTCTAAGATCTCGCTTAGATTACCAATCTGGCTCTAGCGCAAAGGGCCTCGGAGCCTCACCTTCGAAGCTCACCTCTCCACGAGACTCGTAATCGCGACATAACCCTCTTCACAGGCGTTAACAACAACAGGGTCGCCCATCATGGAGAAGATGGAGGGTGTGGTCTATTCTGCCAATGGTCTACCCATTTCAACGTAAACCGTTCTCTCCCTTTCCTCTTCACACATTCGCTAACTGTCGCAGGCTCTACGTATGTCTGTCTCTACGAGATCTCCCTGATCCGTCCAAGCTCCATTGCACAGCGGTATGCTTACGGATCTAGGTAAACAATCTCTATGAGCGCGCCGAGGTTGACTTCATGGTCGAAGCTATGCGGACCATCTTTCAGGACTTTGGCGAAATTGTCGACATTGTTATGAAGAAGAGCCTCTACCGCAAGGGACAGGCTTTCATAGTATTCACTGATCCAGCCTCTGTCTCAAAGGCCATGACTATGCAAGGCTTTCCACTTTTCGACAAACCGATGCATCTAGCACCCGCAAAGACTGTCAGCGATGCTACGGTCAAGCAAAAAGGAAATGACGACCAGCTTGAGACGCATGTACGCAAGCGCAAGTCAGAGAAGGGTATGTTCCTTGCCCTGCGGCAGTTCTGCAGTGGTATAGTCCCCGTTGACGTAATGTTTTCACAGAGCGAAAGCAAGCCAAGCTAGCCGCGGAAGCTCAAAAGAATGCCTCTCATGCGCCGGGCGCCACGGAGCCATCCAAACCTCGCCCAGCCAAGTCAGCTGCCGCTGTCATACCCGACGAGTACCTGCCACCGAACAAGATTCTTTTCCTGCAGAATATTCCAAGCGATGTCGATGCAGACGAGCTGACGATAATATTCGAGCGCTTCCCAGGCTTCAAGGAAGTTCGATCAGTGCCAATGAGGGCTATAGCATTTGCCGAATACGATACGGAGCAAAATGCGATCACAGCAAAGGAGGCAACGGCTGGAATGACTATTGGAGCGGAGCAAAAGCAGATGAAAGTTACCTACCAACGAAAGTAAGAAAGAGCAAGGCCTGCAACTTAGCCAACGAATATACCCCTTTCATTTTCATTATCTTAGCAAATCGAGGTGTATGGACATGGTTACTTATAATCCATTATTGTGTAGTGATACGGAGCCCATCCCTTCTGATCAGCGAGCACCTCCCAGGAGATACGATTCAGTCAATGGCCACGGATATGATTCGGCGTTTGACTAGCAACGTTTAAAATGATCCCCGCTTATGCTTTCGCTGACCTAGGGCGACAAATTTATAGATCTGCTCAATTCCAGGATACTCCCGTGCAGCATTGTTAACCGGACGATGCAAATGTATGTCGAATGCTAGAAGATGACATCCTCATTATCCTTATCGCCTAGAAGGTCTTGGGAATCGGCAGCGTCCCCTTCTCTATTCTCCTTATCTGCAGCAGCTGCCTTGGCCGCCTCTCTACCCTGTTCCTCAGCGGCAGCATCTCTCTGTTTCTTTCCCGACACTTTCTTCAACCTGTAGAACTCTTCTCGGTCCAACTCATCCAGCTCGGAGTTGATGTACTTGATGGTGTTCTCGGTACGGGGAATAATAACATGTTCACTGGAGATATGAGCTGGGGTGGTACAAGGATATGGTTTGGACACCCACATGGCGTTGACTCTTCGGTTAACGACTTTAATCACTTCATCCAGAATAACAAAGGCAGTCTGCAGACTAGCCAGTTCCACCAATGTCTCCACCGCTCTTGCATAAGTCTCTCTACACCTCTGCACCTGTTGACCACCTTTGCCCAAGCCTGTCAAGCCGAAGTCGTTGTTGCCTTCTGTAGTATAACTCTCGAACTGGGGTAGGAAGACACCGGAGACGTTCTCCTGCTTTGTGCGGACGCGGAAGCGTGCCTGCTTTGCTGACTCCTGGATCTGGTAGCCGATGTCGCCGCCCACGGCATATGTGACCTCAGCCAGGGAGAATGCAGCAATCTGCATCACCCGGCCCATCTTGCGCTTCGCCTCATCGATGCGGCGTGTGATCTCTGGAAAGTGTTTCAGCTATATGGGAGGGGGGTGAGATTGGATGTAGATAGCTGATATCGCACCTCGAAAGCGCCTGGGGAGGGAGGTCAGCAGAAGCAATGCCGACGAGAATGGCAGGAGTCGGGGCATACTTAGTCAAGGCTTCGCTCTTCCTCTTCAGCAAGTCGTGGCCAGTCTGGGCGCCCTTGAGCTTGCTCTTCATCAGCCCCAGTGACTGGCGTGTGGGGAAGACGGCCTCGCGGGCCTGGTGTTGGTGGTGTTAGCATCAGCGCATAGCAGCAGCAAGCTGAGACAGCTTGGGGAACCTACCCCGCTGCCAGACATTTGGAGACCGTAGACGGCGCTGGGCTGGTGGTGGTGGGATAGTCGGCTGCAGTGCAAGGGTTCGGACGGAGGCTGGGACGCGGTTGCTGGGACGGGGTGTGCTGCTATTGATAGCTGTGGGTGTGAATGGGCGTGGACGGGGCGTGGATGGCGGCGTTGGAGCTTGATGGCATGGGCGGCCCAAGCTTTCTTGCTCGCCGGGCGGTTGACGGAGATTCCCAGACGCCGTGGAGGTGCAGAGCGAGGACAGAGCGTGGGTCGAGTGTGCCAATGCTGCACCTTATCACATAACGTGGAACATGATCGGAGGCCAGTTCAGAACGGCAATTTGCATCCTATTGACGTTCTCCCTGAATCTAGCAAGACGTTGGACAGAATAACCTGTCTAGGGTGTGTTGTGTGCTAGCATGCGGTAGCGATCCATCCAGCATCTGGCATCTCCCCGATTTGCCGTGCCCGTTGTGAGCTCTGGCGCGCGCCGGCTGTCACCGCTCCTCTCGCGCGGCTTCAAACTTTCACTCTGCGACAACCCACGTCCTCCATCTCTCCACTGCCTTCCCCCCCCCCCCATCGCGTCGCTGCCCGTCGCGGGCGTCTCTCCACCTGCATCGCGGCCACCATGCCAGGAGAGCTCATCCGCACCGTCACGGCAAGCCTCTCGCGGCCCAGCAAGCGGAACGCCGACAAAATGGTTCGCTCCAACGACCTGTTCCTCATCTCCGACAGCGACATCGTCTACGAGCAGGATATCCTGCGCAATCCGGGCAGCATCAAGCCGTGGGTCGACTACTTTAGGTACAAGAAAGCCCATGGCACCCTGCTGGAACAAGCCTTCGTCCTCGAGCGGGCTTGCTCCACCCTCCCCCGGTCCTACAAGCTCTGGAAGCTCTACCTCGAGCTGCGCACAAATCACCTCGCGAAGAAGAACCCCGCCAAATTCGCACCGCACTTTGTCAAGGTCAATGCCCTGTTCGAGCGCGCCCTGGTGCTGCTGAACAAAATGCCGCGCATGTGGGAAATGTACCTCACGTTCCTGATGCACCAGCCGCTCGTCACCACTACCAGAAGGACGTTCGATCGAGCGTTGCGTGCCCTTCCCCTCACCCAGCACAATCGCATTTGGGCGCTCTACCGGCCTTTCGCCACTTCGGCCTCCGGTGAAACGGCCGTCAAGATCTGGCGGAGGTACATGCAAATTCACCCGGAGAATGCCGAGGAGTTCATCGAGCTGCTCAAGGACATGCGCAAATACACCGAGGCCGTGAAGCAGTACATGGAGATACTCAACAACCCGCGCTTCAAGAGCAAGGAAGCCAAGGGCCCCTTCCAATTCTGGACGGAGATGATGGAGCTGATGATTGATCACGCAACCGACATCGAGACCGGCGACGACAGCGGCATTGATGTCGAGAAGATAATCAGGAGCGGCATCGACAAATTCCCCGACCAGCGCGGCATATTATGGGTGGGTCTGGCACGCTATTGGATGCACAAGGGCGAATATGAGAAGGCACGAGATGTCTTCGAGGAAGGCGTCACCACCGTCATGACTATGAGAGACTTCTCTATCGTCTTCGACGCGTACGCTGAGGCCGAAGAGACCATGATTGGTGTGAAACTTCAAGATGCAGCCACTCGGTCCGATAAGGGCAAGGTCGACCCTGCCGCCGACGCGGATCTTGATATTCGGATTGTACGCTTTGAGTCGCTTACCCAACGACGCCCCTTCCTCCTCAACGACGTGCTGCTGCGGCAAAACCCGAACAATGTCATGGAATGGGAGAAGCGTGTCGCCCTGTGGGGCGATAACAAGAAGGAGGTCGTTCAGACATATACAGACGCCATCGCTGCCATTAACCCCAAGAAGGCAGTCGGGAAATTCCACGAACTGTGGACCAACTACGCCAAGTTTTATGAGGAAGGCGGCGATCTTCGCAACGCTCGCGTCATCATGGAGAAGGCCGTCAAAGTGCCGTTCAAGTCGGTCGCCGAGCTGGCCGAAATGTGGTGCGATTGGGCTGAAATGGAGTTGCGAAACGAGAATTTCGACAAAGCTGTCGGTATCATGGCCAAGGCGACGCTGGGACCGAAGCGATCAAACGTAGATTACTTTGACGAGTCACTAGCACCCCAGCAGCGTGTGCACAAGAGCTGGAAATTATGGAGCTTCTATGTTGACCTTGTTGAGAGCGTCAGTACGTTGGAGGAGACGAGGAAAGTTTATGAGAGGATATTCGAGCTCCGCATCGCAACGCCGCAGACCGTTGTCAACTACGCCAATCTCCTCGAGGAGAACAAGTACTTTGAAGATTGTTTCAAAGTCTACGAGCGAGGATTAGATCTATTCAGCTATCCCGTCGCATTCGAGATATGGAACCTTTACCTCACTAAAGCTGTGGACCGGAAGCTTGGGATGGAGCGGCTTCGTGATCTGTTTGAGCAAGCCGTGGATGGATGTCCGCCAAAATTTGCTAAAGTGTTGTACCTCATGTACGGTGCTCTGGAAGAAGATCGGGGCCTTGCACGACACGCTATGCGGATATACGAGCGTGCAACACGCGCCGTTTCGGATGAGGACCGCATGGAGATGTTCAACTTCTACATCACCAAGTCCGCATCAAACTTCGGCCTTGCGTCCACCCGACCCATCTACGAGCGCGCCATTGAGGCATTACCTGACAGTGAGGCGGCAGAAATGTGTCTCAAGTTCGCCGAGATGGAGAGACGACTGGGAGAAATTGACAGAGCACGAGCAATCTATGGCCATGCGAGCCAATTCTGCGATCCGAGGACTCGTCCTGAATTTTGGCAAAAGTGGGAAAGTTTCGAAGTCCAGCATGGCAACGAAGATACTTTCAAGGAGATGCTTCGGATCAAACGGAGTGTTCAAGCTCAGTTCAAGTACGTACCACCTATCTCTCCCCCTAGCATTGAGGCACTTTTACTGACTAGTTGTAGCACCGATGTGCATTTCATTGCCTCCCAGGCAGTCGCCCGAGGCCAACAGAACGGCGACGCGGAAGCTATTACCAACGGCGAAGGTCAAGAGAAAGAGGACGCAATGGCGGCCCTCGAACGACAGGCGCGTGCTCCACAAGGCTTTGTCGCTGCAAGCACAGGCCCCGAAGGGGGGAACATCAAACCCGCCGATCAACCCGTTGCAGCAAATCCAGATGCTATCGACCTCGATGACGATCTATGAAGTTCACGGCAGGCTTGGCACAAAGGGGGAACAAAGTTTTTCTTGCATTTCCACGGCGTTCCAGGCTTCAAATCAACTCTCCTCGGAAGAATCTTCTCGGCCGTGTACCCTTTCCAGCCCTGTGGCGGTTAACTTTTCCCTTTAGTTTTTTTTTTTGAGTTTCCCTTCTCTCATCTCTTGATGGATACCTGGATGGTGGTCCACTGCATACTCTGGCGCTGGGAATCTGAATTTTGCAAAATGAAGCTGGACGATACTACTTCTACTTCTGTGAGGCATGTCTGGCTTCACTGGTTCGTATCGAAGGACAATTTTCTTTTGTTAGGAAGGCGGAAGGAGAGAGTGGGAGGGCCAATATTGCTTCCAGGCCCTATGCCGTTCGTCTGACAAGTCGGCACCAACGTGTTTGTATACACGGCTCGAGCCCACGTCTTCAGAGACTTGAAAAACTTCAAAACTTCTTCCATGTCATATACATATTTCCAAAAAAAAATCAAACAAAAACATTTCAAGATCTGATCAACCCTCTTCTTCGCCAACCATCTTCATCATCAACCTTGGTTGAGGATATATGGTGTGGGCTGCATATCCCGATAATCTGACCTCAGCGTGTTTCAAGCCACGGTTACCCGCATGTTTCTTTTCTACCCCAGTCCACAGTACGACTACCAAATGCTGGGCCGCAACTTTACACTACAGAAACGAGTTTCCTAGTGTGTTTCAATTGATGGGCTCAGCGTCGAATAGCTGGTCTGTCCATCATGTTGTGCTGAAAATGGCTCCTGGGCGAGTTGAGTGGGTAGGGGTGGTGCATGCACTGCGCCTTAGTCCATGCTCAAAGAGTTGCAGGGCACGATGGACTGCCAACTGGGAAGGAACTTGGATGTGGTAAGGAGTAGTGGGATGTGAAGTTGGCGTTGAGATGTGGATTGAGGAAAATCTTGAATTCAGGTTTGGAGAGAAAAACATTTCCTCATCATCACTAATTTCTTCAAAAGAGATGGAGATTGCAAGGTATTGGCTTCGTACCACATTAGAGGGCTAGAGGTTGCGGGCTCCGGCTACACTGTCCCATTTTGCTCGGCTCGTTGTCAGTTTGTCCCACGCACGTGGTCACGGTTCTGCGAACTCGCGATACACCGGGGGCTTTCTCACTTTGTTTTTGGGGAAACTTGCTATCTCTTTGCAACGAGAATCCTGGGGGCTGACTTGGGTTGTGTCTAGTCAATGCAATATAGCAGGTTCGAGGGTGCCACTGGTGAGGCATTACGGGGTTGAGGAGAAGGTGTTTTCGTTACGTCCAGCAGATCTAGTGTTTGCGAATTGGCTGAATCGAATTCAGAATGCCGTACCTAGCATTACATTCCCCGAGATGGTAGATATCTGCTATTGCTTGATATGGCGCTGACGCATCATTGCACAATAATAACAGAAAGAGTGTCCAACCCAAGAGCGACAGAGATCTGCCTTACCTTTGACACCCTGGCCGATGAGATTCCCCAAGGCTCGCGTAGAGATGAAGAGCCGTCTTGATGCAAGCTTGTTGCCAGTAGGGAGCGCTGGGTGGACGGCTGGCAGAATTGGCTTCGCGACAGCGCGACCAGCCAAGGTCGCTGGCCTAATGCCCAGATGTGATGCACACTCTAAAGAAACCTTGATGGGAGGAGTATTTTGGAGTTGGGGACATCGAAGCTCGATATGGGTAGTTTTAAGCTTTCGTGACTTCGGGCTCCTTTTCTCATCCACCTTGACATTGAGGGAATTAGCCTGACGATGAGAACGGATAGCAACGGTAAGGCGCAGTGGCCATCCGCAGTAGAATATTGTTGACTTGGCAGTGGGATAACGGGCCTCGTGAGGGCGAAGAATTCATCGATGAGAGCTGAGCTGAACGCAGAGAAAGGTTCATCACGCTTCGTCATCGCCGTTCGAGGCCTTCCCCACCCTGTCGACGCCTGCCAAGGTCTAGGCACAACTCCAGCTACGGCACGTCCAATGAGTATGCAGTGACGCTCAATCACCATTCACGCCCATCGGAGACCACGACGACCACGCCCTCTCTCCGCAAAGTCACACTCCAGGGGCCTGGAGACGAGCGAGGCAGTGTATCTCTGATCGACCAGTGGGACTGCTATCTGCACCCCCATCTGACCACGAACAAGCGAATTGACTGGCTGCATGAGGCCTCCTGACGTAATGCCACAGCTGAGGGAGAGATGTGAACGCCTTTGCTCAGGCCTGACGAATAGGGAACTGATGGGGTATTCAGCGAGGAAGGGATAGCTTTCCATGCTGAGCATGCAAGACTAGCCGCTGGCTTTTCAGGATGCCGGCTTATAGGGCTCGGTGCAGAGCTTTCATATCAGAGACGGCCCGGAAATTGGATGTGAATGGCTAGACTGGAGTCATGGCGGGAGAGGTGTGGTGCATCATGTGCGTGGTGCAAAGCAGGTGCTATCGACCTTGGGTGAGAGGACTTTCCCTTGTTTGACGTCGTGAGGGGCAAATAGCGAGCTAGGTAAGCCATAACTGGCCTGGGTTGGCTGCTTCTTTCTTTGATATATTTGAGCCCCCCTCTTCTGCTTCTAGTAGCTCCAGATCTTCTTTCATCATTGATAAACTGCTTCTCCTCATCTACAACTTAGAACATCCATTGAGATTCGAGCACAAAATACTTGAGAGATACAAGAGAAGGCCACACTTGATATCAACGATTGGAGAGCTTTCAGCATGGCGTCAAACAATGATACCTCTGGTATGCCACCACCCTCAACTGCTTTCCACAGCCTCTTACCCCCCTTCAATTCATCATTTCTACCATCACTCCCACCGTAGTAGTTTACTAGTCTCACACTCCAGGTATAGACGCCACCCCAACCGCAAACCCCACTGTCCAATCCCAAGACCCTTTCGCCTCCCAGCGCGAAACCAACAACAGTACGATCCCACAAGCTCTCACACCACACCTTTCACCTCATCCCATTCATCTCCCACCATTCCCTTACCGTCGCTTGCCAGCACACCTAACCGCGCCTCTACAGATCCTTTCGCCACAGATAAGCTCGGTGACCTTGCTGGCCCCGATGACATGCGTCTCTCGCAGTCCCCACCATCAAAAGACCGCCGCATGAGCAAGGAGTGGGATGCCTCCAAGGTGCCACCATCGCGTTTCCAGCGCCGCGAGGGTAGTATCTACTCGACGCCCAGTTCCAGGGACGGCCACGTGAAGGGTAGCTCAAGGGATCAAGCATACTTCGATAAGCTCAAGGAGAAGGTATGAGATCGTTCCTCACGAGCATCGCTTGCATTGGAGTGCATTCGGAGCAATACTTACGTGGCATTAGGGCTGGTCCCAGAAAAAGTAAATTTGATTGACTCCCTAATGTCAGTCTATTCACGATATGGAGCATCGTTCGATGGCCAGGAGCCAACAAGGCCCTGAAGGTGTATAAGCAGCAGGTTCCCATACTTCTTTGGAGAGATTTCTATGTATTATTGTCAAACACAATGGCTGGCGACGGCGACTTTCCACTGCGGAGGATAACTTTACTCTAGTGCGTGTCTGAGATCGGGTTATGACTATTATCTCATATCATCAAGTCCAACTCTGTCTGCTGTCTGATATCCTTAAATTGCTTGATTCGGCGGTATTGTGACGATCTGGGGGTAAGCAAGGGAGTTCTTCGTGGAGTGTTTGCCACTCACGTTCGACAAGCTGGACCGTGCACCAGGCGGCATTGATAAGTTGACAACAATGATGGGTGTGGTGAGAAATCGGGTGAAAGACAGGCAACCATATACCATCATGAGCGACCCCCAAAATTCTATGCCTATTTCCCGATCGTAAAAAAAAGGGCGACTATATATATGAAAATATTTTCCTTTTATTCAGGAAAGTAGCTATAACCAAATCTGCCAATCCTTCTGGATATTGCACATCTGCCTTTGGCTGAGTTGTCAACAGACAGCTCAGTACAACACTTTCCTTTTTGCACTTTGATTGGAGAGGGTGAAGTTGGGAGACTAACATCACTTGGGTGTCGGAAGGGAGGATTGATGTGCTGTTGCCTGGAATACGAGCGACGATGAGGTAACGGGTGTGTGTGTTCGAGTCTTTGCAGTTCCCCTTGGGGATTTTTCCTTTTTTTTATTTAGATAATTTGTGTAGTTAGTTTGAGGGTTGAGGAGATTGGGGGTTTGTCGGTTAGAGTTGGATAGTACGCGCATTACCGCTTAATCGAGTTCTAACAGACTACGAGCCGAGCAACCCTTTACTTTCCCACTACTTAGGTCAACTAAGTGATTTTTTACGTGATAACGAACCCCTGGTATGGGTTTTTCGTCCTCAGCTTTCAGATCCATGAGGAAACTGTAGTGATGTCTGGTGCCGTGAGTTACCGTCAGCCCAGGTCAAGGTGGCGGACATTGCATGCTTACTTTCGCTCTTCATTGTTCTCCACTCCACTGAGATAAAGGGCAACGTAAGCCAGTTCTTGTTCGAGGTCACGGTGCTCAATTGGGAATGACCAGAAGAGGAAACTCAAACATTAGGTTTCAAAAGCAATAAGAAATGAAATACAGATTCGCAAAGTTACCCATCATAGAGCCCTTCGGCTTACAGTTGCACTATCTAGTTAAGTATTGAGGCCTACCATAAATAACCAAATCTCTTTTCTGTCTTGACTCGTTCCAAAATTCGGATATCATGTTCAACAGAGAAGGATATTTAGCAGAACGTTGTGTAGGTAATATGCAAGATTCAAGGGACGATTTTTAAAGGCGTTTGCCAACGCAGGGCATAGAACTTGGTTACTGTCTAAATGTGGCGCCCTTACAATTTTCAAGTCTTTACTGGCCCGAGCGATCTTGACACATATCAATGGTTGATCTAAGATCTGAGGTGTAGGATTTTTGTATTCGCTTATCAAGAGCATGTACTCTGCATCTATTAATCCGCAATAGAATATCGGGAGCGGTTACATTATGAAAGCATAAAATACTTTCAAGTCTACCACCACTAGCGGAGAGAGCAGCCGGCCCGCTCCGGCCAGGAAAGCCAAAGTTGAATGGCAAGGCCGCTAGGGCTAAGGTGTCCCACTAGAAACATGTACCCCAAGCTTCTGACACTGCCACTCGAACGTGGGTCACCTCAAACTTATCCTCAGCCATCTCACTCAAACCGGCGACGCCAGAGCAAAAGGAAAGCGTCCCATAAATGAGACGGATGAATTGGCACCAGTAATAGGTATCATATCAAGAAATTGTAGCAACTTTCCTGCAGGAATTAAAAAATAAACAAATATATGTACTCCATCAAGAGAAGATATTCAGCAGCTCTGGAGAGATTCTAGAGCCATGGGGACCAAGACTTCAGCTCCACCTTGAACAATTATTTTTCTGACGTGCTCCACGGTTCGTTGATTCAGCCGAATCCAATCCCGCCCACATGAAATAAACCCTTCAAAAAACGTCAAGAGTTGCACTCGAACCGCCAACGCCCTTCCGCCCTTCTCTCTCACAGCTACGCGCAAAATGTGAGGTTAGTGCAAAAAGGAAAGGAGCCACACAGGGCTGGTCAAGGCAGCCACCTCACGACGACTTTGCCTTTGGAAAAGAACTTGGTTTGATTCAGCAACTTTCCTGAAATTTAGCGAAAATATTTAGGTATATATATAGTGGTTTTCGGGGTTCCCTGAGTATCCGCTCGAAATTTGCTTATAGGGTAGGAGGATGCGCAAAGACAGATGATGGACTTTGAGAAGTTTAGAGGTGCAATGCAAACAGCTTCAATTGACAGGCAAGGCTGTGCATGCTGTGCTATCAGGAGTAACTAACGAGGATACTCCGCTCCAAAGCGCGGATATGATCAGCCCCAAACTCCAAGATATGTAGTATCGTACAGGCGCCAGTGCAGATAACCAACGACTAAATTCACCTTCATGCTCCAGGATTATGTCATTACAGCATCTCTCTTTCAAACCTACAACACAACAAGCCTTCACCTTTCAGAACAATACCCCCAAGAATTTTACGTTGGATTACAGAGTGGTTATGATGATCTCACTTCCTGTAAATCCGCCAACTGCGGTGCCCGCAACTCCCTCGGCGGTGCTGGAGGTCCCGTACCTGACCTTCTCCTCCGCTCCCTTTCGACCACACCCTGTGGCTCCATGTTCTTCCTAAACTTGCCTCCAACACCCCTCATCCAATCACCATCCTCATCAGAACCGAGCCAGTATTGCGGCGCTCCACTCAGCATTAACCTGCCGAGCTTCCCTACCCACCCATGTCCTTCTTGTTTTCCCTCCTCGAAGGGGTTCTCGGCGAGATTCTGGGGATGTACAAGTTGCGTGTTGGACGTGTACCAGCTGCTGGAAGCGTTCGTAGCGATATGTTGGCGGAGACATTGGCGCGCAAAAGCGAGCATGACGAATACGAAGTAGACCCTCAACGCCCAGAAGCCTGAGATCAAGGTGATACTCATGATACTTCCGCTCTGGAAGACAGCATTGCCGAGACCAGTAGAACCATTTCTTTGGCCGACGGCGACAGCGTTCTGCCCCGATGGCAATCCCCCTGTTGGCTCCACAGCTACCTCGGCCTTTGAAACATTGTATTTCGGGCTCGTGAATCCCGCGCTCGACGTTACCCCTGGTGCGCCCGGCATAGCCGCCGTGTCGTCTGAATGTTGCGCGAGTACGTAGAACCACGCAACGCCAAAGAAGGCCGTGTACATCGCATTAACGACCGAATCCAGCGCGTACATATGCGCTAGCAGCAGGCACTGGAACGGGCTCTGAAGCCGGATATGTCTATACAGCCATAGAGTGGCAAGCAGCGCAATGAATGAGTAAAGGTACATGGAGAGCTGGAGGCCAGAGAGCTCAGCGCCCGTCAGGAGAGCGAGGAGGCCATACAAGCCTGAGACTTTGTTGATGAGTTGGAGGAAAGTGATAATTTCTGCGCCGGTGCGGAGGGATATAGAGTGGAGGAACGTCTGCAGGACATGGTCAGCCATTGCGAAAGGCGGGTTGCGGGTTCACGCCCCAGTTGATGAGAAGCCATACCTTCGGTCGCGGAATTTCCAAGAGATAGGAAGGTGCCATCGCCGAGGTGGGCTTGGTGCGGAGAGTGCTCCGCGCGCACGCACAATCGATGAATTATAAATATCGGTCCTAAAAGCGTAGGAATAATGATGGGTGTAGCAAGTGCTTTTTTGTGTCGTGTGAGGTTTGAGGAGAGTTCCAAGGTTGCTTGCTGAGGGCTGCGGCGCGGAAGCCGGCGGCTGGAGATTTGCTGTTCATTTAGATGGCTTGTAACCTAGCCCTTTTCTGCATAGTAATAGTCACGTGGTGCTGCCATTTTGATATGGAGATGGCAGACATTACGGGCAACACAAAAACATCTCAGCATTCGCTCTGTACAAACATATTCTCTACTTTGGAAGTGTAGAGATGAAGCTTGCAGCACAGCGTCTTGGCCATTTGAGACTGTATGTCACTCTGCCTCTAGAGCGTACGCCACATTCGACGCCACAGACCACAACTAATATTCAGCTTTAACTTGACCTTCAGTCCTTGTGACACCGAGATTACGCATTTAAGAGGATGAGAATTCGCTCACTGCTATCCCTTAAGTTAACCATTTTTACCTGGATTTATAATGGGCTCTGCAGAATACCACCCCGCTCCCCCAAAACTCCAGCAGCAAGACTTGAAGGGAAAAGTAGCCCTTGTAACGTAAGAATGTTCTCGTCTTTTTGTACGGTCTGCAAATATTGCGTGCAAGTTTTCTACGTGTTAGCACATAGACGAAACATACCAGAGCCTGATCAAAAGCTGAAACTTGTATCTTGCAGGCCTCTCCCTTACTCTAGCAATAGTTATACCAAGGTAAATCTTTATATTAGTATCTAATATTAGGCGTTGATATTCAATGTTTAATTTCTCGTTTCTTCTCATCCTTTAGCAAATTCACTCTAACTATCTGCAGGGGCGCAACGAAAGGTATCGGCCGGGCCATTGCGCTTGACCTCTCCACACGCGGTGCCTCTATCCTAGGCACATACTCCTCCTCCACCTCCGCCCACAACTTCGACAATCTCTTTCACACCGTCAACTCACTATACTCCACATCGTCTACCCCTGTACTCCATGGCGTTGTGGCAGACATCACTTCCCTCGACTCCATCTCCTCCGTAATCAAGGCTCTATCCCACGAATACCCCCAAAAACTCGACATCCTCGTCCTCAACGCAGCCTATAACGCGCGCCCTAGACTTGGCACTGCAACTTCATCCGACATCAGCAACTCCCTAACCGGAAACCTGCACTGGCCAATCCTACTAATGGAGACTCTTGTTCGCGACCAACTCTTCAACCCCAGCGCCCGCGTCGTCGTAATCTCCTCCGATCGCGTTCGCGACCCTTCGCCCGGCTCCTCTATCTTCAACGCCACGAAAGCGGGGTTAGAGGCGCTTGCACGGGCATGGGCGGTCGAGTTGCCGTTATCGTGCCCGGGCGCGACAGTGAATGCCGTGAGTGTGGGACTGACGGATACGCCTGGGCTCAGGGTGTTTCCGGCTGCGGCGGTTGAAGCGTTGAAAGGGCAACGGGTGCCGAAAGTGAAGGTGGTAGAGGGTGGGAGAATGGGGTTTCCGGAAGACGTGGCGGATGTGGTAGGGTGGTTGTGTAGTGAGAAGAGTCGGTGGGTGACGGGGAGTGTTGTTGCCGCGAATGGCGGAGCGGAGTATGTTGGTGGGTCGTCTTGAGGAAGATGGATTTGGGGGTGATTGAGGAAACCGTAAACAGAATTCCAGGGTTGTTATGAGGATGTTGACAAGGGTTCGCCACGGAGTGACCGGAAAGAGAATTCTATTTATTTCTACGTAATAATACAGGCCATGATACGAAATCATGTCTCTATGCAGGACTCCTTCTCATGCTTGCTAAGCTAGACCGAGATCAGGTATCCAAGGTATATTAACAGTGATGCAGGATATACACCCTATGCCAATCTTCCAGTATGTTACACGCCATTTGTCCAGGAGGACAAACGTTATGCGGTACAGGGAACCTAGTAATTACATGATCGTTCATCCTTCATCATATCCTTGGTTGCGTGGTATCCGTATGGCTTGCATTGAGGCTGACACTCGTTGGCATTCTCCCTCCTTTCACGTCCTCGGTCTGCTCTGATAGTTTTGGGGACCTTTCCTGGTGGCTCTTGTGAACCTCATCCAGCTCAGGGACGCTCTCACTATCTCCCTCACTGGAGTGAATGGGAGTGAGTGGATGGTGACGGCGGTGCTGATGATGCAGTTCTGCCATCGAAGGCTCGAGGGCTTCTAGCTCTGGGGTGGGATATTCATCGACGTCATCCACAGAGACATCCTCGCGACTTCCGAGGTCCTTGTCGTGGATGATATCTTCCATTGGTGGTGGTATGTCAACCATATCATTACGCTTCGAAACAGATGCTCCAGATGCACCTAGGTCTTGTCCTCTGGCTTTTTTCCTAGCCAGTGTCTCTGCAGCCCCTTCCTCTGACTCCTCTAGATGCTGCAGTAATGCTTCCTGCCGTTTCCTCCTCATAGCTTCCCTAGCTTCTTGGGTGAACGAAAACTGACTTAGAACGTGCTCTATCTTATCCTCGACCATTTTCTTAACGTGGTTGGCAAGTGCTCTGGTGGTAAACACGTTCTCGAATCTATAACTTAACCACAAGTACAAAACGAGCAATTTGTGAAGTGACTCTAGACTTTGGAGGTACTCCCGACTACCAGAAGGAGGATCGTCGAGGAGTTCAAGAGGGAGATGCGGGAGGCCGAGCAGATCTCCAGACTGATTCTCCGCGATGCATGAGGCTAAAGCGCGGAGAAAGTCCTTCTCTTCTTCATCCTTACAATTGATCGGAGCTGAACATATCATGAGCCGCTCTTGGATGCTCAGATTTTTGACAGGCTGAATCGTATCAGCTATTTTCAGTTGATCTTTCAGCGCGCAAAGATGGAATCGCTTGTCAATGTTGGTTATCTCGTGCAAACGTAGTAGTATATAACTAAATGGCGTGCCCGGAGGGAAGTAATTTGCGAATCGCTCAACAATGAGTGACGGCGGAAAAAGCCCTGCGGTCTTGATGGGTTCAGGCTCGCGCTCCATGCACATCCTAAGGTAGTTGAAATCCATCTGGTCGAGGGTTGTAACGTATCCAACAGAAGGATTCTGCTGTTTTGAGTGCTGCACCCCAGTATCCGGTTTCTTATCGTCAAGACCTACAGTCGAATCACCAACAGGCGCTGTGTCGTCGTTCTGCTGTGTATCCTCGCCGATATCCTGCTCAGCAGTCCGGTAGCGGCCGGCTCTGCCTGCAATCTGCTTGATTTCAGATACCTTCAAGGGTGCATACACAGTGCCGTTGTTTTTTGACGTCGCTTCGAAGATGACTCGTTTGATACTCCTGTGCATCGTTAGCCAATCTCTCAGACCCCCGGGCTCTCAGACATTTACAAGTTTAATCCCATCCCTACTGCGTCACTCGCTACAAGAAAGTCGTATTCATTGTTTGGATCGTTGAAGAGCCGGGCTTGCTGTGCTCTCGTCTCTGGTGGCAGGCTGCCGTAAACAATGGCGCACTTCCTCCCGGTCTTCATTTCTATTTCCCTGCGAAGCGCGTGGATCGCCAGTATCGAGAAGGCAACAACGCAATCCCCCTTTTCAAGTAAATAAAGCTTTCCGTATAGACTCCTGTCTGCCACTTTCAGCGGACTCAACCGTTCGTATCTATGCACCTGGACCTTGTCACCGATCAGGGCGCAGAGTTCACGAATGAGCGGAACAGCTCGTGCTTCGCCACAGAGATGAACTTCACGAGCTTGAACGCCTAAGAAAGCTTGTGTCCACGCCCAACCGCGCTCCTCGTGATTGATCATCTGTATCTCATCGATGACAGCTACATCTAGTGCCTGATTGAGCGGAGCCATTTCCACCGTGCAACTCCACATGGTGGGGTTCGCTTCGGGCATCCGCTGTTCTTCACCAGTGACCAAAGCACATGGCTTCCCCTTAGCATTCAGCCGCGTGTAAACCTCATGGGCCAGGAGACGTAGTGGACCCAAGTAGATACCGGTCTCTGCCTGCTCAAGGCGCTTGAGGGCATGGTAGGTCTTCCCAGAGTTTGTAGGTCCTACATGGAGGTGCACAGTGCGAGGGTATTCTCTTGTTGCAGGATACCACTCCCCGGGGTATCGGAGATCGGCCAACTCTTTCTGGTTTTCCAATTCGGCCTGAGTGAAATGACTCCCGACAGTCTGCGCATAGAAGAGATATTTCAGGCGCTGGTCTAAGTTGCTCCTTCCGCGTGCGGCATCTTGAGCCAGCTTGGTAGCCTCGCTAGACCCCCTCTTGATCCATAGGTTAATGTATCTTTTAAAAATCGACCATTGGCTGCTGAATTCAGCTCGGGAGAGCCGCAGATCTTCCAAGTTCTGTTTGTCCTCGAGTTGTCGCCGTAACAGGTCCAGGCGGGCGAGTATCACAGATTTGATTTTCTCTGGGTCATTGAGCGATCGCAAGACCCTTTGGGAGTCTCTTATGGGATTGAGGCCAACCTTCCTGAAGGGGCGGCTTGTAGTTGTGCGGCGAGCTGTGTGAACAAGAGGGAGGAGACGCCGCGACGATATGTGTGTGGCGACGGTGCAGAACAGGCACAGCGAGGAGCTGCCCGTCGATAGCACAGGCATTCCTAGCAGAGGCAATGCTAGACAGCGAGAGGCATTGAGGGGGTGTACTATCTGCGGCTGGTCGAGCCCAAAATGTTTCGATGACGGTGACAGGGATGGCGGCGCGGAGCCCAAACCACCGAAGCCCCACAGCTGCTACTCCTGCTGGAACACCTACATGCTTCAACTTCAACACCTGCCTCCTCGAGTCGCCCGGCCAACCTCTTTCTGCTGCAGTCCCTTTTACTCACCCATCACACACTCTGCCTCTGAGTGAAAGCTCGCGCACCCCGACCCTCGCAGAGATCCGCCTGCGCGCGCTGTGTGCTCGGCCGTCCAGGCTGCGACAAGTCCCCATCATGGGCGTCTCAATCATCGACGTGCAGCGCGACAGTATGCCTCCTCCGTGCTCAATGCCCTGCTCCCTTTGCCGCGTTGGATCACGCTGACTCGGTCAATAGTCATCCTCAACACTATAAAGAGCACCACTCGCGGAGACGTATGCCCCCCTTGCACCCCGCTCCCTCAAGCTGTCCTAATGGTCGCCCCAGTGGAAAGTCCTCGTCGTGGACGAGAAGAGCCGCAAGCTCATCGACAATGTCGTTAAGGAGGATGACATACTCAACGAGAACATCACCAACATCGAGCGCATCGAGGAGCGCCGGCCGATGAACAAGGACATGGACGCCATATACTTCCTCACCCCAGAACCGCACATTGTCGACTGCATCATGGCCGACTTTGAGCGCCGGAGATATAGGGGCGCCTTTTTAATATGGACTTCGTGTAAGCGTCTGCCCCACCTGCCACCGGTTAGCAGCGGTTGACTCCCTGAACAGTGCCAGCGCCAGCTCTCCGAGAGCGGTTGGATCGATCTCAGATGGCTCAGCAGCAGATACGCAACTTCAAAGTCATGCATCTCGACTTCCATCCTCGCGAATCCCACCTAGTAACGTTCAAGGACCCGTGGAGCTTTCCGGTGCTCTACCACCCCGCTTGCAACAATCTAGTCCGACAGCATATGGAAGACATTGCAGAAAAGGTTAGGCAAATCTCTGGATTTGATATACGATTTAACTGACCATGTTCCGGTTAGCTAACGGGTGTTTGCGTGGCCTTGGGCGAATACCCGACAATCCGTTATTACCGACCGCGAAATCCCACCCACGAAGCCAGCGTCCTTTGCTCCCATCTTGCGCGTTTCGTCCAAGAAAAATTGGACATGTATGCTCAGTTCAACCCCGACTTTCCCCCGCAGACCAATCGGCCTAGGGGAGCACTCTACATTACTGACCGCGCTATGGACCTGTCTGCCCCCTTGATCCATGAGTTTACTTATCAAGCCATGGCGCATGACCTGTTAAAGATACAAGATGGAGACAAAGTAACGTACAGGACTGTTGTGAACGAGGAAGAGCCAAACGCTGAGGAGAAAGACATGGAGATTAGTGAAAAAGACAAGATATGGGTTGAAAACCGCCACCGCCATATGAAGGACACTATCGACAAACTGATGGGTGATTTTCAAAAATTCATTGCCGAAAACCCACATTTTACCAAGCAAGATAGTCAGAATGCAACTGGCGTCAATGGTCTGAATGCGATCAAGGATATGATCGCTGGTCTTCCTCAATTCCAGGAGATGAAGGAAGCTTATTCGCTACATCTTACCATGGCACAAGAATGTATGAACATTTTCCAGCACAACAAGCTCCCAGATCTCGCATCTGTGGAACAGGTAACTACCACTTCCTTTTCATCTAACAAAACACTCACCGTCTGCTTTAGTGTCTTGCCACCGGCCTGGATGAAGACTATCGTAAACCCAAGAATCTGGCAGACCAAGTAGTGCGAACTCTTGATGAGCAGAGCGTCACGCCTTCGGATCGCCTTCGCCTAATAGCACTCTACCTCCTTTACAAAGATGGCCTCTTCCCGGCGGACCTCACCAAACTTCTTGCTCATGCTCAACTTCCTCCACAAGACGGCGAGGTCATCAACAATTTAGACCTCCTTGGCGCTCGTGTAGCCAAGCCCTTGAAAGACAAACGAGAGCCTCCTCCACCCCTCTTCCCACGGAAAACCACACCGCCGCCAAATGCAGAAGAGTACGCATTGTCAAGATTTACAACAGCCGTGCATGACGTCCTCGAAGAGCATGTACGTGGCACACTCCCTCAGGACATTTTCCCATATACAAAACCACACACCGATGCTGCTGAGCCTGGGTTACAAGAAGCTATGTCCGCCGTCTCTCTCCGCTCCGCAAAACCTACCTGGGCAAAATCACGTCTCTCGAGCGTAGAACCACGACAACGTGTTATTATATTCATGGCTGGTGGAGCAACGTACTCCGAATCTCGCGCCTGCTACGAAATCTCACACAAGACATCGAGGGATATCTTCCTCGTCAGCTCCCACATGATAACCCCAGGGCTTTACCTGAGACAGCTAGGCGATCTCAGTCAGGACCGTCGCCGATTAGGTATCCCACAGGACGGCCCTAAGCCAAAGGCGCCAGCACACCTCTTCGAGCAGCCGGAGCCACCGAAGCCAGCAGCACCGCCAGCAGGTGCTAAGCCAATGCCGCAGATTCCGGGCGGATTACCAGCAAGACCTAGCGGTAGACCCAACCCACCATCAGCGGGTCTAGCAGCAGCGACGCTGAACTCCGGTCGGACACAAGGGGGCTCGCAGGGCGGACAAGGTAGTCATCTCGCGGCTGGCAAAGATGGCGGAAAGAAAGATGGAGAGAAGAAAAAGAAAAAGCATCACTTCTTCGGTTCGAAGTAGTTACGGCTGTGCGTGCAGGGCTTCATGGCACTATGGTTTTTGGTGTCTGAGGAACTGGGTATGTCTTTACCCTGTGTGCCGTGGCGTCATTCGGATTACAGGATTGCAGCATTTCTGGCGTTGCTATGTTGTAGGCGGATTTGCGAATACCACGGGATAGATAAGCATTTAGATATCAATGCTCCCTTATGTGCGGATATGCTAATCCTAGTGCGACGGACTCGTATACTAGTTAATAGATTGCAGGCTCTAGTTTATAGATGGTTGTCGCGTGGATTGGCTCAACAAGTTCCCCAAAAGACCCAGAGAGGGAGGTTTACTATTCTGTTTAAGGTGTCTAGCTGGTATGTTCCCCCTTCCTACCACAAACCATCCATCAACCTAACTATCCCTACCAGCTTCACCGCCTCCCTTTTTGTCGATGCATTTGTCCCTCCCAGTGTGCCTCTCCGCCCTTTCACTCTAGAATTTCCGTACCATACCCAAACGCCTGCATATGCATCTATCCAAGTCACGAAGCCAAAGCTTGTAGGAGAGTGCTCAGTAATTATACTTGGAAGAATAATCCTTGGGACTAACAACAAGTCCATGTCCCTTTTTCGCACCTCGGTACACGGTCTCGATGATGTCAATCAGCTCTTGTTTATCGCCGACGTGGAAATTGAGTTTGTTGTTGTTTCCTGGAGTATGGTAAGTTTGAATGAGAGTGTGTGAGGCTTGGAGATTTGGGATTTCAATGTTGGATTTGGGAGGGGGAAGGAGCGTTTGTGTGAAAAAGTTGTGTCCAACAGGGGTTGAATTTACCAGTGCCGAAATCACACAACATAAGCTTATTCCTCCAGAAGAACATCACGGTACATGGATCCCAGAGCTCATACATTCCGTTGAATTCTCGGACCTCTATAACTATGGTAAGTACTGTCCAGTTTATGGGATGCGGTGGGGTGGTATGGGAAAAGACGGGAAGAGATGATGAATACATACTATCAATGTCTACAACGTAAATCGCAGCGAAAGATTCAACGCGAGGCGCGACCTTCGCTAGCATCTCATCCATGAGCATGCAATTCGCATCATGGTCACGGCCGAATCGGATTACTACGACTTCTTCTTGGTGATGCAGCTGGTTTGGAGCTTCGTTAGGCTAATGTTGGAGGGAAAGTAGGAGCGAGAGGGACAATAGAATGTTGTTGGGTACTTACGATGGCTTGGTCGACATGCCACGCTGAGGGTAGGTGATGGATAAGAATAGAGCCCATAGTTGGTGGACTGCTCCAGAAAGATTGTTCCGATTGGGTAAAGAGTTGTATGCGAAGACCATGTAATAGAGTTGTGGCGGTGCTGTGGTGTACGAGCAAAAAGTTACCACAGTCTTTCCAAAGCGGAGAGCACAATCTGAATGAACGTGCTGGAGATCCAGCTGGACTAACTAGTCCGAATCCGGAAATCTTAGCGAGGGTAGTGGTGAATGCTAAGCCTCGTGCCTGAATGTCTCAGCCTCAGCGCCCGCATCGTGATTCCTGTTCTGGTCGCGTGTGCCTCATGCACATGTCATCTGCAGTGTGGCATGGGCATGCGGTAGCTGAAAGAACTTGTAGATAAAACGCTGTCCGTCGTGTGGAAGTAAGGTTGGATTGACTTTCTTTGAGTTTGATTCCTGATGTCAATTACAGTTGTACTGCTTTGGAGTTGTCTGGTTATCTACCTTCTGGACCTTTTTGAGGTCATATAGAGCCACCTGTGTCTGTGTAGCACAGAAAAGAGAAAGAGTCTAATCCGTAAAGATGGTGCTATTCAAAGCTCCAAAGAATGCGATTCTCCGCTTCTCTCACGTTGAGAGAGAATCAAGTGTCACATCACCCTCCCAAACTCCTGCACTCGATAGCAGTCTTGTCTTGCGCAACTCGCTGACAACAACCTCCGATATGCCTCAGTGGCAAAGCGCTCCGATCTGCAAACTCCCTATCGAAATCATCCAACAAATAGCCTCCTATCTCTCGCCCCCATGCGGGGCTTCGTTCTGCCTAAGCACGCGCTACATTTATTATGCAGTTGGAACCCAACATCTCTCCACATTCCTCTCATTCGGGACTTCGAAGCTAGAAAACCGAAAGAATATCGAAGTGCTCGAGCGAGCGTTTCCGTCCAACTGGTACTGCGCTTGGTGTGATAAGTTCCATGCCCATGATCAAGCTAGTGGGCCTAAGAATTGCGATGGAGAAACCAAGAGGGATTGCAATGAGTACAGCAGCTACCTACATGCGGGAAAAGACTACGTACTCACATACCACCACGTCCGTCTTGCAATGAACCGTCATCTCTGGGGCCTAAAGTACGGCATCCCCATTTCGGATCTCTCATACAGCGCACAGCGCACCTCCAAACTCTTCAAAGAGAAAGTCCCCACAAACCTATCCATCTCCGCAAAAATCGTCTCAGGTCATCTCCTCCTCCACTCCGCCTTCACTATCGCCCTGCCCCTTGCCGCTACAGAGCGCAAATCCTTCTACCCGAAACTTCAAGCCGCTCTTCCACAAATCATTTTCGGCCACAGAAACGATAATTCAGGCCATTCGGGTTTAATGACAAGCGTCTATCAAGCCCTCTGTAAACACTCAAAATATAACATCCAGCTCTGCTCAACCTGCGCTACAGACTACCTTGTCCGCGTTCATCCCCCATCATCCACCCCCACCTCCACCTCCTCTTCTTCCAGCCCCTCCGAGCACATCCAACTCTCCATTCAAACGTGGCGGGATCTCGGAACCTGTAGAAACCCCTTTGACGCATGTTGGCGCGCGCACGGCGAGATTGGCGATTCGCCGCCAGGCTTTGGTGGCGATATTGTCCGATTGACGTCTTATAAAGCGGGAGAGATTAGAGAGGCTTTTGAGCTTGAGGTTCCCTTTAAGCATGATAGTGCGGATGCGGATCGTGGTTTCCATCTTGGACGGCCGAGGTCGTGGGATCCGAAGAGGAGTGCGGGTAGACAAAGTAAAAGTGATGTATGGGCAAATTGGAGTTGGTCGAGGTGAACAGTTTTCGGAAACCCCTTTAATGCCCCTTTCCTTTTCGTAATTATTGTTAGTGCTAGGTGGGATTATTTTCAGGCCGCAGTTAGAAATTTAATTGTTTTCCGGAAACAACCCTAACTTGACTTCCCCTATCTACAGTAGTGCTAGTCGCGCAGAGGGATTGTCTTGAACAATTCTTTACAACAAATTCCTTCTCTCCAGCAGCTGGCTAGGGGCAGTAGGGTACTGTTGATAAGCTAGTTCCTATAATGGTAATAGCGTGATTTTTGGAGATCATGTTTGAGAGCATATGTGGATACTTTACTTCGTTTCGAATCGATCATGGACTTGTTCCTTCATTTTCTCTTCCTAGATATGCGTTCAATATGCATCAAGTCTCGCTAGGTCTACCTTTTCTTGAAATTTTCACTACTGTTGTGAAATGACACAGATATGGAGATGCCACTACATAATCCCTCCAGAACTTCGATGCATGATGAGAATCTGCAGTTATTACACGGAGCTGCATGGCTCGAGATACTACCACCACGCATACTAAATAGGATGCTTCATGCCACCTCCTAGACTCCAATCCACGCCATTCTCGAATGATTTGTCAAGTATCCTCGCCCTCCATCGTACCTAAAGATCCCAACCAACCCCTTTCTACGTCGCCGCCTCTATACTACTAACCCCATCTCTTCCTTGACCCTCTCCTCCACTTTCTCCGCACTTTCATCCATCATCTCATCCTCGCAATCACACTCGTAACGTTTCTTAAATTTATACTGTGGCAAGCCCTCCAACTTCTCCAACGCCGCGTTACTTGCCTTGATCCTCGCATACCGTCCACTAACTGCAGACCCATCAAACACAATTTTCCAGTGGATCTGCACCATGGCTATGACCGTTGGCCGCGCTCCCGGAATCGTAGCTTCACAGGTGCGGGTAGCGATACGCCATTCGCGACAGCCGAAGTTGGTGTTGAGAAGCTTGGTCAGGCGCGTGGTAGGATGGCTGTTGGCGAAGGCGTCGTATAGGTGCATGTTGATGAAGAAGCGTTTGATGTGCATATCGAAGAACTGTTGTACAACGGTGAAATCAAACTCAGCGTCCACGTAAATAGCGGCCACGTATGCTTCGACTACGTCGGCAAGACATTTTGGGGGCTCGGAGACTGTGGTCCAGTAGTCAAGAGAGCCCTTGGCTTCGCGCTCTGCTTCTTGCACTTCGGTGACGTAGTCGCGGATTTGGCTTGTCAGCACAGCGTTATTCTGGCGGATGTGGGTGTGGAAGCCGAGACTGACGCAGAGAGCGCCGAGGAATTTGTTTGAGACCATAGGCATCTTGTGCTCCGTTAGCCATTGCGGGTCCTTGTCCGTGTAGCGATAAAACAGGTACTGAATGAATACCATGTCCAGGAGTGAGTCACCCAAGAACTCGAGACGCTGGTAGTTGGGGATATTCTCCCACATAAAGGCCTGAGAAGGATGGATGAAGGCAGAGCGAAGAAGACGAGGGTACCTGAAGTGATATGGATGCTTCTCTTCGATCCTCTTCGCCAGATCCATCTGCGACGCTGTAGCCTCAGCGAGCTGGTACTTCGGCTTCTCATACGCAGCATAGTAATCAGAATACTTTTCCATCAAATGGTCTTCGCTGTCCACTAAGACTTTAACTGCCTTCACTGCCTGGTCCCAGTTCTTAGGATCGAAGCGGCCTAGCTCGTTGTGCTCCATGAATGCAGCACCAATGAAGGCTTCGCAAACGTCGGCGACGGATTTGTCTCCCAGTGAATGTTTGATAACACGGGGTCCATTCTTCTTCGCGCCCTTTCCTTTCGTCAATTTAAGCCCCTCGGGGTACCACAGCCGACTGAATTAGGTCAGCTATGTGAAATATCATCGAGCATTGAATACGTACCGAGAAAACGCCATAGTGCGAACGTACTCATATAATTTGTACTTTCCTGCGGCCTTGAACAGGTTTTTGTTGCAGAGCATGACCATACGGCGCACGTGAAATTCAAACTCGTTCTCATCTGGTTGCTGGACAAACGTAGAAATCGAGGTGGCCATCTTAAGGAAGCAATCACCCATAAATTCGAGTCGCTCATAATTCGGACCCATACCGCTCTTAAAATTAATCTTCTCTTCACCATGCTCGTCTGTATTCTCTGAGTCCTTAGTCAATGCTTCTAAGGCAAGACTTGGACCTATGTCGAGGCCGAGGAGGTGGCACGCATCAATAGCAATCAGAAAGTCGTCGAAACGGTGAATGATTGCTGGGAAGGCATAGCACATGGCTACAAAGCGCGTGGTGAGCTGTTGGAAAGTTATCATCTAGAACCAGAATTTGAGAAAGAGTTTGTGCAAACTTACAGCAGATATCCTAAGCGGCTGAGGGCACACATAAGCCTTCAGATTCAACCTCACCTCGTCCTCATCGGTCTCCACTAGAGCCAGGAGATTCCGCCTGAACGGAATCTTTTCCACCTCCATGACAGGCTGTGATTCATCCCAGACACACTTAACTCGAGACTTGGTCCAGAGGCTGACAGAGTAGTCGAGTATATCCGCCATGAATTTATGCCGTGGAGAGAAATTGGGCACCGGATCATGGGGTTTAACACCAGGGACAACACTAATAGTATAGAAGCGTCGTCCACCGTCCCAATTGTCAACAATATACTTGTCGGCTAGAAATTCGTCCGGCATCTCTGGAGTCCACCTATACTCTTTTTCCTCGACTACCTCATGGATCTGGTCCCAGTCAATGAGATCCCTAGGCTTTTCAGAATTGCAATTAATAGAGGTTGTCATCTCGGATCGAATGGGCACAACCCAATACGTCATTTTTGTAATGTCTTTCTCAAACTCTTTCGCAAAAACGTCCTTAAAGACTTGCAATGTCAGTTTCGTGAGTAGCTCAATAGTCTCCATAGAGATCGGGATCGCGGTGACCATTGGAGTCGAGAGTACCTGGGTCGGTCGACCGTCGTTGAGATACAAGGGAAACGGTGGCATTTGTGGGAAGTAATCTCGAGTCAAGAGTCCAAGAGGCTGATGAGGTCGGTCTAGACCTGCACTGACATCGACAACAGTCAGGTAAAGGCATTTCGGAACAGTACCGTATTCCAATCCCCAGAATTTTGGCTTGACACGCATCGTATAGAGGTCTTTCTTCTTAGAGCTGATTGCAAGAAGAGCATTCCTCATGGCTGGCAGTTGCTTCGTGTAGGTCGGTAATAAATTCTCATCAAGTAATGCCTCCCCTCGAAGCTTTAGACACATCTCGAAAGCGGCCGAGCATTTAGCGATGGCCTTCTTGCTATAAGCGATACCTCTCGCGGAGATTATCGGCGAGTATTCAGGAAGGACAACTTCGCAGATGAACTTGCCACCAACGCGCTCGACAATGTACGTTGGCTGCAGGCAGACCTCCATATTCGGTGCTGGCAGAGATGCTACGAAGTGAGCTAGCACCGAGAGACTAGTCCTATACGTAAGCCTAGCACCAGACTCGGGCACGGTGTAGTTGCGGAAGGATCTCTCGCTGGCAAGAAACTGTTCCACCTCATCGTTGATCTCATTGACACATCGATCACTTGGCAGGCCATTACAAAAGTCTCGCATAACTTTCTCTGCAGTTCGAGTTTGAAGGACGGTCGAATAGTGGCTAGAGTTGCCCTCCTCAACCATGTGTAGGTATTTCGAATTCCGGTGTCTAGCCCTGCCCCGGGACTGGACATAAGCAATCATAGTCTTGTATAGATCGAACCTCACGATCAGGTTGCATTGCGGGATGTCGAGGCCCTCTTCCGCAACGGATGTTGAGAAGAGACAGTTGAGGTCACCTCTCCTGAATCTAGCCACTGTCATGACCTGTGATCGGAGCGAGATGTTCAGATCGCCGAAAGTTGAGTTGACACCCACAAGCATGTCGCTGTGGAGGTTCGAACCACCAATTTCGCTGAATATCAAGTTGAGCAGTCGAGCAGTACTTCGTCGTTCTACAAATACAATGCAGCGAGCCTCTGCTGTTCTGGAATAATAGAGATTCAGCCAATCGTATAGGAGAAGGACTTTGGGACTGAGGTCTTGGGCAGTTGGTGAAGGTTTACCGAACTCATGATGCCTAACGAATTCGGCCGCTTCTCGTACTCTTGCAATCTCTTCGTCTAGCTTCGATATAGAATCTTCGTTCTTGAGCTTATGAAACTTCCGCTCCTCACGCATCTCAATCTTCTTTGCTTCTTCCTCCGAGAAAGCAAAAGACCAGTACATGTCAGCTGGCCAACGACCAAGTTCTGAGCCGATGATCTTGGAGTTCTCGAAAAGCTTCTTGAAAGCGGCAATGTCACCATAACGAGATTTTAGTTCGGCATGGAGAGAAGTTTCGAAGGAACATTTTAGTCGTGTGTACTTTGCCACTTCTTCGGTCGGGCGGCTGATGTTATTTGCTAAGAGTGCAAGGTCAGATGCCGTTGCGATCTTGCAGTGAAGCAGGGCCTCCAAACTTTGAGCAGCTTGCTTGATATCCACATTAGCATCGACAGGTGATGCTGTCATTCCAAAAATCCGAGGGCGCTTTGCAACGTCAGGTTCACTGAGGTAATAATCCTTCATTAGCCTCGCGTATGGGTGGTTGTTTTTCGCGTGATGAGCCTCATCGAATATGAGTAAATTGACCCGGGGAACTGTGATGAATGAATGCATCATGCATTGGACAAGCACCTCTGCCGTACAAACGACAACCATGTTATTTGCGAAGAGCTTCTCCCATGTCTGCTTCACCCAAAGGTGGGCACCCATGGCACCACAGATACCTTCTACATTGTGGTCGAGACCACATCGCAGCACATTTGCCTGCTGGAACACGAGATTGACAGAATCCACCTATATGAGGGTTAGATAGGTTTAGTGAGATAGAGGAGGGAAGTACTCACAAGGAAGAAAGCAATCTTCTGCGGAGCGCCTTTTGCCCTCTGTTCTAGCTCGTCGTCGAGGATGTGGCGGAGTAGCAAAGTTGCGATATGAGTCTTCCCGGAGCCTGTATCTAGAACTGCAATGATGTTTTCCTCCTTTGCTCTCTGGAAAAGCTCGGTTTGGTAGTCCCTCGGGTTCGTGATCTGGGCGCTAGTTTTCTGCTTGGCTAAGATATCTCGAATTGACAAGAGTTCATCGTCTGCGTCCTGGATAGCATCCTTGACGTCTTGCTCTGTGATATCTTCCGCCTTCTTGCTCGCGAATGCTCTGAAAATCTCGTTTTGGGCTCTGCGCTTCTCATCCGAGGTACTCGGCCCATGCGCATGGGTCAAATCCGCGTCGATATCGGGGTCCGAATCGTCCTTAAGCTTAGGCTCTAGAATGTCGTCTTCACCTTCGTCTTCGCTGTAGTAAATGTCGTCATCGTCCTCGACGACGTTCGCGCCCCACGACATCTTGGCCTGAAGACCGGTTGCTATTAGCTGGCTAGCGGTGCTGCGCTATGGAGGGTAAATGATATAGGCAGCCTAAGAAGGTTTGCGGCGAAGGCTTCCTGAGAAAGTCCCAATGGGGGTTGATGTCGTGGTCAGGAGCATCCATTATTTACTAGCAAACGGCGCAAGTGCCCGTTCACCGTATTTCTAACTAACGCATGGGGAGGCATGCTAAGGTGACTACCTACTAAGTCACCGCCTTATTAAACAATTTGCGCTCGGATACAACCCATGATGGAGATTTTGTGGAAGGGGTCTTAAGCCCACTACTTGTCTCAGATGAGGGTAGGTTGGTGTTGCCAACGTCAGAAGTAGCGACTTTCTTGGATACAACTAATGGGCGTTTAGTGGAAGGCTTCCCTGGGCCCATTACTTGCATCTAGTGAAGGCATAGTTATTGCAGAGACCTTGCGTTGTAAAAATTGCCCAGAATTAAGGATCCGCTCTACATGAACGGCAATTCTGAAGCAATAACGTTATACAGAAAATTAACAACAAAATAATAGGATATCAAGACAAATAATGGAAGAACAGCGGAGGAACAATCTGCAATTCCCCTATTGCCAACAAGGGTGGATTTGCAGAAGTTGGAAATAGCAAGTTAGCCCAGCGACGGTAATTAGTCAGCGGCATAGGATCACGTGCTCCTCATCGAGTCTGAAGGGTCCATTCTCAGCACAACAAGACATCGACATCTCATCCCAGGGTTCCCAAAACACTCAAAATGGACGATAAACCCCGCAGTATCCGAGGACTCTTCACAGATGCCGATCGCAAACGGCAAGCCATCTTTTCCAGCCCTGACAGCAATAGTACCAGCTTCCAAGAAAACCTCAACATCACCATTGCCACCTATGAATCCTGTCTCGAACTCTCCGAACAAGTTTCTCTCTTCAGCTCTAATGAGACCCTGGACGATGTTTCATCCTCCGATCTGCAGTAAGCCACACCTAAAATCTGATGATGCCTGCTCCATGTCCCCGTAATTTCCGTTGTTTTGCCGTATGTCTCACATGTGGTGTTAGGTACATGACCATCTGCTACCAACTAGCGGATTTGGTGCAAAAGATCACTGGGGATCTAAGTATAAGGAAAGAAAACTTGTTAAAAGCGAGGGGGTTTTATGAGAGGTTTTTGAAGTTACTGGATTCGTATGATATGCTTGGCAAGAGTGATTCACGACTGCTAGAAGCCTTTCTGGAGAATAAGGATCAATTTTCAACGGCGAGCATGAAAGATGCGGCTGCTAGAAGAGGAACGAAGGTTGCAAGGTTCAGGGAAGAGAAAGAGCTGAAGCGAAAACTTGAGGTACGTCATTAATCCCATTACACTGAGGGACATGCTAAATCATGTGCTATAGTATCTACAGCAAAACCCGAAGGTTGCAGAGAACGATGAGCAGGTCGTCCGAGAGTTGCACCTCGCGAACCTTGCATTCATGGTTCATCAAACCTTCCAGTCACTGGAGTCTATTGCACAAGAGCTACATATCCTATCACTAGCTCCACCGGCTCCTCGGCAGGGCCAGAACACTCTAGCGCCAGACGCTCGCCATTCAGAAAGGGACAGTGGAGACAATTACTCCGACCGATTAGATCCCCAGTCTGCAGGCTGGAGGTTCTCTGGACCCATCCTAAGTGGCGATGGTAAACCACTTCGTCCATTCACTCTACTCGACACTCGGCAGAGGCTACAGAAGGGTGTCTTCAGACCTGATCACAATCTTCCAACCATGACCATTGATGAATATCTCGAGGAAGAGAAACGAAGAGGAGGTATCATTGAAGGGGGGGGTGAACAGTCAGGTATTAGACCCGAGCCGGATGAAGATAATGTTGAGAAAGCCGATGAGGAAACTATGAAGGCGCGTGCATGGGACGAATTCACTGAGGAGAATCCGAAAGGATCCGGAAATACGCTGAATAGAGGGTAAACGCTTGTTGGAGTCATATGATATATCCAATATCCAGGCAGACACGATATGAATGAAACGAATCATGTTTCAAGCCAATCGGTGCATCAAATTATCCTCCAAAGTTTATAGCTCGACCTTTTCTGGCGCCAACTCCGGCCACTTCGTTAGGACTAGGTCGAGTAGCTCCTTAGAAAGAACATCATAGGCCTAAATAGCTGTTAATGGCGTCTTGGACTGAGCAACCCTTGCAACCAGAAGGAATACACTTACCAGGCCATCCAGATGGAGTCCATCTGTAAAGTAACCTTTCTTGAATGCTTTGGCCCACTTCAATCCGCATCCTGGGAGCCGATCCTCGTGGTATTCATCCTCTTCGCCTGATCTATTCTGATCTGCAAGACCTGCATCGATCAATGCCTTCCAGTAGTTGAGACCGGCAACTCGACCCGTCTCCTCGTAAAACGCTGCAATCTCCATGATCTTGTCTCCATATTGTTTTTTGCTCATGTACGTTCGATAACCCCTGCTCTTCTTCGCATCATACTCCTCTGCGGCTGAGGCCGCGGGACCAATATCGATTTCATCGGGATTCGGGTCCGGGATGTTGATTGGAGGCGGAGTAATGAGAACGATCTTCGTATTCTCCAGGCCCTCTTCATCCAGGATGGTCTCCACGTAGTCACGAATGTTGTCCTCGAACTTGGGTAAGGGCACGTGAGCACCTGCTGGAGGGAGACAAGCATCATTGGCGCCCAAGAAGATCGTGATTAATAAGGTTGGCGAGGCGGTAGATTCGGTGGCGCGCTCAATGATTTCCCGGAATCGTGGTTTCAACCAGGTTGAAGTGTAGCTGCCTAGATATCAGCAGCCGCACTGCATACACGGGCTTCGTAACAGCTCACCCGGCCACACCTTGCGTACGGTTTCAGCTTTCATGGTCATTATTAGAATTCCGATGGTGGGTTACCTTCGTTCAGAACTATGGCCTTGCCTTCATACTTATTTTCGAGCACCCACCCAAAGCCGCGTGTGTTCTCATCAAAACCCCACTGCGTTAGAGAGTCTCCGAAGAGTACAATCTCCGGGAGTTCCGTGCTATCGCTCATTTCCGTAAAGTAGGGTCCCTACTGTATAGTGTTAGGAGAGCGATTGCATTACAGAGACTGTCTCGAAAAGACATACTTGTGGCTGTTCCTGTCTACAATTTCTAGAACCTTGGCAAGTTGCAGGTGCGGACTGAAACCTAACTGTGGACAATATTTCCCTACCTGTTAATACTAGATATGAGGGCAAGGATACAAAGGTGAAGGGACTCAACACTGAAGCTTTCCAAAGCTGACCTAATTTTAGCGCCAAAGCCCAATTTGGATTACACGTGACCCACACTCAATATTCAGCTTTGCGTGGAAGCCTTGGTTTGCCCACAGGATGAGTAAGCGCATCACATTGGACGCTGGAAATTGGCTTATGAGATGGGAATGTACAGGGCAAGTATTGCGCAGCCTCCTTGGACGTGCAAGGTTCCCTAGTTTCGATTGTGTACTTCATTAGCTTCTCCGATAGACTTTTCATCTAAGTCACTGGGGAACTGGAACCAGCGTTGCTGTGTGATGCGACGCGATGCTAGCTCTGTGAAACGATTGAAAAGGTTAAAGGGTATGATTCGGATGAACTATAGGCGCGATTCGCTCATTGCCAAACCAGGGTCAGGATGAGCATCTGTGCAGTCGTGAGAGCTGAGCCACTGGGATGCATTGAAGGTGCATCTGAAAACTGGGGGAGGGGGCAGGCCTTTTGGGTCGCTGAGAGAATGTGCAAACGAGGACTTTGGTATCACCATCCGCATTCTTCGAGAACCCTGCAGATTGAGGTGCATGCAGGTACACGGCCCAGTCTTCTGTCCGAGGGTTCCATGCTGCCGGTAATTGTCGACGGCTGAACATAGTTCTTACAGGTGGACCAGATCATGTCCGATGCAACGTCTTTGGCGCACCTTCTCTCCTTTTTTCGTAACCAAAGCGAGATGCATACGGACTTCTTTGCATGAAGATGCTGAGTATAGGTGTAATGGTATCAAAGATCGAAAGTCTCACCACTGTGCGCCACCGGTGGGCGATCTTTGTCTCCGAGCGCGCAGAAGAACCATAGAGGATATTTGTGAGAGGGTAAAGGAGAATTAAATCTTGCACAGAGTGAGACGCAATGACACTAGGGATAAGAGACGGCCCGAAGAAGATAATGACTTAGAGATCAACCTACGTAACTCGCCGTTCATGGGAGGGTTGGCGGGGAGGCTTTTGAAGCGCAAACGCAGAGTCGACAATCAGACGATGGTGGCCCAAGGAGGATGGGGTTCTGCCGTCTCCGCAACACTGATGAACCGTTCCTGTTCCTCGCGGCATGCATGCAAGTACGCCGCGCCCGCAATCAGGAGTCGTGGGAGAGACTTGTTAGTGGAGCAGCCAAGGCCATGAAAGTAGAGTGCTCCCTCGGCAAGGCGTCTGGTCAAGCATCGGGCTCACTCATGTGCAGCCGCCACAATGTCGAGGTGCGCCAGACCAGGACCAGGAACCTCTGACGCTGCAGTGCTGACGGCCTAGCAAACACAGTGTCAAATACGATGGCGACTGGGTAAAGTCAGCAATAATAGAAATCCAAGTAACCAAGGCCCTAACATGCGCGTCGTCATGAAATAAAAGGGATGTGCATTGGTGATGGTGAATTTCGATGTTGATGTTTGATGGATGAGCGGACTCTGCACACCCACCCTGGGCGCCGCCGCCCGCGACGATTGTCGATTCCTATTATTATTTGCAAAGATGGAGATACGCCGACGGTGGGACAAACACGGGGCCCTCGCAAAAAGCAAACAGGCCGTTGGAGGTGGCACAAAGTGGCTTCGGGACAAGGGACAAGGGAGGGAGACACCCCACCGGTGGCCAAGGGGCGTGAGACTCTCCTCGGCCTTTATGGAACAGGGGTCTTCTGCAGTGGGAGAGGCTCGCGAGAGACGGCCATGCACATGGATTCTCAGTGTCATCTGCATCCTAGATTACTTTTGGCTGCCGGCTTGGGACGAGACAGCCATCCCCCAATGGGTGCTAAAAAGGCCTCAGGCGTCCGGCACAAAAGTATCGTCATGACCGAAGCTGGGCAAATATCAATACCCTATCGTCACGCACCCCACGCTCTCCCGCTGTCAAGTTTTAGCTCTGCCAAAGACCTTCTGTTCACGGCACAGTATGCTCACGACTGCTTGGTCCCTAATTATCCTGCCAAGCTGTCCTGCTCTGAGGTGACTGACTGATTGCGCACACGAGGCCCTCTCAACAACACAACATGGCGACGGGGTGAGTCAGCCTGCAACTCTTTCTCTCCTCTCCCATCGCCGGCTTACATATATTCTCCTAGATCGATGCGAGAAGCCGTCAAGGCGCTGACCTCGACCTTCTCCGCGCCCACCGTTCCGTACCCTCTGCCGGACGAGCTCCACCAGACCATTGAGGCATTCCTCGACCGCAACCCTGACATAGAGGACCACGATTCACAGCGCTTCCATGAGGACCTGCTCTCGCTGTACCGAAAACATGTTGCTGGCGTCCCAGACAAGCATGGCTCCTTCCTCAGCGCGCTGCGACTGGTGCGCCCAGCCCTCACCAATGAAGCGCGATTGGCCGAGTGGTGGGGTTTGGTAGTAAAACCGACCATAGATGGCACGGGCTACAAGAGGCACGAGATAGAAGACGCTCGAGAGATTCTCCAAAGCATATTGGTCTTCGACGCAGACGAGGACAAGGATGGCGAGCTTGCCTGGATATCTGGCCACTTCTCAAGGAAGGTGCTGGATGTCTACCTTGCCAGGACGAAGATTCCTTCTGCTGCTGACGACGTCATTTCACCTGCAGACGAGTTCGTGTCTCACGAGCTGGAGTCTGTCCTTGTAGCATTTGGTCGAAGAAAACCCAAGGTATGCTCCTAACGACGAAATGGCCTGCCCCACTACTAACCCGTGCAGGAACTCCTCCTTCTTCTAGATGATCTTTTCCTGCATAAGGCACACCGCATCCAGGCGTTGAATCTCCTCAGCGCATTTGTACGGTTGCAACCACCACATCTCTACCTTGTCCTCGAAACAAATCTTATCCAGCATCTCGAAAAGTGTCTACTAATCGACACGTCGTCTACCGTGATCGAGCTTGCGCTGATGGTTCTCATCATGTTCCTTCCGCACATCTCTAGCTCATTGACCTCCGACCACCGCATTGCCAAGCTGTTCCTAATCTACAGCAGACTTCTCTGTTGGGACAAGTTTGCTACCTCTGGTGATGCCAACAGCACCAGTGGGGCATCAGAAGGCCACACGGAAGAGAGTTCAGATGAGGACGATGATTCTGACCAACAGTGGGAGAAGGCGGAACAGTCCTCGGACTTCCTTGACAACTCTGCACCAGGCTTGCTCCACTACTTCACGTTTCTCTACGGTCTCTTTCCTCTCAACTTCATGAGCTTCATACGAAAGTCAAGGAAATTTCTTAAATCGTTGGACTTTCCAGGTGCTGATGACTTTGATTTGGACCAGGATTTGATTCACCGGAGAACAGAACCTTACCGGCGCGTTCACCGATTGCATCCAAACATGTTCACAACGACCATCGAGGATGAGCTGAACGAGAACCGTTGGCTCAAGAGCGACCCTGCAGATGTGGTTACGGAATGCATGGACCTTTGCATTGCTGTCTCGACAACACTGGACGACCCCGGGCCGCCGCCTACTACTAAGCTGCCCGACCTTCCTGTCCCTCCTTCAAAACGCATCTCACAGGCAGATTTCACGCTCGAAGATGACGGGATCGCCACCAGTGAGTCCGCAGCCAGCTGGCGAAATACTCAATCAACCATGTTTGCCGCCTCAGCGAATGGCCAACCAGACCACTTAGATTTTCCTCCTCCTCCAAGAAGCAAATCTGTGAAATCCTCTAAATCTGCTTCTCCGTTATTGAAAAGCCAGGACGTCCTGGATAGTCCAACCTTACCACCTGCAAAGGACGAGAAGAAGCAAAACGCTAAGCCTGGTCTCTCTTTGACTGGTCCACAACTGCCGACCCCTCCTCCCCGCCTGGAGAACTTTGCACAGGCCTTGACAACAGGGTCTAACTCGCCTACACACTCGGAATTCCAGAACCAGAGTATGGCTTCTTTGCAGAGGGAGATCATGCTCTTGCGAAACGACCTCAATTTCGAGCGGTATCTGAAACTGCAGCATTTGGCTCATATTGGCCAATTACAGAGGAAGAATATTAAAGAGGCAACGGCAGAGGCAGAGACTCAAAATCTAATCAACACTAACCGAGCTCTCAAAGCAAGACTGGCCAAGGCAAACGAGTTATACACCCAGTTGAAGAAAGAAACCCTTATCAGCCGAACCCAGTCCAAAAAGTGGGAGGGCGAGCTCAGTGCGAAGGTCAGAGCATATAGGGAAGACCAAAAGGTGTGGCATGGCGACGAAGACAGTTTACGATTTGAACTTCAGAAGACTCAGCAAGATTGCGAGCACCTAAAGAGGATGGTTGAGAAGGCCGAGGCTGAGCAATTGAGGGCCCAACAAAGAACACGAGCGTTAGAGATCGAGCTCGTGGATTACGGCAACGTTCGGCGCGACCTCGAGGCGGTACAGGATAAAGTTATGATGTTTGAAGACCAGAGCAAGGATCTACAAGACCTTGTGAAAGAGCGAAACGAATTACGTAACGAGTTAGAAGTCGCGAACATGAGACTGAGCAGCCGAGAGCAGGAGAGAGAACGGTCTATCAAAGCGTACGAACGGCGCATCAGGGAGCTTGAGTCCCGCTTACAGGTGGCGGAAAAAAATGCTGGGAGGCCTGGTCAACTATCTCCTTCCGTTCAGCAGATGCTCGATTCAGCGATGGCCGCAAACAATGCGAAACTACAGCAGATGAAGAAAACCCACTACCGCCTTTTGGAGCAATACACGGAGCTAGAAATGAAATATCACGATCTTGAGGGTGATCAACAGGCCGGCTTTAGGCACCTCCAGGACAAACCCAGTTACCAGGACCTCGAAAAGGAATCACTCAATCGAAACTTTAGTATTCGCCAAGGTAACGTTAACGTTGCTCCATACAACTCCAAGTATCTGCCACCAATCACCTCAGAGCACCAACTTGAGGAGTATGACTATTATAATGAGTACCATTCTCCCGTTTCTAGCAACAGCCCCTCTACAGCCAATTACCCTGCCCGTCCAGTGCGCCTTGAGTCCTTGGCAGCTCAAAAGTCGCCAAAAGAACCAGGTACCCCTCAGCATGGGCAGGATTTCTCTGCAGCTTACGAGTCCTCTCTGAATGCGCAATTCCAAGCCCCGAACGCAACCGAGACCGTGCTATCGAGTAGTAAGAGCGCTTTCTCAGTGTCCACCAGTAGTAGCAAGGGAGACGAGAAGAAAAAGGTTTCATCAAAATCAGAGGTCCGTGTATACGGGCGTGGTAAGCATTGAGCTCTTTTCACATTGAAGTATCGAATGGCTGACGATGGTAATAGGTGGCGCTCAGAACATCGGGAAGAAAGTAAAAGAACCCAAAGAGGAGAAGCAGAAACAAACCAAAACAGGGGGCTTCCGTTTGAAGGGAATCATATGAGGACTGGAATGTTTGATGGCGAATCATTTCAGCTCCCCTTAATTCAACATTTCCCTTACGAAAAACACCGCTTCCATTCGACTCTCGAATCTGAAATTTGAGAATCATTCGATCGCGCCTTAAAAAGCAGCTGCAGAGCTGCGCACACTTGTGCAGGGATACCACGAAAACCGGCTGGGGCTATTGTGCGCCACCAGACGGCGACAAATGCCTTGCACGCACAAAACACCCTGCATTTCGAATTGTCTCCTAAAATCCATTTGTTGGCTAGAGGGACATAACGACTGCTTCGGCGACTTACAGGCCATAAGCACACTACTTCACGTATTAGTTTCGAGTCAAGTGAGACAAAAGTTGGATGTGGCGGTCACGGTCACGGTCATCGATCTTCAGTTCAAGCCACTTCTGCTATAGTGGCTTTAGATATGGTTATCCTTCGGGTCTCTTCTTTGAGTTTGCACATGCCGTTGCGGCGAGAACTGGCTCAACCATCACCGGCAATTGCGGGCTATTTCCTTTGTCCTGGATTAAAGTAAGGAGTTCATGGCCTAAGGTGTTTGTTGGATACTCTCCAGGTTTGCTACGAAATTTCACGATTGGGCAGGCCACTGTTCGCGTTTCATGCGTGCATTTTTCCTTCGATCGTAGCGATACCACTTCTCTCGTCTCCTTCTATTCGCTGTGCATATCTGCACTTAAGATTTTCGCTTGTATCATATTGTCTAGTTCTTACTGCTGTACGAGTGTACTGCGATCTAAAAGCCGTGCTACTTACCACATGGGCTGTGAGAAAATAGTTCGTTTCATCACCGAACGCATCTGGTCCTTGTTAGCTTGACTTGTGTGTCTTGTCCTTCAACGTGTCGCCAGCTCAGCGTCCAAATCCTTGGTCGGTTTTCAAGGTCTGTATCCGACCGAGGTCCAAGAGTGTTCGCCCCGCCTCGCCGGTCGATAAGTTTCACCTTATCCCAAGGTCTGCTGTGCCGCTGGTTCTTATGTCTCATGCTATATCCCTATATCAGCCTCTAACTATCACTTGAAACACGGGACAGTGTAAACGAGCATTCACAATTCCAATTTCAACAATTCCTCACGGCCTACAATTCTATCAATGGCAGCATTACAAGCCTGCCCGACTAACCGTTGTTTAGTGGGCACGCTCGGCGACTAGCACCTACACAGTCATGCTTTTTCGACATTCGCACAGCGCAAGAACCCTGTTCCCTACGCAATATTTCCGTTTCTAGGTGCCTGCATCTTCCCATGCTTGTTCCTCCTTGACTGCTTTTTTGAGGGAGGGGCCGTGTCCAGATCGCATCATTCTCGCGTGCTCGACGTGCGGAGAAGGGCGTGTGCGGGCGCGTTCGCATGAAATTGGAATGCTTAACAACTTCCGCCAGAAAAATGTGTGTGCTGTGCAGTCCATCAGGGGCAAAGAACTTGGAGTTTATTGCTGAGAGGCGTTTTATGCCTTTTCCATCGCCACCGTCATCAATTATCAATCATCAGCAAAATATGGAGCCGTTCATGAGAAAGCGAGCTAGGGGCATGGCCAGACTCCCGAGTCAACATTGGTTGCTAGGTTTTATTTTTACCGCATCTCGCTTCCTCGCTTCTGGAACTCGCTTCTGGAAGTCTGAAGACACGTTCCATCTTCGCTAGGAGAGTCGAATCTATCGTCGCTGCAACGGCCGAATAAAGAAAGTGCAACACGTGGTGATCTAGATCGGATAAAGTATCCGTGTCCGAGGATTGGTCCACTTTTGACAATAAAGTTGCGATAGGATAGGGATGGATGGGTGCTCTTCAGGACAGGTCAGAACAGCGCAAGGAGAAAGATGAGGGAACTCCCACGGTCACGAAACGTTAACTCCACGGTGTCGAAACGAGATTGACAAAAGCAAAAAGTACCGGTGCCCGACCGGAAGAAAGTTCGGGATGCAGAGTGACAGAGACGGGGGTGGGTGATGGAAATGTACGCCGCTTCCGATTGGGTGAATGGGTTGGGGTGATTGGGGTGCTTGTTTCAAACTCTTGCATGCACCCTGAGCCGCTCCGTCGCCATAACCGACTCATTGCCGATTTCGGTCACTGCGCTACCGGCACATTCGTGATCAGAGACAGGGAGCACAAAATTGTATGTATGGTGATGAGTATTGGTGTTGAGTTTGTTTCAACCACATACGCCGCATGCAATCTGCTGCTCCCATCACCATCACCGAGCCTTCACTATCCCAGCCGGCAGGTTTCATCCTCCCACCGGTTAATTCCTCTTGACTTTTGTGCAATCCAGTTTAACATCTCTCGAAAACGCGATAAAGTCCCTTCAGATTTGCGACCTCCACAACCCCTCTTAACAACCCCTTCGTAGCCACAAGCCTTGCTTTACAAGCCGGGAAAATGACATATTCGATTGCTCGCCGGATTTGTTTCCTTCGCAGGGTTATGCCTGGGTCTTCCTCTATTACCAACTCTTTTCCTTCGCCATTCTCATCTATGGTGGTTGGCGGAGGTTGGGGACGCGGCAAAGGTAAGCTCTCTGGAACATAGAAACACGCTAGCTCTCGTATAAAGGACTGGAAACATCCCTTCTCGTTCTCCCAATCCACATACGGGCCCAGACGGAGTAAGAACGGGGGTAGTTTGGCTAGTGAAGGTGTATAGCCTTTTATCAATAATGGGAGCGAACACAACTCTCCTCCTGCTGAGATCTCCATGGAGAAGTACTCCATCAGCAGCTCCCTGCGGTTGATTAGCTGATCCCTTACGCTCTCAACAACTTCGTCCCAGTTGACTTCATCTCCTGCATCGCCAGCATTGTCCTTCTCCTGGTCGGCCGCGACCTTCAGAAGGTCGTGAAGTGGAAGCGGTGGGTTAAAGCGAATCGACCCAAAGTTGGCAAAGTCGGTCAAACCGACTTGGTAGAAGAACTCATTAAATAGCATACCGTAGTCTACTAGGAAGAGCTTGACGCCACCTTGTATAGCAGCAATGCGTTTCTGTTCGTCAACGATGCCGACGAAGGTATGTGTTGAGATGATGTCCGTGAGTTCGTTGTGCATAGCGTCTCTGATCTCGGCACGTAAGTCTTTAATTGAGGTCAAGCGACAGGGGGTTGGTTCTCTTTTGGTGTATTCGTATTCCATGTCATCGATATCCTGATCAGCATTTCCATCCCTGGAAGGATGCGGTTGTAGCATAGACGTTATTTTACGAGCGGAGGCATCGGTGCGGACAAGATTGTTTTCATATGGCTTCCTTGTAGCTGTCTTTGAGGTGGGTTTCGTGCTACTACGGTCGGAGGTGTCTCCTGTCGTTGGTGTACCAGGAATCGTCTGCTTCATGGGAGTCACTAATGGTACTTTGGGGTTGGTGAGCAGAGACTGTGTCATGAATGACCGGCTTGTGTCAACCTTGCTCAAACTATCGCACATCTCGTCGCAGATGATAGCAATGATCTCGTCTTCGTTTAGAAAATGAACCTCTCGCTTCGTCGGGTGCACATTAACGTCCACGCGTTGAGGGTCGATATCAAGACTCAGGTAAATGAAAGGGTGCCCGCCCTTGGGGAGGAACGTAGCGTATGTCTGCTCGACGGCCTTTTTAATAGTTGCAGATTCAACCGCTCGGTGATTGATAAATAATAGCAGAGTTGTTCGTTTCGAGATATAGTTAGCATTACTAATCCAAGCCTGGCACTTGAAGCCCCAGCGCACATTTTCAGCCTTGAAGTTAACGAGCTCGCTGGCAACACTACTCCCATGGATCTGGCGAATTCGGTCGACCGTGCCAGCACTCATTGGGACCGAGACGCCAATGGTAGAGTCTCCTTGCTTCTTGCAAGAGAATGACACGCCGGAGCAGTGGACGGCATACTTGCCGACAAGTTCAAGGATTTTAGCGTACTCTTCGCTGGCAGAACGAAACGCACGGCGACGCGAGGGGATGTTGTAGAACAGGTCCTCAACCTAGAGTGCGTAAATATAAAAATTCTTCAGAAAGGGGTGTTTAGCGATCGTTACAGTGATTTGCGTTCCAGGCCTTCCAGCGATAGGCTTAGGCTCAGCACTTTGGCCTGGCTTCGCACTCGCAAGCTTCCCATCTGCATAATGAGCTCTCCAAGCGCAACTTGACTCCTTGGTCCTGGTGGTGACACTCAAATGAGCGATATGGCTGATGCTAGCCAGAGCTTCGCCGCGAAAACCGTACGTGCCAATTGAGCTGAGATCCTCGAAAGCCTTTAGCTTAGACGTAGTGAATCGCTCACAAAGAATCGACAGGTCTTCTTTCTAGTCATACGTTAGGCTTGAAAAACCTGAAAAGGGGTGGCAACAAACATCAATGCCATGTCCATTGTCTGTGATTTGGAGGAATTTCAGACCGCCATCTTTGACCACAACCTCTAACGCAGTTGAGCCCGCATCAACTGCATTCTCAACCAACTCCTTCAGGGCGTGCACAGGTGCAACGATGATCTCTCCTGCTGCTATCTTATTTACGACGTCTTGAGAGAGCGCTTTGATTCGGCGAGGGGCTGGAAGGGGTGCCAATTCGTCGGCTTTTCGCTTGGTGCCGCGAGGCAGGGAAGATTCAATCTCCATGTCATCAGGCATGATTACCAATGAGAGTTAGATAGATGAGGTTGGTGTTGGGTTAGGAATGGAGAAGAAAGAAGCGTGATGGAAAGAGCGACGACACGCGATCACGTGAACCCAACCTCAAAGTGGCGGGGTAATTACGAGCATGCTGCCTAACGTTAGTTGTTCCTTCTACAAATGAGTACTAGCGACTCTGCCTAATGTTTGACGCATCTGGTGTAGGAAATTCACCATATAAGTCCACACCCAGAACTTCACTCCTGCTAAATCCCTTTACTCAACCTGTCTCTATTGCCATGTCTACACCTTCCTACACTCGCCCTACAGCCTCGTCTGTAACAAGAGCAAGTCCAAGAGCCCAGAAGCCAGCAGTTATGAAGGAATTGAAAAGACCGTCTTCCATTTCCGACAGTGAACGCGAATTAATCCAACTGCTCCGCCGTGCCGAAGCATTCACCATCAAGCCCGCGGACCCCTCCAAACCATGTCTCGCCGATCTCCCGTCAGAGATCCGAATAATAATATACCGCTATATCCTCGATCCTTATTACCCTTCTATTTCTTGCGCCCCAAAACTCCTCCGCGTATCTCGCGCGATTCGCCACGAAGCAGCCTATGAATGGTACAGCCGAGCTGCCTTTACTTTTCACACCCACGCCCTCGAATTCAAGGGCATCAAACAATCGATTGAAAGATTACCCATTGCGCACCGGCTTTTTCTAACTAGGAACCGCAACATCCTGCTTGAAATCGAGATCGGAGCTGTTCTTGAGGAGCTCTGGTCTTGGGATCCACGCTCTATGCTAGATGCGTGGAATGAGTGCCGTCAATTCGGAAACCCTTATGAAGTGAAAGGATCACAGCACAAAGACCACTTCATGAGTTTCTGCCGACTGGCTGGCTGGTTCCAATGGTGTGGCAAACCAGCGCATTACGGAATTCGCTGGCAGTATAAAATGGACGTCAGTAATAGGGAATCGGAGTTGTGGTGGGGGTCAGCATGGCCTTCGGTCGGGTATCGACTTGAGAAGTTCTTGAAGGGTTCGCTTGGTGTCTTCCCTTTACCCTGCGTTCAGCAGGCCACCAGTCTTGACGCCGGACAGAAGGCTGTGATGAAGAAGGAGGCACTGAATATGTTGGAGAGTCTTGACAAAGATTTCAAGCGTATGCAACCTTTGTGGCCAGGAAATGAGTGGGATAAGAGGGTGGCGTACTTGAAATGGTACTTGGGCAAGTGGTGAGTGTTGGATGTCTATCCTGGGGGATGGGACTGCGTAAATGACTCGACTCCTCGTTGATAAATTGTTTCATGATGATGAACTGCACAGACAAGATTGCAACGGATACCTAGAGCCCGCTGGCTTTCCCCTTTTTTTTTTTCAAAGCATTTTTATAACAACTTCTTATTATCCTTTTAAAGGCAAATTTGTGTATTTCCACCTTGTCGGTGAATCTGGAGAGGCGTTGGCGGTACGGTTGGTTTGCTAACGGTAACGAAATTGGAGAGCATCGGACGCATCACGGCCTTCATCATACTAGAAATCTCAGTATCATGGACCTGTGTACCATTGCCCCTGGTAGTGTTTGGTGACTACGAGCAAAGAATTGGAGAATCCAATCCCGCCCTCGAGACTCCTAGAAATGGTGTGAGACAGACGAAGGAGATAAAACGCTGCCACATATGGGCTAGGCCGAGAGTGTAATTCCGAGAGAGAATAAATATCAAACCAAGAACTCCCTTGGACGAAACGCCTAAGCTACTATATCCCTCATGATAGCATTCGCATCGACGGTTCAAAGCCGTATAACGGGCGTCCGAGCTGTAGCAATAGGTAAGCTTCATATCTAGAAATGCTGCAAGACGTATCACATACCCTATTCAATGTGAAAATTACGTCTTGTATGGACACGGTCTTCCGGCCGCTATGTTCTACTCCCATTAACCCACGGATACTGCAATAAGGAGAATTGCGAGGAATCTCACCTACGATCGCGACGATGTCCTTTAAGATCTTTGTTACAGTGAGCATACATGTCAAATACATAAATCGGGGCTAGGGCATACTATCTCCAGTCGTGACTTGAGAACTTGACGGACGTCTTCGTAAATCATTCCAGAGATACGCTTGACACCACCCCTGCGGGCGAGGCGACTGAGAGAATATTTGTTAGAGAGGAAGGGAAGAAAGCAAGAGAGTAAAAGAGTAAACAAGGGTACACAGAATGTGAACGTACCGGATGTCACCTTTAGTCACTCCACGAATGGTATCCCGCGGTATCTTCCTGTAATGGCGTGAGCAGCAACCTTCCTATACGGTATAGCTTCAATCTACTCACTTGTGCCTTCTGAAAGCTTTGCCCTTGCCTAAACCCTTGCTGCCGAGCCCCATTCCATACCCAACGCCCAACCCAAGTTGGCGAGCTCTCGCAGTTGAAGGAGAAGCCGCTGACGATGGGACGGCATTGCTGATGGGGTGGCCGCTCGCGCTAGGCACACCTGTAAAGCGAGGCGTACCGCCGAACTGTTGGGGGCGCGGTTGCACCATGTTGGCGCGTTGTTATCCTAGGATATAATATTGATAGTGGAGGATGGAGGCAGCAATCTAGTTGTGGTGGTTTCGTCCTCGCAGCTCGTTTGCGCACGGGCCAGTAGATCGTCCACTCGCTTGGGGACGCGGTATCATGTGAGGAGGGCCTCGTGATGACTAGGCTTCCACGATTCTACCGTAACTAACTTTACTTGAATGCAAGCTATCAGGAACTCATCAAGTGAGAGTTGTTTTGACAGAGTGTCTGCCTTGAGAAGTTAAATTATATAGGATGATCCTCCTTTGATATAAAAGCGTTTGAGCAGAATCAACAACATTGACTATTTACTGCCCCTCTCCTATTCAATAGTTCTTCTTGCCCAACCCTCCTCCTCTCCTGGTGCGAGCTGAACGCTGTAGTCTCCATGTGCCACCTCCGCCTAAGGATCCTTTCGCTTAACATGCTTCGCGTACTGGTCGTGCCCTTTTGTTCTTAGGTCATATCCTGCATCATTCAAGCTCTTCTCGATTTGCTCCGCAATGGTCTCTAGTGCCCGTCGTGACCTCCCCATTGAACCCTCGATCGCTTGCCTCTCGTGGAATGTCAAAGCCACTATCTGCAACGTGAACTGGGTCAGTGCCAGAGAAGTCGGCGGGAGAGCCGTCGATTTAATCGGGACGCGGGACGGAGGGATTTGTGCGATTCATGGCATTATTGGGGGCCACAGACCCGGAGGAGCTCTGACTTGAAGATGGCCGCCTTGGTGAGAGGTTGTTGGCGCCAATTTGCTTGCTATTCAGTCTGCTCGGTGTTTGCAAGATAGTCTTTAAAAATGCTTGAGCTGCGTGAATACTAGGTTCAAGGCAAAGGATCAAGGAGCCGTGGATGTTAGTGTAAGAGAAGCATGGGAAGCTTATTGAGAGCCTCCATTTTGTACACTCTTTCAACTAGCCCTTGCTTTCGAGTGCACGGGTGCGTTATGATGACGCCATGAAAACCTCATTACGAGAGGAGATCGGAAAGTGAATTGATGTATCCCGATCGAGCATTGACCTCTGTATAAATTTCAATATCACGTGAATGGCGGGGCCTTTCCAGATGCCTCGTTTTGTGGCTTGGATTCGAACAACACCAAAACGCGTCAGTTCACAAACAGCCCGCTCTTTCCACACGCTCGCTGTCTCATCCTCGACACGTCCACACGTTAACCACGCATACTAACTTACCTCAATCAACAATGCCGTCACCGCCGCCGCTCTCGCAAGACGTGAAGCGCAAAGCCGCGCGCGAAGTCATCGACATCCTGCACGAAATTGCGACACTTCTCGTACGAATTGCCCGCCCCCTCCTCACAGTGTCTACTAATTTTAGAATTGCAGAATACACATCTCGACCGTCAACAACTCTCGTATTGCGTTTCGTTGATCGAGAATGGCGCGAATCCTGAGGCATTGGCGGTACGCAAACATATCCTTTATGCGGTTGTGAAGCAGCAAATACACAGGGAATACATATCGACAGGCTGACGAATGCTTCTTAGAAAGTGATCCGAAAGCTGCGGTCTGAATACGATCCATCTTCCGGTGAGGGCGAAGTAGATGGGGAGATGACAGGAAGTACACATCTAAAGCCTCAAACACAGCGGAGTGGACATCGTAAAAGCCCTGCTAGCTAAGGAGCAGCAGTTCTTCCGACCAATGCACAATTTTAATGCACCAGGCTGGGCCTGAAAGATTGATCCTCTTATCTAAATACGGAAGCCTCCTTCCACAGGTCCGACCCGGATGCACAGCAGATGATCCCAAAACTCCCCGATATTAGACCTGGATGAATCAACCACGGACAATCATTGTTGAGCGTTCAGCTGCTCTTGGCATTTGATACTTATCGGAATGGCTCGAGGTGCGGGGTACCAAATCCAAGGTTCGCGCCAAGGGGTGAATGCATGGTTATCAGTATCCCGAACTGTGATGCGATAAGGCGCCAACGAAACCTGGACGGGGTCAGATGGACAATTAAAAGACACCAGGTTGGTGGGACCATCTGTCATCACGGCTTGAACTAGCAGATTTAGACAGAACATACAGAGGGCTCCGTGTGTGGAAAAGGGCTCTATAGTTGACTGTAATTCAAGACCGTTTGTGGATTTTCCTATCTGCTTCCCCACGTTGGAGATGACCTCCGTTGCCTGAAATTGCCCTTCTCATCTGCGACTTTCTCTAGTGCTGTCTCCGCCCTCGCTTCCCTCTTATCCAAAAAGCTATTGTAGAGTCTCGGAAGAATCCGCTTCGAATCTATTAATCCATTAGCATCCCGTATCTCATTTCGTACAAATCTGCAGACATGAAAACTTACTGGCATGATCCCTATCAAAGATAATTCCATCCGCCCCCTTCTCGCCCGCAACCTTGACTGCTTCCTCCAGCAGTCCCTCGCCCACGCCTTTCCCTCTATACTTCAACTTAACGGTCCAAGCCCTCACAAGCGCTTTCCCCCTGCGCCGTCTCCCGCCCTTCTTCTTGGCCCCGTCATCCGCCCAGCCCAGCACCAACGCTCCAATAATCTCCTCACCCCACTTTACAACAATCAGCCTGTCGTCTCCAAGCCAATCCCAATTGACGTCCTCAGCGAGGGAAAGATAGCCTCCGGTCGCCATGCGCACGGCTATGAGACAGGTCATCGTGATGCCCCCAATGGTAGTCCCAAGGACTAAGATGTCGTCGAAGTCTTTGTACATGTACTGTGTTAAAACAGCGAGAACGAGAAAATAGAGCGCGAGGTTCACGGGATGCAAAATTAACATCTTGCTCGCAATCTGTCGCTGCTGTGCCACTGAATCCGCAACTAAGCGCAGTCCTTCTACTCTGTCGTCCTCGGATTCGGCGGTGTAGGTTTTCAGCTCGGGCAGGCCGTCGGTGGGAATTTTGGGAGCCTGCTCGTGGATGGATTGGGTCGGCGACATGATTTCGGTTTGAGCGGGTGATGGATAAGGGTTGTGTGTGGAGGTGACGGCGGAGAAGGAAAGAGGGGACGGGGGGGGGAGTGGGTAGTGGGAGCTGCTGCCGCGGAAAGTTGTGGGTGTTCCCATAGGCGAGGGCATGAGATCGTCGTCGGTGATACGGAGGTTGGCGCTGAGGGAGGTCAGGAAAGCTGGGTGGAAATATCTGAGTTAGCTTCTATTTTCAAAAAAAAAAAAAAAAAAAAAACCCGAAAATAATTTCGAAAACACGTCCTCAAGAAAGCATTGCATTCTTTGGCGCTGCGAAAACGTTGTGTGATAGTTGCAATGAAGCCATTGTTTTGGCCCACCATCAACCAACAACCAAAAAAAAAAATTCCCTCTTGAAAGCAGAGATCGTAAAACCCACCCGCACTTGTCCTGAATCCTGGAATCGCAGGAATCAATTTATCGGTCCCCGTATAATGATTAACAACGACAGTTTCCCCCAAATACCTCTGCGGCGGCGCAGAAGTCGGACCAGCAGAAATCAGCGGCTTCGGGGGGAGCTGGCGGACCATTATAACTCAAGTGACCAGTAAATGGTAGAATCCAGCTAACTTTGGATGGAAATTTCTTCGAAGCTATGACATAAACAATTGTCTCGAAGAAGAAAAAAACAATAAAAATCGTGTGTTGGTTCAAGGGCAGGACAGACACTAAGTCAAGAAGAGGACGGACATGGCTTGTTCGGTTTCGTGGGGCGCAGAATGGGATTGAAGACACTCGGACAACGGACGAGGGAGGAACGTGGGTTCTAGTATTGGCTCTCAGAAACGCCAAGATGATGGATTCACCGTCGAGCTTTTCTGCTGCTGCTGCGAGGCGTTTGGCCGGCGATCCAAACCATGGAGCGCTCGTGCAAAAAAGCCATCGATGCTTGCTGTGATTGGCGAGCATGCTTGGGTCCAGATAAGCAATCATGGAAGACGAAAAGCCACGACTGGAGGCTGGACCCCATATCACATCGTATCTGCCTCTGCCTAACATGCTTTCTCCACTAGACAGCAGCCATGTGAGCACAACATGGGTATTCCAACGAATGCGGTCGACCACCGCCAGCTCCATCACTATATTCACTTGTTGGAGGCATATGAAGGCCGACGTCAAAAACAGCTCCCCAGGGCAGGCGTAAACGAGGTGCTGGGGCCGCTGGCACCCATCAATCTGCGACAAGCACGTCTCCACAGATTATGAAACGAACCAAAACGCACGACTCCAACCGGATACAACCCCTCAAGTTTGAAGTGTGAGGTCTGAGTCTCCTCTCTCGATCCCTCCCTTCGCATGGCTGCAGTCCCAACACTCAAGCAATGCCTGACACACGAAACCCAGCCAAACTGACGCCATCGCCAGCCCACCCTCAGCGCACCCACCACTGGTGAACTTCATGCCTTGCCCGTCCAGTGTTACCTCATCATGAAAGCGTGAAGAGCCAAGCCTCATGCGGGGCACATGTTCAAAGCGATGCTATGCGCAAAGTCAGCAGGCAGGCAAAATAGGCGGCCAACCAACATCCAACCACGTTGCTGTCAAAACTAGTCACTCAACTGGTATGACACAAAACCCGGCTGATATGCAGGTGAGCGCGATAAATCGAGTCTATTTGCTCCAATAACATGGCCTCGTCTCCAACTCCCACTCCTCGCGCTCTCTCCACTCTGTCCTGTACGCCGTGACCGAGACTCGAGAGCTCCGTACATGTGGAACCTACTACTTACGTACTCTGCGCAACCGTACGAAGCCCGTCTCCACCGACAAAACAGGGCTTGAGTGCCAGGAAAGTGCCGCATTGCCAGGGATCCGCGTCCGGCAGTATGTTTCGGGATGAGAAGCGACGGTATGATGGGCACTACGAGACAACACCGCCTCAGGCATGCGTGGCACTCCGGCCTTCTCACGTGTCCATTCGCTGTTTTGAGGCCGAAGTGGCCGAGGTTCGACATTGAGTATAGGTATAGTAGACATGAAAAGCAAGACTACAGAAGGACTCTACCGTCTAGACCATTCCAGCAACAGGCTTGAAAACCACCACTTACCCCACCTCCACCTTCCGAGGCTGGCCTCATGACATACCGGCGGTCACAAGAGTGTAAAATGCATAAGTCTTGGTGTATAAGTCTAGGTTGTTGCGCAAGCGAATGCATATCTATTATTCTTTTACCCCCAATCCTCCCAACAAGCCATTTGCAAAAAAGTTCTCATATACATCAGACAACCGAACCCACCCAGTCAATATGTGTCTTCTCTTTTCTTCAGGATCGCCGTCCTTGAAAGTACAATACATGAACAGAATCCGCAATGGCCAAATCACCACTCCCACGGACCGCCACCAAATATGATCCAGGAGGTGCGATATCCATGTGTCTAGCTCGCTTCAGAGAGAACAAACAAAACGTCTTGTGATCCAATTGAAACTATGTCCTCAACGCCTGTTCTTTTATCGACAACGCCAATATTAACATTACCATATTAGACTCCACTCTCACACCACGTTACAGCTCTTAACAGAGCGCCTCGGCGACTTCTTTATGCGGCGGTCTAGCGAAGAGAGCTCCGGGACTCCTTGACGCCGGTCGCGCCATTGCCGCCATTGCAGGAATCTTGAATCCGGATTCTTATTCCTGAAAGGATGTTAACGACACAGCAGAAAATCGGAAGCTCTTCACTTCTGCTGTTTCGTTGGTGGCGCGGAAGACCCAGAACCAGGCTCAAGAGTGTGCTCATGGTTCTCCATTCTTAACACCATCCCGCCTTCTTCCTGTGAGCAGACTTGGCTGTTTTTGACCCATCGGTCTTCGAGTATTTCTTCCAAGGTAGCTCGCTTCTTGGGATCAATCTCGAGCATCCTTCCGATAATGTGCCTGCTCTCACGCGGCAGCAACCGCAAGAGCCGCCAAGGACCCTTGATTATTTGAGGCGGTTGTTGTTCCTTGCTCTGACCATTAGCCGAGGCAGGAGTCGAGCGAGATTCGTTGGTTACAGGTTCGGACTGAGCCCCATCCTTGCGGTGATGATGGTGATGACGATGTGTGGAAGTAGACTGATCTGAGGGCTGTCGAGATGCGGGTTCGGATTGCGGGCCGGCTTGACGCCGGTCTTCGCCTGTGGAATCGGGATTGAGGTTTGGGGTTGATTTTGAGGGATTTGTGATAGACTTTGGACCATCGTTTGGAGGAGCAACGAAGAGCTTGTAGGAATTATCCGAGACGCGAGGGGCTTTCCAAGGGAAGCGGCGCAACGTCATACAGCAGAAAATGATGGCGAGCGACCATATATCCGTGGGTTGGGGATCGTATTTGGAAAGATCATATACTTCAGGAGCCAAATAGGGATCAGAGCCAACGATGCCTAAAAGGCGTTAGCCGAAGATTGCAACACCTTAGGGCAATCAAAACTCACCGCTTGCGAGAACGACATCGTTCTCAAAAGGATAACGGAAGACTGCGGCACTCCCAAAATCAATGATCTTCATGATCCCATGCTCGTTGACAACAACATTGTCCAGCTTAAGATCTCTATGTGCTAATCCCATGCCATGCAAATAGGTTACTCCGTTAAGAATCTGGAGCGTCGCGCAGCTGACCTCTTCGCGGCTCATCTTTCCAGTCATAACGCATGCAAAGAGATCGAAAGGTGCATACTCCATGACGACGTAGAAGTTTCCCTTCTCCTGCACAAGGTCCATGGTCTCAATGATGTTGCCATGATGTAACGTGGATCCAATACAGAATTCGGCCGTGACCTTTTTGGTGTACTCCCTTTCCGTCTCATACGTATGTCTTGGGCGGAATTGCTTCACAGCAAATGTTACTCCGTCGCTGCTTCGCTTCATGAGCCGCACCGAGCCTCCAGCTCCAGATCCGAGAACCTTTCCGAACTTTCCGTACTTGCTCTGCAACCCGTGATCATCGGCGAATGGTACGCTGACGGACCCATGTGACAAGGGCGGAGACATGGTTCCAGATTTTTTGGTCTTCGATGGTTTCTCAGCCTTAGATGATCTCTCAGTCTTGGCAGACGGTGCTGGCGACTGGGCGCGTTTCTCCTTGCTCTGCTTATGACCTCCAATCTTGAAGAACCGCTTCAACTCCGACATCGACCCATGGTGGTGCTGTTTTCCGATGACAGAACGGGCGTCACTATCAGAGGTGGAACCATGGTGATGATGCTTTCCGCCGGCACCAAAGAAGCTTGACCTCTTCTCTTCTTTTGAAGCAATTTCTGAAGCATTTCCTCTTGGACGGGGCAAGGGGACTGTCGACGTTGAAGATGTGTAATTTTGGCTTCTTCGATTGTCCCTCCCACCAAAGACAAATCTGGGATCGAGAGCGTCAAGATTTCTCGGTTGGGGAGGGCGCCTAGAACGGGCATAAGGGTCGTCTTTCTCACCTGACGGTGTAAAAGGTCTGCTGTAGGTCGGCGTAGAGGTCCCCGGGGTATGATGTCCCGGGGTGTGAGTTCCAGGCGAGCCGGATGGACTTACTTCTCGAGAAGCTGGTATTGAGTCACCTGCCGGGCCAACCGAGAAAGTGGGAGGGTGTTTTGGGTGTGCTGCAACAACACCGGGTACGTCAGATAATGATGCTGGCCGCGGAGACGGCTGCGGGGATTGCCTTGGAGACCGAGACGGAGCAACAAACGAAGCCGGCCGTTTATCATTTTGCACAGCGTCCATTGACGTCGGCGGCGGCTCATGGGGTGGTGAGACTTGAGGAGTCATCATAGCCGGGTCGCTGGGAGTTTTCCTCTCTACGGCAGCGCTGGGCTTCCCTTCGTTGGACGATGTACCCGCAGGTGTCAGTGGCGGGGAGTGCATGACTGAGGTGGGAGGAGATGGGCGTGGTGTATTTCCAGAGCGATAAGCGGAGTGGCCTGAAGGTGTTCGAGAGGCAGGAGAAGGAGAAGGGGCCTAGGGAAATGGTCAGTTACGAACTGGTATAGGCGATGACTATCGCCTACTCTTGAAGGCGGGAGTGAGACGGGCTCGAAGGAAAAGTTCTCCATCCGCCGAGCTTGACATCGCGACTTTTGAAGGGTTGTAGAGAGATTGCGAATCTCTTCTTCGGCCTGGGAGCTGAGATCGCCATTGCATGTCTTGTCAGCGTGGGCGAGGGTTGAGACATGCTGCGGGACTTGTTCGGGCTCAATATCTTGGTTGACGGAGCTGAAGCGCACAGCCTGCGCGGGTTCGTCTTGTTGTGTGGAAGTCATGATGAGCTGCTATGCGAGAGGGAGGGTCTGGAGGGGCATTGTAAGACCCAACGAGCAGGTGGGGGTGTACGGTACATACCCACCGAGGGGTTAGTCACAATGGTGTTTATAGTCTAGTCGGTTGCAACGCCGTGTCTGATGAGGCCGGAATGACAGTCTTCACGCCCGCGGACGGTTCGGAATTGATCAGAACAGGTATGCACCCTGCAACGAGCGTGAAGAGTGGGCGAAGAAGAATGTCGTGCGTCTGCCTATGCGGTTTTGACCGGCGTCATAAAGATAGAGTCCAGCGAATGGGAATTCCGCGATGTGGCCGATAAAATAGCTTCCGGAAGCAGCGGCAAGTCCACGCAGAGCCGCGCGACGGTTGCTGGAGACTTCTCAGGAGAGGGGGATGCAATGTCGTCCGCACAAGACACGCAGTGAGTGTCTGGTCGGCCTGGCAGGAGCAGTGGAAGAAGAAGCACCTGGGGGGGCAGGAGGGGTTGTGATACCCATATCGACATCTCGGCTTACCAAGCTTGGCAACTATCAAATCACAAGCAGAGGGACAGGGATCTGTCACCTGTCTCCCGTCAACATTCTCACCTGCACTAAACGCCATAGCGAACCATCGGCGACCCGGCCCCATCCATCATCATCTCGCATCATTCGTGTTCTCGCGCTTCCTCCGGTCCTCGGCTCATCTGCTGCCTACTCCCTGCCAAACTGCGAACTCTGCCACTCGTCCTGCATCACATCAAAAGTCCTCCCAGAGTGTTGTTGTGGCACCCCCTTGACTGTCCCGCACTGGCCCACTTCGGCGTGCCTCACCGCCTCCATTTTGCC